AAAGCTGTACCTTTGACTAAAAGTAGGTGATGATACAAGACAACAAGTGAAAAAGTTTTATTTTATTGGCAACGTAGACTGAAATATCACTATTTTTGAAAAAAAAAAAAATTGGCGCATGCGTATTTTGGGCGCCGGATTTTTTCTAAGTCTTTTGGCGGGAAAATTCGCCTCATTCGAACAGATGTTACAGATCAAGCATTTTTTAAAAAATGGCGTATGCGTATTACAAGCGCCCGTTTTTTTTTTAAGTTTTTCGGTGGGAAAATGTTTTACCTCAAACAGCCCTTAGCAAGAATTGAACTCACAAAATTCACGAATTAACAACATTTTAGTCATCGATTTCGGCGTTTGAATCTTAGCTCCGACTGGAAATATTCTTGAAAGAAATGCGCTATATCTGTTCGGTATCTTTGTATAAATTTGTCCTCACTTGGATCACATTCTTTCTTGTTGATTCGTGCCGAGAGCATCAGGAATATTCACCAGTCAGTCTGCAAAAAAAAAAGAAATCATAAATTAACAAATGCTCTAGAATTTAAACTTTGCTTTCTCAAGCGATAATTGTCGCAGAAACAGCTATTTTGTTATGTTCTACGAGTAAAATGCAGTATTTAAATCTTTAAGTAATGTGTGAGAGCATACAAATGAAGGTGAACGTAACCTGGATTCAACAATAAATTCAAAACGATCACTGCTGAATATTCAAATAAATTTGAGGAATTTTATGGTAGCTGTTGCTTTGAAGTAATTTTAGGCTGCTTGTTTTCAGGCTTTAAACCATACCATGTGGAGCCGAAGATTTTAATTTTAGTCATAAAACGACAAGCAGCAAATATATGCATATGCTAGCCAGCAATTCTACTCAGTGAGATCACGAAGGAATTCTCATGCAAAACAACTCCATAAATTTAGTTTCTGCTTGCTTAAACCATATCATAAATCATTTGGAAAAACCTTATTACTACGAAATACTGTTCACTTCTTTAATTTTGAACGTGAAAACGAAAATGATAACAAAACCATGAACATGAACAGAAATAAAAGCATTTAAATGTAACTCTTGGTGCGTGGAAATTACTGAGATTCGGTGAAGATTTAAAAAACAAAAAATAAGATGAAAAGCGGAAAATTATTTCTTTGAAAAAATGTATTTTTGAAATGTTTCTCTAATAAAGCCTTGGTTAAGGTTATGAAATCAAGTTATCTATATCTTTCATAAATTAGTTCCTAGTGAACATTTTTCAATTAATCAACTTAAAACTATAGATTTCCCTAGTGTCCTACCATTGTTAAGATAAGAAATTTGGTATTTGTTTACCGAGACTGGAGATTTGAAATTTTTAACAGTTTTAGTACTTTGGTAAATAAGTACAACCAACAAAGCAAATCGGATTAAAAATTTGTTTTCAACTTTTAATCTGTTCCTTTCAAATATTTTGTGATGGTGCTTTTTCACGATAAAATATCTTAAAGCCAGCCACTTCAACCGATATCAATCACTGACAAGACTCCAAGATTTTCTTTATTCACGTCAGAAAAGTTTCACTGATTCACGTTGGAAAAGTTTTATTGGAGTTTATGATAATCTTCGAACCCTGAATCAAACATTAAGGTCACGAGAATAAAGGAGATGATCACCAACTTAAGAAGCTCTCGATTGTTGAACAAATTCTCCTTGTCAGCACCTCAGGAAATGTAAAGAGACCATTATGGAGAATATGCATACTGATGTTAGGGTGCAAAGAATGAACTATATGGTGCCTTTAACTACCCCTTTGGAAGATAGACGAATTAATTTTTAGATTAATTTTAGACTTGAGCGTTGCCAGAACCCAGAAAAAAGTACTGCATCGGTTGATGAAAAACTCTAAAAGCAATTTGGCGGACAAACAACAACTTTTGGGTGCACTGTTCAATTTGGTTGTAGCCTAGCTAGCGCTCAAAAGCTCAAACATCTCAGTTAACTTGGCTCAATCATTTTGAATAAATCTGGTTAGAATGAAATTATAAATCACTTGCTGATAAACCTCAGAGGCAAATTGAGGAACATACATAAATTCATGGAATTTTTAGAGCCCTAAGAACTCAAACGTTTTTAATATTAAGTCTAAGATTTTTATTGAGATCATGTCGAAAAAAAGAAGATCTATATCATTTGATGATAAACTCAAAAGGCAGTTTGAGGAAAAGAATCAACTTTGGAGCATACTATTATTATTTGTTTAGGACAGTGTTAATTCTTAGGTTCGAAGATCTTTGTTAAATCACGTCGAAAAAGTCATACATAATTTGGTGAAAAACGCAGGAAGAGCTTCGACATGAAAATATATTTTGGAGTACACTTTTATTTTGTTCGTGACTCAGTGGTATGCCTCAAGAGTATCATCAAATTAACGTCTTCTTAACCATCTTATGACCATGGTATTAGCATATTATGCAAAAGCAACAGAATTTCTTGCAAAATAAAGCCTCACTTAATCTTTTTTTAAATAAAAGCATCCCGAAAAGGAATTGAAGTCTTCTAATCGTGGCCTAGGCAGTATTACGTTATTCTGGAGGTTATAAAAGTGGTAATCCTTGTGTGAAGCCAGGCTAGATTCACACAATCATTTCATACGAGCGGGAATTTAAATGCAATATTCGGAAAATTCAAGGTGTTGGGATGAGCCTTTGGGCAGATGCGAAACATGCCAGACCAAAGACTTATACCTCCTAAAAATGTCTGCACTGTGCTAGTGAGTAATATCTTTGAAAGGATCTGGGGAAAGTTGGATGATCGATATCATTTTTACAATTATTCTCTAATCTTAGAACTTGACGATACTTTGAAAGGCTAAAGGATGGCTATAATAACTTGGTACATGTAGGTCAGATGGATAGTAAAAACATCCAAAATAATAATGACAAAGTATTTCTTTGACGCTTGTGAAACAGATAAAAAGTATTCATGGTGGAATTAACTCGTCGAACGAACATTGGTAAAAAAAATTAAAAGCCAGCTCAATCAGAGATAAATCCAAGAAATCAGACCGTGAAGAAATTGATTAATTCCCGAGTTTACAGTTTTTCTTCATAATTTGCTAAGTTAGTTTCAAATTAGAAACATTCGCTAAACCCAGATTAAATCGCTCAACGCAGATGAATAGGCCTAGATAGCTAATTGGTTTTAAAAAATAAAAAAAAACAATTATCTTACCTTTTTGGAAGTTTTCATGTATTTCTTTCAGTTCCTTCCTTGACTTTCTTGATTTCGAGGTGTCCTAATTTTCCTCTTGATACTGTCCTATGGAGAAAAAGAGACAAATACATTGTGAATACGAACATAACTAAGCAACAAATGTTTACGTCCAGAGTGACTTCGGTATGAAAGATGGGAACCAATCCTCTGGTAACCAGAAACTGAAGTCTACGTCATAACGTTTTCGCAATTACCTGTCGGTTTTGTAGACTAAGAGAAAGAACAAGTACGTTTTAAACACATTTTAGGTCAACACACTATAATCATAAAATTTAGTTGAAAATATGTACAGGAATGAAAAGAGAAATAAGTAAATCACTGTCATGGCGGCTGCCGCTCAGGATTTTTCCTACTCTGTGCTATGCGCATTACGCTCTTCCTTCTAGCATTTTCCTCTGTAAATTTTGCAAGGGCCACAACGAGAAAGACGAACAGTGCGTTGTTATCCAAATTTATCTATCCATAGGTTATTTACCTGAAGGAAAGTTGTGACGAAGTGAAGAGCATGAATCCTCGACATGCATGGTATCTGAACCACGTTGATCCACCATAAGAAACACTCGCCGAACTGAACAGAACAGGCAATATCTAAGGTAATAAGGTCAAAATGACGAGTTTCTTGACTCCACATAGAAGCTAAAAAAGACACTAAAATTTCTTGTAGTTCGTGAGTTCTTTCCACGTGCAAGACTAAGCGTAAATATGAATACTAATTTTAAAAATTATTTGTAATTCAAATGAGTTTCCTCACATCAAAAGGCGGGTTCAAAATAATCGATTCCAAATTCTTCGGTCTTCGATGTAGGATACCTCGCTTTAACCAGATTTTCAACTGAAGGAAGTTCATTCGAGAGCAGCAAACAGTGTTATAATTTTAGAAATATCAACTCGAATTTAAATTAACTTGAACTTAAAAGACTTAGCTTGAACAGCATTTTTTAGTCATTACAGAAGCACACAACCCTAGTTATCAGATTTTGGTCATTGACTATAAGTTTACCAAGATTCCCTGATAAGTCATTCGGTTTCTCTTTTCCATGGGCATTTCGATTTGACAAGCTACTGGTGCTGCTGTTTTTCAATCCACATCAGTGTCGGCGAAACGTGTTACAGACGAGGCAGCTGTTTGACTGGATAAAGGCACGTATATTATTATAATAAATATATATGCTCATAAATGCAATATGTCCACGCCTCCCCAGTTGTTCAAAGAGGTACACAAGAGGTACGCAAGTGAACATTAGCAGGTGGAAAAACATGGGAAGGCACAAAGGTTGTTGCCCCCCTACACCACGCTCAAACATTTCTGGAAAACGTTAAAACTAAATCCCAAATTACAAATATCAATTGCAGAGTTTTACGCTTTGTCACGATACTATGTTTGTCGTTGTTCTCGAAACATTGTCATCCTTTCTCCGCTGTTTCTTATTTTTGGGAGTTATTTAAAAAACCTATTGGTACAGATGAAGCTAATACGCTTGAACTTTTGTAGGAACATTCCTCCAATTGTTAACCAAGAAAAGACCACTATTCTGCCGACAGACAACTGACTATTTTTAAGGGGGGGGGGGGGAATTCTTTACATGGACGTCTTTTTCCCTTTCTACCCCTCCCCTACCCCTTCATTTCTCCGACCTTCTTAAGAAACTTTGACTGAAATAACAACACTAAAGGCAAAACCAGAACCAAAAATTTCTTTCAAGAGTCTATTTGGCAGTATAAAATATTCTATACATTGTACTAAACTGTAACTATATTTGGCATAGCTATAAAAATAAATATGTACACAGTTCAATACCTGACAGTTCAGCGGCAGTCTTTAGAATACCATTGTGATATGAACAACATTTGGTTTGTATGAAGTAACTTGAACTTAGACTGTATGTGGTACAATTTCCACAGCATATTTGTACGGTGAAAGTTTCGTATTTCGAAGCGGTAGAATTAAGGTTTTTCTGACGAGTGTCTGTATCAAAGGTAACCTTAAGCCAGATTAATTGACTTAAAATCTTACAGACCATGAATTCACTGCTTATTTTGCAGATTCATTGACATTTTTTCTCAAATCAACTAATATCTAGCGACTAGTTTGTTCTGAGGGTAAGAATATTTCCTTGTCTCGATCTCTGTTCATTTAAAGCATGACCCGCATGGTGTTGCGGGCCACTTTGACCCTGGCCCTTCGCTTCCGCTTCAAATTGTAAGTTTCACGAGACAATTTCTTGAGTTATAGCTGCCTAAAGAATGGTGCACCAGAAGCGATTTACACTGCACACCTACGAGAAAGAACGTCTGAAGCAATGTACAGGTATTTATAGCGATAATGCCTGTGCCGAGGCTAGCGAGATCAAGTGGCATTGTATGTACAGGGAGCAGCATCTAAAAAAGAAGTTGCCGGAGCAGAGCTGGAACCGCACATTTCTAGGGCAAGAACCCTCCTGGTTCTCTATGTAAAGGTCACCAAAGGTCTACATCGTCCACATATTCGTCATCTTCTATATCCCTGAAATCAGGATCTTCTATTGCGTCTTTTCGAACAATTTTATAATCATCTTTTGTGTTATGTCTCGCTGCTTTAGCCTCCATTTCTTCTCGTAACTTTTTCTTCAATAAAGTTTCCTTCTCTTTGTTTGCCTTTTCTTCAAGTTTCCAGGGTAAAGGCCTCCGTCCCTTGTTCAGTACAACAAAAGGTCTCTTTTCTACTCCACAAAGTCCATGTCTGATTTTGATAAATCCATTATCTCCCCAGTTATGGGACCAAGAGTTCTTAATTAGCCAATAAGGAACTCCGTTTTCGGTGCCATATCCGACCAATAACACAGCATGATCGGTTTTATTATCTAAAAGAAAAGATAAACATGTGCAATTTAACCCTTTGCACCCTAACATCAGTATCCATATTCTCCAAACCATTTTCTTAAATTTTCTTTGGTACTGACAAGGAGATTTGTTTAACAATGGCCTCTAAGGTTGGCAATCATTTCCCGTATTTTTATTCACTTGATGAATGATTCAGTGGTATTACAGTAAGGGGGGAATTAGATGTTTGATCGCTCTTGGGGTTTAAAGGGTTAATGTCGACAATCGGGTAATAAGTAGATATTTTTTACAAATTTTCTCAGGTGTTATCAAATACTCTCTTAGCCTTGGTTTATTTTAGGAAGGACGAAAAAAAAAAGTGGCTGAGGAGAAAGCGCAAGTCGCACAACTCCCGTAATTGAATGGGAGGTCAGTAGCAAAATTTCTGCAATGACTGAGCCTTAGGTTTATCTAAGACATAAGTAATATAAATGTGTCATCAATTAACACAGAAATGTGCGCAAAATGTTATTCCTAAAAAACTCAGCACAGTTTCAGTGGGTTACTGAGCTATAAGTCTGGTACAAAGTGTCAACAGAGTTCGAGTCTTTCTCGTTCCAGAAAGACTCGATAAATTTTCAAAAAGCGAGGAAAATTTATAGGAAAGGAATGTGTACTTACTACATGTGATATCGTCTAAGACGCCATGACTGTAGAATTTTAAAGCTTTAGGATTTGCATTGATAGAAATGGTGGCTGGGCCATGGTAAGCCAATGCTTTCTTAAGCGCTTCCTCGTTGTAGCGTTTGACTCTTCTATAACTGTGAATTCTAGCTCCAATTTTCAGTCCCTTGGTTTTACAATACCCTTCCTAAACAAATGAAAGGCAAACAATTGACGTATATAAGGAAACTGAAGTATCTATGTGCGATTTCTCCCCGAGAGAAAGACATGATTTGAGTGGTAATGGTTTTTCCTTTTGATCCTAAACTTTGTCGTCATTTGGAGGTTAAAAAGAAGAGTTTGTTCATAACATCGATGCAGTTGGTTACAGGAGCTTATAAAGGGATGCTGCTCTCAGGCTATCACAGAATATTCTCACTCCTTCCCCCAGCCATTTGTACTCCTGTGCTGAGGACGCAATGTGGAGTGAGATGTTTTCCCTTAGAACTCGACACTGAAAGCAATTGCTACCTTACAAAGAGAGCATACTGAAGCGGGAAAAGAGAAAATAAACAATGATAAATCAAAGGAAAAAAGATTGGCGAAAGAGAAATATATTTCATTCATTGATTGCAGCACTTCATCTGATTGAAAATCTTTCATCAATTTTTTTTTATTATAAACAGAGGGTAATGTAGTTTCTTTTCATTCAAAACTTAGAATATGTAATTGGAACTTAGAGTTTATCATTCCAACGCTGAAAATCTTCAATCAAAAGCACAGCTTCTACCCCGCCCTTAGAGTAGCGGGCCGAACTAACCTGTCCCCGGTAATGTCCGTAACTTTTAGCAGTAGCAATACCAAACTTCTTGATCCAAGAAAACGCCTTCCAAGTCCAGCCTCCAAGACAACCGTTGTTGCCATGCGTGGCACCAGGTGTGCCCCATGTGCAGTCCAGGAGTTGCTGCTCTGACAAATCAACCAATTTACCAGTCTACCAAGCAATGAAGAAGAATTTGAGTAACAAGATCAACTTAAGGTGAAATTTGATTTCCAAATATGTTTGACAGTGGAAATGCAAAGGAAAAAGATATTGTTACGCTGGGTATGAAGACAAGAGGAAAATAAAATTTTGATTTTTAAGAAGGCGATGTTTGGAGTGTTGCTCATTGCTTTTATCATGAGCCGAATTTCAGCTTTGTTTTACAGTCCTATAGCTGTTTTCATCTAGAGGAGTATCTTCTCCAGGAACAGTGTCGATAATTCTCAATAATAATCTTAACTAAGAACACCGCACCTGAATGAAATTGGCACCTTCCACTGCACCAGCTGCAGCAAAAGCCCAACAGGAGCCACATGTTCCTTGGCCTTTTGGAGGAAGAACAGCACCTGACAGAAAATAGAACAGTTCTATAAAGTAAGATCAAGTGTCGAAATGTGCTCAAACCATCCAATTTCAAACAACTAAGAAGAATATCAGGAAGGGGGTACGTACATTTATGGCAAGGATAGCCGATATATGGACGAGAATCAATCTGATCGGCTTACTCCTGAATAAGTTGATATAACTACTTTACCGTGCTGACAACACTATTCAATGACTTTACTTTAAATGATTTTGGCCGAGGCTGATTAAGAGGGAGAACACTCTAAAGCATAATTTAGAGAACTTCAAGGGGAGGTGCTTCGTGGCCCCCTCAAACTGTAAAATTTTCATATTAAAAAGCTACAACAATGACTTTATTCTCTTCATTCAATAGGTTAGAGATAGACAGAAGCTTGCTATATCATTCAAGACCATACCATATTTCCTCCAGTCCAGTTCAACAGGAACATGACCATATCTACTTTTCTTCTTCTTGATTTTTTCCCGCCGTTCAACGGTATCGTCATCGTACTCTTGATCGTCATAGGCGTCATCGACGTCACGTGATCCGTAACCTCCATCTCCCGGCATGAGTCCTTTGTGATTATCAAATTCTTCATTCGTCAGGTCAGCAAAGTGATTCAAAGTTAAATGATACGAGTTGCCTTTCATGTTCATCGAACGAATGTATCTAAAGACAAAGAAGGTCAAACAATTCGTCAGTGTTTTTTTAGGATAAACAGTTTGCCGCAGGTGAAACTTCTACTTGACTCGTTTCAAGGTCGATGAGTATTGATGGTGAATGGTGTCATTTATTAGGATCCAGACCTCTTGCATTTAGGGACTGTTAGTACATGCAGTTGACATTAAAAAAATGGCGAACACGTGGTTCGTGTTGTGAGCTCCAAATTTTACAAGCGGTTAAACTAGCAAAGCATAACAAGGCCACTTGAGATGATAATTAAATATACATAACATCAGAAAATACAAAACTAGAATTGTTCTCCGAAGGAGCTGAGCTATGTTTCAAATATTTCTTGCTACGTTTTTGACTTGAAACGTTTCCAATAATTTAGTCTAAAAACTTTTCCATGCCTATATAGGGCAAAACATTGAACCCTCAACAGTATTTCGTTGTTGATCCTACATAAAACGCAATCAAAACAAAACAAAACTTTACATAAATGTAACCTGCTGCAATGTCTTTCGCCATAGCAACGTTTAATATATATTATGAGGGAAGTATGTTAGGCTAATATGATTGGAGACGGTTCATTTTTTATAGCCTGGCTGTATAACGATAAAATTTACCTGATCCCCACATAAAGCTCTGTAATATTCTTATGATTTCCTCTTGTTGGTAGTAAGTTTTCTATGGTCTCCCATTTATACTCTGTTGGTAACAACTGCTCTCCCCACTGTTCTCCCCTGAAATCCATGTAATTCCCCCAAAAAATATTCCAAAGCCCCTCTCCCGTGACCTGCTCCACACCCCCTCCCCCTTGACTTGCCCCTTATTCAAAATGATACCTGAATTATTAAATTTATTCACCTTAAATTATGTCTAAATATGTGTTTCCTTTGTTGATGCTCAATTTTGTCCTTGTAATCTCTCTTGTGTTTCTTACGAAAATCGTGAAAATCTTTATCCACAGGGTCCTCCTCATGGTGGAGCATGGCGAACTCTCCCATAGGGTTCAGGGACATAGAGGCACCGTCACTGTCACGTGACCTCTTGTCAATGTTCCAGCACCACTTGTCATGGTGCACTAAAATAAATGGTAATAACGCTGATCAGCTCAGGAAGTAAATGAGCTCTCTGAACTGAATAATCAGTAAAGCTACAATCAACAGAATATGATTAACAAATGAAACTTGATGAAAAACCACCTTAAACCCCAAAAATTGTCGTTATAACGGAGTGTTTGAGTTAAAAGCATCCTAGGATAAGGGAAAGACTAGACATTAATTCCACTTGAGAAAAATAATCGAAACGGCGAGGTCACGGTCCTATTAAAGACGTCTTTTGGCGGGGTTCCTCTGCATACATGAACGATTACCAATAACGACTGATATACTTGAGGTCTCCCATATTATGATTTAAATCATGTAATGATTTTCGAACCTACTTCAGCACGACGTAGTACATGCAACACTATTACAGGGAGACCAGTTAATATAACTCTGATAAAGGGATAACATATATACATATATATATATACACATATATATTTAATGTATATGTAGGGGGTTCAATCTCTTAGGTTAACCTCTCAGTCTTACGTATACTAAGAGAAAATTTATGCGGAACAGTCCCCTTTCCCACGTGCCTTTGGTGCCCAAATATCTTCTGCCTTACTTGTCTCAGTCTTGTAATTTTACGCCAATTATTTCATTAAGATTGTGCTTGGAAAAATAATGATATTGCACGTTTGTATTTCGCTTCTTTTCTGTTCTATCACAGATAGACTGGAAATTGTTCACATTGTAAATAGGTTTGCCTGGTATAATGATTTACCCCAAGGTCAATTTAAGAAATTTGACTAAGGGAAGCGTCTACCTACGTGTGCGATAAAATCCTCCACTCCCACGCCCCCTCCCCCCCCGCGCCCATCTCCTGTTCCAACGCATTTTTCAAAACGCCACGTCGCCTCTGGTTCCCCCTCCCCCCCCCCCCCACACACAAAAACTGTTATACTTACAATGTGGAATCTCAAAGACATCCGGATCATCATCCGGATCATAATCCCACTCCTCAAAACTGTGATAATGAATCGTATACTTGTCGTAGTACGACACTAACAGAGTATCGTAGCCGTTCATTTCAAAGTACACAGGTTTGGGTGGGTTGGTCTTCGTTGCGTAAAACAAGTACGAGTTGTTGCGTTCAAATACGGTCACGTTGTAACTCCACTTGGTGCATTCTTTTCCATTGATAACAGCATCACCCTCATACTAAAAAAAAATAATAATTATAAAATTTCCAGAGAAATGCGCGCGCCGTGATCGGTCAGAACGAGTTCATTATATTTCCATAAAGCACGCGCCTCACGTCACACGAGTGCACTGTTGAGATATAGTACACGCAGCCTATGTCATCGGTACGAGCGCGCGCAATTCACGATAACTTTTCTAAAAGAAATAAAGAAACTTGTTCCTCGAGCATTGTTGAGTTATATAAGCACTTGGGAATTTTTAAGAACACTCGAGAAGTACGAGAAGCACTCGCCTTCGGCTCGTGCTTCTCCGCACTTTCTCGTGTTTTTAAAAATTCCCGCTTGCTTGTATAACTCAACAATACACTCGGCGCGTTTTTTATTTCTTTAATAAGAGATGAGATGAGAAGTTGCGCATCAGTATCTGAGAAACTGCGTTCCTACCCCTCCCCTGGCTAGAATTAATGTTGGCTGTGGGAAGGGCTACGTGCACAGGTGCTCAGATACTGACATTGATCCGAGGTTGTCATGAGGAAAGGAGGTAACGTTGTCTGCTAAGGAGAAACAACAGCTTTCATGCCTGCAACATAATACCAAGTGATGTTAGGAAGCACCACATGACGACGCGTTTTGGTTGTATGAGCCTTAAGTCTTGATCTTATCTGACCATGACCATGGTGCTGGCGCTAAAGACTAAAAACAGGCAACATTCTTGAATGGCAATCCAGGCAAATTGTTAAAGATAACCTTGAAAAAAGACTATTGTGGAAAGAAACCAGCTATTTTGGGGGGTGCCACGTGGTTTTCAGCGGGAACTGATGGGGGTAGGGATCAGTCGTCCTTGGCAGAGTAGAAAGGGGGGGTTTTAAAAACTGACCACCAGTGAGAGGGGATTGTAAAAAACGATTAAGCCGGGGGGGGGGAAAGTAAATTCTATTGTGACACAACTGATGAAAATCCTCCCACCCCTCCCCTGGGCGATAAAAAATGACCGGTATCTTAATACTGTATCGTCAAATAAGTAGTTTAAGGATCTTGCCGGGAACCTCAGGCCGGGTTGTAAGTGTGCCGCCTTCTTTACATCTATTGATTTCTGAGTCATACAAACGGTTGTGACAAAGAATTAACCAATTACCTTGAAGTCTTCCAGACGAGACTTGAACGGCCAAGCCGTGTTACACGGCAGAACAGACTGGGCCTTAGCCTTGCGAGACTTGGACCCATACCTCTTCCAACATCCCAGAAAATGGCGATCATTCTTATGACGCTTGTAAGAGTACTTTGGGACGATTTTAAAGAACATTCCATGTCTTCCTAAATCTCCTCTTTGAAACGTTTTCACTTCACCTAGTAACGGTTAAAAAGAAATCTTACCTCCCTTCTCTATGTATTCCAATTGCACGCCCTCACTCCACTTACCATGATTGCACGCGATCAATGGTTAAATTATTATTTTGGAAAATTTTCATTTTAGTCACTGAAGTTTAATAGGAATTAAAGCTCCGAATAAACGAAAAAACCGTCCCAAGAGAGAGGTCTTTTGCTTAAAAATCTTAGCCACTGCTAGACCAGTTTTTGTAAATCTCAGATCACATTTTACGAACGCATCAAAGCGCCTAGCAGTGTCTTTTCCCTAAACACGGTACGTTCATGAAGAATTTGGAGGCTCCTCTAACAGCTGAAAAAGAAAAATTTCGAGAAAAGAGATTCAGGGAGAAAACGTCTTACTAATTGAGTTATTAGTCTGTAATGTAAGTTACGGACTGGATTTATGGTCCAAGCGCGGAGCACGCAGGCTATTATACAAGACCGAGCGGAAAAAACGGGGTTCCATATTTTGCAGCACGAACCGAGAAAACGAGGTTAGTATGATTTATATCACACTAACTTCATCTTCAATAAACTTTTGAATTTAGTTGTCCTTACAATAAATAGGGCCCGTTAAATTGACCAATCATAGCGCACGTGCAAACTGAGAGATATGTAACATGAAACGGGTATATTCACCTTTGATCAAAATATAATTACGGATTTATGTTTTCCTTTTCTCTCTTGTATCAGTATTGTGTTAGTATTGACCAAGCTCAGAATTTCTAGCTTCAGTGCGAATTTAACCCTGCATGCGGCTAATTAATGTACTTTTTATATCAGTGCAGGTTTTTTGATTGTATGGTCTCAATCTCCATTCTTCAAATTACCGGTACCGTTTAGTGAATTATGATCTAGGAGCATTTTTACAAGCTAAGTCTATTTATCTCTTCACTGAAAACTAAACAGCAGACAAGCGCTTCTTTTCAGCCGACTGAGCGCATAATTCAAAACACAAATCTGCGAAAGTCAGTCGTAGAATAACTAGGCAAATCGTTTAAGGGACAAATCAGTTGTCCAAATTATGTAAACCAACGACGCCGTGAACGCCTCAAACGTAATTGAGTTTTTCCTCCACCCACTGAATACTAACGTACCAATGAGATTTCTTCTTAAGTAACTCATTAGTCTTTTCAACGAAAGAGAGTTTATTGTTATGATTTCACTCGAAAGAAATAGTAAAAAACGGATTCCCTTTGGCGACAGTTTCTCCGCTAGGTAACATATTTGAAAATGGGTAGTTCCTCGACTTCATTTTGCAGTCAACAATCAATATCTACATAAGTGACATATTCAAAGATGGTTAGTTTCTCGACTGTAAACCGCAGTCAACAATCGAATTACTCACTTAATAACTGGTAAAACAACACTTGATCTTTAGATGTTTTGATAAGTTATACCGGTACCGACCCAAATCCCACCGAAAGGTATATACAGTACCTTTAAAAATATAATTACTGTCAGAGCATAATTATAGCTCGAGATCACAAGCACGTCATTGTAACTTGAGTCTCTTTGTCTTACCATGATAGTAATCTATTCGGCTCTTGTCGTAAGCCTGGCTGTGCCAAACCTCAAAAGGCTCGTTAATGTTGCTTGTGGGAAGCGACAAGACACCCGTTGCATGATACTCCGCGGGAAAATGCAAACTTCGTAAATCAGGACCAGGTTTGCCCTCTTGTTCCGATTTGCTACCACCCTGCGTCTCTTTTTCGACAGGTGTACTCCCGATGCATTTCAAGTAACCAACGATCATGAAACAAACCCAAACCGCTCTTCCATAAGGCATATCCCACACGACGGCCTCTCCTCAACGTTATAATCAAGAGATCGACAGGTCCCACGATGGTCTCTTACAAAACCACCACCCAAGTAAACGTCGAGTATTAAAAGCACAGCTTACACGCTCCATCCAATCATGTCATACGGTATTTCGGAGACACCGTTCGAGCGCGGTATGGGGATGAACGTAAGTTATTTCCAGCCCGTTCGGGAAAAAAACGAGCATGTTTATACGTGATCAAGACTCTGTATTACATCATGGAAAAATAACGGCCCAGTGACTTGAACAGCAACTGTCAAACAATCCCATAAATGGTGAGGGTACCAGTCACCGAATGAATATAGTCTTTTTTAACGGTAGTAGCAGTGAATACTGTAAGATCCCGCAAATTAGGAAATATTTGTGAATTTTAAATTGTCCCAAAATTTTAATTAGTTAGATACCGCCATATTGGCAGGAAATTTAACTGCACAAATAAGAAAGCTGCCAAAAGACGAAGATTATGAATCGATAAATAAAAACAGCGGAGACCTGAGGTGGTCGAGTGAACGAAGGGTTAAATACGGAAATGACTAACCGCCAACCTTTTCTAGCTCAACAATCTAAATTGCTTTTATTAACTTGAAAAATAAGACATCTTTGGATTATCGACCAACCGAGACCAAACAATAAATTCTAACACCATTAGACCACTCAAAAGCTTAGAGTTCAACACAAAACTGATTTAAAACGATAGTTCGTTTTAATGGCTCAACTCAGCAAAAAATAGGCAAAAATAAAGCGTATGAAGCTAGGAACAAATTATAGCGATCAACAACAGACCTTGGGTATCGCGAAGCGATCGAATGTGACCGTCTGATTAGGATACCGTAACCATGGTTACGATCCTTATGCCTCAATGAATCTTAGCTCGTCGAAGGAAAAAGAACAGGACATTCGAAAATCTGTCAATTTCTTACAAAACAATCTTGTTGAAATAGATGAAATTCCCTTGGTGCAAGGTCCACACTCCCTTACAACTTACTCCAATTCATTTTCTCCAACCTTGCTGAAAAAAATCGTCAGAAGTTTTCCCAGTTTGCACTTAACGTGAATATCACAAGATAAAGTGACATTTGAACCCTATTTGAACCCTGTGATTGGTAAAGAAAACACGCTCTATCCTCTCAACCAATCAGATACAAAATTTAAACCAACCACAACTTGGTCACCCGCGTTTTCCCGCGCTTTAGGCAGTTGGCTTGTTTTTACTTTGAGTTCTCATTAGCTTTTAGAAGTATTTCCCTTCCTTCCAACTGGCTGTTGTGATAACTTGTGATAAAAAGCGCTCCAAGCACAACCGATTTTTACTCATGGGTTCATGGAAAAGTTGCCCAGTTTTCTCATTACGCACACTTTTAGAATTTATCAAAGGAGGAGTGCGCTTCAGAGACCATTTTCACTCAACGATTCTTTCAGAGACAAACGGGAATCCAGAGAATTCTCGTGATTCATTCTGTTGCTTATTTCATAAATTTTGTCCCAACTTTAAAGTTAGAAACAGTATAAGTCGTAGATAACGCTACTTAAGTAAGTATATATATATATATATTTATATAAGAAAAAGGAAATTAACGAGAAATTGGAAAATGTCTTTTAAGTAAGCCTGCACACAACGAAAATTTCCTCTTAACATTAAAATCGCCACTTACACATTGAACCAACCTCCCTTTTCAGTGCACTTTGACCTTTTACACCCTCGTATTACTATTCATATTCCCCACACTGTCCTCTTTACATTTCTTAAGGTGCTGACAAGGAGAATTTAACTGACAATCAGGAACCTCTGAAATTGGTGACCATTTCATATTTTCTCATGATCTTTGTATTTGATTCAAGCGTGATAACGTAAGGAGAAATCAGAAGCCAATCACTCACAGGGCTTACTATCGCCAAAAAGTAAACACGATAAGCTCAGAGGTGTTCTGTCGTTCATCTGCACAATCATGTATATTTTAATGTCTAAAACTTCAATCATTTTTGCTATTAACCTGTTAGATGGATTTGTAACACTCCTTGTTCAATTCAGTGATTCCTTCCTTCTTAAAAACTCAATATAACTTGCTAGCTCGGGGTATAACGCTACAATGACAGGAAAGTGACGGCATCCAGCTTATGGCTTGTGCTGATATGTTTGTTCCATTCATATTCCTAACACCAAGGTAATGAAGCTCTTATAATGCTTCTAGATAAGACATGATTTAATTTTTATCGATTAACAAACCTAACAACCTTTGTTTGCTGCCTGCTCTAACTCTAAACTGTTTTCTTCTATGACCTCAGAATTGCAAACTAAATCTACTCAACTTTGAAGCATAAAACATGAAACGTAAGTAACGTTTTTATGGTAATCTAAGAAATCGAGTGAGTTGGAGTTTAGAAATTATACACCATTTTCCGTTTTCTCTTTTTTTTATATATATATATATATATAAAATCAGCTGCACAGCATGTGTCGGATAAACGCCATTACTGGCAATTAGATTCAAGGTTACCCAGTTGCGTCTGTTTAGAGTGTAACTGACATTCGTAGTCTGTTTTCATTACTGGTACCAGCTGTTTTTGGTAAATGCTCTCAACAGGTTCATTTGACGATTCGTATCTAACGACAATTGCATTTTAAGCCGAGATAGCGAGAAAATCACCCAACATCCATTCTCACTGGCAGCTTTTTAACTGCTGTGTAGGATGACATCACTTCCACCTTCTATAACTTTGACGAAAGAGGTATATAAGTGAGATGTGTAACGGACACTTCATCGCTAATGCTGCAGTATTCTGGATTATATTCACAATCGTCTTATTTTGCAACCGAAACGAAGGACAGCACTACTTTTTCGAAGAAATCAATCAACTGAAAAGCAACTTTGACCCTGATCAGGAAGAAACCGACAAAGACCTCACGGGTGTTTTAGAACCTGTGATCACGTTCGAGAATGCAACTCTACTTAAAGATGACGATCAAGAAGAAAATAAATCATTGCTAGAAAAGATCACGTTTCCCGAGTTCTATCATTCCCAGGGAATCATTTCCCTGCCTTATGACGGGATCATTGAGCCGTTCGAAGCATGGTATGGTGGCCGACATAAAATGAGTCGCATCGACTACTACTACGGTAAGACAAATCAGTATCTTCTACATGACATGCCAACAGGTGATATATTGTCTTATCATTAGGACAGGTCGTATTTGTTCTTCAATATTGACAAAAGAAATATGAGACTAATATGCAGACGACATTTACATAGCACGCGAGCTCAACCCTGATTTCTGGATGTCACTGTTGATAGTAATGCATCAGGTTCCTCCCGATGTCATATTCCGTCCCAAGCGCAATATTTGTTGAGCAATTTAAGATAATATGACACGCCAGTTCTGCTGCAAGTTGTACAAAGTTCGACGCACTTTTGCTTCGTTGAGTCCTAACAAAACAAAAGTTGTGACTAAGCATCTCTATCCGCCATAACATTAGTAAGTAATGCACTGCAAGCCGGTCTAACAGAGTGTATTGACCCAGCACACACCGATGTATTAAACCTTTTTTCTGAGAGTTTAGCCAACCAGTTCTTGCCAACAACATGCGCCTTAAAAATCGAATAAAATCCTCATCGGTAATGTCTTTTCATTCCATAAAGAAAACACCGATTCAAGTTGTGTTTTTGGTTCGTCTCTTTCGCAGCCAGAATGCGTTGTGTCTTGTAGCCTATGTAACGGGCTACGAGAGAGACGTATTTTCAGTTGATGTTTTTGTTGTTATTTATGCACTTTTTGTTTATTTTTGGGATTACTCAGACAGTAATACGATACTCCATCTCCTCTTAAACCGTTCTTTCTTGTTCCTTTCTTCTCACTCCATGCTTAAGGGATGGACAAGACATTCCAGAGAGGGGACCTTATGCCGTATGGGGCCCTGGTTAAGTTGGTGCCAGCTCACTGGAAGAAAGGAGATGATCTCGATGAAAACACACAGAGCTGCTGGTACAGGCCCGGATTTCGATGGTCTCCAGAGAAGGGTCAAAGTGTTGTCCCGAAGAATTTGAAAAAATTCAAGGTAAATGTTGAAGCGTCCCGCATCCCAAATTTGAACCACAGACTGTTCTTTTGACCAATTTTCCAGACTAAAATCGAATGCCGCGTGTTTTACACATTTGGGATAACCAAGAAATCCTTGTCCATATGTCCCATTTATAGCTCAGTTTATATTCCTCCAAACTGGACTTAAAAATTATCTAAGAGTTCCTCTACATAAAAATTAAGCTTTGCCTTGGGAAAACAGTGCACTCCAAGTTATCGTACGTACGCTGTTATTTTTTCTTGACAAATGTAGGTCATATGCTTCATAGCACCTCTCCACCCTTCCCTCTATGCGACGTCTTTTAGTGTCTCTTTATCTAAGTTAGATAATCCCCAGTTATGTTTTTTAATGTTTACTTGATACCTCATAACGCCAGCTGTTCCATATAACTCTTCAAACATCTTTTAGGCAGGATTAGGGAAGTACGATCTGAAAAAAACAAAGTACCACGATGTTGCCGAGAAGATTTGCATATGCCGCACATAGGCAAATTTAAAGCAATTGGGCGAATAGGTCTTTAAAAAAAACTCCCATAGGACGTTAATCGTTCTGCTTTAAAACAATAAAATGACATATGCACCAGAAACCAAACTCTTCATTTCTTAGCTATTAAAAGTACCTATGAAATTATAACCTGTGACCACTGACGTCTGTGACACCTGTGACGCCTTTGAGGTAACAGACTCCAAATCAGAACACGGTTGCCCAAAAATTGTATCGAGAGAAAACTGAACGCACATAGAGAAACCGATAAGCAAAACAGTGACTGCTTGTAATCTGTGCGTATCGGTTCCGGCATCGGGGTTGAATTCTGGGACGCCATGTTTAATTGCCCAAGTTACGTCGTCCGTATTTGTTACATTTCAACAAAAAAATGGAGCTAGAAGTTAATTTTTTAAAGCACTTTTAATCGAGGAGAGGAGACAAAAATTATTTCCTCTGAAGCATACTTCTCCTATAAACAACAAGAAATAGTGAAGCATAATTCTTCACAGGCTTGATACTAAAGTTCCCGTCTAAAAATAGACAAGGACTGCCTCAGGAGTAGGACTTGGATGTAAGATCGAATTCCATACCTTTATCGTCTGTTGTTTCAGTACGTAGGCGAGGAAATCCACAGTGGAATGCCTGTTTATAAGCTACAACGCACTGCAACTGTGTACAAGAAGAACAACACTTACACACTGTACGTGACAAAAGCAAAACCCTACAGACCTGTGCGTTACGTTATGCACGGATATGACACTCTTCTGCACTCATTTTATGATCATTACGTCGTGGATTACCTCTCTTTCCATAAATGGGACTTTGACTTTAATATCATGAAAATCCCAAAAGGTGAGTACGATACACTGCGCATGACACATTTATTGGCTGGGCTACTTCCTATGACCTCATACTCGTCTATACTAACCTTTAACAGCCTATTATCAGTATGCATATTCTTCATACTATTCGCTTTACACTTCCAAAGGTGCTGAGGAGGAGGATTTGTTTAACAACCAAAAGCTTCCTAGATCGGCGGTCATTTCGTTCTTTCTGATGACCTAAATGAATGATTCAACAGTATTACTGTATGAAGAAAGTAAATGATGGTCACTCTTAGGGATTAAAGGGTTGAGAATTGCAAAGGCAGAAGCAAAGAAATCATAACAATCACTTGGATTAAATGTAAGACCTCTGAGGAGCTCATTAAAATTCAAAGTAATTCATTTAGCAAAATGGCTAAGACACGCACGATCAAACCGCATTTCACTTGAGTTCTAAATCTGATCGTTTGAGAGGATGGCCCCAGTATCGTAAACCAACAAAAAAATCACAATAAACCAAAACCAATGCCACCTATTGCTGTAATGACCCCACCAACCGTTCCAACCCAACTCATCAGGAGGACAATACAGCACAATTTTAAAAGATACATACCAAAGACATAGTTACCCAGTGTAGCAGATAATTTAATTATAAATGGCTCCACTGAATCTACATTAATCTTGCTTCGAATCCGTACCTTTCTCTTCAATATATGGCACACTTAAGGTCATACGTCTTCTGATCCTAAGGAAAATATTACACTGTAATGTAGTTGTAGAATACACGAATACGGGCAGATCTGATCGAGGTTTTTGCACGCGAACAGGACCTACGTGGTTGTCTCGATAAGGAAGATGAGCCTTTTTCCCGCCCTCTAAAAATCTTTCAGCCCACATCATACCTTTTGACACAGCGCCTCCTTCCGTCTATTTTTTGTTTACTTGTTAATATTCTTCCCCACAAAGGAGCCTCCTGCAAAAAGAAGATTCAAAAGATGAAATCAAGATACCACTTTAACCCCATGGCAGAGTTTATGCATGAAAACTTTGAAGATGGGGAGGTGGAACAAATGTTTGAAGAATTTAAGAGAACACACAAGAAATCCTACGACGATCCTACAGAACATGAACAGAGGAAACACATCTTTCGACATAACATGAGGTCAGTTTACAATTTTCTTTCACTCACCTGCACGTTACAAACGTAACAATCTGGTCAACTACAATCCAAAGTTGCGCGAGATACAAACGAAACAATCTGATCAACTATAATCTTAACATGCGCGAGATATAAACGCAACAAACTGATCAACCACAATCTACAGATTCAAGAGATAAACGTAACAGCCTGATCACTGACAATCAAAAGAAAGATGTGTGAGATACAAACGTCAGAGTCTAATCAACAACAATCTAAACGTGTACGAGGTAACAATTTGGTTATCTAAAGATGCGCGAGATACAAACGTAACAATCTGATCAACAAAAATTTACAGATACGCGAGATAAAAACGAAACAATCCTATCCTATCAACCTACACGAGATACAAACGGAACAGTCTGATCAACAAAAATCTACAGATACGCGAGATAAAAACGAAACAATCTTATCCTATCAACCTACACGAGATACAAACGGAACAATCTGATCAACAACAATCTAAACATGCGCGAGATAAAAACGTAACAATCAGTTAATCTAAGGATGCGCGAGATAAAAACGTTACAACGTGATTAATAATCATCTAAAGATGCACAAGATACAAACGTAACAATCTGATCAACAACAATCAAGAGATATGAGGGATACTAACGTAACAGGTTGATCAAAGACAATCTGATCAACAAAAATCAAAAGATGCGTGAGATACAAACGTCACAATGTGATCAACAACAATCCAAAAATGTGCAAGATACAAACGTAACAATCTGATTTAACAAAAATCCACAGATACGTGAGATAAAGACGAAACAATCTTATCCTCTCAACCTACACGAAATACAAACGGAATAATCTCATCAACAACAATCTAAAGATGCGCGAGATTCAAACGTAACAATCTGATTATCTAAGGATGCGCGAGAAAAAAGCGTTACAGTTTGATCAACAACCATCTAAAGATACACAAGATACAAACGTAACAATCTGATCAACAAAGATATGCGAGATACCAACGTAACAGGTTGATCAACTACAATCTCAAGATGCACAAGATGCTAACGTAACAATCTGATCAACAACGATCTAAATGCGCGCGAGATACAAACGTAACCTGATCAACTACAATCTTAAAGATGCACAAGATAATAACTCAACAATTTGATCAACTACAATAAAAATATGTAGGTAATACTAACGTAACAAGCTGATTAATGACAATCTAAAAATGCGCAAGATACAAACGTAACAATCTGATCAATAACAATCTAAACATGCGCGAGATACAAACGTAACAATCTGATCGTCTAAACATGCGCGAGATACAAACGTAACAATCTCATCAACAAAATTCTAAAAATGCACGAGATGCAAACGTAAAGCCGGCAACACACTTAACAGTCTGATCAAAAACGATCTTACGATGCACGAGATACTAAGGTAACAATCTTGCCAACTACAATCTTAAGATGCGCGAGATACAAACGTAACAGTTTGATCAACAACCATCTAAAGATGCGCGAGATCCTAAGGTAACAATCTCATCAACTACAATCTAGAGATTGATACGAAGACTGGAGATGCACCGGATGCTATTGCCGACAAGTTTGATTTAAGTTTATCATGCATGATTACTCCGTGATGTTTTTTTATTTCCATCGTTAAATTATCATAGATAGGTGAATATAAAAGTTTGGCAACATGTTTAACGTTTGTCTTGCGACACAGAGAAAGTGTGATCGTCCCAAGTGGACTAGTTTCAAACCGTACCATGCTCTACTAACTGAGCAAAAGAGACCATAAGCTGTTGGCCACAAGTTACATCTCGTGTGAGAAGCCTTTTGCACCAGATACTTTAACGCTTTGACTCCTTAAGAGTGATTAGCATCTAATTTCTCATTACATTATCATCCCTGAATCAAATATTTAGGTCACAAGAATAAGAGAAATGATCAGTAACTAAAGAAGCCCTTGATTGTTAAACAAATTCTCCTTGTCAGCACCTTATAGGTCTGCAGAGAACAGCGTGGAGAATATGCATTCTGGTGTTACGGTTAAAAGGCAGAATGTGGACATTTTTTTAACTAGGTTACTTTAATTTTTGTGTCCTGTGTTGAAATAAGGAAACAAAAACATGCCCTTTTCCTTTACTTTATATCTCAGGTTTATAAGCTCAAAGAACAGAGCCGCTTTGAACTTCACGTTGGCGCCGAATGAACTAAGCGACGTCACAGACGACGAATTTGAAATGTACAAAGGTCTGTTAATTGATCCTGGCGGGGGTGATGACGAGACACTAAAGAAACAGGAGATACCAGAGGCAAGATTTAACACTCCCGATACACCACTACCCAAGTGTCTCGACTGGCGTGAATACGGTATGTCTTTTTCGTTCAAACCCCGCCAATGTTTAGGTAGTGTAATTTTCAGTTAAATGTCAAAAGTAATGTGGTATATTGTATTGGTCTTGTATCACTGTAACTGATCTGTGATTGGTCATATTGAGTCAGTGAGAGATCAAAGTCAGTGGCTGCCTTAGAGGAAAGGTCTGCGAATTCTGTAAACTCTTCCCCACTATCCTCCCTATCAGACATACATGTGAGTTTTTCTTATTTCTTGTCAGACTCCAAATTATGACAATGAAAGGACTGTAAATTACAACCCGGAGTCCATTTAGGGCTCTCATCAACCTTAAGATATTTTTTCAGGTGCAGTGACCCCTGCCAAAGCACAAGGCCTGTGTGGTTCATGTTGGACTTTTTCTTCCACTGGACCAATAGAGGGAGCTTATGCAATCCAGGTGAATTTGTAACTTTCTATACACACAGATTAACACCACAACAATTAAAAATATACAACACAATTATGAGATTGAGATTATCATATCCTTATGTACTGGTAAGCAAGAAAGTCCACAAAAATATCAAAACAATTAAAAATATTCACCAAACTGGAGGTTAACGAAGGTTACCATGGATATTTACCAGCACGGTAAAATTAATGTCCACCACTTTCACTGACACTAAGCTGAATAATTGTTTTATTACGTTGTTACGGTATAATCTAACCGAAAGAGAAACACTACAATCTCACAAACTCAACTACTTTATTAAACAGTGAGTAATGTTCTTGACAAGGAGCAACTTTTAAAAGCAGTATAGTACTTATTGTTAATTTACTTAATTAAGCCCACCACAGTCTATATCATAGCTCACCACTGACATAATCTCATTGCTGTCTCCAAATAAGCAATCTTCCACTGACAGTAACTCTCTCTCGGTATAGCTTTCAAAACAATTGTCACTCCGACAACAACAACTACAACTACTACATAAGTGAATCTTTATGTATATTCAAAAAGTGTTCTGGAACATTCCGGAAGCTTACATGAGAACTATTTTCTTTAGTAGTTTTACATTATAAATGCATAACTTCATGAAATGTTCTGCAATGTTCTATGGTATGCAAGTCAGCATGACAAGGCAGTATGAAGATTTCTAAAAGCTTATATTTACAACAATTACTCATGACAACAAAAAAAATTGGACACTATATTTTATAACCTAATTGACTGAACTATCTAAAAACAACCTGTTGAATAGCTATTTCCTAACTAGGTCTCTTACGTAATCACTGAGTTTAATTTTATTTCATTTAAAACATTTTCAATTTCTTTTCAAATACATCAAGTCTGCAATGATTGTAATTAGAGGGCAAAGAGTGATTTTGACATTGCAAATACATGTGTCATTGATTATTTGGAATGTTATTTATAAGTGGTGTCACTCAGCTGCTAGATTTTGCACCACAAGATCAGTCTGCATGGCAGCCCTTCTCTTCAGCCTTTTCTCCTTTGCCTTTGCTCTGTAGCAAGGAAATAAAATATGCACAAATCACTTTGTGACATTAACTAATATTGTCAGTTTTTCCTCAAAATTCATTTTAAAAAATTGGTTTAATTTAACCAATCACTTTGAACCAGCACAGCATATACATATGTACTCTTATTGCTCCAAACCAATGGAGGAGCATGTGTAGTGCAGTACATGCATTTATTAATTAGAATTAAACCCCTCAAGAACCAGGGTACTGTCAGTTGTTAAGCAGATAGGCTTCATTGCCCTAAGTAAGAATTGCAGACTACATATAATTAGAGAGAGTCAGAGAGAGAGAAAGAAAGAGAAAGAGAGATGTAATATTGCAACACTTGACTTACCATCTTCCTGAATCAAATTATTCAGCTTGCTCCTCAAGGACTGCAATATTAAAGCCTTGTCTTTAGGTGCCTTTTTTTTGGGCTGATCACCTGTGGACCCTGACTCCTTCAGTTTTACTTGCAGCAGCTTTGTGACCACAGCAAGTTCTAAATTAAATTCCATATGTCAAGTGTGAAAACATGTACAATCACGACAACTAAAAGGTCCAAGGAAAATTAGGAATAGAGCTCACTAAGTACATACAGTTCTTTTATCAGTGCAGTGATAAAATTATCCTAAACATAACTAACTTGACCAAGTTCCCAGTTTAAATCACCAGACCTGACCCTTCTTAAATGGTACTGGCAGCTAGTATATTCACTGATGCAACATCACTGATTTGCTGGTATTCAATTGGAAAACATCCTAGTAATTATTCAACTGTGGCTCCCTCATTAAAAGGGATACTAACTGATAAAGGCTTCCTTTAATAATTGCAATAATTATCTGGAGGTTTTAATGGCTTATTATAAATATCATTTTTAGTAGAACAAATATATATATATATATATATATATATTAAATACCAACCTGTAATAGCATGCACAATATCTTGGTCTAGTTTATGGAACCTTTTGCCCTCTAGCTCCTCTGTCTTGTATAAAAACATGAGTACCATCCTTGCAAAGGCTGTTTTTGCTTTGGCATCTTTTTGTGCTGCACGCACCCTGATAGGATTGATTCACACTCCATTGCCTATTTCTTCCCATTGTGAATGAAAAAATAATTCTTACATATTTAATACGACTACAGGATACAAATGAAGAATAAAAATCTGATAAAAAACACCACATATGCACATTGACTAAGTATTACAATTAAAAAAGCAACATTGGAGCAGGCCAAAGGGGAGGGTGTTTCCTTATTTGCCTTTAGTTTTGTCAGTTGCCATTATTTGCCCTTTACACCTTAATTTCATTATGCATATTCTCCATACTGTTCTTTATACATTTCCTAAGATGCTGACAAGGAGAATTTGTTTACTGATCAAAAGCTTCTTTTGTTGGTAATCATTTTCTTCATTTTGTGACCTTAATGTGTGATTCAGGGGTGATATTGAAAGGAGAAATTAGATCTTAGTCACTCTTAGAGTTAAAAGGGTTAATGGCTGTAAGTTAGAGGCATATCTTTATAAATTGTTTAACTTCCTGTTAAGTGCCTCCTGTCTGGGTACTTTCCCATACCTAAGGATATCCTTATCCTGATTATACACCTCTCCTGGATTTGGAGTTAATTCTTTTGCCATTGTCAAATTAAAAAAAAACATATTACACAAAGTTAATATTAGAGATTTTCTTAGAATCAGGTGTCATCTTAACAGAAAATAATATCTGTCAATTAATAGGACTCTTGATTTATTTTGATGCATCAATGTCCCAACACATCAGTAGATAAAGATATACTTGGATATAGTGCTAATGCAGATCTTCACAACTGCTCTTCCTGAACACTTTTTTTTTTAAATGCTTGTAAGCCCTGGATATAAGTTCTCCTATTGTTAAACCTATACTCAAACCTGTCACGGATTTGTATACATGAAAGGCTTATAAGCAAGATTTTATGGTATATTATATATAATTATATATCTGTTAGTTCAACTAACCAGCATCTGCATATTCTGCTGATATTTCCTTGAGGGGCTCTACTTCATCCCTTAGTCTTTGCTTTTCCTCTCTGTAGAGCATGTTGTGACAGCGACTACCACACAGAAATAAGAAAATAGTTTATTTCTGTCAATTCAGATTGTCAGAAATTAAAACGTTGATGCATGATTTTGTCTTTTCGCCTGCTCGGGAGTGAATAGTACTTGCGAATCACCTCCGAACCAACCAATTAGAGTGCATGAAAAGCACTATTCCCCTGTGTGGTGTATATCAATATGACGTACTCTAAAAAAACGGATACTATTTAAGACCAATCAAAGAAATTACAATGGTACTTCTAAAGGTACATTCACCTCTTTGGGTACTCCACAACATAAGCACAGTCAACTCTTACCATCATAACTACCACTAATTTTTCTGAAGGAGCAGGAACAGTGTCTTGAAGCATTCAATTTAGCAAAGTTGTAATGTAGAAATGAAAAATAACAAAAACGATGCACATACCTTACTCTCTTCCTAGCCTGGGTTCGTCTTGTTTAGCGAGTGTAACCTGGGGAGAGCTTGGTGACCGAAAGAAACCAAAACGAGGCTATTAATAGTGGGGACCTTAATTATATAATTACATACGTCGTGAAAATGTCGATACGATCCTCAAGGCACGTTTTAAGTCTTGTAGCTAAGAAAAAAATTCTTGTTACCGATAGACCGGAAAACTTATGGACGTGTCAGAACAGCAGCTGATGGACTGTAGCTGGGGGTTTGGTAACAGTGGCTGTCGAGGAGGTTACTCATGGAAAGCTCTCGTCTGGGCCAAGAGGCACGGGGTTGCCTCTAGTAGCAGCTATGGCAGGTACCTTGCTCAGGTCAGTATACTGATTTTTTATGCTTTGAATCCAGAAAACTCACCTGGAAGAGACGACAAGTTAAACTAGAAACCATGACGCTCTTTTAACACCCACATGTTATCTAAAGAGACTATTGCGGTTATATGTTACATTAAGGTAAGGGCGAGCACGCCTTTTACTTAAGGACAGGTGAAATTTTTGTATAATCAGAAGAAGTACTTGCCTGATTAATTATGATTTATTAATTGAATACTGACATTATGACATTCTAAGCTATTCTGTTCCTCCCCGACCTACCGATAATGATGGCAAATGCTACGAGGCCTAACTAAAAGCATATTAGAAAAATTTCCAACTGAACTAATCTGGGATTACATTGGTTTTGCTTTACTTCAATTTTTGATATGATTAGAAAACTCACGCCATCCTCTCAATCAATCAAATCCAAAACTAAAACCAATCACGAGTTGGTCGCCTGCGTCTTCCCGCGCTTTAGTTAGTTGGTTGTTTTTACTCTAATCGGCCGTTGTTATTACTTTGGTTTTGGTTTTATGACACTCAATCGAAGGTCGCCCTATCTGTTTATAGTCTGACAATATGCCTCCATGTTATACACACAGGAGGGATTCTGCCATTGTGCCAAAGAAGACGGTTGTGATGTGGTGAAATTCAAGCGAGTGGTGACTGTGAAGAAAAAAGACGCAGAGGCGTTGAAACATGGCCTAGCCAAGTTTGGTCCGGCGTCCATCGCTATCAGCGCCAGTCGAAAAACTTTGAAGTTTTACAACTCTGGCATTTATGATGATGAGGATTGCAGTGAGTAACACTCAGCTAGTATATACACTAATTTTCAAAATAATCAGCTCTCCTGGAGAGGTTTTCTAATAGTTGTTATCGTCGTTAATCTTTAGTACGCAAGAGCATATTATTTCAAACGGGATGCTGGGATTTTAGAAAAACCTAAATGACCCTATAAGAACTATTTTCTCCACAAGCGGTATCTTGTACCTATGGAAAAGAAGAACGGCTCGTAACAGATCCCAAGGATTTAATTCTTTTTTTTTAATTTGAGTCGACCTCCTCAAACCGTTTTTTATCAAGAGGAATGTGAGGGAAGGTTATTACGACTGAAAAAATCGAACAAACTGTTTGATAATGGATGGTACACAAGAGCTTAGGGTCGAGAGGGGGGAGTTTTAGGTGCACATGATCTCCTTTTTTAAATTTTCAAGGAAAAGGAATGATTTCAAAAGATAAAAGCGACCCCTCTCCTCCCTTCCATATACAAACAAGGCACTACTATGGAACCTCCCTACTAGACAAGTATTGATACTTTTGAAGCTCACCTGTTATCGATAATGATTTTTTTTCCAAACTTTGGTTTTCTTTTTCTCTAAGGCACTCAAACAAATCATGGTGTTGTAGTAGTTGGTTACGGTGAAGAAAATGGTACCTCTTACTGGATAGTGAAGAATTCGTGGGGAAAATTTTGGGGCGAAGAGGGATTTGTTAAGATTGCTATGAAAGACAATTTATGCGGTGTCCTTACCAACGAGCCTATATTTGTAACCATGAACGAAACCCTTGATGACGCGGGTGAATCTTATCCATTCATGAGGATGAAAAAACAGAGTTTTGTGGATGTGGAAAAAAAACTCAACGTAACTGCTTTAAAACTTTCGCCATTTGATTACAAGAGATCAAGAACACGATTTGAGGAACTTGCTAAGGAGCCAGATAAAAGGACGTTCTCTTAAATTGACGATGAATGTTTTTAAAACCGGCCACAGGCGATCATGAGATTATTAACTGTTTATAATCTCTTGAGCCGATTTAGTTAATTTTTCAATTCATTATTCTTATTGGTCACTGTTTGGGGAACTGGAAGAAATACGAGGTAGCATGTTTTTGAGGTTTCGTCCCATTGCAAGTTCGCCACCTACTACCTTTACAACTTCGCCCCAACCTTTACCAGTTCGCCTTTTCTGTCGAAACCAAAGGTGAGGGTTGGGGCGAACTTGTTTTCCTTGGGTGTGTGTTCTTTGCTTTCATCAACGCCTTTTTTGGGCCAAACGAGAGAATTGCATTCATCAATATAACGAGGCTAACTGTTTCTTTGTAAACCAAACCTAATAAATTTTATTTTTGCATATTTACAGTAACATGACTTTGTGAAAGTTAGAAAAAAAAACTGTAGGACAGCCTAAGGAAAAACTAACCGAACCTAAGTTATTTCTAAGAATTTCTTCGCTAATCAGAACAAACAGCCGGTACTTAGCGCTGACTCGGCAGAACCACAGGGGAGGTATGACGACATCGAGACGCTTTTCGTCATCCTTGCATCCCTGAGAAGGGTCGTCAACTATTTTTCTAGAGGGAAACCGTATGCTACAGCTTAGATCGTTCTATCCTCACGATGCCAAACTTGATTTTTAAAGGCTTGATCAATTCCTCGTATCTACCAGTTGGTTGTGGATAAAAAGTACTTTAATACTCTGGGTCTCCACACTTTGATGTAAGACTTTCCATGTTGCTTAGAATGGAATAATGCTCAATTCCTCTTCGGAATAGAACGTTATGCTCTGTCTAGGAACCTTGTTTAGTGTTTTCAGCGGAAACTCGGCGATCGACGAATCTTTTTTGATGGCCAACAAAGGTCCATTCGTCAATCCACATCTGTCATGATTCATGGCAATCTTGATGTAACCGTCATCACCCCAGAGGTGTCCCCAAGAATTTTTAATGATCCAATACGGAACGTTGTCATCGGCACCATAGCCCACTGTTAATACAGCATGATTCGTCTTCTTTCCTATCGAAAAAAGAGGAATATGTAAGAAAACCTTTGATGCGTTCATTACACTTCCCTTCCGACACTTAGGTTTCGAGAAATGATTATCGATTCTGAAAGAGCAGTTTGAATTAATAAGATTTTGTGACACGGGCAGCGTTGACCAAATACTAAACAAACAAGTGGGTGCGGGCGGGAAACAAGCACCGCAAGGGATTAGGGGAGCATGACCTCTGGGAACAAGATTGGAACATCGGTGTAACCATCGAGTGCCAATCATGTGCAAAACTGATCTGATTAGACAGATCCTTTTGACGCCAAATCTGCTCAGAATGATATAATTTTCAATGAAATCAATTTCCTCTAAGGAAAATATTACTAGGTCCTCTAAACAGTATTTCGAGCAGCATGTGACCTTTTGAAAGATGTGACCCTGTTCAATCCTTTTCGCTTTTAAAATTAGCTTCCTGCGAAAGGAACTGCAACCGACGCGCAACGATTTTTCATGATGTTATTCATGAGATACCTCGCAAAATAACGTCCGGGTTTCTCAACCATTAGTTTGATGAAATACAATTGAAATCAATACAATTCCGCTTATCTTATTCATTTGTAAGAGATCTAATTTATATCATCATCAAATTCAAGCTGAGATAGCAGTTGCCATAGAATCGTTGCATAAAAAACGAAAAGATCATGTCAGTTGGAAGCTACAACAGTTGGATTTTATAACTCACCACATTTTGGATCATCGTAAATTCCGTGGCTGTAAAACCTAAAAGTCTTTTGGTCCGAGTTCATCGAGGACACAATGGGACCATGAGTGACCAAGGCGACCTTCAGAGCGTCAGAATTGTTTTTCTTTACTTTAGAAAACCCGCTGATGTGAGTGAAGGTACAGTTATCTGATTTACCGCAATGACAGAAGCCTTCCTGCGAGGAATGTAAAAACTAATAAGGGGATAGAACTGAGAAGACTGCACCCGATTCAAATGTTCTCCCCGATCGAATACCGCTTCTTCAGGCAATAAGGGACTAGAGGTATTGCTAAACTTAAACAGGATCCTTACCCCGCGCAAGTTTCCGCGCAGTTTGATCGGGCTCGCACATCAGTTCGCTGTTATACTCAAGGGGAGAGAGAGGAAACGGTAAGAGTAACGTGTCGTACACATGAAAACTCAATGACCCAGTCTTAATTCGAACTGGAACTCAATGCAGAATCAAGCCTTTCCGTCTCATTTTATCCAAAACGAGAGAAACTTAAAATCAAGGTTTCGCTTATGCTGAAAGCCAGCTCACCTGTGCAAGGTAAGGACCATAATCTCTCCTGGAAGCCACTCCATTACGTTTCACCCATCTCAGAGTCCTGTCCTGGAATCCTCCACGACATCCGTGATTCCCTGCGGGCCACGAGCAGTCAATCAACTGCTGGTTTGAGAGTTCTAGGAGCTCTCCAGTCTGGTCAAAGAAGAAGAGAAAAGAAACTGAAATGAAACAAAACCATCATATGTATATGACACAGTTTCAGCAGTTTTAACAACCGTGCATGGTTGAAGTTGTACTTGACAATCGTTAAACGCGGTAAGTTACACGTTGAATGTGTCAGTCGTCTGCTCAACTAATTTTGCGCTAAGCTTGTGTCGGGGTAAAATTGTTCGCTTAGTCTTTTAGCAATAAAACTGCTACCTTGTGGTTAAAGAGCGACTGAATGGATACTCTTAGCAGCCAATCAAGATAATCAAGGCAACGACAGATATTGGGAAAGGACTCGGACACCACACAATCAGCAAGTTGAGAAGAGTCAGAGCATTTCCAGATTGCTTCCAGAACTCAATTGAAAATCGTTTGATGAATTCTCATATCTACAAAGCAAAAATTGCATTTAAAAAATGGAACACTGGAAGGATCGTCATGTACTACCTTCAAAAAATGAGCTCCTTCCACTGCTCCAAGAGCAGAAAATGTCCAGCATGATCCACACAAACCTTGACTATGAACACGAGTCACAGCACCTGATGTACAAAGAACGGAGAGAAAAGTAAGAAATATCCATATGCATCGCCTGAAGTCCCCCCCCTCCTCCCACCTCTTACAGCACTAGTCTGAACATTACCTCCCCTCCTCAACCCCTTAAACAATCCGAAAAGGTAACAGATGATTAGAAATAATTTACCCGTGGCATAGCTATATGAATGTCAACAAGTTTGGCCTCATCAAGCTAAGTAGCCGCATAGTACACTCTTCGAGCGCATTCCATTAAACCAAACATAAGGCAATCACAAGGGCCAGTCAGAGCAAAGTTACGTATCACAAAGGAGCAATGGGAGTCCAAGAGTAAACATAAGTTTGCGGCCTCAGACAATTGGCTGAGTCGTTTAGTCTTAGCTTGCATCTGATAGTTGAGAGGGTATCGAAAGTTTTCCAGACCGATTAACAGAAAGGGGAAAATCAAACCCAATGCAATCTGATGCAATTCCGTATTGACTGCGACACTAAATTGATAACTGCTCAATGTCGGAGGGAGTAAAACACGTAAAGAGATAAATCTAAAGTGAATCACTCTTTACACCCTGACATCACCATCTCTATTCTCCATACCGTTCCATACACATTACTTAAGGAGCTCCCTAGGAGAATTTGTTCAATAATCAAGAGCTTCTTTAGTTGGTGATCATTTCCTTTCTTCCTGTGACCTTAATGTGTGATTCAGGGGTGATATTGTGAGGAGAAACTAGATGCTGGTCACTCTAAGTGGTCAAACGGTTAACTTCAGTACCGTAATCTCTCCAGTCCAGTTGATGTGGAATGAGGTCTGTATGTACTACAGACTCGTTAAACGCCAGCGTATTAGACTTGGATTTCTTGAGTTTCTTTTCGTGAAGTAATCCTTTGTGTAAATTCACTTCCTGTTCTGTCATGTCAGCCATGTGATTTGGAGCTAATTTGTACTTCAGGTTCTCACGATTCTTCGAGCGAATGTATCTACAAAGAAAACCCTCACCATCGTCATCACTTCGACTTTACGATTATTACTAAAAATTCTGTATCCTTCCCCTTCACAGATGCTCTTGTATTCCCCTGCACACGGTTCTGTCCTGTTGTCTCAAAAGCGCGTGCACGGACTATCGTTTGAGTAAGGGAAATGAAGAACCTTAGCACAGACGTTTCTGAGAGGCGAATGGCGACGGAAGTTAAGAGTTTGTCACCACAGCGCTTAGTACAACTCTTAAGTTTGTAGTGATTGGTTTGGTTTTCCTCACGTAAAAGCCTGCGTGGTAGGCGCAAACAGTGGTAAAGAGGAGGGGTAGGAAGGTACGAGAGGAACGCGCGAGAGGAGGGAACGCTTTTTCCTATGCTTCCGACATGGATAATTTGTTTAACAACCAAGAGCTTTTTTCGTCGGTTACACTTCCTTTATTCTCGCGACCTTAACCTTTTGACCCTGAGGGATCAAAAGGTTGAGGATCTATTATACTTTTTGTAGCTAATACGCAAGACATCCAAATACTTTTACAAGAAAATTTGTGATGAGACACAAAGCTAGCAGCGTGCAAAGTACGCCGAAGGATCTACCAACACGATTGGCATGCATAATTATAATGTAAGTACCTGAGATTGTGTTTGAAGATATGTTTTCGTCGCTCGTGTTCCGGTGCAGTTGTGTAATGCTTGCCATGTGTTGCCTTGTAGTCATCGTAAGTCTTGTCGAGCTCGTAATCTTTGTGATGTTTGAAGTGCATGTATTCCGCCATAGGATTCGCTAAATAGTGCGAACGTAATTTCTTCGCTTTCTTGTCGCAGCTCGAGTCTTTCAAAAAAAAAATGCAAATTTTATTGGAGGCATGTTATGCATTCAGGACTTATAAACTAACTTTGTTTTAAAGACTAACATTGCGCAATCACTGATCTAGTGAGGCGATGAGTTGACGTTTCAGGATATGTGTGGCACCTATAACTACTGCCGGATGTGAGAGTCCGCAGTCGCAGAGGGAAGAATAGGTCCGAACATTTGCCCCCGAGCGCTACTATGTTGTAATTTTGTTTCCGTTTGAGCAGGATACTGCTGCTCTCACAGTGTCAATTTCTATCCACAAATAGAGTTTTATACGAAAAGCAGCCGAGATTCATGCCTTACAAAACACCAACATAATCATTCCATTTGGTGAGGAATGTATCCCATCCCGAAGTCTTCTGCTTTCACTAAACTAGCTCTCCACTTTGTTTACAAACTTCTCGCTACCGCTCACCACCTCCCCCCCCCAAGAAAAACTGCGACTCAGTTACCAGTGATTCCCCCCCTCCCACCTTACTTGAAACCTAGCACGTGTGCTTGTTCGAAGTGAACCTCAGTAACTCACTGTGTTACTTATGCGTTTTGTGATAAGCCATCGTAAATGCTTCTGGTTAGGTTAAGAAACAGGCAATTTAAAACTGCTCTACCCAATAATCTCTAAAACAACACTTACTTTTCGGCAAACTTAACAAGGATCTGTTAAAGCTCCAAGGCTCGAATGATATATAGTCCAACACGTAGTGATCGTAATGAGACGTCAGCATGTCGTCATAGCCCACCATCTCGTATCGCAGAGGTCTGTGGGGTGTGTTTTTGGTTACGTAAAAGCTGTATACATTGCTTTTATTGTAACGTTTGTATTTTCTCTCGTATTTAAAACATGGCATTCCTCGATGCGTTTCCTCGGAAACAAACTGAAAAAGGAACTTAGAGTTAATTGTCGGGCATACCACTGTATGTAACTTGTTGTCTTCTTTCTTCTCTGCCTATTCTTTTGAAAGTTTCAATAAGGTCGAGGTTTTTCATCGCATAAAAAAAAATTATTGAATATTGTTGGGAATTGAAATATTCATTAATAAACTCGTCAGTGCGACCAGCTTGTTGGCAAAAGGACATTTGAAGTTTTGGCAAAATTAAGATGAAAACATTACGTGATCAACAATTGAAATTGTTACGAAGGGAAGTCATAAATAGGTGTAAGGATAATGTTCGACAGAAGCAAACCCGTAGAATAACATTATTAGTCTGGGATTCAACCCCTTTGACCCCCTTGAAGTGATAAGCGTCCGATTTTCCCCCGTAATATCACCCCTGAATCGCACATCAAGGTCATGAGAATAAAGGAAATGATCACCGATTACAGAAGCTCATGATTGTCAAATAAATGCTCCTTATTAACATCTTAGGTAATGCAGAACAGTGTGGAGACTATGCAGACTGATGTTAGGTTACAAAAGGGTTAAAGCCGATGTAGAAGCAATGCACGACGACTTTGCAGCAAGTCGTGTAATGCGCGACAAATTAAATTTATTCAATGATGTACAAATATACTCAGCGCAAGCACAAAATGATGATTCATCGTAACCCATTGTGGTACAAGAGAAAACCCTACCATCACCCCTCCTCCAACAACCCTGGGATCCCATTTCCCGTACACAGACTTCCTACACACAAGTGATTGTCATCTTGGTTCAAGATTAAGCGTTGCATTCTCCTCCAACCAACACCTCTAGCAAGGTGAGCTTAATAGAAATACTTGAAAGAGGTGTACAACACAGTCGACAGCAAGCATACTTATCCGTTCGAACCTTAAACTCCGACAGATTTGTAGGTATAACGCTCTGTCCTGCACGCGGAAGCCATTTTGGAACTGGTTTGTACCAGCAGCTCATGAAGTCCTTGTTGGAAGGCTTCATCTCGGAGTGCATGGGTACGATCTTAAACAAGATGCCATGCTTACCGAGGTCTCCGCGTTGAATTGTTTTGTCCATACCTAAGGTAGTAAAAAAAATTTAGAAAGAAACATGAAATACTAGATTTAGATATTGGTTTGCGATTATACGAGGTCGGATATATCCAGGATTCTATCGAGACAACATAAAGTCTTCTGTTCCTTTTTTTCCAACTCTTTGTAACTAATTCATCGTTTCACCAAATCTGTTTTCTTTTCCCCCATTCATTTGTTAAGCAAATTCTCCTTGGAGACCTCAGGAATGTATGGTGGTATGGGGAATATGCATACTGATGCTAGAGTGTAAATTATAAAGGGTTGTTGATAATAGAATAAATCTTAATAAAATACTAATACTAATAGAGAGCATCAATACTGCAGATTACCCGCAAAACAAGCAAATGTATAACCAAAATATAAACATAAGAAAGAAAAAACAAACTTAATTTTTAGGTTGTAATTGTTGGGTTACAATTCAACGGTTCATTGAACATTTTTCAATCATTTGCAAATACGTACCATAATAATAGTCAATTCTACTCATATTCCTGTCCCCAGCAAACCACGCCTCAAAAGGCTCCACGATATCATCGAATGGAAGAGTGAGGAGTCCTGTGGCATGATAGTGACGAGGAAAATACTCGTCATAAAGTTCATCATAGTCCCCGACGATGTCGTGCTTGACGAGAGTAAGATTGGTGTCCTGTGACATCTTGTGTACCTCCAAGAGCACTCCTACAAGTCCGGCTAAAACCATTAAAACCGATGCCACAATGAGTATTCGTTTTCCCATTGCTGTGATATTGTTTTCTTTTTTGTTTTTCATCGTTTCGTGTTCACGAACGCAACATCTGAAAATGTTTTGCTTTTGTACATACACCTGTCTGCCAATTTAGCACCTAATCATTCTCCGCTCGATTCAATTCAACCGGTCCACCTTCTGTCATAGGTATTCACTTTCCAAGACAACAATACTCCTTTGAAATCTCTCAGCAACAACACTCTTCTTAGTTTTGCCTCACGAAAGCACAGCGGTTCACTTTACTCGACGACGCTTGTAATACTCCTTCCTTTCTGCCAACTGTTGGCAACAGTCATTCATCTCTCATTCTATCTCTTCATTTCATAAAAATCAACGACCATTTTCTCCTAAATTCAACCAACGTAAAAAACGAACATCGTCGATCGCGAAGAAGCAACCAGTGCCAAAGACTTCCTGAAATAAAATATTAACTACTTTCCAAAAAGCAGGAAACTCATTTGTCAAAAACACAACAGTGTCGTGTATTGTACCTGCTTGAAGTGTTATTAGTTTTATTTGACACTGTAGACACTTTTCACGTAAACTTCGCCATGTCCCGTTTAAGAAACATCTTCTGGTACCTGCAGTATTGTGAAATCTTCTCCTACAGTCAAGTCCAATAACAAGTGTTTATTCGCACGCCTCAGTAGTCCAGCCGGAACACGCCTATTTAAGATCTCGTGAACACCCACCCGCTCAACCTCTGGTTTTTGTTTAGCTTAACCTTTTCGATGTAACTCAACCACCCTCTCTTGAAAAATAAGCGCTAAAATTCCAAGTCAATCTGATATCTGTACTGTGAATCAACGGTAAACATTCGGGTTATAAGACCGCCCCAACCTTCGACCCCTCTCCCATAAGTGCTCTCCGTTCAGGCCCATCTAGAGGGAAAAAAAGCTGAAAAACTGTTTGTTCAGTTTTAACTACGCCTTCCCCTCCGCCCACAATCTAGTGAGCCCCACCAGTTAAAGGCCCATCTACATGTTAACACCAGTCAAAAGGGATCGTCTTTGAAGATAACTGAGATCAGAAGCCCATTTTTTCTCAAAGTCAAATTCAGAGACCTAAAAGGACATACAGCGAAAGAATACCGTGTATACAGAATACTGTCGCTGCTCCAGAACTATGGAACGATTCCCTTTTAATTTATGATTATACTCTCAGCCTGTATTTCTTCTTTTAAATCTAAAATTAGAACTGATCCTTTTAAATCTGCTTTTAATCTTAGTAACATATTCTACTCACGTTTTAGCTTTAACAGCGGCCACACCAGAGCTATTAGAATAACTTACCAATAAATAACTAAATGCATATTAATTTAATTGACTACTATGCCAAGGGAGCTTTTCAGGGCCAATAGAAAGACATCATGAGCAAAATATTATAATTAAACTCAAAGCTATTTCCAGAGTTAGCATAGCCAGAGGGTTCAAACTCAAGACAACTAAGAACAGATCCAGGGAGTAGCATGTTGGAGATTTTGACACAGGACCAACAGATTACATGTCCAGTGTCCTATACACTCAACAACAACACTGCCTCATGTTTTCAAATTGATTTGCCTAACTTTGATGTACCCATTAGGAAAAAGAGGAATCAAACCCATGGCCTTTAAATAAGTACTCCTCATCCTCTATCACAAGACCCTACAACATCCAGTTATTCCTGGTCAAAGGTGGCATTGGTGGAGACATCTGACTATCTGGTAAGAAGCAGCCTGCTGTATTCACTGTGTTCTTTCATAAAATCCAAATGAATAGCAATCTACATGACCATCTACAAATGTAACCACAGTGTATGGTAATTTATTAATTAAATTTTCACATTTTCCGGTAAAATAATTTAAATATATATGTTAACTTTATGTAACTTTGAGCAAGAAACCCAACTATAAATTATATTGCTCAACAGATAAATTCACAGACCTCTGTGTGATGAAAAAGTTCTAAACAACAATAAAACCTCAGTATATCTCTAAGAAACGCCACTGGCCATTACCCAAAATATGTGAGAGGTAATTAGCAACTACTGTTTGCAAAAATATAATATTTCCATAAATTGTCCAAAATAATGTGAAGAGTTTTATGTAAGTTTAAGACTCATATTTTCTACAATCTGACAATTTGCAAGGCTGTAAATTACTAATTTTTTAAAAAGAATTTCTGATTGTGAATCGAGGATTCACAATAGCAAGTCTACCATGTATATCTACCATGATAAAAGGGAACCCATTTAAAACTAATGACAATTATACATTTGTCATTGCCTGTGTAGCAGGTGCTTGGCAAGAAGACAAACAACATGTGTGAGAGATCGCCATGAAAAAGGCCCATGAAAAGTGCCAACAGCATTCATACTATATCAAACCAGGCATCTTTACACCAGGTTAATTTTGTCATTAAGCAATTTCTATAATTATACTTATATTTTTAACTACTTTATTGTTTAATTTCATTGTGTGTTGACTTTTCTTCATGGTCTTCTTTGCTGTTGTAAAAGAGTAATGGAAACATCCCTACAAAACATCCTACAACAATACCCAAGGCTCTTCCCTGAGAAAGAAAAGAACTCAATTAGAGAACGAGGACAGAGAAATATTCCAATGTTTCACAGTTATATCACAGTCTGCATTAATTACTTCCTTTGGAAAGCAAACAGTTTCCAATCCACAACGAAAAAATCACCTAACACAGTTCAACTTTTTAATTATCACTAATGACAGATTTCCCTTTCTATCTTCCTTTCTTAATTTATTTTATTTTATAGTCTGCAATTAAACCTTCTCTACCAATCTGTCCATAAGTTTTTTTCTATCTATCTGTTTAACTGTCTGTTAAACTGTTGGCTATCATCTGTCTGTCAGTCTGTGTCTGTCTGTCAGTCCATCTATCACTCTTTCTGAACATCATGATTGTGACTACCATCCCATCTGTCTATCGGGCAGTCTTTCTTTCTGTCAGTCCATCTTTTCCTGACTATCATTTTGGCTGTCAGCTCATCTGTTTGTCTTTCTGTATGTCTGTCTGTCTTTCTGTCGGTCCATCTGTCTGTCTTTCTGTCTGTCTTACACCCTCTTTAACTGTCGACCAGCTGACGTCTGTCAGTCTGTCTCCTAATCTGTTTTTTTTTAACAGAAATAGTGGAAACGTAACACCTAAAACAAGGTTTCCAGCATTCGTTTTTTTCCCAATAAATTTTATGCAACCCTCACCAAGTTTGTTACAAATCTTGTCCTTGGCATCTCTGTTTGTTTTGAACTAAGGTTAGGGCTCTCAAAGCCAAGTCTGTTTGTCGCTGCCTCAACATAGTGAGCTAAGCTGCATCAAGTATAACAAATAGAGAGTCATAACTGAATACAACGAGAAAGAACAAACTCACAGAATCAAAACAAAATTGAAAATAAATTTTTTCTTCCCAAATTAAATGCAATTACCCTATTCCAGAGACATCAGACACAATATTACCAAGGGCTGCCGCTGAAATTCAAAATCAAAATTTGGATATTTCTCATTACCAAGTACACCAAAACCCCACACATTATCCCTTTAACTCCCATGAGTGACCAAGACAGAATTTCTCCTTACAATATCAATACAATATCAACCAGATGAGTGATGAGAATGAAGAAAAATATCAATTTGGGGATTATTGGTTGATCCAATTCCAAATTCTCTAAACTAAGCTTGTATAAATTGTATGGCAGACAGTAAGGAGAATTACTAATGAAATCGTGGGAGTTAAAGGGTTATACTTATTACAAGATAACCACTAACAAAGTCAAAAAGAAAATAAGGAATGAAACACTATCGTGCACTAGCAAAGAGGCCTAAGCACTTCTACTACTGGGTAATTACTTAAACTCAAACAGAACAACTTGCTTTTGCCATGAAAAGCACTGGCTCCTCACTAGACCTTACATTGCTCATTTCTATTTGGTAAAATTTTGCTGAGATATGCATGCACACATTTAAACATCTTTATTTTATTCAGCAACATATAAAACAAAATTACAAGTTCAAATCAAACCTGCCATTGTTGAAATCCCTAAGGTCAGTCCAATTGTTACATCTATGTATTCTCCCTTAAAAATAGATAAAAGATGGTAACATTATTAGGTAATTGTGAGAAACAGTTCCCTCTCTTGTTAGAAAGGAAATTTTTGCAACTCCCAATACATAACAATCCATATATACTTCAGCCCAAGATCTCACATCCATAAGAGCCAAAATGTGTTATGTCCCATTAAAAGCAGACAAACACAATTACATGTTAGTGGACACAAACTTAAAGTCCTGATTTTTCATTCCCAAAATCATTGTAAAGCAACCCTGTGTCAGTAAGAACTTCTATTAGATGGATGCAAACACTGTAGTTGAGTCCATTAGTGACATTAACAAAGGTCCTCAGAGTCTCCTCTTGATGCAAGCTCCATTATCTTTGGTTCTTTTGAGAGGGTAGCAAAGGATTTAATATACGAGATGTGTGTTTAGCGCCAAGGTGAGATTAGCAGTTTGTCCTTTTAAATTTGTGACATAGAACTGATAAAGGAACATGTGACCCATGAATTTTTCTAAAATTTGTTGGTGAAATGGGATCAGAGATCCCTCTTGCAATCCCTCAAAAAATAAAAAGCAGACCATAAGAGCATTTATTATGTCTCATATCTGGTGCATTGTACTCACAGCAATTATCATAATGGCATTATCCAAGAACCCAAATCCAATAAATGGAATGGCATTATGAAATGCAACTGAAAAAAAAAATATATACCGATGAGTAAAGAGAATAACAAGAAACTTGTTTTTGCTTAAGACAGACACTCATTGATGGGGGAAAATTTCCCATCAGCAACCATCATCAGTAACTACAATTAGAAAGGAGTGTTATGTGCCGACCAAAATATTCAAAATTTTCCTGCAAACACTGATACATGTTACCATGTTATAATTCACACTATACAAAAACAAAACATAGACCATACAACTTTCACAAAAATTGACTTTTTCATACTATGTGTAATTAACCCTTTAACTCCCAAGATCTGATCTTTAGTTACGAGAATTTGCAATCAGATCAAAATAGCAACTTCTATCGGATAAGTTTGAGTATTCTCATTACATTTTTGCTGGATAATGTATGGATATGATAGGAAGAAGTTTCATGTTAAGCAGGTCTGGGAGTTGAAGGGTTAAATCAGAGACTAAGAGGCAACCTTCACCGCATAGTGGGCATAACTTCAAAACAAACATTTTTTTCTGGTATGGCTTTCTATCCACACAAGAAGGATTTCTTTGTATTCTTCAGTTTACAATGTACCCCCCTCCCCTGGTCCCCTCCCAATTTTTTTGTTGTAAGTTGTTGTTGTTGACAATTTAATATCAATTTGCTTTTACAAACTGGAGACAAAGGTTGCTAAAATGGACAACCATCATCCAATCATCCATAGTGAAAAAAAAATCTCAAAAGTACAACAACTCCTCAAAATCCATTTGTAAACCGTCAAAGTAAAATATATAAACTAGCCTAAATCTGTGAAGTTTGGGGAACTGCATAGGAGACCGGAGATTTCGTATGTGTGTGTGAGGCACCAATAACAATTCAAAGAGTTGGCATAATCTTCTCTTACAATGACATAGCAAACTCTGTCCCACTAGCCACAGCGGTACAGTTACCCCCTTCATTTTTAGTGGTACTTGTCCCTTTTGGTACACCATACCTCATTCATGCACGCATAATTTATGCCGACGAGTTGATACAATTTTTTGTTTATCCAAGGTTGCTTATATGAGCATGGAAACCAACCGTTCTGAACATTATATACAGATGACGTTACATTACCTAATCTTAACTGTTTAACTGAGGGAGGATTTGAGTTTTCCTTTCCTATTGAATAAAAGGAAGACAAAAAAAAGAGAATAATTATGGACATATTGATACACACGCATAACCCACGAACAACGTTGTGCAAAGCAAAAAAATGATCCATGGAATAATATGTCATATTTTTCGGGTCAGTATACGCTCATTTCAGACTACCTGTGTCTTCATCAGCTTGATCATGTATTCTTAGAGCTTCACGAAGCAGTACGCGTTCTTCCTCGTGCAAACTAGCCACAAAAACATCCGCGCTTTGAGGCGTCGTAAACACGCTTATACCACCGCCTTTCCCCCTGTATATACACCGTCGTGGTACAATCGACGATTGCCGCTTAAAACAATGTAAAACACAATAAATATTCACTATTCTAAGCCGACTACGATACATAGTGTTGATTCTCAAAAAATATTTTCATATGTTAACTACTTTTTCTCAACAGTTACTTGATGTAAAACACTTGTAATGTAAAGTTTATTTATCAGTGGTCCTCATAACCAATGAACTTTCCAGATTTACCTGAATGTGACTTAAATAAATATACAAGCTCTACATTTGTAGCCAACTGTACAGTATAAATAAGTAATGCGGGCTTCGGAATGAGAGAAATTATGGCTTACGTACAGAGATCGTAACCTGGGCAATGTTCACGAAGTAGACTTCCTTCTTGTCCTGAATAATTTGGTATATTTTTGCTTTTTCCATTTTGTCTTTTGCATCCCAGTTTATGGGAGAGGGAAATAGTGGTGAGCAAAGTTGACTGCTTTGACCTAAAAACCATTTACCTCTTCCACCTCCCCTTAGCAAGAAAGTATGTTATTTTTTTCTTGGTCAGGCAGAAAAACTTTCGTTTTTCAAAACAAGATCACAAAAATGTGGTGTCTAAGAAAAAAGTTATCTGTTCTCCTCAGCATCAGTCATGCATGATACAATGATGTTTATAACATAGCTGGTAAATTTGTTTAATCAAATTCAATTACACAAGCGTGCTTCATATTCCTATTGTGCACGCTCATGACGTCAGCAAATGAATCCCTCAAGGAAAAAAATTTTCCATTGGGTTGAAAATGTTATAAAACAATTGGTTCATAAGTCATCTGTGCATTCATCGAGATATGAAGCACTTGGGAAGTTTGGAGAGCACTCAAGAAGCTAGAGTTGCTCAAGGCTATGCCTCGAGCAACTCTTTACACATCTTTCATGCTCTCCAAACTTCCCACGTTCTTCATATCTTGATGAACGCACGCTGACCTATGAACCAATTGTTAAGTGACTTTGAAGTTGAATATTAGATAAATATTATCATACCTCACATAAATGCAGTTATTATATTTACATACACAGTCAGTGTGGTCACACCTGAAATTATAAATTTTGTCAAATTGTTTTCAGTTGATCAAATGTTGGATGCTTTTTTTCTTTTTTACAATTACATTTTCAGGGAATTAAAGGAATTCCTTTAAAACTTAAAAGTGTTGGGAGGTAATGTTATGATTTAAAGAGTATTGCACCAAATATGTTTATTTCAAATATATTGATTATTACTCTAGTTTTTTTTTTGAAAAAACTCATCAGGGGAGTTTATGCAGCTAATAATCAGTTATATATATTTTCATTCCCCTTGGAAATAATCCACAGCCTAAACCAAATAATTGTGCTACCAATTAATTTTTATTAAATAACCTCAACAAATTAAAGATGAAAGTCAACAGAAAAATCTCCTTCAGAGAAGTCTACTGAGGAGACTTTATTTACAAGAATCAAAGGGCAAAATCTTAAAGATCATGAGAAAAGACCCTATTCACATGAGAATATTCACATTGCCTGTCATAGGAGCAAAGACTTTAAATATTATACTATTTCATATAATAACTATGTGTACATCATTTCAGCCATGGCTGACATAGGTTTCGGAAAATATAGCAACTGATCAAAATATGCAGCCAACTCTTCAGGCGTTGTGTCATCGAAGTTCACCCCTGCCGCTCTTTGAACATTTGCACCCTGAAATCTTCTGTGTTGTCTGCTGCAGTCAACTGCAACCATTTCCCTTGTTTGAAAAGACTTTGGTACAACTTTTCCTTCCTTACTTGCATTCCATAAACTCTTTGCCAAAAGAGATTTGTTATATTCAAGTTCACTGTCACTATGTGATTCTCTTTGGTCTTCTTGACATCTTTTCTCTCTTAGGCTAAGGCTAGCTTTACGCCTTCTTCGTCTAAAACCACAAGCTCGTTGTTTCTTGTAGACATTAGAGAAAGCTTGTTGATTCTTGTAGACAAATGTTGGTTCCCTGAGGATCTTTCTCACATTCTGTATGCTGTCAATGTTTCTGCTTCTCAAACTACTGGGAACTCCAAGCCGGGTCTTCCTACGAAGTCTTTTACTATAGTAGAAGATGAACAGTTAGAGTGAGAAACAATAGCAGCTCCCTTTATGAAAAAACATACACAACTTGCATGTATTATATGTGAGGAAAGCCAGTAGAACGCATGCACAAACACACACACATAACAAAAAAGCTTACAGAGATATTGAAAGACAACAGTTTACACCTCTATTTATTAACTGTTGACAATAATGAAAGTAGAATCATCCTGAATAACGAGAGCAAATTTACAGCGGAACTACAGCAGTATGTGAACCACAAAGAGTGCATATTGTCTTCTAAATAAGGTTGGCAAATCCCACTTTTCCATTTCAGTAGCTGATCTTCTCTGGACATGAGGGATTTTGGGGTGCAAATAAAGGCAAAAAATTGGGAAAACACAGATAATCCATTAAATATACCAAGTTGATTTAGACTATTGCTTATAAAAGTATGTTTATAGTTGGTAATTTACTACAGAGCCCAACAAGTATGCACTTAAGATATTAAACTTAATTATCAGGATCATACTTCAGTATGTTGAGGCGCTCTGTACGGGCAGTTAAATGCTATCTGGTTCAAAGAACAAAGTCCTACATATCAAGACTGACCACAGAAAAACGGTGACACAGCTTAAATTGAAATTGAACATTCACAATTCTCTTTGGTCAATCTCACAATAAAAGATACCCTACTGTTTAATTTTTCTTTTAAGCTTCTAGGAAGAAACACAACTTGGAAAAATTTGATGAAAACCGAAAGAAACATTCCAAGAAAACTGAAATGCAGACAATTTCGATTTTCGCACCCGCGAACGAGAATGTCATTTGTAAAACGCTGCTTGCAGCACTTTTTTAATTACTACCAGAAAATTGAAGCATATAATTGAGGCCTTAAGACGAGAGCTTAAATCCTGAAGATACTTTGGGTGGTTATAATGTCCTTAAACTCTGCCTAAGGTTTCCTAGTTCAAGGGGAATAATATTGTCCTGTCATTTCATTAGTTCAGAAAATACTTGCTGATTCACATGCTTACGCGTCGGAATATTGCGTGTCTGATCGAACTGACGTTTCTAAGACAGAATATTTTCAAAAATTATTGATGCAGATAATTCTATTTATTCCTCTGAAAAGATATTGTACCATATCAAGAAAAAAGAAAAGAAAAAAACATTTGATTTATCGTCAACAAGACCTAGTTTCTCCGTCAATATCGGTTCCTATTTAACTCCCTTACAAAAGGTGAATTTTACGAAGAAAACAGGACGTATGCAGTAGCTACTTACGGTCCACTATCTACTCTGAGTTTCATGAAAATCGCTTGAAGATCTTTTTCTGAGCCCTTCGCCTTCTTTTCCTTAATCTGTGATTCTTTTTCACTAGCGTCATTTTGACATTCGCAGTCCGCCATGTTGTGTTTTGTTGGCAAGCACGTTTCTCTTAATGACGTTATCCTCTCAATAAACGACTGACAGGGGAGGGACGAGTAGGCTTCGCACCATTCTTGGATTCATTCCAAGACCTCCTCTCTTATCGTCTTCGATGATCTTTACTTTTTTATTGCTTTTCTGTCTCATATAAGGGACAAAATTTGTGAAGGCTACCCTCCTTCGCCGTTCTCGAGGCCTCTGCGTTTTGCAGTGAATATCTTTTGTCCTGTAGTGAAGAAGTCTAATTTTTATTTCATTGGTAAACAAGGCGTGGTCACTAAGCTAGATAGGGAAGTAGTTCAGCAAAGTTTTGCAGTAACCAGGAAGAAGATAAATACTTCCCTGATCAAGGAAGTGGTCTGCCATACACAATCTCATTAATTACAGAGAAAGTATCGTTCATAACTTCTAGCTTTCAGTTTCTCTTCACTTGTTTCATTTGAGCCGATCGCGCCGTTTAGGCTGTTCGTCGAAGGTTTGCCTTGATCATCAGCCATTTGCAATGCAAGTAGTTGAACGGCAAGTCTTTCAATAGCCCTGTGTACGGACGGGCTGACATTCAGCATTCTACGGTATGATTCTTGCTCTGATGCTTATGTTGTGCGTGGACAACAGCCTTAAATTGTGCAGTGGCGTCAAGAACGAGGGGTCCTCTCTATACTCCAATATTTGGTTTCAATTTACCCCACCTCCTTTCGTAGAGGCGTAAAATAAAATATAAATCAACCATGAAGCACTGACAAGGGAGGGGACGACCACAGCGCTACCAAACATATACAATAACATTAAAAATATACATATACAATCACATTAAGAACTTTTAGAGACTATTGTTACACTTAGAAAAGTCCTTCGAGATTTAGTTTTATCCATCGTGGACATATACCAAGCAGGACGCCGTTAGCCATTTGTATTTTCATCTTTGCTGAAGAAGGCAACAGTAGAGGCCGAAACATCCAGAACAATATATTCAGTTTAGCCAGTGTCAACTTTTTTTTATTATTTTACCAAAAGAAAAAAAAAACAGACAAACCATGAAGCACGTCATGATGGAAAGTAACCATGTCAAGCAGATGGTCGCTGTGGTATGGGAGTGAAACTGTACGCGCCGTATTTCCTCGAATAAGCGCCTGGCGCTTAGTTAAAATTTCAGCTGAAAGGAGGAGCGCTTATCAGGAGGAGGGCGGTTAATCGAGGGGGTGCTTTTTAATAAAGTAGGAGGGAAGGGGAAGGGGCCTTGGGGTGCCTATTCGGAAAGGGGCGCTTATTCGAGGATATACAGTATATGTTGACAATAAACCACAAAAAGTCAACGGGGAACGCTAGGACACTTGTTCCATTTATTACACAGCACTTATTAAAACTGTCTTGCAGTAAATAAATTTTCATCTTGATTTCTCTGATAACCTAATCTTCATGACCAAAATAAAACGAAATTTGTTTGCAGTTTTGTTTCTCAAATGCTTATCCACTTCCCCCGAAAAAAAAATAGAGCATAAAAATCGAAAACAGCCTAGAGGAGTAAGCGTAGCAAACCTTATGACAGTATCTGCGTTAAAAAAAAACACCTTCTTTTAAGTTCCCAGGTAGATTAGGTACGTTCGCATGTCTTAATGAGAAGTACTTGCTTAAGAATTTTCGTTTATGTGTTTCTCTTAATATAATATATTTGAAAAATTTTCACAAAATATCAGAATAGTAAACTTGCTCCTCCAAGTAGTCGGGCCAAGTTTCCCTTGTTTTTTTCTCTACATTTGTCTTTTTGTTTTTTTGGTTCCTCGGCTAGTCCCAGTTCTCCCAATCATCATCCTGTGAACACAAATGTGAAAAAAAAAATTAGCCAAAACGTTGGCAACCTCGGCCATTCAGAACTTAGAGGCAGAAAAAAAAACACACACACATCAAAATTAATATCAGGCAAACTGCCTTGAAAGCCGGCGCAAAAACGCGAGTGACGAAATAACGAATCGGCTAAGTTTGAAAACTGATTGGTTGAGGGTGGCACGAGTTTTCTTACACAAATTCCAAAGCACCAAATTTCTTTGGAAACCACTGAAAATTGTTCTGTGATCGAACTATCTTGCATAATATTTCTTCCTCCTCAATAAGAAATAAAAACCAAAGCGTTTTCCAACAAACTGGAGTTGTTCAAAATGTAAACTGGGTAAAAGCCTAGTTGAGGTAATCTTTTATGTGGGTCTCTTCTTGAGCCGAAATAAGAAAACTTACTCCCATAATGAATAACCTTTTTCTTTACTATGGTAAACATTTCAAATATTCTCTGCACATAAATGAGGAAACGCCTGAGAAAATCAATAGTGGTGTTGTTTTTTTTAATTTTATAAGACCTATTTTAAACCATTGACTCACATCAAGATCCGCAGCACCATCGTCAGCAGTTTGTTTCTTATTAGCCATACTTTCCATTATTCTTTTGACTTCCTCTTCGGACATCTCCTCGTTAAAATCCAAATCATCATCGCCATCGTCCCAATCCACATCTTTGTCATCCACATTGGGCACCAGTACCCCACTGCCAGAGGAGATGGAGCTCTTCCCAGACCCGGCTCCAGTTTCTTTGGTATCAGCTGAGAAGAGAAAAGAATACCTTAGACCGGTCAAATTCTACAACCACAATATTTCAAACGTCTGACTCTGAAAAGCTGGAAAAGTTAAAACTGATTCCTCTCCCCTCTCAAAAGATATCAACAGCATATTGACAAGATCAATGAACCAAACTAAACGGTCTACAGCTATACCTTTACCGCTATAGAAAAACAGACCAGTCACAACTAAAGAACACTTCCCAAGTCCAAATGTCCAAATCATAATAAGCAATTAATTTCCAACTGATCAAATGAATCTGATAAAGACTGAAGCAATATTTGTTGAACTGAGTAACCCGGACAATCATACTTTAAGATTACCTGCGAAGAGTTTTAAAACTATCTTTCTATCTTTCCATTTTTCCCAGACTTTATCTTAATTTCACACTTTCTAAAATATTATGCAGAAAACTTTCCACACTTTTCCATGAGCACAAAGCAATGTTAAGGAAAAAAATGGGCAGTTGCTCTCGACCTTTTTCAGTCTCAACGCTTGTTAAACGCGAGCACCGTATCCCCAAGGCAGTGTAATGTAAAAATGGGTGACATGACATGGAATTAATTCTTGAATCAAAACAGTGCCTTTTCTTATGATCATAAGTAACAGGTTATTACATGTACCTCCTTTATCTCCATCAGTCTTAAGGTCTTCATAACTAATTTTTGACCACGAACTGTCACCAGAGCCGCTGCTGTTATCACGTTTGTGTAAAGTTGTTTGACGCGCATCATCAGCTGTTTTGCCGTTTGCTATACCTTCAGGCTGTGCTCCTGACGGCTCTGAAGAAGCCAGTTCGTGTTGATCGTTAGATATATCTTGATTATTTGGTTGAGTTGGTTCAGTCTGTTCAGTTTTTTGTGAAGGTACTTCCTCTGATTTGTGAATAGCAATTTCTTGTGGCCTTTGTTTAACCTCCAGCCCTAAACTTTTCTCTTCACTCAGTTTCTCACTTCGAGGCGAGGACGTGGTAACAATTCCCTCTTGTTCCTTCACTACAGCACCAGACAGGTTCATTTGCTCTTTGCTATTAGCTGTTATTTCACCGGACTTCTCAGCCTTCGCAGGTTCTTGTGTCGCATTTCTTAAAGGATTTTCATCAGGGAGGGGGTATCTGTTGCGTTCAGGTTTAGTTGTGGGTTGAATTTCCACTGGGGGCTCATCTAAATCCCACAAATCTAAAAAGAAATAAAACTGTAATCTGAGATGAGAAACAACATTTTCCAAGATGGAGTTAGTAATATTGAGGCGCACGTTGTGGAGTGGGGCTTGAATACGGTGGGTGGGGTGGGTAGACAGTATCTGCCTTCCCCTACCCCTCCTACTCCCCCATCCTCATACAAGTTAGCTGACGTAAAAACCGCAGATAAGCCGCTCCTTTTTTTCAAAAATCATCGCCAAAAATTGGGGGTGCGGCTTATCTACGACTAAGCTTCGAATGTTCCATGCACGTTCTTGTTGTAATGCAAAAATCTATGGAAAAACTGTGTTGAATGAAGAAATTCCTGTCAACAAATACCAGAAAAAGATCAATCATATGTCAAAGTTGGTAGAAACGATGTTCATTATATTAAAGTGGTAAAATTGTGGGTAAGACTTTGAAGTATTTTCCGTTGCAATGTTAATAGTGAGTTTATGTGCGATGAACAGTGGATGAAGAAGACTTCTTAAGACTCGACTTTGGATTTCTTTTGATTTCTTCCAAAAAACTTTTTTTCCAAAATTTTAGCTGTTAAATTCAGGGTGCGGCTTATCTGCGGGTGCGGCCTATCTGCGGGTGCGGCCTATCTGCGGGTGCGGCTTATCTGCGGGTTTTTGGTAACTGAAATTTTTAAGCAACCTATAAAAATAATCTAGAGAAAACTTAACAATAAAATTCACTGACCTTATCTCAAGTGCAAAACAGTGTACATAATATATTTTGTAAGCAATCATGTTTCTGGTGTTTACTACACACATGAACACAAAATGAACAAAAGTTAAGCATGTGAAAAGCCCAGAAATACTCTATCTCACCAGTTTGAGAACAAACACAAACATATCAGCTTGGTATTCTGGTTTCAAGGTGAGAGCTCAATTAGCCTAAGTCAAGAAAGTCTCAAGAACCAAATTACAACAACAAATGCTTTGATAATTGCTTTGATAATTGCTTCAAAACCAAATTGATGTGTTTGATTTCAGTTACGCAGAATGAAAACAATCACTATAAGAAATGAAAGGTGTAGGTGTGGCTAAAACTTAAAATACAAACAAGGAAAAAAAAAATTGATAAAATACCTTCATCTTCATCTCCCCAACCTAGATCTTCATCATCTGCTTGGTTTGCCCTTGCAACAAGAGCAGCTCTCTTCTTTTCTTCCTGATAGACAATATATAAAATATTTTGACAGGTACAGTTATGGAATTTCTCCTTATACTGGAAACATTGACACATTTCATATAAAAAAGGTGTTGAAAAGAAAGAAACATGTAAAAAAGGGATATTGTTTGAGATAACACCAAAATACTTAGAGCTAAACATTATACAACATCCATAACAGACAGAGTTGTGAATTGATCTTTGGACATTGATGGTAAAAGGGTTAACCCTTTACACACGAACATCGAAGTGTTCTTTAAACATTTCCTAAGGTGCTGACAAGGAGAACTTGTTTAACAATCAAAAGCTTCTCTATTTGTTGATCATTTCCTTCATTCTCATGACCTTCACGTTTGATTCAGGGCTGATAATGTAGGGAGAAATTAAATGTTGGTCACTCTTAGGGGTTAAAGGGTGTAAGACAATGCATGTTTCTGGTGTTGACAGCACACAAAAGCATTGAATACAAGAGCTTTCGCGTGTGAAAAACCCAGACAAAATCTATCTCACCATTTTGAGAACAAGCAAGCATAAAAGCTTGCCATTCCAGTTTCAAGGTGAGACCTTGTACAGCAATTAGTCAGAGAATTCACCAGCCAGTGACAGTTTTTTTCATGCACAAAACCAGTTTCCATTCCAGCATAAGTTTGGATGTCTTATTTCATAAAACCAAAGCAATGTTACATGAGTTGCATAACACTTCTATTAAGTAACATATTCCCACTTCAAATAGTAAGAACCATACCTGCTGAAGTTGATGTACTTTGTAGAAATACCTTTGCCAAAAAAGAACATGGGTGACAGCACTTGGCACCTGGAGAGGAAGAAAATTTTCAATAGGAAATTGAACTCTGAGAGGATAGAACAAATTTCTCCTGATGATTGTTTGGGTATAAAGGTTGTAGTTAGGAAATCAATGCTTTTTTCAAGGTTTTAATAGTATTTGTATTGGTTTAGTATGCAAGAAACTTAACTTTGTTGTTTAGACTTAATTGACTTTTAACATGTTAAAACCAATATTTTTATCTGGCATGTCCAAGTGTCTCCCAATCCCAAGGTACCATTCCCATTTTGTTCACCAGCAAAACCTGAATACTGTGTACATCATTCCACCAATGACAGGAGTTACATAACTCCAATTTCATCCATTCCTATTAATGAACCCATAAAATCAGTCCTCCATCTTCCATTAGATAGAAAGTTGTTTACCAATTTATCTATTTGTTTGCCAATCTATTTCTGCCCTAAATTTATTGTTAATTTGATTACTCATTTATTTATTTATTTATTTGATCAATTATTGATTTGTTTATTCATCATTTACATTTTCAGGATCTCAATTTAAAAAAATCTCACATACCAACTTAGCATACAGCGCCCTGATCTCTGGGACATTGACCAGCAGCTCAGAGATTTCTCCTTTGTGTTCATCAGGGTCAAATGTTTTACACCATTCTTCAAACATCCCCAAATGACCTGATGAAATAATAATGTAATTTTTTCAACTTCACATTTATGTAAATCAAGATTTTAAAGAAGGTTTAGAGTCTCCAATGACTGTAGGTTTGAAAGAAAATCAAGCAAAGAAACCCTACAACTAGTTGTAAAATGAAAAAAAACTTCAATTAAAATTCGATTAATCTAGATAGCAGTCCATTTTCTTCAGCTCAGTAGGAAGAGCATCCAACCATGCAAAAGCAGTCCCAACTGAAGTTCTAATCCTAGCACAGGGAACTCATAATTTTTAAAGTTTCTTGTGTTTTTTTGTTTGTATTTTGTGTTTTGTTTTCCATTTTAAAGCTTGCTAATATTGTGACTAAATGAACATTTTCCCAAATAACTTTAGTTCTACTGTGTTAGTAATTAAAAGAGAATGTTAAAAATAAATTAGGTTCTTTTAAAATTTAAAGGATTCAGAACAAAAGCTGAACCATTTCATTTACTACCTGGCATATGTCTGTGTTCTTTTATATAGCTGGCTGAGCCTGAGGGCAATATGAAGTGAATCCTGTGTTCTGATTAGCTACCCAAGCAAACAAGATGGGCATATCTTGCCCACCTAGGACTTTATCCCAAGCAACAAAAAAGTGTGTTGGGCAGACTCACAAAGTGCGTTACTTTTGGAAAATATTGTTGATGAAGTTGCAAAAAGCAGAAGAAGGAAGTCAAGTGCTACGAACACAGTTGGCTTTCATTCCTAGCTCTTGAAATAAACAAGCCATTTTTGATTGTTATTACAGCAAAATCTTTTGCTATATAATAAATCCTTCATTGACCAATCTCTTTTTGCATTTTTGTGGACCCCCCCCCCCATGGTCTCAGTCCATAAAAAAGGCAAAAAAGAACTCAGCCAATATCCACCCATATTGACTTCATGCTTGGTCAATAACACATATGTTTCTACAGAGGTTGACCAGATTCTATGAAATACTCTTCTTACCAAATTTCTTTACTGAACAGGAAGGTTGCAAGAAAAACAATTATATCTTTTCTCTCTGGTACATACCATTTGGTTCTGAGCAAAATGTAGCTGGGTCTGTTTGAATTTCATGAAGGCGTGCCTTTGAAATAAAATGACAACAATGAGCTGAAAAAAATGAAATTTGACATGTACAGCATAATGACTTTGCTCATAGAGGATAATTATTTCAATCGTAAACTTGCTCTACCTGCTTTTTGTCGAAAACTGGCTCAGGACCATCAGATGTGACTGCTACTGCTGCAGTGGCAACGTGAGAGATGTTGTCTCTCAAGCTGGTAGACAGGGATCCAAGAAATTTGGACACACCTGAAGGGTGAGTGAATTGAAATCAGTGTTTTGGCAATCATACTAACCGCTGATCTATGTTATTCTAACAAATGCTACAAAATAACTGAGACCTTCTCATAGGTCATAGGTGTGTTTGGTTGAAAGAATGTAAACACAAAAAAATTCCTGTAATGCTTTAAAAGTGCAGTAACAGTTATTTTTTAAAATTTATACCTTGTTTTAAACGAGCTGAAGTGCCATCTTGTTCTTCCTCTTCATCTACCTGGTCATCAAGTATGAAAAGAAGACATAAAAGAACCATTCTGAGTTATTTATGTGTGTGTTTGCCTACTATTTTGAATAACTCACTCCTGAGTAAGTTCATCAGGAAAGCTCCCTTCTTGAGAAAAGTATTTAATACTCAATCATTCACAATGGAGACATCTTTTAGTTTTCCTGGATAGAACAATTGTGAGATCTAACCACATTTAGAATACTCATCCAATTAGATTTCAAAACAATACTATCACACATGTGGATTGTACATCCTCCAGGTTCACACCCCACTACGTCAAGAGAGCCACTGTTTCAGAGGCTATAAATAGTGAAATTGTATACCCTGTTTAAGTTTCAAGATCTGAAAAACTATACTCAGTTTGGGGACACAAGGCTCTTTCAGCTAGATAACAGAATTCCTCCCTTCCCCCTCTTGCACTGACCAGTACATTAGATGAAATGGACATTAAAGTTTTTTAATTAATATGCTAGTACCTTGAGACTTTCTTTAACAGCATTAGCTGTATCAGCCACCACAGCTGATGTGTCATGCTGAACAGTGCTGACAAACTCAGCGAGATCTTGTTTCACCATTGTCATAGCCTCTGCAGACTGTTAAAGAAAAACAAAGAGCTTTTCAATCAATAGCTTTCATTTAAGTAATTAGCAATCACCTCAAGATTAAATCATTGTTTGAACATATCAACTTTCTAGGTTAGAATTGAGAGCCCATTAAAAAAGACTTTGTGAAAATAAAATTAATCCTTATAAGGGTTAGGCGTAGGGGGAAGGAGGGGATGGAAGGGAAAGTGATTATGCATTTACAAATCCTATGTCAGAAGATCCAACATTGCTTTCATTCAAATTGGTATCCATACTACTGAAAAACTAGTAAAAATTCCATGACTGTGTGTATTTATGTATGTTTTTCTTTATTATGTAGCCTATGGAGCAGCCCTCTACCTTTTCCTTTAGCTATGGCATGAAAAGGTGGTGGAAGGGGGGGGGGAGTCATGGAAAGGGTTGTGGAGAGGGTCATGCAAAGGCAAATAGGGAAAAAAAAAGATTAGAGAACAGAGGGGCACCCTCGAGTCCTTAGCATAAACTCTCACTTTTCCTGCTTGGCCAAAGGGAAATGTAAAAGTCTATGCTATACAGTTATGCTGACTCCCATTCCAATGAAACAATCTATAGTCAACTCTTCCAAACCAGAAAAATAGGCCTTCTGACTGAGGGTGCAGATACCCAAACCACACAATTTTATCAAAACATGCAAAACCTTGTATATATTTAATGCTTCCAATTTAAAAAAAAACATACATGGATCAAAATCCATTCGTGTAAGGACCTTTTTGACTACTATTTCCTATGCAAGCATGATTCAGAATATTTTTCAAATCAGTGAATCCACCCTGCGTTTTAGTAGGAGTCGGGGCGGGGGCAAAATCCACAAGCTTTTGAAAGACCAAATCTGCCAATCTGCACATATTATTACCCTCCTCGTTTCACGTGGATTTCTCTCACTGGGTCTCTATGTCGGGCTATTAAGTAGATGCTTTCCTTAAACATTTCATGGTCAAACCATTTCCCACAACAGCAACCACCTCAAATGTTACTACTCTTTAATCGCCAATATACATCTTCAATATGTTAAACTCAATTCAGCCAATGTGAACACATCCACAGAGGAATTTAAGTTTTCATTAATTCAATTTTGATGAAGTTGAAAGCTCTGATTATGGAAGATCGATAACTCTTTAAAATTTCACCTTTAAGAGGCGAATACACAGATAAATTGTTCCAATTTCGACAAAAAACGTCACAAACAAATTTAATACGACACGCACGTACCTTGTTTCGAACAGTAGATAATAATTCTGTGGCAGAGCTCCATGTTCCCCACCAGCTAGACCCACCACTGTGGAAAAAAAAAGAGAGTAAAGTAAAGTTATTTACTTGAAGTATGAAATAATCAGGTTTAAATGTCTGATATTTCCATCTTGTTACCTTTCCTCCGCCATGTTTATGCTATTTTGCGAATATGACGAGAACGTCATAAAGACCACGGTTACAAAGCTATCGATTGATACTTCATTTAAGACTGAAGACAATTTTATCCGCAGCAACTGAGCGCTTGGACATAATAGCATAATAACATAAAGCATAATGTTGCAAGACTGAACATTGCAATGTTTTACCCAGGAAAGTAAATACTATATAATAACTGGCACGGGAAATAATTTGGCACATAATATGGTAAGCCATGGTAGATTATAGTTGGCCAAGGAAGGCCATGGTAGCTGAGTCTGAAGTCGAGCCAGGTGGCCCAACCAGTCGCAGCTTACCCCAGTGTCCTTAGCATGAAGTTACTAGGAGTATTACTATTTATCTCAGGCAATAAGCATTTTATCATAAGACCGCCGCTCATCCTCTTTCTTCCTAACTTTTTGTCAGTTCTTATCTTGCAGAGTCGCGTGGCTTTTCCCAGCCCTGCTCTTGTTATTGCGTATGGTCCCTATACGATAGTTTTTCTATGTTTCTTGCTTTTCAATAAAATTGCAGGCGGGGCCATTCAGGACAGAGGATAATTCTTTATTGTTTTTCAATGGGTTCCTGGCCGTTTAACAGCAATAGAACAAACACATTCATGTTTTTTTAAATTAGTTTTCTTTAACAGCATAATTTTCATTAACTTTCCCATTTCAAACGAAGATGGACAAAATCAAATGGCGAATTCTCGCAAACCTTCTCTACCAAGAGAAATATTTTTGGACTACGTGTTTTATTTTGCTATAAATGTGTGAACAAGAAACACAGAATTACTGAGGCATTGTTCCCTGACCTTCAGATGTTCCTCAGGTTACTCGTATAAACGCAGTTTTCGTGATCAAAAGTAACTTGTACACGAGTTGTTGAACTCCTCGTTCTTCAGTGCGCATGTACCCGTCCCTTCTCCATTGAAAACCTAAGTTTTAAACATAATTGCATTATGTTTGTTGACAACATCTTTCTCTATGATCTGGATGCTAATTCAATGAAAGTTAAATTATCTCGTAAAGATTTGATATATGAAATTCTCTTAAAAAACAAGTAGTAGCCAACGTCCTACACAGTTAACAATAAACGTTGATAAGTATTATGCATGGAAAATGTTTTGTATTCGTGATAAATGGTCGTAGCATCAAACTCACTCCTCTGCAGACTTGGATAGTGTCTCGCTTTCCTGTCCTTCAGTCGGTTCATATAAAGATAAAGGCTCTGGAAAACTTCTCGTTCAACAGCACATTTTGCTTCCTTCAGGAATAAAGGCGACATGTTTGGCACTAAATAATTGTTTATGATAAAACTATGTGTTCATCCAGGTAGTAAAGATTACTGTTGCTAAAATTTTCCAAGGCGAGACATCTATCATGTCTGTGACATTATTTTTTGTAGTAAGACAAAAATTCCTTGGGAAAACTTTTACTGATAGGATTTCTCCTTTTTATAAATACAGACAAGGAATTTCTAGAAGCTCAACCGAGAAGCACTCCTTGTGGGAGAAACAGAAAAGATGCTAAAAAACGTATCTTGAAGATTAAAAAAACAAGACTATGACAAGCCATGGCGCAGAGCGCTCTGCGATCATAAGGAAGAACATCACTCGGGCATATGGATTGGCGGGAGCAGAGCCCGTAAATACCCCAAAAATGTGACAATGTGCAACATTTCATACAAAGTTTAATTCAATATTTATTTTTAGGTTTATTACTTCATATAAGTGGTGTATTAACGGTACATTCCCAATTAATTCAGGCCCCTCAATTGTGCGGCCAGTTAGTTTCTGTATATACATGGCGTACAAAAAAAATATGTAAACAATGATTACAAAAGCTATGCTTTAGAAACAGTTCATGTTAATAATAGTAAAGCTTACTTTATGGCATTTACTTTACAAAACACATCTGAAAGTGAAAGCGAAAATAAAAGACAGAATGTGCATTTCCCAATGTAGCACTGAACAGCTTGCCCACATAAACGAATGTAGCGGATTTTGAAAAAAAAAAGCTTTACAGGCCAGTTATACAAGTATTTTGGAAATTGTGAACTATACAAATGTTAGACGACTTCTATGAATATAGAGCGACCTGAAGCTACAACGAATGTCGTAAGACTTCGTAACAAATCCAGTTAAACTGCGTCTCGTGAAAAATAAGACTACTTTATGAATTTAGCTTAGGTGATTCGGCCCTGTAGTACGAATGTAGTACGAATGTAGTACGACTAAGCTACGAATTTAATACGACTAAGCTACAAATGAAGTATGACTATGCCACGAACAGTGCAAGCCCTACTGCGGTGCAACCGCTCAACGTATGCAAAACGTTCAATTTACTTAACGATACAGCTATACCGAGTTTTCGATACAGCTTATTGGAAAATTTCTGGTCCTCGAATTTAGAATACGCTTCGAAGGCGATCCGAAATATTACCCGCTCGGCAGCTGCGAGGGTCTTACTGGGGTTAACCGTTAGCCCTTAAACGGCCAAACAAAATTAGCGCTTAGGCGTAAATTTGACAAATTTTGATCGTTAGTCGTAAAAAAAATTCACCGTAAAAATTTTTCCATTCAACAATGTGTCAATTTGTGTCATTTGGGTTAACCGTTAGTCATAAAATGGCCAAAGCTTTAATCGTTAGCTGTTCAAGCCATTGAGACCCTCGGCTTCGGCAGGTGCTTCAAAACAAAAAACAAAAAATTACGGTTGTGTTCATAAGAGATATGAAAAATTATCAGCTTTGAGTATAAGTGCTAAAACTTGCTGGGGAACCTGTCATTTTTATCGCCTGGGGGGGGGGCGATTTTTTTTTTTTGGGGGAAATCGCCACTTAACTGCCAGTGAGGGAGGGGGGTATCATAACAATATTATAGAACCTTCAGGAGGATCAGGTAAATTTTATCATGACAAGACCAAAATCCTCCACCCTCCCCTCCCCTAGGAGACAATAATGACCAGTCCCTCCCTAGCTACGTTTACTCATGCTGAACACCTATTCCTCAAGTTTAATCTTCTCTGATCTTGACCACGACAGCCTTTTGCAGAACACCACAATTGTCGTTTTTCATGGCTATCTTGATATATCCCTCATCTCCCCAAGCTTTTGACCAAGAATTCTTAATCAGCCAATAAGGTTCACCCTTTTCCACTCCATATCCGACAGCTAAGGCCGCGTGATCCAATGCATGAGCTGAGAACGAGGAGAAAAAGAAATTCATCAAATTGAAAGAGCACCCAGCTGGTGTGAGCCCCTTTAACCGGCTCGCTTGAATCGTACCTCATAAACAAAACCCTTCAACATTTTGTACTCCAACATCAGTATACATATTCTCCATACTGTTCTCCACACACCTCCTTAGGTGATGTTTGGGAGTTTTTCTCAAACAATCGAGAGCTTCTTTAGGTGGTGATTATTTCCTTAGTGTGGCCTTAATGTTTAATTTGATTCAGGGGTCATATTGTAAAGAGAAATTAGATGTTAGTCACTCTTAGGAGTGAAAGGGTTGGAGAACCTCCACGCAGTCTACAAATCAAAATAAGTGTAAGTTACTTACTGCAGTCTGGGTCATAATAAATTCCTGATCCGTAGAATTTAAAAGTCTTTGGCTGAGTGTTGATAAGGATACTGACAGGACCATAAATGGCGATGGCCTGCTTCAGCTCGTGCTTATTCCCTTTGGTGATGTTCATGTAAAAATCCAGCTTAGCCCCTGTTGTCGTATTTTTAAAGTGGCAGAAACCCTCCTGTTATGGTGAAAAAAGAGTAATTATTTACCCTTGAATGAATACGCGAATTCGTGAGGCTAAATTGTTACAAGCAGGAGAGGGAGGGGTGGTTCTGGGTGGAACCTCTCTGCTCATCTTCTGCTGTAGAAAAAGTACTTTCATTTGGTGGATGAGAGCATCAGGCGTAATCCTTATTTCAGTAAAACGACGTCAGGACAGTTTGAATGTTAACAGTGAGTGTGGGAAATCATTATACACTTAAAACTGTTTCTGAAGTTTCTTGTCTTTACCTGAGCCAAATATTTTCCATAGCTCTCTTCAGTAGCCAGTCCACCGTGTTTGATGACCCACTGCATCGCTCGATGTGGATATCCTCCCTTACAGCCTCGGTTACCAAACCCCCACGAACAGTCTATAAGTTGTTGTTCAGACAGGTTTAGGAGGGTACCAGTCTGCGAAGTCAGAATTGAAATACAAACATGTACGTGTGTGATTTTAAAGATGTTTTCACCGTTGGAATTGGAAGATTTATCGCTTATTCAACTTAAAAAAAACATACAACTTTGGCCAAACAAGGTTAGGACGTGCTCCTTCTCTTAAAACTTTTTATAACATCTCTCAGTTAGAACGTGCGCTATGACTGATCAGTGCAGCAAGCTGTATTTCACTGTACAGCCCACTAAATTCAAAATAAAACCAATATCTTATTAATCACGTTTTCTCGGTTCGTCCTGTAAGTTACGGAACCTCGTTTTTTTCCCTCGGATTTAGGGACCGCACATAAATCCGAGCGGAAAAAAATCGGTCTGTATAACTTACAGGACGAACCTTGAACTCGGTATATAAGAAATACCTCATACAACACTTTAAATTTCATGAGCACCTCAAATTTTAACCCTTTCTGCTTCTTATCCGATGGAAAAGCTCAGAAATTGATACAAAAGTAGAAACAAACCGCGGTAGAATTTTGTTAGTCTGACGAGCGCCATGTTCTCAAGGGACAATGCTAACTGTATACGGCACCAGCAGCAATTAACATTAAAGCGCTTTGTCATCTTTTAGTTGACAAACCTTAATATAGTAGGCTCCCTCCATGGCACCAGTAACAGAATATGCATAACAAGAGCCACAAATTCCTTGACTTCTTACAGGATTTACCGCACCTGAAGAAACAGTAAAATATTTTCCTATAAAGCTCGTTGACCGGGCTCTACGGTCTGACTCGTTGTTGAACAAAACTGCGTCCTAAACTATCTTCAGTTTAGCCGAACCTTTTCTCTGAACATTTTTTGTGGATAGTGTCAGGAGGGCCGAAAGCTGATGGTAGAAAGAACAATTTTTCTAATTAAACCGATCCACTAAAAGGGGAAAACCTAAGGCCCACTGCATGATTGCGTAAAACTCCATGGTCTCGGTTAGACCTCCTGAAAAGAATTAAGTTCACTCAAAAGTTACCCCAGACTTGCTCATTTGCTTCTCGATATAAGTTTTGGTGACATTTGGCGACTACTCAGGATGTTTGTTTTCGTTTATTATAAGAGTTTTTTCCACTCACCCGATTTTGCCCAATCAACTATATCAGGTAGGGTTTTGACATTGGTACCCTCCGGTATTTCAAATCTCTTTCCGCCATTCAGTGCATCAGGTTCGCTTTCCATCAGCATTCCTTTTTTTTGTCTAATCTCTTCCTCAGTCATGTCGGCCATATGATTTGCCTTCAGTCTATAGCCTAGGTTTTGGCGGTTTCTGGACTTGATAAACCTGTTGATCGAGTTGATGAAGATCAGGAGATTGGAATTTTCTGTTTACATGTCACATGGTAGTTAAAGAGCTTCATGAAGGTTAAGTTAAACGTATGTGGCAGTTCGTTTCAAGGCCATCAAGGAATTCGAAAGAAATATACACCCTATTGTAAGATTTTATTTTTTGGTTTGAAAGTTTTTTGTCAGTGAAGAAATTGGGTGATTGATTAGTTGCTAATCTGAAAATTTGTCAGCTTGTTCTCACTTCTCGCACATATCGAAAACGCTCAGACCGTGGCTGTGTAAAAGCCTCAAAAAGATGTTGTACTTCGTATCACTATAAACTCCCACTGTATCCGTGTCTGTTTCAATTTTTACCAATACAAGGACTCTACAGAAGTTCGCACCAATAACAATGGCACACTCTTCAGATACATCCTGAAAGTTTCAGAAGATAACTTTTCTTTTCCTTTACCTGGTCTACTTGAACTAGGTCTGGCTGATGTAAACGGGAGACAAAGTCTTCTCACGCAAATAAATTTGTCGAGTTTTGCACGTTGCCGCGCGTTTTCATGGCGATGGAATGATCAACTAATTTCAGTTCAATATTCTCTTCAATACCCGGCACTCAACACTCCTGTATATTTTGCACTCGTTCTGTGTTAATAGAGGAAAAAAAAAAGGCTGAATGGTCCTATCCCGCGGCAGAGGCAGCTCTGTCAGATCTCAGAATTAACGACCTACATCTATTAACGAGACGGTCCGACGGGCCAATCGCGGGAGTTAATGATAAAAAAAGTCGAACAAGATCGTAAATGAAGATAAAGAAGTTATTGGTTGTCATGCCGACCCCTACCTCAAATTATGTCTGTAGATGTCTTTCCTCGACTCGTGCTCCCGCTTTGAGATATAATTCTTCTTATATCTCGCCTTGAAAGATTTAAATAAAGCATTAACTACGTCTTCATAGTGTCGCATGATATCTTTATAACCAGACTTCTGGTCCACATTTTTGAACGCGCCTGTACTCTTGGGAGCCGGTGATGGTCGAGTCTGCTCCTCGTCCTTGAGAGACTGCTGGAGGCTTGAGGTGGTTGTTGTGGGCTCGAACATTTCTCTATTAACCGTCGGCATTTTGTTCAAGGAGTCCAGCAGATACTGCAAAGGATCTGTCTTGGTGCGAGAGGGAGTGGTGACAAAATTTGACGGATGGGACAGTGTATACGGAGAGCCTGAGGTACTATGAGGCATGAATTCCACTATAGGATTGATCTCACCAAGCGACTTCTCCAGTTTCTCGTGAGAAAAATCGAAGCATTGGAGATCTGTGTAAGTGATTAAAATCATGAAAAACTTGGTCTTTCTCAAAGTAATTGTCTCGTAAGGAACGCATATTGATACAGTGAGTGAAATGAGCTAATCATAACGCTGAGAAAATATCACTTCTTCGTTTAGACAAACACAAAATTAGCCAAAACGGCAATAAAAAGTCTTGCAACAGGTTTAACATACATCCAGGTAAAAACTTTCAACCTTTGAGACAAAAGGACTGAGTGTGTCCAAGATAAGGACTCGTATTGAGACCAAGTGATCATACTGGTGAAAAGGAGAAGGTGGGATGGTGTAGAGCAAACATCTTGGAAACTAACAGAACGATTTAACCAAGTTTAGAAACAGAGCAATTTTCAACGATTGATTTTGCTTGCTTCGCTCTGTGATTGGTCCAGAAAAATCGCGTCAATTTCTCAACCAATCAGATGCAAAACTAAAATCAATAACGACTTGGTCGCCTGCGTTTTCCCGCGCTTTAGGAAATTTGGTTGTTTTATTGTGAGTTCTCATTGGCCCTGAAAAGTATTTTTCTTGCTACTGATTGGCCGTTCTGATTACTGTGCTTTTGGTCGTTAACGATACTCAATCGAAAAGCAACCCTAATATTTAAAATAAGAAGAAACGCATGAAATTTGTAGAGAGATTTACTCGTTAGTATCCGATCTTCGGAGTTAGAGTCCGATAGAGTTAATATCCTTTCCCTGCTGAACAGTGATCAGGGAAACACAGAGACACAAAAGTCACCTCATATAAGCTATTTTGGCTGCAACACAATTGACACCATACCTGTTGGTATATCAAACACTGAATAGTTGAATTTCCAAGCTTCAAACTCGTGATAATCGAGGATATAATGGTCATAGTAGGAGGCTAGTAGCGTATCATATCCCATCATCTCGTACCGGAGCGGTTTTAATGGACGGGTTTTAGTTGTGTATAATGTATATGTGTTGACCTTGTCGTAAATTGTGAACGAGTGTTCCCATTTTGCACACTCTGCACCATTTAATTCAGCGGTACCGGAGTACTATAACAAAATAATTTTAATAATGATAGTTATGATAAGAAAGAGTAGCGTACAGTTACTACGCAAAGAAAGATAAAATAATGTCATTTGACCCTACCACCAAAGGAACTGATATAAGCTAGGATAAGGTTGGCCAATTGCCTTTTGTGATGTACACCAAATTAAAAAAAAAAAAAAAAAAAAAAAAAAGGGCAAACAAAAAAAGGAGAAAGCCAGGTACGAATCTATCGGCATACAAAAACTACCCTCTGGTAACATGCCCATCAAACATTTTTTCAAACTTCCTAAAGAGTATCAGATGTTGTTTAGGAATTTCAAGCGATTCCAATAATCTAAAAAAAACTGTAGGCTTATGCTATATGTTAATTAATTTGAATATAGCTTTTCCCCTTTTCTTTATGTTTCGTTCATTGCAACGCTACTGCATTTAGGTGTAGGTATATCAACTCGCTTTCGGCTCGTGATTCACAAACTTTTTTTCGTGTTCTCGCATCATCCCACTCAGGTTATTACGCCGGTAAATCCATAGAATTAACGAATGACCTTACCTTAAAATATGAAGGCGCTGGTATAATATTTTGAGCTTTTATTGGAAATTTCTTTGTCCCTCGCCTGTGCATACACCCCGTGAACGTTTTATGTTTCACTTCAGAGTATTCCGGAACTATTTTGCATGCAAACCCGTGCCTACCCAGATCTCCGCGCTGAAATGTTCTGTCCATGCCTGAAAGGAAACACAGAAAATCAAACGTGTTGTTAAGACTGAAAGCTCGAAAGGAAAACCACTTGCAGCAGTGAGAGATTCCAACGAAAGCCCCATATCAAGTACACTTGCACAATTTTTCTGATGTAGTCACGCGTACATGGCTTACATATTGCCTTATAGATGAGCACAATGCATGACAAATATAAGCAAGTGCGAACCTAAACCCCCGCTCGATCTTTACTGTTCATAAAATTAAGGGCAAAGGTTTTGACTTTAATAGAGAAGACAGAAAGTACGAAAAATTTAGTTGGTCCAGTCGATGACGTAGTCGTAAAAAATTGTAAATAAAATGCACCATACCATTATAATAATCAATTCTGCTCATCTTTTTCGAATTGGAGTACCAGGCCTCAAAAGGTTCCACGATGTCTCCATAAGGAAGTGATAGCACACCTTTAGTGTGGTAATTATCCGGGAACTGTAAAATCTCTTCTACTGTAAACACGTGACGCGTCATGCGCTGTCTAAGAGGAGTGCCTTGGTTTTCATGATCTTGGTTTGAGACGTAATAAACAATTCCTGTGTCGAGAATTCAAAGCACACATACGTTACTGGTTTTGTTAAAGTTGTCGGAACTGAAACATTAGCCTCAAACAGGGCTGTGGTACTTCTGCGGTGATCAAAACAGACCAATTTGTTTTAATCAAAATATTTATTTGGAGCTTAAACGCTCAAAGACCCTTTAAAACCCCACGCCAAGCTTGACTAGACTCCAGTCCTATATCGGTGACGATGAACGTAATTTTGAATCAATGTCAGTATCTGAGCAACTGTACATCTACCCCTCTCCTAACCAAACATAAACCTAACTTCTTATCAGTTGACTGTTGTTGGGGAAGGGGAGGGGTAGGTGCGCAGATGCTCAGATACTGACATTGATCCGTTATAGTTGACGGTTTCCGAAGCTGTCAATAAAATATCGATGGTATAATGGAACGTCTGAGAAACGGATACCTTTGAGACCAGGAAAAAAAAAAGCGACTTAGCGTGGAAGTGAGGAAAAAGTAAGGTTTTAAATTATGTGGAGCCATTTGATGGTATGTAAGTACGAAAAGTTTCTGTCAGGGTGGATTCATCTGTTTGGAAAGCGAATGCAAGGCCTGAGATGTAAAGCAATTCAACAAAGACATATTTGCTTGACAAGCTTCGGCCTAAGTGCTGCGGAATCAGCGTGCACTATAAAGTTCATCCATCGACTGTTAATAAGTTCTTTTGTAACCGGTTGGAAGGAAAAGCTGTATTATGCTTTTTGTGTGTGTATTAAATGGTTCTCAGTTGGTGAGTCGTATTCGCGGTACTCTGTCGGCTTAATGGCGAATCTGAGTTTTCAATTGGACACGCGATCAAAATGGGAATTAAGTGTGTAATGACGAAAATTAATAAACGATTAAAAGTAAACGGTGCACAAAAAAAGAAAATTTATAACGAATTATGTTGAAAAATAGAATAGGGTAAAGTTTAAAGGAGACTAAACGAAGTAAGTGCTCGAAAGTCACCTATAAAATACTGTTTGTACATAGACAATTTACATTCTGTTGTCTAAAAGTGACAGCATTTTTGCCCCAGGGAGTAATACCTACCGTAAACACTTAAAACCGATCTCTGAAAAAATCAAATTGATAACAAACTAGCACTTACCAGCTCCAACAAGGAAGAGCAACAATAATACACGTCTGCGCAAACTTCGAGTTCTATTTGCAGTTGTCTTGAACCACAACGGCACCTTCACCATGCATAAACTTGTCAACCGAAGATCGACTCAAAGACCACAGTCCTCGCATCGGAATACCAATCCTCGACTGTGGGTCGCTCAAAGATTCCTGTCTAGATCAGAATTTCTCGAGAGATTTTTCAGGGAAAAATGTCTTTGAATCCCAACCTTGATCATTATCCTCGTATGCATTTGCTTTTGCTAAGGTGTGGCTCTTCTCAGATCATTTGTGTGGGAGTAATTTTGGTGCAGTGACCATGAGTTTGGCGCCATGATCACGAACCTTTTCAGACTCTGACGAAATGTTTAACCGCGCTTTACTCAGGTGGCAAAACCATATGTAACCTGTTAGGTCCCAGGCAACCGCGGCAGACTCTCCATCAACTTCTACTTTTTAAGACTATTAAAATCACAAATAAGCGATGAAAAAAAGAACATATTACAACTTCAACTTAAACTAAAAATATCAGATGTGCTACATTTCATTTGAGAGTTCTCCAAGAATATTTCCAGTACTTTCTCCGTGTAATGTCTTGCGTTCTCAATTGACCCAATTGATGAAATACACCGTAGTACCGTAGCTTACCACCTGTTTGTTGAGTAGCAGGTGCCTGGCTTCCTTGAACTTTAATGAACAAACAATTTCCCCCAACTTCTCTCTACACAGTATTTGGCAGTATGGAAGTAAGAATTTAACAATGATCGATTAAATAACAATGTCTTTTTGTAGCTCTAAAATTCACTATGATAGAACAATCCAGTTTTCCCCTCAAATCTAAACTGGCAAACGACACAGAATGAGTGCATGATCGTTTCCTGTGATTTTCTTGCTGTTTGCTGGTTTAGGCTCATTTTATAGCCAGCGGTAGACCAGGGCCTAGTTATTCGAAGGCCGATCAGTGCTAACCCAAGTTTAAATTTTAATCTGGGTCTCTTTATTCTTTTATTCAAAAGACGTTTTGGGATAATTTTCTGTATCCTTTTTAATGGCATCCAATAATTATATTCTAGACAAAAAGAATTCGACTGAATTTTCCTTCTAAGTTTTCAGATCTGAAATCAGATTCCTCACTAACCCTGAGCTATTTAACCCAACTTTTATAAACCCGGCCCAGACTCTTTCCTTGAAATCGAAAATTAAAGAGCCAGCCAGCCTACATTTCATTCTGGGAGATACTGCTCATTCCAAGATGGCGGCCAACTCAAATGCAGACTTTTGGCGTTGTATCAACCTACTCAAACTACAGCTGCAGTCTTTGGATAGAATAGATACCATGCAGAAATCAAGTGATGAAGTTGACGAAAAAAGTATTGTAAAACCTAAGACGTTATCCAGGTAGGGACTTTCTCTGGAAGAAAAAAGTTTCGTTGAAAGTTCTGTAAGTCGATAAGAGACAGCATGTAAACTTAAACGACTTTGGAGAAATTCTACCAAGACACTTTAGATTGACCCCTTCCAAAGATCTACTTCACTTTCTGTAATAAACATTCTCCATAAAAATTCTCTCGTGATTTATTTAGCATCGCACATCAGTGTCAACAAGGACGTTGCTGGGGTTTTGATGGTAATTTTTCAGAAAGTTATCCTGGTACAAATATTTATTTCAGAAAACCAGTGTGTTTAATTAAAAACAAAATTATAAGATTTACCCGTAAATCAAGTGATTTATTACTTTTACCTTATTATGTGATTTGCTGTTTTTTTTTTTATCTGTAGAGATGAAGCCATCACCAAACTAGAAGAAATTATTCTGACGATAGTTGAAGATATCTCTCAAAATAAACCTCCTTCTCTGAAATATAACTGCAGAAATTCGTGGAAGAACACAAGGTTAGTTGATACTTTATATAGTGTACAGTGATAATGATGATAATAGCAGTAGTTTTAAAATTAATAATTATTCTAATAATTACAAGATAATCCTGATGGTTGAAAATGATATAAATACTAATGATAATGGTATTAATAAAGACAACCAAACCTAGATATGTTAATCTCTATTTTGAACCAAGGAAACAGTTCCATGACATGGGGATAAACTGAGTAAAATGAATAAAGACACATTTTGAATATTTTACAGGTTTAACAGTGCAGTTGGAATTGAAATGATTGATGATGTCAGCCTGACAGAACACAGATTTGATTCCATAGCATCAATTGGAAAGTTTGGTAACACAAGAGTATGATTTGTTAAGATCCAAATGTTATAGTTCAGCAAATAAATGAAAGAAGGATGTTAATAAGGAGGAGGAGGGAAGATTTATAGAAGGAAGGGTTGAGAGGAAAAGGACTGAAAAAGAAAAGGTGCAGGGGTGGGAAAATGGCCTTAACCCTTTAACTCCCAGAAGTGATTAACATGAAACTTCTCCCTACAGTATCCATACATTATTCAGCAAACAGGTAATGAGAGTATTCAAACTTATCAGGTAGAAGCTGCTATCTTGATCTAGCACCATGTTCTCATAACTAATTTACAAGGAAATGTGTAGCAGTTAGAGGAGAGAATTAACAAATAAGATCTTGGGAGTTAAAGGGTTAAACTGTATTTGCAGATAGAATGTGCAGGGGGGAAAAGTATGTCTTATGTCTCATGTCTTATGGATGTTCTCTGAACCTGATACACATTTGATGCAATTCCGAAGTAAATGAGTGGCAGTTTTCATAGACTACTCTGTATCTGAACATGGTATATAAAATATCGTAGTCCAATTAATGTGTAAAGATAGCAAGGAACAGAGGTCATTTAAGAAAAGTGACAGGACTTAGCTTCAAGAGTGCTGACAGGCTTTGTTATTTTTAAATCCTGTTGAGTTGTCTCTAATCCTTTGGTCACTAGATAAAAATGTAGAACAAGACTGAGTGTTGAAAGAGATCTCCTAATTGTGTTTCTTTTCAAACTTAGCTGCAACACTAAGAGTCATGGCATTTTGCTACACCCTTCTCCAACAAGATACATATGCAACAAAACGGTCAGTCTTGTAAGATCTAAGTGCCTGCTAAATATTTTTTGTGTCATTCATATTTATTTGGTTCATTTTACCTAAAGACATACATTAGGCATTATGAATATAAATATTTTTTCCTTTTTGCTTTGTTTGTATTCATTTTTTGTCTGTAGTTTGCTTATCTGAATTAGTTAACTTAACTCTTATTTATGTTTTTAGTTTGAACCTACCACTAGCTGTTGCTCTCTAAAATAAAATTATTTCAAGTTGGAAAGATGTTTTTGCTGTTACGAGTCAATTATACGACATTTTTGAGCCAATACCAGTCATAAACTACTCTTGAAAGGTTATAAGTGAGATCTGATTAATCAATCCTCTATTGCAACTTTTAACTTATCTGCAGAGATATCTATTACACTGATGTTCCATTCTTTGGAAATCAGAGTGTTGTGGATTCAATCATTGACAACATTGCATGCATGCTGAAAGTGCCAAGACACTGTTTACATGTGGTGAGCTAGTTCAAATGTGCAACTGGAAGCTGTTTTATAACTTACTGTTAACTTTTTTATCATAGAAATGTGTCCTTGTTGGCAATCAGTGGCCATATGATTCTGCTTTCACTCCAGATTTAGTTGTCATTAGTGTCAGTTTGTTGTAAATTGTGGTCAGTAATTGGTAAGTTAGGTCAGTCTCTGTCCAAGTTATATATGCTCTCAGAAAATCGAAATAAGTCAGAACCAAACTAAACCACACAGCAGGTTGATTGTACTGACCAACCATATAACAGTAAGTGTAACACAATAGCGTAGGCAAAGATGAACAGCACAAGAATCAAACAGTTCTCAACAAGTGCAAAGGTTGGTGCTAATTGGGAAAGTAAAAAGACAATCCTTAGTTATTTTAGAAACAACTGAGCTCAGCTCTTGCTATACAATGTACCAGCAACCTGTGAGAATTACAGGATTGAAACATGGTTTGTATCTGATACACACTAAATGTTGGTAATTGTAAACCAGATGTAACCACACTTTCTTTTTTCTTATAAACTGAATCATTACAAGAGACGCATCAAAATGTAACCGCTAGATTTCTTTTCCTTTTATTTAGCTGGCTGCATCTAAAGGTAAGCCCTGTTTCTTGTTTTCAAACAGTAGATGGTTACAGCAAAGGAAGTTTGTGTTTTAATGATATAAGGAAGATACTTTTTAGAGAGTGCCTTCTGTAAATGTTTCTCACTTTTTAACAACCTCACTGGTTGCAATCCAAAGGACAGCGTGCTTCAAGATGGGTTGAGTTAGTTTCCTTTAAATGTTGAACTTGTCTCACCACAAAGTTGTCAGATAGGGCAGTTGAAAAGACAGACAATATTACACGTAGTAACCTAATGAAATCAAAGAAAGGCCGAGCAATACCTAATTTGAAAGAAAATATTACCTGACGAAGATTCGAGATGACCCAAACAACCTGTTCGTTTTACTCTTGCCTTTATAGTTCATGGACAGGTTGTTTTGTACGAATTGTCCAGGTAAGAAACGACTGTGGGTACGAAACGTTTAGATACCAACCCCTTTTTTGCTATCCATAGTCTTTATCTTTGACCATAGGTTGTATTGCTGGAGACCTGAGATACAGAGAACACGATGGATCATATGTAGATTGCAACGATAGTAACTCGGTTTGGCCTCCGTTTGATTTTTTTTCTTTCTTTCTTTTTGGCGTTTATGTTACATGTTTTTGGAGTTATATACAATGACCACCTGCGCTTTTCTAGGGACTGAAATACGGTAGCTACAAGAACTGGGTGGATACAAAGGTGGATTTTAATAGCGTGACTTGTTTAAAAGAGTGATTGGTAGTTGATAAGAAAAACCTTTGCCTGCCGCAGCACGAATCTTTGATAAGCCGCCGTATATCAACAAGGAATGACATTACAGGCACACGGCATGTCGTTGTAGTTCCCGGTGGAGAACAAATAGACGGAACATGGAATATCAACATGAGCTTGAAAAGTGCAACGCAGGATTGGTTTAATCAAAACTTTCGCGAGAACGGAAGCGATCTGAAACACTTTTTGAGATTTTCCCTAGGAAAAGGCCTCAAAGGCTGATTTGGTCTTTGGTATAATCATCTCTTATTTTTGTCATCGGAAGTGATCAGAGCATGGAGGAACGGCGGTTAATGTTGACGCACAGTGTTGTATATTTTGCACGCTCATTAGAATACGTGTTCACGAATAATCTAACCTTTCGAGAATAGTCGTCACATGTGCTAATGAATCGAATATGGACGTAACAATTTTCGAAAAGAGCTAAGTAACAAAGCCACAAACTGCTATGGTTGCCACCAAAAAATCAGTGACCGTAAATACTCTTTTAAATGTGTTGCTTTTAAATGTTCAAACAGATTGTGAGGAGATGGAATAAAGAGAAGTGAGACTTTCTGAGCTCACAGGCAAGCGGCTAGGTTGCTAGGCAAGATTAAAAATGGCGGCAATTTCAAATATATTGTTTAAATTATATTCTTTGTCTAGTGTAACTTTCAAATTTGTTTAAATCATTGTCATCATTGTCAGGGAACAATGGTGTCATCTCACGTGCAGGGAATTTACAGTATCCTTGTAAAGCAAACTGAACGACGTAACAGTGTTGCAATTTCTTGATTCAACGTTAAGTTCCATTGGGCAGCTACTAACGAAATACTTAACATTAAATATTTTCTACCGCACAGTACCGCCTATTGGCTTAAATTGAGTTCATATTCCCGCAGAACTTTTCGTACTGTGAAAACAGTATTCAGGAAATAGCCTACGTGTAGCCACACCCTTCCCCCATTTGGGGGGAGGGAGGGTACGGCTACACGATGGCTATGACGTAAAGATAGCTCTCGTTTGTATGGTCTGGTCAAAGTTAAAGTTGTATTGCCACATTAAAGTACTTCTCCTTCTTATCAATTTAGTTTCACCTACAGAGCCGTAACCGAAAACGTAAAACATAAGAACTTTGTCACATATTGCACCTCATGAGGTGTTTTATCTTAAAATTGAACTTTTAGCTGCTTACGTAACATATCTGATGACGATACGCAAGACAGAAATCCGATCGGCTCCGTTACATTTTGGGTTTTTTTCCTTAGCTATCAACTGACTAGATTTACATTCCGATGCCAAATTTGTGTTAGTTGTTGAAAAAGAAGCCTCCTTCCAGCGGTTGATGGACGACAATGTATTACAGAGGTTACACCCGTGTATTATCATCACTGTAAGTACAAGTTTAGCTTCTTCGACCGGGTGCTTTTTCGATTGAGTGTCTTAAAACCAGAACCAAAGTAATCACACTACCCAATCAAAAGAAGGGAAAATATCAAGAGGAACCAATAAGAACCCAGAGGAAAAAAACAAAAGTCAACAGCCTAAAGCGCGGGAAAACGCAGGAAAACGCAGGCGACCAAGTCGTGATTGGTTTTAGTTTTGCATCTGTTTGGTTGAAACAGGCGTAAGTTTTCTAAGCCGATCACGGTGTGAAGTAAAGCAAAACCAAAAACTACCTTTACGTTTTCATATCGGTCAATAGTCCATAAAAACTGAAAGCCCTGGACTATGATCATCTGTGATTTCCTCGACACAACTACACTTTTATTCTGAGCTTAGACTGTTACGTCGTTTCCTTGTTCTTGGATTCCTAGATTTTTCTTCACACTACAATTTAAGTAATGATGCTGTTTAATTTGCTAATTTCACTTCTGTTGAATTATTTTTGTAAGTATGCTATGTGATTTGAAATTTTAGGGCAAAGGTTTCCCAGATGTGAATACCCGTATGATGGTCCGTCGATTGTGGTGCACTCTCCAGATACCTATCTTAGCTCTTGTGGATGCAGACCCTCATGGTGAGTGACAATCCTCTTTCCTCTCTCTCTTGTGTTCTCCTGGAGCAGCATACGCCTCATTGATGAAGGGTGAGGCGACGTAGCGTTAGCAAAACTTTCCCTAACCGGATTTTTGTATATCTTTGTTGAGTGAATAAGGAGCACGTGTCTACAGTTGAACCTAAGAATACTCGATCTAAATTCTGAATTCGGCCAATTTTATGCAGCAACTTCAAAGCATAAATCCAGCATGGCGAGTTAAACACAGTCAACTTCGTCTTACTATTGCCTCAACGAACAAGCTACGGCAAAGTAGTCACGGTAGGTTTTATAAGGCCTAATTATCTAATTATCTTGGTATACTCTCCAATCGACGTAGCACTGCAGTTTCTTTAGAAACTTACCCTCTTTTTTTTGTCAGGCTGCAGCAAATGCTACGAAGTACGTCGCCTGTGCGATACCATGCAGAAATTATGATTTGTTTCCTTAAAAAAACCTTCAAGAGTTTAGTTCATTTTCATTTGCAGGTATTGAGATCCTCAGCGTATACAAGTTTGGTTCAAAGGTACGCCCTGTTTAGTCAAACCATTGACAATTTTTGATTAATTGTGAGTAAATTTCTTTCACTAACCAATCAGTGGCCGCTGAATTTTACAGGCCCTCTCGTTTGACGCACACAGCTTAACCGTTCCTGTTTTAAAGTGGCTCGGCGTGTTGCCAAGTGACATCACCAGGTATCATTGTTTGAAAGAACGATTTATGCTGGGTAATAATTTGCATTATGTCGGTTAAACTTGGTCCATGACGCAGACAAATTCAGAGCGACGTTTATCGTAGGAAGTACGGCGCATCTGCCAGGTGCAATGTATGTTTATGGGTCAGATTGCTGTTCTAAAATAGCTTAGTTTCGTAGCGTTTACCTTCCGAGCAATGTCCGAGCGAGATCTGGGAGTCTTTCGGTGATGTCACTATTCACGAAAGGGTCTAGTTTTGAGCGCGCCGAGAACGTCGAGGGCAAAGGTGGAGTTATTCCACGTAGCCACATTGAACAAAATTAAGGAAAACGCGTGCACAGGTTCGTTAAGCTCGAACGTTATCTTCACGTTAGAGTTCGGTTGCCGCATAATGTAAAATTTACCATCTTATTCCAGGTTATCTATTCCGCATGATCAACTTATACCGCTGACCGAACGAGACAAATGCAAAGCACGTGAACTGCTTGACCGGCCCTACATTCAGTCCCAAGAAGTCTGGAAACAAGAGGTATGTGACGAAACGCCCCTTCACAGGCGTAACAAATCGATCGCGTCGTGAATGAGACCGGATCGTTGTAACCCAGAATCGTTCGAGTTCCCACCTAGTCCCTTAACGTTCTCTCTCTTCACACACACACACAAAAAACAACAAACAAACGACCTCATGTGACTGTTTTATCACCGCTTAATGCTGAATACCGTCCTCAGACATTCAAACATTTTGGCAAGCTTTAAATCGCGAGATAACGCGATTTTGAACGTGTTTATACAATATCAATGATGGTTCAAATCAGAGTTCAAAGGCCTTTGAATAAAGTTGACGAAACGTTTTCTAGCTTTGTGTTTTCTCCTTCAAATACTGGATTATTATTTTTTTCAGATTAAGACCATGTTATCGCTGGGATTTAAGGCAGAGATTCAAGCTCTTTCCTCCATCTCCTTCAATTTTCTTTCAGAGACTTATCTCCCTGTTAAGATCAAGCATGGCCGATGGATCTGATATCAAAACTATCACTTGGCTTGCACTGTCCTTCATATTTACTCACATTTAAGAAAGCAATGACAACACCTCTTTGAAGGAATAGTGACTAGAGCAACGGATTTCTGAATAACAATTAATTAACCACGTGACATCCGTGGATTTTTTTTTCCAATGACCGAGAGTCCAGACCAGTGACTCAATTTCTAAATATATTAATGTTATGACAATCTGCAATTAACGATTGCAGATTTCAACTGCTTACAAAATACTGCAATCGTTATTGCAGTATTTTGTAAGCAGTTGAAAAATCAAATAGTTGAAAATAAATCTGTTCAATACAGCTCTTCTCGGTTTTCCTTTCATAAAGTATATAGCCAGAAGTACTACTATACCCTCTGGGTGGGATGCTTAACTGTTGCAGATTATCCTCAAGCATTTACTTGAGTTTCTCTACTGTATGGCTGATATTCATTTACATGTATACCTCTGGAAGAAGAGAGTGAAGTGTCTTGTCTAGGATTAAAGCATGGATGCCAAGTCAAGGCTCTACCCCAGACCTCTTGACATGGGAGTTCAGCATGCTGAACATTGAGCTACTTCTGCTTTGTTTTGAGTACCACTTGAACGACAAAGTTATTTACTCTTTCCTTGTTTAGATTTAGATATAGGTTCTATGTTATATGCACTACACAGAAAAAAGATTGCAAACATGTTTATTTACATATCATATTTAATTTCCTCAAAACTACAAGGAGATTTTCTTTGCAGTTTAATAGTGGCCTGAATGAAGAGTATAAGATCACATCTAGATTGCACTACATCACAGTTAAATTTGAATTTCCTGAAAAAATCTTGAAGACTACCATTCATGTTTAGGGATAAGACTGTTAACAAGACAAAGATATATCTGGTGATTGCAAAGATGTTAACATGTATTATAAGATCTTAACAGATTTTTAGCACTGTGAATATAACTAACTCCGCTCCACCTAGGTATGCTGCAGAGATCTGTTGAATGCATTATATGCCTGTTCTAAATCAAACAACATCTGTCGCACTTGTTCATCAGTAAGTTCATCACTTGCTTTCATACTGCTCAGTGTTTCATACCTACAGTTTACAGGCAAAACAAATCAGTAATCAGTAAGCAGTGGTAAACAGTTTGTGTGATTTATGACCATATATCATTCACTTGAATTTGAACCTGCTAGTTGTCTTTGAGTTACGCCTGGTTTAAGTAAGAATGTTGGTAAAGTACAAAAGCCCCAAATGTAGGGGATTGGTACTAGTAATATCTGGCTTACATCCATATTCTACAAATTTGGGCCACTACCAATGAGAGTCTTATTAAACCTGAGCTTTACATGACCAGTTAAATCTGTAGAGTGCAGGATACCATGCACTCCCAGAATTTGCTCACTATATGACACAGTATGGTAAAAGGGAGTTCAATCACTCTGATGAAGGGCTAACGCTTGAAATGTCAACTTTTAAACTCTAACGATGGCCAATTTACATTAACAACTCAGTTGATAATACTTAATTACCCTGTTATACTCTCCCACTCACGCAGCACCACAGTTTCTTTAGAAACTTACCCCCTTATTCATTAGTGTGGTAAATTTTGCTATTACTCCAGAGTACCCTCATCCCATAACTCTCCCACAATCTAAGTACTGTCTCTGTCCATTGTTTAAAGTGCAACTCATTTTAAGCTGAGCAAGATTGATTTACAGAGAGAAAAACCTGTAAGTCAGCAACATTTATTGGACGGATGTTCAAGCAGACTTCTTTAATAATTTATGGCGTAAGTAGTTGTTTCACACATCAACCCTTAAATCACTGTCGTACTAGCAATTTCCACTCCATCCTCATCAGGCTATTTTTTGCTTGCAGTGAATGACTGGCAGGTGATGGATGACAATTTTAATTTGCTGGATAATGATCCAGCGCTCATTGTTAATCTTATTTCTAAACAACATTTATTAAAACTTACCACCCATTCACTTTGACTTTTCCCTCAAAATCCTCAGGGAGTGCACTGAGGCTGTTCATAGTATCCATTAAGTCTCTCAGATCTGGATGAATCTGTGTTGTAAATAACCATTATAATCACAGTAAGGGATTGTTGTAAAGAGAACAACTAATTAACATTAGACATTAGAATTGGCTGAATCAGAAATTGACACAATCCAAAGACAAACATCTTTGGGCTACCTGAATGGATAAAGTTGAGGCTCCCTGATAAACTTTCAGGGCATTGTAAAAAAAATGCAAGACTAAAAAAACTTTTCTGCTCTGAATTTGAAAAACCATCTTGCACTTGTGACTTGCACTTCACAAAAGCATCCATACCATGCAGAATACCTGAGTGTAACCATTTCCTTTAAGGAAAGTCTTAGATTATAACCTAGATGAAAGCTTGATGAAATGATACTTATTAAGTCACTATCACTAGTACTATGTTACCTCATCCATGGCTCTGATCTGTAATCTAAGCTTGTCCATGATTGTTATAAAGAGCTTAAATTAAAGCAAAGAAACAATAACTGTGAGAACATGTGAACAAGTGAAAGGGGATCTGAGGGGATAATTTCTTGCCTAAAACCAATATGCTTGAACTCCTACACCTGAAATTTCATGAACTCATGTATATAGTATTACTAAAAATGCTCTCTTGAAATTCTCCTAATTTCAAATATCAGTTGTGGATCATCAGTGGAGACAGAGAATTTGGAAATGGCAAACAAAAAAAAAAATTGTGCAACTCCACTCCATTCCAAAAACAATGCCATCAACATCCCCTCAAAAGATTACTTTACTTAACCAAAGACAAAAAATTATAAATCCACTAAAATGAATATAATTTCATCTTGAGACCTGAGTATCCAGTCCAATTGAAGAAATGCCACAACTTAAAACCATATTCACTTCTGTGATGAACATTACTTCATTCAATAGCTATGTGATACAATGTGCACTTGCATGATTACATGATACATCTTTTACTCACTGAAACTGTGTCTGCAATGGCTTTACTGGTATTTCCTTTATCATCCTTGATAGTGATGGGTCTGCCCTCTTTTATTCTCTCCAGAGCAGCAGGACAATCCAGCTAAACAAGCAAATACCACACTTGCATGAATCACATTAATAGTAGATAAAATAGATGTAACTTAAATGCTTTTAACTCCAGCCGCCCAAACTCTTCACAATGAACATAGCATTTGGACATCTGTCTTTCTTGATTTCTTTTTTTTCTCCTTTAATCCTTTAACTCCTAGAAGTTATTAACATGTAACATCTCCCGATAATATCTGTACATTATCTCGAAAACAGGCAGTGATAATACTCAAACTCATCAGGTACAAGATGTTACCTTGATTGAACACCTAATTCTTGTAACCAATTTACAAGGGAATGTGTATCAGCTAGAAGGGAGGATTAACAATCAGATCTTGGGAGTTAAAGGGTTAATCTAGTGTATTTCATGTGTCACAGGAATGGTAAATTCAACTAATGAAAGATGAGGTCCTATGTTAGAAATCAGTTTTTTTAAAGGGACTTTCTGGATGGATAGTTGTACTTCAAGTTATACCCAGTAATTATTAGACCAGTGAGTATTGATATTAGAACAGAGGGTTCTGGGGTAACTTGGTTTCTTCAGGTACAACTCTCTGTCTTGATATCAATACATTATTATGATAACATTTTTTAAACAATGAGTTGTAAAAGTACACCTGCCAAATCACAAAGAGTCCATGACTAATCTTTTGTGATTTACACTAAAATTATGCAATTAATTGCTTTTACACTCTCTTTCAGTCAATGAGCCACATTAGTGTTTAAAAAATAAAAGAAAACCCAACAAAAGAAAAAAGAGCAGGTTCATAAAAATCTTACCCTAAATTTTTTCATGAAAGCCTCTACTGTTGGATATTCAGCTGACTGCACAAGCTTGAAGGCAGCCTGAAAATAGCACCTCCTGTTAACTAACTTAACAATATTAATTCACACTATAATAAATTAGTACTAGGTGGAAGTATTTCAAGCACCACTCCAGGAGACTTCTTTTAAGGACAAAAAACAAACATCTCCACATAGTTTAAATTTAAGATACCATGTTGAAACAAAGCAATTAGTAGGAAAGGATTCTTTAGCCAAAATCTACTCCTACAGAGCAAGGAGACAATTTAGCAGTGTAAATCAAAAAGGTCACAATCATGGTGGTATTAATTGTTATAATAAAAAACCAAGAGGTGTATAACTCACCTTGTATTGAACCAGTAATTTAGAACATGCAGCAGTGTATCTAAGAAAAATTTATACAGTGAATGCTGTTAAGTATAGCAATCAGTTAGTTAACTCACATTAACTGTGTGGGCTGAGAGCAAAAGCTGTATTCAATAATAATTATAATTAGTATAGATGCTCAAGTGTTTATAGAGATGTGCACACTCTGATTGGTCACAGATTACATTGTATCTCACCATAATCCCCAAGCAAGAGGTGATTATAGCAGGAGTACTAAATTTCAAAATGGCTGCCTTTTGTCAATGTTTCTAAAGGAGAAAATTCAAATTTGAAAGGTCCCAAAAGATGCTAAAAGATTGGCAGAACACTTTTTAAAAGAAAGATATGAAGTTTTGGTGATTGAATAAAATTTACCTGTTAATTAAACTTACACGTTTATCTTGATACAAGTAATCAATGCAATTGTAGAAAATAAATGCACAATGCTTTCTTCATTTACAGATTGAATTAACAAAAAATTTGAAAACACCCAAGCAATAATACTTGAACAATCATTTGCCTCAGACCCAGTGAGCATTGTTGAGTAGGCCCCTCATCTTTTTCTTAGGAATTACACAACAAAATCTCTTTGCCTTTGGCAAACAATTGTTAGTTAACCTGAAGAAAGACTCAAATTAACTAATTTAATTTGACTCTTTTTCATGTTTCTGTGGAGTACACTGTGTAAACAAGATAAGATTAGCAAAAAAGGGGGAGAAAGACGTATTGAATCAACTATAAAGAAAGAGGAAAATTATCAGGGCTTAAAAAATCACATTGTTAACCTGAAAAATTATGAAATCTGCATGGCTAAGCAATTTTAGCTGGCATTAAAAAGGTTTACATCAGAATGAAAATATTAGCTTTTATCTGAGTGGTTTGAAATTAAATTTTAAGAACTTTAAGTTAGAGAAAACGAAAGTTTATCAGGAATCACTGACAACACTCACTCTCTTGGTGTCACTACATCTCTGATGTAAGCTTTCTCCAAACATTGTAAAGTGTTGATGATAGAAAATAGATCTGCCATGTTGTCATATCTGAAAAGATAGAGCGAATGTAAGGAACTAAAAAAACTGTGTCAAACATCATTGGGCTAACACCATCAGGGTTAATAGGAGAGACATCCAGCAGCAGTTGAGAATCATGAGATTTCATAATCTTTAGAACATGAGACAATGCTTACTTATTGAGGGTGTCTGGCAGAGGTTGGGGAAAGGTGACCAAGTAACCAGTCTACAGAGTACAGCAGGTACACTCACAAGGTATTTCTTCAACATTCACTTTACATCACAGAATCACTGCATTGCACATGCAAGATCTTACAAGTTCTGCCATACTCTGCAGACTGGCCCTGTGAAGGTTTAAGATTAAACAATGCTATTGATTTTTGTGTTATGCTACAGTTGGCAGGCATCTCAATAGCTGCTTTACCTGTAATGTGTCAAGTTACAACTTGTGGGCTTTGTGAGCCATAACTTAACAAAACTTTGATTCCTAACTTTATATGAAACAGGTAAGGTTATTACCAAGTATTACCTCTGAATGGGAGGTAAATTCATTGTACACTGGTCCATATACCCCCTCCCCCTCTAATTTCATTTGGTTTCCCTGATTTCACTCCCGGAGGAGACACACTGTGAGAGCCCAGAATAAGCCATAAAAATCATTAATTTATTTCCTGCTAGGACTTGAACTCAGATCTTCCAATCTAAATTTTTGCACCTGACCATTGGGCTAATGCCCCTTTTACAAGCAACCTCCTCATCCTTCAAGAATGAGTCACCTCCATACTGGGGTAAAGCGTTAAACTTAATGACATCATTAAATTTGTCAGGTGCAATACTTACGTTTCCCTCTCACGAGCATTCTTGTACAGCTTCACTTCCTAACGAAAGAAACACGATACAAAATCCGATCACTGAGATATTTTTTAGATTTATTGTGTACCATAAATAGAATTAAACGCATCTTCTATTTTTAAATTACCTTTAGTTTTTCCAAAAGATATAATGCATGTTATGATGTAAGCAGTAGAATCTTAATATGATGAACTTTATGTTATTGTAAATAAAACTGAATTCGAATGTAGTCATACCTCAAACAACTCTGGCCTCATGGCTGTAAGAAACAACCAACCAAGAAATAATCAATACAACAAACTGTTAAATTCTTAATTCACGTTTCAAATAGCTGCATCAGCGTTAATAACTGATAAATTCAGCAAAAATCTCAGGCTTATCGGCTCTCCACCCTTCCATTGGGGTAAATTCCTCTTCTTAAAAACCAGAGTTTACAATAGTAATTGCAAAAAAGATATACAAACCTTGAGGAGAGGGCTGATTTCCAGAAATACCAGCAAACATATTTAAAAATGTCACTACAAGGCGAACAAATTTAGTCTCACATGACGCAGTTGAGGTTGTTTCGGAAATATTACTTGGTAGCCTGGCCTTAGCGCTAAGTCCCAGTCTCCAAGAAGTTACTTTTTCAGTCCGTCTTTAAAGTACGACAAAGGGGGTAAATTTTTTGAGAAACTGTGGTGCGGCGTCGGTGGGGGTATGAATAGACAATCTGGCTTAGGCAAATGAGTTGATAATGTAAATTGGCTGCCGTAAAGAGTTTCTAAAGCTGACGTTTCGAGCGTTAGACTTAAGTCAAAGCGAATTAAAGCGAAGGGCTATCGCTCGAAACATCAGCTTGAGAAACTCTTTACCGGTGGCCAATTTAAATTATCAATTCAGTTGTAAAAACCAAATTGTCCTGATTGTAGCTAGATCTGCCATCTTCAAAAAGTCTTAAGTCTATTTTTCACCGTTTGTTGATGATTTAACCTCAATAAATGACGACGGGCAAAGAGTTACGTTCTCCTTACTCATTAAGGCGCAAGGCAGGGCTAATGCTGGTGACCTTCCTACTAGTTTCAGTGCTTTCCCTTTTAGGCCCTTTCACGGATCTTTCCAGCAACTAGCCTGTTCCAGGCCCTCGCTCAATGGAGAAGAGCGAGGCAGCTGCCCTCGCGTTATTTCCTCCACATTTCGCTTTTCGCGCTTTTTAGCACGTCTCCACTGACTAGTAACCTGACACAGAAACATTTAAGATCGTCACTGGCTAGTTTTGCATAGTGGTTACCCATTGAGGGTGAGATGAGAACGGACAGTGGGCCGGGAGATAGAGAACAAGTGTTGCAGTAAGTGGGATCAATATCAGTATCTAGTATGCGATGAAGTCACCTAACATTTTGGTATGATTCAGAGTTCAACAAACCATAAAAATTGAATACCAAAAATTTTAAACGACAAACATTCGTATGAACAAGGAAGCCACTAGGAAAGAACTTGAACAAATGCATAGCATTGAAGCTCCATAAGTCATTTGAAGACGCTTCAGTTTCCCTGCCCCTTTTCGCCTCCCTCCTCCCCGCCCCGCCCCCACCAACATATCATGATCACTTATTGCTTTTATTCTTATTTATTCCAAAATCCATTTCGCTTTTCACTCAAATAAATAAAAATACACCAAGAAATTTTCTTATTTCAAACTATGTACAATTAATTAATCCAAGCTATCTCTGCTCGAAAAACACGTCACGTATTCGGCGTTCCTCCACGTTAGACTTGGCCAGCGGTTTATTCCTCGTTGTCCTGTAGACTTGGTTAGCGTATGCTAATGCTCTTTCTTCATTTTTAGTTCTTCCCGCTCTGTTAAGAAACGAAAGAGCGAGAATCAAAAGATAAAAGAGCAATTTCCATTTAAATGTCAAAAGTACTCCAGGACTGCATCGGTTTGCTCAGTGATTGGACCAGAAAACTCGTGCCACCCTCTCTAAACTAAAACCAATCACGACACAGTCGCGATTGGTTTTATGACAATTTTACAACAGTCAATCGAAAAGCACTCCGTTATGGACAACTGACCACCTCATGCACCCACGAGGAAGTTGATTCCCAGCTGTTTACAGTAGTTGTATTTTGACGGATCAGTATTGACAAATTATACCACCCCCCTTCCTTATCATATCAGTTGATGACAAGAACGCAGGAGCACACAAAGGCCTCACCACTTCAACGTGCAGTACAACCTAAAACACCGTTTCCAAGTCCTGGCTACAGTAAAAGCATTTGTCTGTGTTTGGTTTCTGTTCTCATGTGTTGAATTTCAGAAGGCAGACTCATTGATCCCGCCTTACAAAGGCCCTCAGACAATGAGGACAAAGTGACGAGGGGGTCAGAACTGCCTTAAAATGAAAATAGACGGTATTTGAAATGAAAACGAGACAGAAAAGTCCCATCCATATACTTACGCAGGTATTCTGCGAGACTTGGTATCATGAAACACATTTGGCAAGATAAAAACTCTCACAGGTGGAACTGTTTCTGTTCTGTCTTTGTAATGTTCCCGATGATGTTGGGCAGCCTGCACAAGAAAAACATGTATGTTTCCTTTTGCTGACTTTCAAAGTATACGCCAGTATTATTGTTTCCATTGACTTCTGATGGAAAGTACGTGTTGGTGGTGCTATTGAAAAAGAGTTGGAACCATTTTTGATCTGATTAACCTCATGTGGAGCGGAAAATTTCGACTATGAGCTGCCTTCCTTTGAGGCGTGCCGATGAGAACGGAAGATATGGAGCAAAAAATGTTGGAGCGCGCGCAGATACTTATGGGCTACGTGGTTTTGTAGCTATAAACGCGTGCCACATGGCGCTTTCTATTCACACCGTGAACAGCCCCCCCCCCCCCCCGCTCTGCCGGGGTCGGCTTTGGTTGGTAAGAGGGGTGTTAGCTGGAAAGAAGCATGCGAAATGTAAAACAGTATTTATTCCCTACAGCTCCAAGAGCGATTTTAACAAAACTGACTTAATTAACAAAACACACCTTATCATATTTTTTGATAGCCACATCCCTGTCATCTACATTAAAAAGTTTGTATTTAGGCGCTGCTTGCCATCGGTCACGTGATCTGGTGCGAGCGCCCAAAACATGATCAGGGTTGTTGGTATAGTAAGTAGGGAAGGGGAGAAATTTGTCCCCTCCCCTCCCCATCCGTTCTTTACTTGTGTTCAAAGTAGCAGCTCGGTAGTCCTGGAACCAGCGGCCAGTTGTGTTGCCAAAAGTTTCACCGTACGTGAACTTGATCTGCGGCGTATACCCAAGGTAACTAGAGAGGTAGGGTAAGGATTAGTTCAGACATTGGGGACTAAAAAACCAAAATAATACTAAAGAGCCAGTAAATTATAACAAAGCGTCAAGGGAATTCAATTCAAACGAAATCAAAGGTCTGCAAACTGCCCGAAGAGCGGGAAATTGCTTATTACGAGCTCCCGATTTTTTTTTTTGTTTTGGTTTTTGTTTTGGTTTTTTCTTTGGATTAGTCCTTTTTTAAAACTACTAAATATCATCATGGTTAGGTATCTTTTTTTAAACTGTGGTGCGAGTTTACAGCAATGGTAAAATAACGATGCAATACCTAATTACTTCCGACTCGAAATCTGGAAAAGCCGATTTCACTCCACATAGGAAACGAGAACTTCAGCATGTCATGAGCGTTTATCACCCATAATTTTTTGAAAACACTGATCAATCCCTGAGCTTTTCGAGGTGCAAAACTTTATTTAGATCGGTGACAATTATGAGTATACAGTCGACAATCTGCAAGTATCTGCATAAGGTTGTAATCTTAGAAGTCCATCACGGATTTTCACAGCTCTAGAAATTCGCCTGGGATGTGCCAGCAAAATCCTCCCTGACCTCTCTCGTAACAACTTGGAAGCTTATGGTTGAAAGTTGTTATTAGGGTTTCCAATAAATTATCTTTGCTATAAATTGATCGTTTTCTTACATGTAGCGCGGGGTAAATGAATTTTTCGGCCACATGGTGGCAAACCGGATATTAAATACCGTCCTTGGAAACAAAATTATTTCTTTCATCTCAAACAATTAGGTGAAAAATCTCGCCCATCAAGAACTCAAAGACTTCAGCGAAACCCTTCGTTTCACAATCAATGCACAAATTTTTACATCAAACTACCTTATTTTGTTTTGATGAATTTGCAAACTTCTGGAACTGAAATTATATTGAACCAGTAAAACATTACCCTAGGAATAATACTATCCTAGTGAAAATTAACACTCAGAGTGTAACAATGCTTCAAAATTACTCTCGCTCACTTACGACTTCTTCTCGCGTAAGATCGACCCCAGTTTTACATCATTCCCAATGTTTTGCTAGATCGAGATAGTTCCATTAATATTATCTCTTGTACCACGCGTGCTGTCTCTTAAAAACTTACCCTGGAACATGTCTAGGATGTCGATATATCTCCATGTTGGTCGTTAATAAAGTCAGTTTCTCCATTTCGCACCGCACTTAAACTCAATTTCTCTTCTTCCCAATCCAGTGAAATACCGAGCAACGATCGGGAAAAAAGTTGATGAAAGTTTCGTTTTCAGCCACCAGCACGCTCCTGCGTTGCTAGCAACAAATTACGCAATTTGCAATTCAAATCGTGCCCCCGACTAGTGACACGTGAAATGTAATTAAAACCATCTGGGACAAGATTCGCGCCCGCAAGCCCAGCGGATCACCCTTAAATATTCGATTAAAGTTGTAGATACACCACATTACACGTGATTGATTAAATGTCTCGAATTATTTTTTAAATTCATTTCTCTCCAGTTGGTGTCGTGCTTATCAGTATCTGTTACTGTTAGTACTAGCGTTTACACAAGACAGTTTAATTTGACGATAATTTTTCCAAATACCAACATGTCAGTTCTTGAACTTGGAGGATTGTCAAGAGAGATCTTTGAAGATTAATTTTGCTGCTCGACTTGACAAGACGCATGTCAAGACTATTGTCCGAGGTTTTACCCTTTGACACCCTGCGAAGACCATTTGGCGCTAAATTTCATAACTTTGTGAATATTAAACGAATTTCTGATGATTATTAACCAAAGAAAACATCAATGGCTGTTGATTGAAGTCAAGTCGAGATATCTCTGATCTACTAAAGTAAGGTTGAGCGCGCGAGCAAATGTTTGGAAGACTAACATGACCATAAGTAATGCACTTGCGGCTTCACATTGAGGTACAATTCACCGACATCTATACCTACATGACATTTTAAGGTTCGCCAATTTTTAAAGTTTTTCTTGTCTTTTACGTTTTAAAGGCAGTTCTCACTAAACGAAAACCCTCTTAATAACTGGCAAGGAAATTTTTTTTAAATATGCTGAACAGAAATTAAAAAAAAAAGCACAATGTAAACTTACGCTCCGGTTTCTGTATTTTAGTGTATCCCTTTGCACCAAGGGATTATGGGATGTGCTTATTCGACAAGTTTTCCTGAAAAACTGTGATCGACAATTTCTCTTTGTCGAAGTATAAAGTAAAAAATTTCCCCTTGGAAAGCTTCACAAGGGAACAGTACTGCAGTTGGTGTTTAAACGCGGCTTCACAAATGGCATTGTAACTGGTGCGATGTAGTCAGTGATGTAAAAAGTGTATAAAAAGTTGAACCCTTTACACCCTAATATCAGCATGCATATTCTTCATACTCTTCTTTATATATTTACTACGGTACTGACAAGGAGAATTTGTTTGATAATCAGGAGCTTCCTAAATTGGTGATCGTTTCCTTTATTCTCATGGCCTTAATGTTTGATTCGCGGGTAATTATGTGAGGTGAAATTGTAAGAGGTCGGTCACTCTAAGGGTTGAAGTGTTGAAAAAGGGAGGAAATCAATCACTGGATTATCTTTCAACAAGAGTAACTTGTCGGAAGATTGCCCACGATTAGGGGGCTTTTTCCAGAAACAAGTGTTAGCCCTCCCTTCGCGTTTACATAAAAAACTCCTGACCCCCCCCACCTTTAGGTGACTGACAAAAGTGCGACCCTCCCCTCCCCTCACTAATACATGGTACGTTCCATGCCTTACAAAAACCTCAGAACATTTCGCTTGTGAACGCAAAATGTTTGCATATAAATACATCTCGATATTGAATGTGAGCGAGCTGAAACAAGAAAATGCAAACAATCAGTGTAATATATTTACGTTTTATAGCTGAAGTTTGAATACGGAAGTATAAACTTTGAGACTTTGTAAGTCCTTCTCCAGCCACACCAACACCACGACCCTATCCCGATTACAGCAAACTTCCCGAATTTCACTATATACCAAGTACGAAAACACCTACGAGTTGCCGCAAACCTGAGCCTCGAGCTCAAATAGAACAGATTTTTCAAGGGGGTAAGCTTAAAGCAGAGGATGAAAAGGCAATCAAAGAGTTTTCTGAAAAATACATTGTTTTTAAGTAAAGCTTGTTGCAGATTACATTGAGCATCAAACTGACATTGAAATGAGAAAAGATAAGCGGTGAACAGATAACGACAGGAAGCGTGCAGAAAGAAAGCAGCACTGAGGAATACAATGACATTGACTGGGAAGATTTCTATCACAGAAACCAGTTGTCATCCCTTAGAGTATGTAAACTTTAACTGTATATTAATCACCACAATGTTGCATTTAAAAGAAAGAAAGATGAGAAAGTAAGGGTGGTGAAGGCACGTATTCGCAGTAAGATTTTGACTTCTGTTGTGCAGGACGGTCAGAACAACATTCAGCCAGCCTCTGACTCAAATTCAGAGTCTGACAGTGACAGTGACAGGGTAGAGCGTATTGCTGGATTTAGTAGTAATAGTAACTTCAGAACTAAATGACTCAGGAGATCAGACAGCGGATAGTCAACAGGATCAAGAAGCTGAAGAAACGATATCTGAGTTTAGTACGTCTAGTACGAAAAAGGACACGAGTCCTCCGAGAAAACTATATGTGCCATGGCATAATGTACATGTAGAAATGTAACCTAGACTGACCTATAATAAAACACCAAATTAAATAAGTAGGTGAAAAGAAAACCTTTATCCGTAAGGAAAATGGAAAGCAGCATTACAAAAATCAGCATTAAAGAATTCTGGAAAAAGGTGTGTGACCTTGAATAGCTTACAAAGAGGTATGACCCTCCCCTTTTGGTGCTCGCTTTCACTGATGACCCTCTGAGGCCTCAACCCTTCCCTCCCCAAGAAAAAACGTACCTTCCCTGAAAAAATCAGGGGAACTAAACCAGAATGATAAGTGCGGAATGTGAAGTTAACAAACCGTCATGTTAGCTAAGAGCAATCGAAACCACACAAGAAGACGATAACGCATAAAGTTTAAACCTATTCAACTACATTCTGCACAACAGATACAATTTTTGCGTTTTTCAGGCAAGACGGGAGGCAAGTAAGCGCAAGAAGTGAAAAACGCACTCGCCTCCGCTCCCCTTACAACGCTAAAAAGATTACGCCTTCTCTACAGTTTCAACAAGAGAGGGCTTTCGGATGATTAAAAGAGAAGTATTTGAAGCGGCCTTGAAGTATAACTTACGTAAAAGCTTTTTAAGTCCACGGCTCAGTTGTCCTTGGCTTAAATATCAATCCTGTTCTTCTTTTATTATCACCAGCCTTGTTCATTAGCTTTTCGGAATAATTTGTTCTTTACTGTTTAGGTAATCTAGTCATCAAATTCTGAGATGAAATAAATTGTAGTAAATTCTATTTTATAGCTTCCAGATCTGAAATCAGATTTCACACTGACCCTGTGTACTCTTAACCCCAGCTTTGAACAACCCGGCTCAGGTTTCAACGGGTAAAGATGTTTTTGATAAAGGATTGTGCTGTCAAATATAAAGTAATCATCGCGACCGTTCAGAAAAGTTGTGGTAAATATTAATAAAAGCCAATGAGATCTCAAATATAAACGCAAAGGAAAAGGTCCTATTTGGTTTAAGTTTGAATCTGATTGGTTGAGAATGTGGCGCGCGATATTTTCAACCCAATTAATAGTGCGTAATGAGGCAAAACTACTCAATTGGAAATTGTTGTTTTTAGATTGCCTTGGGTATGTTTGCACTCAATCAGTCTGGTAGGTTAGTTTTTGTTAACAAATGCTGATTTCATCTTATTCCAACTCAGAGCTCTATGAAGGCTGCTACCTATAGTCTTGGAGAACTTGATGTAAATATTCAGTCAGCCATAGAACTGATTTGAATCAGCCACCTTTTAATAATGACGACAAACACATCCCTACCCGAAACCTCTGCATTACATAACTGAAGCCACTGGTAGAGGGGGTCACTGCGACCCCAAAACGCCACTTCGAGATGGATGCACACGACAATCATGGAGTTCTAAGCCCGAGTCGCACACTACCATCAAATAGGAAAAAGGCTATTTGATACGAAATTAGTTGCGTTTAAAAAAATGATTCTGGCTGCAAATGCCCAGTCTATCAAAATTAGTTTATTTGTGATAAATAAAGAAGAGCACCCAAGCTCACTACCAAACACGTCCCTTACGTAACATCTAAACGCTCCGGATAAGCAACAAGCTTACGTGTCCTAAACTAATTCACCCGTCATTGTACAAAAATAAAAATTATGATGCTCACACAAAGCAAAAAAGTTTGAGTGATACAAGTAAGTTTAACGACATAGCGAAAGCTACAGTTATAGACACAGCTGACCCAATCGTAGAGAATTGTTTATAATGATATTTCTCAGAGATTACAGAATTTCAAAGCCGGCATACAAAGTTCAGTCAGTGCAAATGTGCCTTTATTTTACAAAGCTAATATAGAAATACCGAATGTTGCAGCCTCTCGATGTATGAAAGAACCCCTCCCCCCCTCTTTAAAATCTTCATTTCTAGTCAACATGTTCACGTAATCAAAAAGCACACATGGAATTTCCCGATTCAGTCATACACAGAAATGGCCAGAGACCCGGCAAACACCGATAGCACAGATCAGAAAGTAGTGCCGTCTGCCTAAAGTCGAGCATTTACTCACGTACATCAAAGCGGAGAATGTTCTATCTGGATCGCGATCATTATCCAAAATTTTTTTTCATAGCAGTCTTGTAAACCCCAAATCTCTAATCACTATGAGTTTCTCAGATGAACGACACGTTAACTAGCATTAAGAAAGTGTCATGCAAAGGTAGTATACACTGTACAAATACAAACGAATGAGGGTGTGCGAGTAACGGCAAAAATAGATGTTTAGCTCCTCAGGATGATTACTCACTTACTCTCATTTACAAAACACTTTTGCATGTATTCAAGCTAAGGACCCGCCTTAAAAAAATTCACACCTCATTTAAGCTCTATTAATCTCCCCTAATGCATTGAAATAGTCTTTGTCTGTGACCAACCAACGCCCCACAACTACCAGTTTACCAGTTTACAAATATTGAAATTAACGACAGTCCATGGACGAGAAATGCATTATAGCTGTGTTGGACTGATGGTCTTTACACACGGATCCTGAAAGAGCTACAAGACAAAAAAAGTGTAAGTTAAAAAAAAAGACCCTCTTCTACCAAGAGTCAAAACTACAAAAATAAACACGGTGGCCTCGTGTTTGGTGAACAGAACTCCAGTAGTGGGACCAACTAAAAGGAGGCACCAGGAAAAGTGTTCAGTACCACCAGGAATTTGCGCAAGAGAGATAAAAACACGTTTACTTACAGGAAGCTGGTACCGCAACTTAGGGTGCTTACAATTCATCAGAACTAGCCGGCCAGACCCGTCCATTCACTTAATAAAGTCCAAATTATAAGGCGAAACTACCTAAATAGATAGGTCAATCCCTAAAAGACATCAACGAACTGAACTAGGAAATCTCGTGAAAAGAGGGATATAAGCCTCCAAAGTGAACGGTGTGGCCAGTCAGTTCGAGTTCCTCCTTAGCGAAGTTTAAACGAGTCATGTGCAATGAAGACTGTAGAGCACGGGTGATGAAAAAATTGGAGGCTCAACACCCCCTCACATGACACTCCGTCTAGCCTTCAAAGTTCCTTAAAAAAGAGTTACTTAATAGATGGCATAATATTTGGAACCTTAAGTGTTTTTCGTCTAAAGGCAGGCAGAAAGAAAAAACTCACTTAACAAAGTCTGGTGCCTTTGATATCACGTGCTCAAATTCAGCAAAAGAAAGTTGACTGTCATCATCCAGATCAGCTTCGTCAAATATCTGGAATGAATCCAAGTGTAAGATGGTCATTCTTTCAACCTTCTGTACAAGTATCATTCATTTTCAAGCCCAAAAAAATTACCAACAGCCTATTGCTAGAGAATGTTATGGTGATATGATACCAAATTTTCTTAACTGATTAGCCAAGAAATTTTACATAACTCATTAAATATTGCAAGTTAAACCTTCACACCCTAACATCAGCATAAATATTCTCCCTACCATTCTCCATACAAAAGTCCATTTTACAGTTGTGTGCTTGGTTGCCAAGCCTTTGAACAGGAATGAGGCTAAGGGTAACCTTGTTATGATACAAACCTTGCTGCTTTTCAAATGCAAATTACTTTGTTATCATGCTAACTAGATTCTGGTCTCTAGCACAACAAGGTCACCTTCAGCCTCACTCCAAATCAAAGGCTTGGCAACTAAGTACACAACTGTAAAATGGCCTATTCGTGAGGTGTTGACAGGGAAAATTCATTTAACAGTTAGTTTCTAAGGTTGGCGATCATTTCCTTTTTTTCCATGATCTTAATGAAACATTTGTAGTATTACTGTAAGGAGAAATTAGATGCTGGTCACTCTTATCAGCTAACCTTCTAGCACTCTTTCTACTTTGTCGAAAATGTCTGTGTAAGAATGTTCCTCAAGTGTCCCAATAAATGCTGACTCTATGTCGCTTGAGCCTCGCTTTGAGAGACTAAGGGAAGCCCTCTCCCACCCCCCCTAAATACTATATCAACAGAAACCCAAGAGGGTCTAACTAACTCTTACATAATGTATGGTTACCCAGTAAAATCAATAACTTGTAATAATTTTACAATAGATGAAAGAAGCCCAACGTTGAACTCTAAGATTCCAAGCAAGGTTTTGAAAGAAAACCTTACGAAAAGTTAGCTTGATGAACGACAAGAGGTAAACAAATGATATTGACTACAGAATCGATTAACGCTTTGAATTCCTCTAAATGAATGGTGTTTTGTTTCTATGATGTCATAAAAAATTAAAATTACTGAAGTAAGACGGCGTCGGTCAAATTCTTTGCCGCCCACAATCCTAAAGTTCCATTCGAATAACTTTGCAATTTCGTAGCCTCACAACTAATATCTGCAATCTCTTGTATTACGAGGTGTAAAAAATAAAGGCATAAACAATATTCTGTGTGTTCCACCCTTTATATGGTTTGGAACTTTCAAAAAAATTTAATGAGAGTGGCTTGGTTGGAAGACGCTCCAGGATCAGACTGCTCAATATCAATACATGTTACGTTGAAGTTTTGGCTTGATCCAGAACTATCGAGCACAAGAAAACTTATTCGTCAGACAACAGTTTTTGGTTTATAGAGCTGTTTTAACGGAAAGGTAAAATATGTTTTGGTTGTTTATTATTTAAGGCGCGTTGGCGCCAAGAACAACGCTTCAGCGCTTCTGTCCAAAGTCCTCAGCTTTCAGAACAAAAACGCCTTCAGTAAAAAGCAATGATTTGAAACAAGCGTAAACAAACTTTAAACCACTAATATCGTTTCCGCTTCGATGAATGGTAAAAAAAAACTACTAAGAAGAGCTCAGAAAAGGTTTAATTTGCGTATGAATGAAAAACAAAAAGGGATTTAAATGGCCGCAAAGGAGTAAAAAAGAAGCTTGTGTAATTCTTTTGGAACAATAGAGAAACCCTGTTTTTTACGCTTCACATACTGCATTAAGAAGACATCTTTCAACTCGTAAAGACATCGTAAGAAATAACTAAACAAGTTTCTTGTAAAAACCGAATCAGGGGAAAGCGAAAACAAAAAAAATCCAAAACTTCTACTTGGAATACTCGTAAAAGTGGATGGTTCAGTTTATAATTAGATTTTCGTTGTCTCATCACTATTCTTAGAACTAGAAGATTCCAATTGTCTCGACGCGAAATAATTTTTCAATCCGCAAAACAATTCAGACCCATCAAAGCCTAATAAGATTTTTCAGATAGACACGGCAACATGGCAGAAAAATGTGTGCGACTCCAAACGAGCGTTTACCATGTTACCAGAACAATCCTGAACGCCTCCGCACTCGACAAAAAATAATATTATTTCATGCTTGAATGCCGACTGTTTATGGTCGAGCGCGTCCAAAGTCAATATTCAAATGAGCGGCGTACAACTAGAAAAAAACAAGATTGCTGGACTGTATACGCTTGGGGTGCGCGCCTTCGCATCGCATTGAAATTTTTATTTACAAGAATTCCATCCACAACGCGGTCGCGATGTATGGTTATAAATTCATTGAAAGCTTGACCAGAAGGAAAACTGATGATTTTGCTCAGAGTGACACACCCTTTAAGCGTTGTATGAACGTGTTCGATCTGACAGCTCTCGGTATCGGTGGCTTGATAGACGCAGGGCTATATGTTGTAATCGGTCAGCTTGCGCACTCGGTTGCGGGTCCAGCCGTCATCGTGTCCTTCCTAATTGCGGCTGTAGCTTCCCTCCTGGCCGGTATGAATTATGCGGAGTTTTCGTCCAGAGTAAGCCGCTCCGGTTCTGGCTACATCTACACGTACGTTGGCATGGGAGAGATCTGGGCCTTCGTGACCGGCTGGTGTATGATTACCGAGTATGTTCTGTCCGCCGCGTCCCTGGCATCGGCCTGTAGCGAGTACATTAATTTTCTCTCCAATGGCTCTGTGTACAAATTCTTCGAGGATTCATTCGGCCTTTGGCAAGCGCCGGCGCTTTCAGAGCTTCCCGATCTTTTAGCCTTTACGTTGGTTTTTTTAGCGACAATGATAATCTGCCTGGGGGTGAAAGAGTCCAAAACCGTACTGGACGTGACAGTCTTTGCCAACCTTCTCATAGCAACTTTCGTTATCTTTGCCGGGGCCTACCATGCCAATACTTACAACTGGTCCACTTTGGAGAAGTTTGCGCCGTACGGCTGGACAGGTATATTTACAGCTGCCTCTAGCTGCTTCTATTGCTTCATAGGCTTCGATACTATACCAAGTGCGAGCGAGGAAGCTGTCAACCCCAAGGTGTCTGTACCACTGGCTATTCTTCTGTCTTTGGGAATAAGCCTGTTTGTTTACATCGGAGTCATCGTAGTTCTGACCATGATGGTTCCTTATTATCAGTTAAAGGACCTTGCACCCGTTGCCGCCGCCTTCGCCAAAAGTGGATTTGCTGCATCAACGTACATCGTTTCCGTTGGCGCCTTATGCGCGATGCTGAGTAGTTTGCTGGCAGCGTGTTTCGCGACACCGCGTCTGATTTACGCTGTTGCGTATGACGGTCTCATTTTTGGTTGCTTCACTAAAATAAACAAGGACAGACAGGTTCCATTGCGAGCTGTGGCTGTCAGTGGAGTTCTGAGCGCGCTGCTTGCGTTTCTGTTTAACATGCAACAGTTAGTGGAGATGATGGCCATTATGACCCTTATAACTTACACCATGGTGTCTATATCAGTGATACTTACTCGCTACCAAAAAAATCCCCAGTGGGTATGCTATGAAGAGCAATTATTGGAACGAACGCAATCTTGGCTTCGAACGTTACTGAAGAAGAGAAGGAGAGGAAAGAATGACAACTACAAGAAACTTCCGCTGTCCGAGAGTGACAGTGTCACGACAACCTGTCACGCTAGTCCAAGCGAGTGCTCTAACACCATAGCGAATGTCACGGTATTCGTCATGATTCTATCCATGTTTGCCGTTTGCGTATATCTCAGAACTTGGATGACTAACTCAGAGAATATTGATGCTTTCACGATCTTCCCCGTGGCGCTTTACTCGTCCATCACAATAGCCTGTCTTATAGTTCTTCTATTTCAGCCCCGGAACAGTGCTACTTTTTCGTTTATGGTTCCATGCGTTCCTCTTCTTCCATCACTCAGTATATTTATAAACACGTTCTTGATGACACTGTTTCAAACACACACCTACATAAAATGCACAATTTGGATAACCATAGGTAAGTAGCATTTTTTATTCGTATGTACAAATTGTATTTTCTTTCAGTTCAGCGAAACTTGGCGGAATCGCTGATTTCACACATAAGGGCATACAGCTACGCGCATATTTAATTTCGCACAAGCACAAACAAACACTCATATTACGCGCCAAAACACAAGAGCACACTCCTCACTAGCAGTAACAAGCACATTCTTCTCGCGGAGGGAATCCGCGCGTGCGAAAGTAAACGCGTTTCCACGCACGCGAAAACAAGCGCGTCTTTGGCGCGCGCTAAAGACGCGCGCTAGTTCAGTCGCGCACGTGGGATAGAGCACTATAATTGTTTTGGTGCGCGACGAATAACCAATTAATGACAAACTTTAGACTTAAGTTGAGCTATTCGTGACGTTTCGCTGGATAGTTTTTCCATTAGGATCAGAGGTACTCAACCGTTACCCACGCATCAAAAAATTACTCAAACCACTATTGGCACGAAAAATGTTTGTAAAAGAAGAGGAAACATTAGTAAAGAAACCACAAGTTTGCCCCATTTTGGTTCATAATTCTCTTTTCATTCCAGCATAAAATAATGGAATAAAATGTTCAACGATGCCAAACAAACAATAGCAGTCTAAACGCCTTATCTCGGTAATCTATGTCAAATTTATCCCATGCAGTCTATGTACAAAATCAGTATTCACAGTATTCACAGTATCCATATCTTGCCGAGATACTTCTAGTGAACTCCAACAACATAGAGTAATATGAAAGAAAATTTCACAGTTCGCAGAAAAGTTATTGCGCGCCACACCTTAATCCAAAAATAATAACAATAGGCTTTATTCAGAGAGGGTAAAAACACTTAAAAGTAGCCCTAAGATACTGATGACTCTGTGGCCCTCAAAACAATTACAAAATATGGATGATACAACTAATAACTATAAAATATACCATATTAGGCAACGAAGCATGAACGCAAAAAAGGCAACGAAACATGAAAAACTAATCATATCCAAATCTTAACGATAATAAGCCGCGTTCGAGAACGAACAATGAGGCAGTAAAGTGGAAAAACTACAAAACTAAACTCAATATCATAACTATGCTTCCAAGAAGACAATTGTGTCTAGATTTTTTTTTCAAACCACCAACACAACAGTTAAGAGTTAAAATTTTTGCCACTCCTTTAATTAATCCTCTGATGACACCAAAAAAGTTATGTAACAGACTTGTGAATACCTTCCAAATGGACACAAAGTCAGTGATGCAAGAAAATGGAAAACAGAATTCTAATGACCTTCTCAACTGTGGAAATCAAACTCTACTAATTTATATCAACAGCGTCAATAATAAGAGCATGGGAAAACGTTCATCACTTGTGGTTGCCCCTTCCCGAAAAGTGCTTACTCCTTGAACCAACCAGATAAACATTAAAAGAACCAGACTTGACTCAAAGAGAACACTAAGGCATACAGAACAAAAAACATATTTCACTAATTGTATTTCTCTGTCATTTCAGGAATGTTTGTGTATTTTTTGTATGGATATCACAACAGTATTGAGGGCAAGAGGCCCAAAAGTGTAGAACTGGAATTTGAACCATTACCTAGTATACCAGTTACACAAACAGATGCCAACCTTCCCTTGAAAAAGAGAAATGGCGACAAATGAAGAGAATATAAAGAAGACAGTTGAGACTTCCAAGACATTCCTACAAGCTTTGAAAAAAAGAGCTGGAGTAGATAGAGAACTGCTAGTCTTAACTTTTCTGCTTTTTTTTAAATTTTCTTTGTGTGACATATTAGTTGATAACTGAAGTGAAATTTCTTTACCCATTAAAATCTCAAGATCTGATAGTTAATTCTCCCCTCCACATGCTAGACATTTCCTTTTAAATTAGTTACAAAAGGTTGGTTTTGGATCAAGATAACAAGTTTTACTTGATAAGTTTGAATATTCTCATGACCTGTTTGCTGGATAATGTATGTATGTATGTTTTAGGGAGAATTTGCTTATCAATCATGATTAAGAGTTAAAGGGTTATTGGATTGCTGTAATACATTTAAAGGGGTAATAAGTCTTGCCAGCTGGTTGACTTTAAGGTTGTTACAATTGTTTACAAATCAGTGCATTGGACCCTCATTCTCCCTCTAAGGTGACTTGTAAATTTTTGGCATTTCACCATTTTAAAGAATGATTATAAATATTACACAAGAGTTCATCAAATTAATATCAAATTATTATCAAATTAATGCTATGATGAATGGAGTGATGCTGTGTTGTAAATTCATTTTCCTACAATTTTCAAAGAATATGCGCAAAGCAATAGCTGTTGAAATAAAGGACTCAACTAAGGAAAACGTTTCTTTGTTGTCAATAGTATACATTTGATTGAATGTTCTGGTACTATCCATGGAGAGAGGGTGGGAGGGCTGGACAAAATGAAGACAGTTACAGTTATTTCACTGAAAGGTTAAATTTCCCCTGAATGGGGTTTTTGGATATGAATCAAAGTGCATATTTCCTGTAACCTAGGAGCAAAGTTTAAAGCAAAAAAAAACTTTAGATAGTGTCTCTGCCACTTTGAAACTGCTATAAGAGTTAGCTCTGTCTTGGAAAATTAAAATTATCAGTAGTCAAGATTATTTACAAGCTCAAGACCACTAAATCCTGGATAGGAGACAATTTGATACATTGTAGTTCATGGAAAGTCTCTCTTTCTTGACTTTCTTCATCAATCCTGCTCTTTACTGATGTTTGAGACAATTGCTTAAAAGAGCAACATTACTTTCACACCTTTTGTACTGAGTAAAATTTACAATGCTACCTGTTTGAACATGCCAATCAACACCATAAATAAACTTAATGATTGAATACTCTCCTAATCATCAGCTCCCATGAATTTACCTTGCCAGGTAATTTCCAACCATTCCAACCATTCATCAACATTATTTCAACAGTAAATTGCATAAACAAGTACCTTCAAGCTCTGTGAACCAGCATCATTAAAATAAGACAGCTAATTGTTAGCTTTACCATGCACATAGGAAGAAAAAGATTCCTTGAGAAATGCAAACTACTTTTGAAGATGTTATCAGTGATCACTGTGCTGAATAGATGATTTACCTTTTGAATTAAAGCATTCACATTCTCATCAGACAACCTCTGCTCCCCACACAGTCGCTGGATAACTTTTTTTAGATCATTATCACAGATGTAATCATCGTCATTGAAATCTGTGAATGCATTCAAACACTTTCATTAGTCATGGGTGCAGCAAATCTCAAAAACCTTTGTTGATGAATATCATTCTGGTAGACACTTTAGAGTATCAAAAATTGGAGTTTAGAGTGTACCACATTTCAAGTCACCAAATCTTGTTCCTGTCTTCAACGTTGTACAATTAAAGAAAAAAAAATGCATTGTTTGAAGAAGAGGGAGCCATAGTGTGTTCTCCAGAGGCACCAACAACAAGCAGTTTTACCAGCTACTCCATTCTGAAGCCACATTTAAGAAAAAATACCTATCTCCATCTCAAATAAATTTTGACCTTTGCAACCTTATATTTCATAAGGGGTGGGTGCTACTATAAAAATCCTTGGAGAACACAAGTCAAACTAAGACTAACAGTGGTCAGGGTTATATGTATGTTATTCACCAGCTGGGAGGTCCATATTAAACTGTGCCTGATTTCTTGGATACTTCCCGAGGCTGTAGGTGGTACTCATGACAGAGGGCACAGTTTTTCCAAATATGGACCGACCTAGGCTAGTGAATAACATTTTCAGTTTTCTAAAATGTAACCAAATGCTCTTCAAAGGAATGACAGTAAGATCCTCATAAACTGAACAGTTTATGAGCAAGTAGATGGTAGAGAAAAGAGAGGTAGTGTAAATTAAAAGCAAGCCTTCATGAAAACACCTTTATGTGCATATATACTGATAAGGGTGATTTAAAAGGCCTCCTAGCAAACTTTGAAGTATCTCCCATGATTTGACACTCAATAATTAGAGAGCTGGTATGAAAAAAAGAAAGTCTGCATAGTGTAACAGCACTGGTTTGGCAGGCAAACTCAAGTTAAATGACTGTCACAGTCACTTTTCTTCTTCACTGATCTCATGGAAAAAATTTCACTTTTCTCATGATAATTTATCTGCAAAGAATTACCTCTGTCCAGTTTTAAAAGTCAAGGAAAGTCAAATTGTAAGTAAATCTAAATGTATGTTTTGAAGTTATGAGACTCTATTTGTTTGTCTGCTTCAAGGGCATATGTAAATCTTGTCTTTCTTCCACTGAAAAACAGAAGTCAAGTGCAATGCTTTTTCTAGCTAGACACATGGGGATTTAATGCAACTTTTATTTATCAAATTACTTTGGTTGCTGTTGTGAAATGTACCTTAGAAATGTCAATTCATGGGACTTGTAGAATTATTGAAAGTTTATTTATAGTAGAACTCAAAATTTTGTTCAATGTTTTACAACAAGCAAATTGTTTTGGAGAATTCAGATAATAAAATGGATGAAATTTACCTTGGTTAAATGAATATAATTTTTAACTGCAAATACCTCTGGTTTCAACTTAGCGAGTTACTTTTTGAGAAGGATTATAAAATTACAAACAGTTTTGTAGGCAGCATGTCAGTCTATTCAAAAAACCAAAGTAATATGAGAGAGAGAGAGAGAGAGAGAGAGAGAGAGAGAGAGAGAGAGAGAGAGAGAGAGAGAGAGAGATCTGATTTGAGTGGTTAGATTCTTGTGGGTATTTTCTACACGGTACAAAATACCCATTGAGGGTTTTTACGTAGGAAATACCCATGTGGGTTTTTACTTGCTACGGTAGGAAATACCCATGTGGGTATTTGATACGTTCAATGGGTTTTGCTACGGTAGCCAATACTCATCTGGGTCTTTGCTACTCCCAAGTGGGTATTTGTTACCGTAGCAAATACTCAAAATGGGTTTTTGTTACGTAGCAAATACTCAAAATAGGTATTTGACAAATTTTTACCTATTTCAAGGTTTCATATTAAAGAAAACTATTTTTTGGTTCTACGGTTTATTACCGAAGAAGTACATCATTAGCGGTCAGCGTTCACACACTTCAACTTTCGTTTTCGTGTTTCACGTGTTCGTCGATGACGGCAACTTTCAAACGTAAGTAAGAAAATAAGATCAACGTAGGTTTCTTGTTATATTTCGTCCCTTAAGCAAGTGGTTATCAACGAAATACGCTTTGCAAGCATCCAAGGTATAAGTGTCGATATATTTTTTACAATATTTGAGAAAAAAGCCGATAAACTTGAAGAATGATTGGCCTTCGTAATATCTTACATAATTATCGGTTCCAAATCATATAGATATGAATCGTAGAATGCATTTTTTCTGCTTTGTTCTAACAATGAAGTGGGTGAAAGCTCTTACTTAAAAAAAATAAAATTGCTTTTTATAAACAGAAATTCCCTTGATAGCAACAAAACATCGATCGATGTTTCAGGACTTTGGATAAGTTATTTTCGATGCTATTATTTATTGTGATCATCTCTTATCCTATTTCAATCCCTGTCAAATCATTGCAATCATCTCTTATGCTGTGTTGATCACTGTCAAATCATTTTAATCAACTGTTATGCTGTGTTGATCACTGTCAAATCATTCTAATTAACTGTTATGCTTTGTTGATCACTGTCAAATCATTCTAATAAACTGTTATGCTGTGTTGATTACTGTCAAATCATTCTAATCATCTGTTCTGCTGTGTTGATAAATTTCAAATCATTCTAATCAACTGTTATGCTTTGTTAATCACTGTCAAATCATTCTAATCATCTGTTATGCTTTGTTGAGCACTGTCAAATCATTCTAATCATCTGTTATGCCTTGTTGAGCACTGTCAAATCATTCTAATCATCTGTTATGCTGTGTTGATCACTGTCAAATCATTCTAATCATCTGTTCTGCTGTGTTGATCACTGTTAAATCATTTTAATCATATGTTATGCTGTGTTGATCACTGTTAAATCATTGCAATCATTTCTTATACTCTAGTGATCACTGTCAAATCATTCTAATCATCTGTTCTGCTGTGTTCATCACTGTTAAATCATTTTAATCATATGTTATGCTGTGTTGATCACTGTTAAATCATTGCAATCATTTCTTATACTCTAGTGATCACTGTCAAATCATTCTAATCATCTGTTCTGCTGTGTTCATCACTGTTAAATCATTTTAATCATATGTTATGCTGTGTTGATCACTGTTAAATCATTGCAATCATTTCTTATACTCTAGTGATCACTGTCAAATCATTCTAATCATCTGTTCTGCTGTGTTCATCACTGTTAAATCATTTTAATCATATGTTATGCTGTGTTGATCACTGTTAAATCATTGCAATCATTTCTTATACTCTAGTGATCACTGTCAAATCATTCTAATCATCTGTTCTGCTGTGTTCATCACTGTTAAATCATTTTAATCATATGTTATGCTGTGTTGATCACTGTTAAATCATTGTAATCATTTCTTATATTCTAGTGATCACTGTCAAATCATTCTAATCATCTGTTCTGCTGTGTTGATCACTGTTAAATCATTTTAATCATATGTTATGCTGTGTTGATCACTGTTAAATCATTGCAATCATTTCTTATACTCTAGTGATCACTGTCAAATCATTCTAATCATCTGTTCTGCTGTGTTGATCACTGTTAAATCATTTTAATCATATGTTATGCTGTGTTGATCACTGTTAAATCATTGCAATCATTTCTTATACTCTAGTGATCACTGTCAAATCATTCTAATCATCTGTTCTGCTGTGTTCATCACTGTTAAATCATTTTAATCATATGTTATGCTGTGTTGATCACTGTTAAATCATTGCAATCATTTCTTATACTCTAGTGATCACTGTCAAATCATTCTAATCATCTGTTCTGCTGTGTTCATCACTGTTAAATCATTTTAATCATATGTTATGCTGTGTTGATCACTGTTAAATCATTGCAATCATTTCTTATACTCTAGTGATCACTGTCAAATCATTCTAATCACCTGTTCTGCTGTGTTCATCACTGTTAAATCATTTTAATCATGTTCTGCTGTGTTGATCACTGTTAAATCATTGCAATCATGTGTTATGCTGTGTTGATCACTGTTAAATCATTTTAATCATCTGTTCTGCTGTGTTGATCACTGTTAAATCATTGCAATCATGTGTTATGCTGTGTTTATCACTGTCAAATCATTCTAATCAACTGTTATGCTTTGTTGATCACTTTCAAATCATTCTAATCATCTGTTATGCTGTGTAGATCACTGTTAAATCATCTGTTATACTCTGTTGATCACTGTCAAATCATTGTAATCATGTTATACTGTGTTTATCACTTTCAAATCATTGAAATCATCTTTTATGCTGTGTTCATCACTGTCAAATCATTTTAATTATCTTTTATGCTGTGTTGATCATTGTCAGATCATTCTACTCATCTGTTATGCTGTGCTAACCATTGTCAACTCTATCATTGAGATCAGTTTTCTATTTGTTTGTATTATAGTAACCATGGAAGGTAGTTCTGAAATAAGGAAAAAGTCTCGGGAATCTAAAGTGTGTTCGAGATGTGGGAAATCAGTTATAAATTTATCTCGTCATCAGAAGGATGTACATAAAGTGAATAAGATTTTTCGTCAGGTAGATGTATATATAAATGGAAACAAGAAAGCGCCTAATAGGAAGATAAAGTTTTGTCCGTTATCTCCATGCAAGCATTCAAAGAAAGGTGTCTTTCAACTTCATCATCATTTACAGTCAAATATCCACAAGCTTAATCCCAACTCAAACCAATACTTAGATGCGCTTAAATCTGCTCCGAGAATTGGGCTTCAAGAGCTACGAGATCACATTGCCAAGAGAAAGAAATCCAAAGCAAAGAGCGCCACAACTAAAGATGGTCCTAAAAAGAAAAAATCGAATCAAAATCACCTGTACGTGGAAAGGCCGCAAAAGGGTGAAATTTTACAAGGGTGACAAGGAAAATGAGTATAGTTTGGTGAATAGAATCGAAGCTGAGGAAGAAATTGAAAATGACTCGGATGATCAATTATTAGAAAATCCTGAAGGAGAAGCAACTATCAGCAGAAACGTGAGTAACCCTGGGCACCTCGCACCGACCTCCTCCAATAGTAATGCAGAGGAGCGCAAACTACATAATGAAGAAAGTTGTGAATCAAAGGTAAGAGAGACGTACAATGATGATGACAGCAAATTAGAGTATGATCAGCAAGTTGATAAAGTGGAACACAAGCTACATAATGAAGAAAGTGGAGATTCAGGCAATGATCATGACAGTAATTTGGAGTATGAAAAAGTAATGGATCAAATGGAATCAAAGGTAGGTGATACACATGATGACCATGACAGCGATTTGGAGTATGATCAACTTGTGGATAACGTGTGGAAAAGAAATGAAGAGTGCAAGAAGCGAAGCTTTAAACAGTTAGTGTCTATGATGTCCTCCCAGTGTGAAAGCGATGCCGAGCTATCTGAAGAGTTAAACAACCGCAAAAATGCTGACCAAGTAATCCAACCACCTCAACCACCAGTGACGGCTGGTAATACCAAATCTAGTGAAATAGTTATATGCGACAGTGAAGAAGAGGAAATTTTAGACCCAAACTATCACCCTTCCCTGGACTCCGAATCAGAGTGTAGCACTGGAAGCTTGTCAGATAACTGCTCGTTGCAAGAAAGGGATGACATTTTAACTGATTTCGTGGAAAACGTAGATAATCTCGATTTTCTTCGTGTGGAACCAGAATGGAAGAGCGTGGTTGATGTTGTTTTTGAAAGAAAAAGAACGCTGGTAATACTGACTCCCAAAGCAATCTTTCACAAGGTAAAGTGCCTAAGGAAGTTATGAATGATGATGAATCATCAGTATACGATAGCGATGATGATGATAATGACGACTGTCTTGAAGAGATGGAAGATGATGTCAGTTTTGAAGACAATGATAGTAGTGATGACAGCCCACTGCTTAACGAGTTTCATTCCTGGTTGATAGACGTAGACGGGGGTTATCGCTGCGCAAAAGTGGCTGGTCAGTACAAGTCACAGGTAAAACGCATCATGAAAGTTCTTTCAGAAGATTTCCCTCAAGCAGCAAATGAAATAGATCTTGTTACTGTCGAGGGGCATGACGGAGTGGTAATGTTGAGGAAGTGGTTGGGTCAACTATCTGAGGAGTATCAACCTGGAACCATTAGATCATACCTAATGAGCCTTAGGCTATTCCTTAAATTCCTTGTGCAAGAAGAGAAAGGGCAAGATAGATTAGACACACTTCATGCAAGGAGAGATCTTTTAACTTCGTGGTCATCTGCTCAAAGAAAGAAGGTGCTGAAAAGGAAATTAGAGAAACATGACATGGACTTTGCAAAACTCCTTTCTAGCGAAGATCTATATAAAGTGTCAAATGGACAACAGCGAATAAACATAATTAAAGCGCTTGGAACAGCTGCGGAGAAAAGCAAAGCTTGTGGAGAACCTGTGCTGGTCAACGATCAGACCTTTTGCGAAGTAAGGGATTGGCTGATTACAAGATTAATAATTGACAACTCCGGAAGAAGTGGTATTGCAGCAAATATAACAGTGGAGGAATTCAAAGATGCTAAACTGTACGCTGGAGAAGAAGATGGAGAGAGATACCGCGTATCAGTTAAGAATCACAAGACAGGAGGTGTTTATGGGGCAGCCATTGTATGGTTTCATGCTGATGTTTACAATCTGGTGAATACGTATATCTCAAGGGTGAGGCCTAAGTACGTCAAAGATGCCACAGATAACATGTTCGTTTCAACCAATGGCGTTAAACTTACTTCATCGCAAGTATCCACGTGTCTGACTCGTACATTTCAAAGGGAGGGTGTGAAGTTTCACGGTCGCATCTCCGCAACCTTGATAAGAAAATCTCTGGCATCAGGAGTGCATGTCCATTTGCCTGAAGATCAAGAACAACTGGCTGCCCTTGCACAGCACAAACCTCAAACACAAGCTCAATATTACCGCATCAATGACAAAGTTAGAGAAACAGATATTGGGCGTCGTGCTGTCAGAAAATTTATCACCATGAACTGCGCAAAGACAGAGGTAAGTACTCTTATAATGCATACCAATCGTAGTAATTTGAATAACAATTGGCATACGAATTCTGATTTCTTTTAGGTATCAATAATTCCTGTCGAGTGGACCGAGGAAGAGACCTCAAAACTTCAAGATTTATTCAAGTCTGAAATTGAGACTGGTAACATAACTGAAAACATTGTCAGAGATAAACTTGGTGCTTCCAACCTGTTGGAAACACACTCCATGAAGGCAATTGTGTTGAAAGTGAGAAGGCTTCGATCAGAATTTACCAAAAACTTAGAACCACCAACTGAAGTTGAGTCTCCTGAACAGAAGATAGAACGGTTTATGTCTTCCAGAGCTCCATCCATCGCATCTGAATCTGCAAAGCCATCATGGAGTAAGTTCACCGATGAACAAACAGACCATCTCCTATCGTTAACTCAGGATATGATTGAAAACAACGCAGTAAAAAGAGAGGTCGTTTGGGAACGGGTGATAAATGATGAGAAAGCATGGAAAACCGGGTTGGTCTTCGGAACCGATGATGAGGAGCTTTTTTGAGGCAAAAAACAACGTTTGGCGGACAAGGTACGAAAAGAAGTCAAACGTCAAAAGATGAAGAGAAAGTAGTAGTTTGATCCTGTGGTTCTTGCATTATATTTGAACATTAGTTGACATTGAACATTTCTTGTCTTTATGTATTCAGGGTTACAACATAATTGAGTCCTATATTGTTAACATGTTATTTTCTTTAACCGTTTGCCAGTCATTTTATGGTTGATCGTTTTATTTCAAGTAAGTCAATATTCCCTAAAAAGGCCGATTTACACAATGCAATTTCTTCGTGTGTTAAGGTTCGAACGACAAGTCATAGGGTCGTGTACGACCTGACGAATGACCGTTTATATGGTATGATTCGGGTCACATGCATCAAGTCATATACTACAATCGCATCGTGGAAATCGGCCTTAAGAGTCATATACTACAATCGCATCGTGGAAATCGGCCTTAAGAGTCATAGAATTTGTCTTGGTGACTGATGTGTGTAGGACATCGACTTCTATGAAAAAGATTTAACTTGTCTTGGTCTTGTTGCGAGGTGTTATAAAGTTGAATTTTTCATAAAGCAAAAGTTGTCGTTTAAAAACTTAGCTCCAAGTGATAAAGCTTATATCTGGAATTAAAAGAGTTTACTTTGAGACTCGTTGTCATGAACCTGCAATATATTGTCTTTTTAAGTGCAGTTCCAGTTGAGATTTTGTGGAAGTTTCATGACGTTTTCGAAAAGTTTAGGGTGAAGTCACTAAGCCCGTGAAATACATATTAGACTAACACACTTTATTAACCACTAATTTCGTTGTTTCCTTTAGTGTCTATTGAACTATTACATGTTAACAGTTAAATATTTTTTTTATGGGTTTAACTTTACCCTAGTGCAACTTTTGTCGTCATAATAGAGCGATATCGCATAACCCCTTCCTAAATATTGGTGTTTTATTCTAAATGAGCCAATACAAAGATAACATTAGAATACTTAAGACTTTATCTATTGTTGTCTTTCTACGATGTCCATTAACCTTTAACTAATATCCACTTGCTTTTAAAAATATTTATATCGCTCTGTAAACCTCACAAACCGGTGAAATTGCAGCTAAAATCGCCATTGTCATAGAGCTTTAAGGATGATCAACACGCACGCCCAAACTTGTATGCGAGCTGTCAATAGGATATGTATATGTAATCGCATGGGTCCTCAGGCAATTAAGGATTAATTTCACGCGTATTTCCAAACTTTGAAAACACCAGTGAAATTAATCCTTAATTGCCCGAGGGCACTTGCGATTTTTTTTGTTTATCACATAAAGGGCAAAATTATCGCGGGAATCCATTCACGCGCGACGTTATTCTTTTTTTAGGAAGCCCGTTCAATGCCGCGACATTGCTCATTTTTTTTCCTCCTCTTGTCTTTGCCCATTGTTGGAAAAATGTTAGTCCAGTAGTCCGTACTTCTTTTTTGTGTTTTTGTGCTCACTTGTGTTTAGTAGTTCCTCAATAAACTCTTCAACAAAATGGGAAGCCATTGTTGCAGAAAATTTTAATCGGCAACAAATCTAAGCAATAACTTCATTACAAAGCAACTTTAAACCAATCAAGATCAAGTAATCATGCCCTTTTGATTACCAAAAGTACCCTCGTGATTAAGAAAAATGCCCTCTGTCTCAGCCAATCAGCACTTAGTAATTTTGCCCTGTATGTGATAAGCTACATAAAATGGGAATTTGCTAGGTGTAGAGTTTTGCTCATAAATCCAATTAACAGCAATAAAATCTATCGAAAAACCAGTGGCCATGTTTGTAAAGTAAAGCGTCATGTCTCTTCTGAAAATTAGCCGTTTGCGCATTTAGTAAGAGTATCTAAATTTTGTGCTAGCAAACTTAAGGTGGAATCCCTGTACATGAAAGGGTATCATTTACTGTTCCCTCTTTTGTTGGGAATCTACTTCCCTGAAAAAATAAGCTGGAAAAATGTATTTTTACGCGTTAAGAACTGTGCTTAATTTAAGTAGATCTACTGAGTACAAAGACTGTCTCAGGCCTGCTAGTATGGACACCTTAACCCAAGACGTTTTACTGCGTCTTTAATCATGTTTAAGGTATACAAGCGACAGGAAGCTTCGTATATTTCTAATTTTTTTTACACCTAGAGTCTGTCATTACAATTTGCGCTCCTCTGTTTTAATGTTTCCCAGCCTGTAAATACCTCTAGCCATATTCAGAGCTCTTTTCATACACTATCTCTCATTCTTGGAACCAGTTACCATCTTCAATTAAATCAGCAACCACTTTATCGGAATTTAAGTCTGGCCTATCTCGCATAACTACGCTTGGCTGTAAGCCTATAAGTGTATTAGTATACAATTGTAGAGGTAGGGTTATGAATTGGTAATTAGGCTTGGGGTTAGGGCTATAATGTTAGGTGATTAGGGCTGGTAGGGTTTCAGGGGAAGTTCAGCATCGGGAGCTAAGTGATATTTTTGCGTTTTTATCATCTTTGTCGAGCGTTTTTAACATGAGCCATTAGGCTCGGGGGATTGGGTAACCACCCCCTACGTTGCCGACGTGAAAAAAATTGTTGTTGTCCACGTGATCAGTAAAAAATGGTCTAAAAAAGCTTTATTTTGTTAATTCAATTAGTACACTAGGCAGGGAAATCATCTTAACTGTCAATATTGCTCCGCTTCTCTTTTTAACTTGAATGTCGCTCAGTCACGATATTTCTGCTTTAATTCAAATAATAACACTTTTAAAAAATGTTTAAATTATTTTCCATGTTCCCTTTCACAAGGCGTCTTTTAGCTATGCAAACAAATTACCAGAATTCCGCTTTATTCAAGTTTTATAAGTAAAAATGTCCCATCAATTTGGCAAAGTGGGTATTTGCTACTTACAAGTGGGTATTTGCTACATAAAATGGGTATTTGCTACATGCAGAATTTCGCTCGTAAAATTGATAAAAATGAATGGAATAGCTTGTAAACACGTTGTAAATTCTTAAAAAATAATGCGTCATCCATGCATGCGAAAATCATGGCATTAGAATGAACTAAAAGTGAAATAATGCGAAAAACGCATTTTTAGAAATGTTTGGGTTCCAAAGTTTCAAGTCTTGTACACCTACATACCCAGAAGCGCACTTTTTGCTAAAAATGGTCTTCACAGAAAAAATTTTAAAACGACAGAACTCAGAAGGCTTTTACGGCAAAGAAGAACATTTAGAAGACCTTTGATATCCGGAAAAGTTTTTTAATTTTATAAAAAAATGATTGATGTACCTAGGTTTGGGTATTTGCTACCTTCTGACTTTTCAGTGACGAAATGCGAACAACAATTAAACTTTAATAACGTTGGTTTTGCATAGAAGAGAGCTAAAAAGCAATATTCTTTTTGGCTAGAATTGTTAAATACTTTAAAAAAAAAAAAACTACTTAATTTAAATAGGCATAGAGAAAACGCGTAGCAAACACTCACTCATGAATCTAAAGAGAGAGAGAGAGAGAGAGAGAGAGAGAGAGAGAGAGAGAGAGAGAGAGAGAGAGAATTGAGTTATTTATTTATTGGCTAAAGGTTGTGACCAAAATCTTTGCTTGGAAATGCTGCCCAGATGGAAAAACAAAGTTATTTATGAAAATTTGCAACAAAGCTAAGGATGTCTCTAGCAACTCAACAAGCAATGGATAGAATGCCATCCACTGTGAGCATGCCAATTGGGAGTATACTGCATGCTCTCAAAACCAATCAGATTGTGGAATTTGTAAAAGACTGCCCCCACATGCATTGCAAAAAAAAAATAATCCACAATTTCACTGGAAATGTGTCTACTACTTTGTTGTGGCCTGTGGCTTTTTACAGAGATTATGCTGAATTTGTATGTTGCTTTGTTCATGTCACTAAAAAAGACCTTCAGATTAAAGATACCCTACACTTGATTTTACTATTAAATAAGCAGAATTTCACTTTCCCCCCCCCTTCAACAACAATAACATGAGGATATCAAATGTCACAAAATTTTTAAATCATATACTTTTGTCATCAATTAGAACAGGAGTCTACATTACTTACAGTGTATGCAAGTTTCAAAATCTTCTGAATTCTTAGTTATTTCAAATGACACAAAAAGCAAATGAAAAGAGGATTAAAGAAATAGAATAATACCTTTTCATAGAAATTGCAGTTACTCAGTGTCAAACCTACCATAAATCCTAAAAGCATACTCCACTTTTACACTCTTAGGAGCCTAAGGTAAAGGAAAAGAACGGGTTAGAATCACACAGGAGGGGTATAACAACAAACACAACTAACAGCAATCTCCCCCTCACTGAGTACCTTTCCTCTATGTCTGAGACAGATTTCTGGGATAAAAAACAGTTTTGGAGTAGAAAACAGAACAAATGGCTGGCCAAAGGCTAGCAAATCTAATTGCTATACTGATTAAGGTTCTCTGAACTCCAACAACAGTCACTCTAAGTAAAATACTTGAGATAGCCAAAAAGGTGGCCTGATATTACAGGACTCAGGATCTGTGCAATTTTTCTGTGTTCCATCTCTTTAAAATAATGTTTTCTCTCCTTGAAAGTTTAAAAATCGGCCAAAGTAAACAAGAAATTTAAGAAACATATTTTTTTTATCACACACAGCCTTGTAAAGAGAGGTGATAAGATTCAATGTGTATTTGTTGATTATGTTAAATCCAAATCAAACTTTTCAAATTTCAGTCTACAAAGCTTTATAAAACCAATTTTATTAGGGACATACTGATACCTGAAAATTTAAACCCAAAAAGAGGTTTTGTTTAGTCTAAAGTCAATGCATTCAGTATTTCTTCTTTCGACACACTCAGGTCAGTCTTTAATCCTAAAATATTCACCATTTTAGGAAAGCTTGTAAACTCACATTTTCACTGAAAACAGACATCATATCCAGGAAATCTTCAAATGTCAGTTCTCCATCCTTGGATGAGGAAAATACTTTACAAATTCTGTCTTTAAAGGGATTCACCTGGATAATAAAATAACCAGACATCATTGTTCAAATTTTATCTTGAAAAGAGTAAGAATCAGATACAACTGGTAAAAATCCTACTAGTGACATTATAAAACACAGGTAAGCATTAAACCCTGACTCTATGCTGCTCTTGAAGTTACTCTGACTAGTTTAAAATGGAAAAATAAGAACAGTAGATTACATACCCTTAGCTCTGGTAAGGTCATGATCTTTCTTGATGGAAGTTTTGCATTTTTGTTAAGTCTCACAGCGTCTGCATCAAGTTGTGAAAATCTTTTATGACAACTATAGGAGTAAAATAAGGTATTAATGAAATGATTATATGATTTAAAATGCAATCTTACATGTATGTCTCTCTTAGACAACCTAACATGTATAATATGTTAATAACTACTACTCTAACCAGTAAAATTGACATTTTAAACATAGCAACTAAAAAAGGTCAGCATGTGAAAAGTCACCTGAGAATGTTTCTTGAAAATGAAATCTACCTCGAAGGCGTGCAAAGACCCATCGTTATTAGAAGACACGAATTACGTTGTGATTAAGTTTCTCGTTTGAAGTTAAAATTTGATTTACAGCGGCTCAATCAAGCTGATGCACTCTAAAAAACCTCATTAATTTTAGTCATAAAACATTCTAACCCTCGAATTTATAAAAAATACCATATCGACGAATTAATTTCTCGTAAATCGTGTAAAGCTAAGCAGAAACTTACTGTAAGATTTCCTTTTGAGTAAAGTACGTCAGTTCCTGCAGCATGAAGACACATCCAAATGAGAGAATGTTTACGTTTTTTTCCCACCAGAAACCCAAGTAATATCAGTGAAAAGATTAAAAAACGGATGGAGTAAATAGTTCGTTCGGAGATAGAACTTTTACCTGATAATCTTTCAGTTCTTCTTCCGTGAATTGAGAATGCTGGCCCCCCATCTTAAACTTAAACTCAAAACACGGAATAACAGCGTGACGTCACGTTAGCCTCGTTTTTGTACCGTTTGCTTCCTCCGTCGCCTAGCAATCAAAAGTCAATTTCACCCCAAGATGGCGGTCGTGTCAATTCTGTATGCCATTTCAAGTCATCGTTAATCTCACCATTAAAATTGGACTCAGAGTGTGCAAACTTAACATAGAAGATCACAGGAATGCCGACTGTAGATAAAGTAGGGAAGTATGAGATAGATGGACAAAAGAACCCGGGAAATAATGAGACGCCATCTGCACCACAAAGTGGTCAAAATGTCAGCTGGAGTCTTAGTAAAAGCAAAAAGTCGCCATTGGAGAGGTCGGCGTTCAGTGAAACAGATCTGAAAGCAAAACTAGCTGCAAAGGAGGAAGGTGTTCCTTTAAAAGGGAAAGTTGTAACTCATTATTCCGAGAGTGATGTACAGCTGGCAAAGTTGGATGTTCCCTTATTCGAGGACTCAAGATCAGAAATTAGTGGAAGTTCTGGTTTGGCAATTGTGCCTTATTTTGATGGAAGAAGTTTAGTGTCGCAAGAGAGTGGACAAGATCTTGTCCTTGCGCACCATGAGGTAGCTGCAGTGGAAATTCACGACAAGGACAAATTGGAAGAAGGGAGAGGTACATTTCTCTTTATAGTTAACAGCCTTCATTCATCTCAGGGCTACAATCATTCAAGGGACACAAATACCGGTTTAAACTAAGAAATGCTCCTATTATTTTTGTATTTGATATATTCAGTGAAGGTATACCTCTCATTACTGGCATTTTGTCTTCATGTACACTGGAGATCCTGTGAATGGAGGTTCCACTGTACATGTAAGCCTACAGACACCTCCAATTGTGATCTCAACAGTTGATGTTGACCCCCTGGACTGTTTTAAAAGCTGAAACAGATGTTTGCACTCTAAGCAAACAAATTCATCAGGACCTAGTAGTTCAAAGGGCTGGTAATACTATCCCCTGGATGCACCGCCATCCAGCAGATACATAGGTGGTAACAAAAGTTATGCACTATCCTCCTGATACAGTGGAAAGTGTTCTCCACCCTTTGATAAGGGTCTGATTGACTCATATCTTGCCTGGTTATGACCCCAGGGACCTGTTTCATGAAATTTTCAGTACACTTTATATTTTAAAATCTAAATGTAGGAATTTTTTTTATTTTCATCTAGGATATGATGTTGCCCAAGTACCAGATAATGAATATTAATACATATGATAAAAAGTGTTCCCAGGGTCTAATTTTGCATGATATAAATTATTCATACACTAATGTTATCATGTAATGTCATTAATACACTTTTAATTAAACTTCTCCAGACATTGTTCCTTCACTCCCAGAGGGATGGCCACAATTTAGAAACAGATCATGGCGACGCAGAAGCTGCGAACTGGTGAAAAGTACATCCTCATGTGTTAGGAAAGCAGTTTCCCATCTACATAAACTGCAAGACCTGATTGATGCATTCTACATGACTGATCTTCCAGATGAAAAGGAAAAAAATGGCAGGCAAAGATCCAGTGTAGTATTAGGTAATCCAGAACTGCTTTAAGCAGGTGACTGTATTAAAATAGGCATGGCCCTAAGTACTACTATAGGGAATAAGAAAATCATGAGGTTCCTTCAGAAATTGTGCACATCAGCCACTCTATCACCAGGCTACAGTAGAATCATGCATGTAATTTGGATGTGCAAGTTTAAAGGGAGTCTACAGAGGCCTTGTGCACTTATTGGTTTTTTTTCTTTTTTAACACAAGTTCTTTTGATTAGGTGTCAAATGTGTTGGTGGTATAGCATGAGGTTTTGTCCTCACCACAAAAGTTTAATGTCCAAATTTTTAAAAAAACCTCTGGATTTGCCTCAGCTCATTGTTATATTATGTTACATGTATGTACTATAAAACCCTTCGGATTTGAGAAATTGCAGCAGGAAATCATACAATTGTTTTCCTTTCAAACAAGTCATGATACATTTGATCTAGACTTATCAAAACTCCAGCTAATGTCTTATTATATTTTGTTTCCAGACTTAGATGCTAAGGATAAAGAGGAACTATTAGAAAGTCAAGGTCCTCTTGAAGATTCAACCCATTTATCCTCAGCTAGTAGCCATGGCAGACGCATCCGCTGGCTTCTTAGCTCAGCATCCCTTGGTAACATTGATGAGGAAATGACATCAGTTGAACCAAGGCTGGAGTCCTCTGCCAGTGGTGCTACTTTAGAGGTCAGGAATACATGTATATACAACTTATAAGGAAGTAAAAGCATGGTAATTACAAGGATACCAAGAATTTTAATTAATTTTGTCATTTCAAGAATGGATCAACATTTTTATATCAAAATCTATTTACATGAATTAACGATTAGGCAGTTGGTGGAGTTTGAAAGGCAGGCAGGAAGAATAGTCCACTTTACAGTTGTGTGCTTGGTTGCCAAGCTTTTGAACAGGAACGAAGCTGAGGGTGACCTTGTTATGATACAAACATTGCTGCTTTTCAAATGAAAATTACTTTGTTATCATGCCAACTAGATACTGGTCTCTATCATAACAAGGTCACCTTCAGCCTCACTCCAAATCAGAGGCTTGGCAACTAAGTACACAACTGTAAAATGGCCTATTTGCCTTACAAAGTTCTTATTTTAAGGGATATTCAAAACATCCTGCACAATAATCTTTTTGTTTTGCTGTCATTATAGACAGTGCTAATGTGGAAAGCCTGTTATCATCTGCTCTCTTGTAAATGCAGGCCAGAAAGTTACATATATCTCAATGTTTTGTTCTACAGGTAAGAGGAAGAAGTGCTGGAACAGTGATGAGTAAGGTGTCAACTCCAAAGTCTGCTGCTGGTGAGATTGTTCCTAAGGAATATGATGTCATTGAAGAGGTCATAACATTACTAGGGAGAATGGAAAGTGACAGACTTTCAACTCAAGATGGCTTGGTTAAAGAAAGAGAACGAGTGCAGTTCCTCAGAAATGAGATTGATGCTCAGGCCTACAAGCGCATGCATGATCTTCCACTGGCTGTGCAAAGGGGTAAACAAAAAAGAATTCACTAGCATTTAAGATATTTCTAAATTCACCAAATGAGCATGCTTAACATACCAAAGATACTTTACTTTGAAACATATTGTTGTATTAACTCTTACTGGTATTCCTCATAACCTAACACAGGTTTGCTGTGGATGTCTTTTACTGACTCATATTTGTTTTTTGTATAATGCTCAAGACAGAATGAGGTTCAGTTAGTTTCTCTCTTCTTTATAGAGCATGAAGCCTGTGCTATTGATATAAATGAGTTAAGATGGCATTGTGCTTATCAAGGCAGAATTGAAGCCAGGATCAAGGAAAGGGTGCATCATGCAGGTGTGATTTTGATTTAGTCAATTATCCTTTCCTAGTTTATACATGTGTAATGCTGAGATAACACTGAATTTTACTGCTTTTAAGTCACAGGACACTGTCCAACCACTCAATTAATTTTGATTAGGTTGTTTAATAGATGTTACTCCATAAATTACTTATATTAGCAAGATAATCAAATTCCATGTTGCTTTTATTTCCTTCTGTAGAAGTTAGACATACAAAGGTTTTGCAAGATCTGAGCAACATACAGAAACACTGGTGAGTTAACAGGGTTCATCACATTTGTTTCATTTGTCAGTTGTGTACAGTGACATCTCCTCTGGGAATTCCTTGCACACTTCCTTAATGAACAACAGTCTTAAAACTTGAACAAAATAATAGAATTATAATTTTTTTATTAGGTGATAGCATGTTTTCTGATGTAGATGCTAAACACATGGTGCTCTCCCTTATTTCAAGTACAACAAGTAGAACAAAATTTCAAAAGGGAAGAGCAGTCTGTTTACCTGTTGAATTAATGAGGATTCCAAACAATTTTTTTGGAGGTAATAAGAGGCAATACAGGTAGTAAATTTTACAAGTTACCACCTGAAAACTACATGCAAAGTTCTTTTGTCTCTCAAATCTACTCACTTTTTTAAATCCTAAATATTGTCATGGTTGGATATATTTGGGACAGTTTATTATATTGTCCTTGTAAGATTAAATTAATGTTTTGATTAAGGTTTTATCTAATGAATAAAATTAATGAATTTGCATTTTCAGTCCTTTGGTTGAAGAGAAACTTGATCTAGAAGGTGAAGCAATGTCGAGCATACAACTTAAACAAGATGAAACAGATGAAGAATTAAGTAATACTCTTGATAGACTAGAGGCTACAGAAAGAAAAACAGCAGAAGCTCAAGGAAAAGCTACCCAAGAAAGGGCTCTAATAAAACAGGAGGTTGATGTTGTACGCAATGAACTCAATGCTGTCAGGTATTTATTTTTTTTTTATAAATGTTTTATTAAACATTTTAAATAGCCCATTCTGGAGCTAGTTATGAATTTTCTCCCTCTGCTTGTCCAGCCTGTAAGCTGGCAGTTGTTAAGGATTTTTTAGTGCTTGGACTGTCACTGTGCTTTGAGGGGAGCAAAGAATTGAAAATTGAAACAGCTCACTGCTTGTTCTTTTTACACTTTTGGCTTTATGTCAATTTGGGTCCACAAGACTGCTAGTTTCACAAGCTATTGATTTTTTCAGCATTACAAATTGACTATTAAAATTTAATACATTAAGTGTAATTGTACATTACCTGGAGAGTAAAAAGGGATGAGTGAGGCCAAATTGGCCAAAATATTAAAACTCAATGAAATCATGTTCTCTGCATACACATGAAAGTAAATTAATTTTTGATAAAAAATATTGACAATTGTATGTGTATGAGTGATTCTGTGTCACTTTTGCAGGGAATGGTAGTGACAAAGTAAATAGTGATGACTGCAACATATAATATTTGATCCTCTGCCTTAAGTTAGCTTTACAAGCATTTGAAAAAGATGACTTGTATCGTTGGATTCTGACCTAAAATTATTCAGTTAATATTAATCACTTCCTTGTGTCCCATGTAAGTTGAAAGTCCCTATCATTTTCATTTGTGGTTAAATTAATGGGGTGCAGTATCTCACACCCAGTTATGCACTGCTAGAGAATAGCCCATGAACAACCCCTGAAAATTATTACAACAATAAATAATTTATATATTTTTTTAACCAAACAGCGATGAACTGGCACAATTAAGGATGTACTATACGTCTAACACACATACTATGAATGACATCAGAAACACTCTCACAGAAAATGCCGAACAGCTTGTAGTGCTGGGTGAGTTTTTGTAATACAAGTGTGTGTAAATTTTTTAAAACAAGAATTATTGCTTTAAATGCAAGAGTTGAGTAGTTAAAGTTATGTGGCCAGAGGAGCTACTGTATGTCATGTTCTGTCCACCCTGAAAAGTGAATCAGCATAAATTCTTTTAGTGTATCATTTGGAACCATTTCCATCTTCACCCCCCTTAGCTATCCAGACTCCTTTTGATTTACTCTCATCTCTACAGTGCTTTTTGTCCTATCAAACAACTACATGTATTTGAAAATCCAGTTCCTTTGGAATGCAGTGCTTTATAATGATCAAATCTGATCAAACTATTTGAAGCTCAAAAATATGGGCACAATTCAACCAGCTTATTCTGTTACTTCAGTCCTGTTGCATTTTCTTGACTTTAGCCGTTTGACTCAGTGTTTTCTCCATTGCATTGGTCACTTCATTTTCAAATTGTATATCAACAGCAAGTTGTATGCTTTGTTTTTCAGAAAGAAGAGAAGAAAGAATCAAGGCCTTAGAAGCAACTCAGCAAGACAAGGTTATAACCACATCCGTGATAAATCTGTTTCACTTGTAATCCGACTTTTTGTAACTGATTTCTCACCTGTCGTCTCTGTGGGAGATGCAACATAACATAAACATGTGTACCTCTCTGCACTCGCGAGTATAAATGGAGCCAAATGGGAACTGGCAAACTTTTTTGAGACGCCTGACAAAATACTGAGGGGACAATTGGTAACAGATTGCTTTTTCGCTTGGGAGAGTATAGTGACACTCATGTTAGCTTCATACTATGAATAGTGGGTTACACGCCAACTGTGTGACAACATGAGTCTTTTAGCACGTATACCATTCTACACTTTACTCCTTCAGCAGAAAGTAAAAGAGTTGTTCATTTTTTTTAGGTGCAAAGAATTCGAGAAAAAATTGTAGAACAAGAAGCAGAACATATAAAGCTTGTAGATGAGAACAACAAGCTGAAGACGGACAAGCAGATAACAGTAAGTGAACTTGTTGTTGACAGCTGAGACTGTCACTGCGATATGTTGGAGAATGAGCAATCAATATATGGATTCCACTTAAAATTTCAATGCACTGTTCAAAGCAGACGCTTATGACGAGATGCAGACTATGAAGAGTCTTACATTCCCGTCAGATATTTTAAGTTATTTTATTTGTAACTTGGTAGCTTCTTTAACATACCTTGGTGGAATAACAGAAATTATCGTTTTCCAGAATACGCTTTTTTTCGAATAGATAGCAAAAAGCCGTAGATAGCAAGAATGATTGAGGATGTAGAGAATCTAACTCTAAGCGAAGAACAATTTGAAAGCTTCTATGATAAATTTTTCCAGATGCGCAAATTCTAAGTTTTCTTTCATTCCAAAGAATCCGAAATATTATGAATGCGCATATTACAGCTCTTTTGATAACAACTGAAAGCCATTTGTATCTTGGAAGTTTTGCAATTTTTGACATCCTTACTTATTTCTGATATTTTTGTGGCTCTTTAAGCAAGCGTCTATGGAAAGCGAAAATAGCAAGTTGGAGCTTGAAATCAAGAATGCTTCCAAGAAACTTAAGGACTTAACCAGAAGAATCAAAGAAAGCAAAGCTGAAAATAGCAAGCTGAACATGAAGCTGGAACAATGGTGTGTAATGAATGGCCTTTTTAAAGGGGTTTTCTAATTAGCATATAAAGATTCTATACAATGCGTTGCTTAAAGAAAAATTTTTATTCCGGAGCGCGGAAAAATGATTCACCGTCCCGCTTGACCTTGCTGTTCGTGTGTGTCTTGCGCTTTCCCCCGCTCCTCTGAAAAACGCTCAAGATAATGCGTATTCTTCACGCTGTATTGTAAACGACTGTATTGTAAACGACTAGAGAGGAAAATGGCTGTGTATAACTTATATAGGCTGCGCGTCAGTTACTCAATTAGGTTTTCAAGTCCAAAAAGGCGTCGATCAAAGTAAGTTTCTCTCAAGTGGTGATCTCTTTTTTTTTCCTGACAGTGCGAAACAAAAAATTGCGGATGAAAAGGCTGTGAAGAGAGCACAACAGGAGATGGAAAAAATTGAAGAGCAGATGGAGGTATATGCATGTGCATCACTATGTAGTAATCTTGGGTGTAGCTTTTGTTGACCTTTAAATTATAAATCGTTTTACATTGGAATTTTGGACTACAAATACAGAGGGTGTACTTCCATGTAAGGCAAATTCTTGATGAACTGTGTGATAAGTGTTGTGTAATAATTATTGCAATTGTTGTTGTAAATTACGATGTCAAAAATAACTATGAACCCGATGACAGTGATGCATGTGTGAAGGGTTTGATTAAGCACCTCGATCTTTATTTTTTCCTTAAAATCAGAGTCAACACTTGGAAAAAAAAAACCAAATTACTTGACCTTAAATTCCAAAAACTTAAGGAGAGATCTTAGAACAGAACAAAGTTATTTGTTTCTTAAAAAAATTGATTGCAGTGCGCTGCATGGTGGACGAATGAAGCACCTTCATGACTTAGTCGAACATATGTCTTACGATGCGCTTAAGGCTGGGAGGTCGACTTTCCAAAATTTCCAAGGGCCGTTGATTTCCTTTTTCACGTCTCAGGTGGCACTTTTACTTTTACTGAACGCGATACTAACAGTATTACTATTGCTCAGGTTTCCAAGGAAGAGACGAAGAAAGTCGAGGTTCTTCATGACAACCTCTCAGAAGTTCTAGTCGTCAAGAAAGAAGAAGTGATGGGTATTGAAGAATCACTGAAAACTACTGCTGATGCACTCAAGAAACAACTTAAGGACGAAGCTCATGCTAGGACTGTTCTACAGGTCAGTGAAGATAACGCACCACTCTTATTGTTCTCTATGGTTGTCGGAATCATTCTAGTCGTCTCAAAAGCCCCTAAGGTAAAAGGACGATTTTGCGCGATTTTCGAAGCTACCTCTATGACCATTAACGACTTGAACGAGTGGAACCATGGCAATGTAAGGCTAATGTATGCTTTCTCTTTTCCCGCTAGGCAAGGATCACATCCGACACACAGGACCTTGCCAAGACACACGTTGACTCCAAAAAGAAACGAGAAAAAGTAAGTTTTGTCTAGTGTCATAAATTGTTGTAGAAATCTTTAAAATAATCATCTCTAAGGTATACCATACAAAAAAACATTTTGTACCTGTCATTTCTTGCAACTGAGAGGTGGTAATTTTTTCCTCTTTTAGGCTACACAGCGGGCAGAGGAAATGGTAAAGCTTGTTGATCACGTGAAAGACCAGGTTGGTAGTTTTTTTTTGTGCGTGTTTTAACCTTGAGATATTATGGAATGCCTATGTTCTTTGAGCAGATGAAAAGAAATAACCGACTGACTCACTGACTGGCCCACTGATCGATTCATACTGCATGACGAAGGGCTAACGCTCGAAACACCGCTAGCTTTAGAAACTCTCTACGCTATTATCTTTGTTGATAAAATCACATTATGTTGTAATGCCCTCACCGACGCAGCACCGCAGTATTAATAGAAACTTAACTCCTTCATTCGAAACTCGAGGAATTGACAGGCTAAGTGACTGATGGTTTTTGTAACTAATGAAATGACCAACTGATTGAGTGATTGATTTATGGACCGACGACAGACAGACTTGCGGACTGCTTGACTTGATTGTTTGATTGATTGATTTCCTCAGGTTTCAAAACTGGAAAAGATTCATAATGAGAGACAAGAGGTAAGCTATAGAAAGACTTATTCTCTCAGATTTACATTTCGTGATCAGATAAGATTTTTTGATAAAGTTTTCATCAATTTCATCTGCAACTTCCGTTTTTTCATGTTGTTTCTTCACTGTATTAGACCATCGCGCAACTTAACAAGATTTTGGACAAGGTGAAACAACAATACAACGATATGGAATCGAAATTCCAGGGTGAAATCTCTGAGCTGCTCCCGAAAGAAGAGGAATTAAAGGTTTGATTGGATGAATTTTTGTGTTTCATGTTACATGACATGCGTGGTTTCATTCAGAGGTGCTATCCATGAGTAGAACACTTTCCCTTCACATTTGATTGGTCTATTGCAGAAAGAAACCATGGAATTAACTAAACGTTTAGATCACATCACTTGGAAATCCGAGATGATGGAGAAGAAAATGGCGGACATGGAGTCTTCCTCGCAAATGATGAACAAAGTCATAGCCACAACCCAAGAGAATATAAATGATCTGAAGTGAGTAACTTTGTCGTAAACTGATTGATTTCTTTCTTCTTCTTTATTCACTCATTCATAATCTCACTCACTCAACTATTTAAAGGCTTTCATGCATAAAGCGCGCTTTCTCAAGACCTAAACGTTCACAGAGCAATTGTTAGACTAAAAGCAGTCCCTCCTTTTCGGCTTAGTCCGTCGTGCAAGTAAAAAAAAAACGGCGAAAAAATTTTATAAGAGCGCGCCGCGCGAATCGCACTCCCAGATTTCCGTGCGAAGCTCCAACGTCCATTTTTTTTTCCGCTTATATTGTGTGACTCGCACGACGGACCTCACTGAAAAGTAGAGACTGCTCTTAGTCTAAGCGATGGCGAAATGAGTGTCGCAAGTAATCTGCGGTTGCGTTGGTGAAAGAGCTCTTATCCTCCGCACATTGATACCTTTATCAGCGCTTGCTCTGAAGTTTTCCTTTTCGCGCGTACTGTACGTCTCTTCGCAGTTTCACTTGTATATCTATCCTAACTTTTTCCTTTCTTACTCGTGTACATAAACCCTGCAAGCACTGGAAATAATATCAAAAATGTTGTTTTTTTTAGCGAGGAAATGACTGAATTAAAGATTCAAATAGAGACAGGATTTGAAACCGAGCAAGGCTTAAAGAAATCCCTTCAACAACTTGAAGGTATTTTGTACATAAATGCGACCCATGCAGTGTTGTGAGAATTATCTGCGTCTCTCTCTGTTTCTTAACATTTTTGGGTGAACTGAAGACTATCGTGAAAGTATCCTGCACACGCTTTACCGAGATAGGAACAAGTCTCACTCTTTTTGTTATGAGAACGAGGGATTTTACTAGCATATTATATTTGTCACAAAATCATCTCTCAAGCAAGTTCTCCGGAGTTCCTAAAAACCCTATGAATAAAAACCAAAACGTGCTACCTACCATTCACGTCATGTTGTTCTATCAAGCAAAACTTGCACAGAGCGCTATTTATATAGTGAAGAACTTTGCATGTGATTTGACTTGTAGAGAGAATCAATCGAAGCAAAGATAATCACGAAAAGCATATGGAAGAAAGGGATCAGGTGTTAACAACCAATCAGGTAATGAGATTTGTTATGTGGCGGGAAAACCTGAGTGAAACACAATGTATTATAATTTATGCAAACAAGACGCTGGAGAGTGGAGGAAACTCCTCTTCAAATAAATGACATGGAACTATTTAACCCTTTACTCCCTAACATCAGAATGAATATTCTCCAAACTACTCTTAGACATTTCCAAGGGTTCTGACAAGGAGAATTTGTTCAACAATCAAAAGCCTCTTTCGTTGATGATCATTTCCTTTATTCTCATGACCTTAATGTTTGATTTAGGGGTGATGTTGTCAGGAGAAATTAGGTGTTAGTCACTCTTAGGGGTTAAAGGTTAACAATAAGATTATGAGCTCGTTGTTTCTATGGCGTGATAGTTGATGGGGCAAGGCCCTAATCAGAGCGAAAAATTTATTTGTTTCAATATAAATCTAGTGGACGGTCAAAACTTAACAAGACAGAAGGTTACAAGCTAAGCCCGTCACTGTATTAGAAGTGAGCCCTTACTACCCAATCAGACTTAAAGAAACTTTTTGACAATTTTTCCCTAGAGAGGAGTAAAAACAGCCCTGAGTGAAAACAAGAAACTGGCGATAGTTTACCAAAGGTCGCAAAACACCTTGTTGAATAACAAAGCTGCTTTGCTGAGGCTTGTCGAGAGAAGAGTTAACAATGAAGACAGCTTGAAAGATCACAGAGAGGTGCTTTTAAGTAAAATTGCTCAAAGTACCATCATTTCTTTGTAATGGAGCAATCTTTACGTCAAGATGTTTTGCGAGTTTTTTTATGGACTAAGACTTGAAGAGTACCGCAGGATGTTGACTCAAAAAGACAGAAAACAAAAGATAGGCAGTTATGCACCAACAATGAACAAGGCTGGTTAAAGATTGGGGAAGATTAGAACAGATTTCAAATGATAACCGTGTCAAAGGAAGTAGGTTAGATTTTTCGTCGGAGGAGGAGCAAAAGAGAGGCCATACCGTATACAGGGGATAAGTTTCTGAAGAAAATTTGCTGCTACGTCGGTTGTGGTGGTTGGGGGGGGGGAGCCAGGGGTATTACAAGATAATATGGTTTATTAATTGAGTTGATAATGTTTATTGACTTCCGTAAAGGGTTTCTGAAGCTGACGTTTAGTGCGTTAACCTTTCGTCAGGTTGAATGATACCGTATACAATTCGTTAACTTTTACGAACCGGCGGTTACCCTAAAAATACTCAATCTACCTGAGATAGCACTTTGAATACCATAACACCGAAGAATGTACAAGAATCAGGAGCTCAGTAATGGGCTTCTGACAAGAATATAGTTGCACTCCTCGGTCCTGAACAAAACCTCATGGCTCCATTTTCTGATAACATTTGTTTTTCTCTTTTCAGCTGTCTGCTCTACAAGGTCGCATGCGCCAAGCATTAGAATTCTTCTACCGTCTTCGTGGCTTACAAAGTAAAGCGGACATAGCCGACTTCGAACTGAGATGCATAAAAAATGGAGATAAACTTACAACTTTACAGTCTGAAATGATGAGAGTCATTGAACACATAAACCGTTTTCTGGAAGCCAACAATGCCGCCCATGATGTGATCTCGATGGAAGCTGCAAAAATCGCGCAAACACCGACAAATGACGCCATTTTTGCTTAAGGAAAATGTGGCTAACCAGGCTGTAAAGACACAGAAACTGTTTTTATTTTTCAGTGATAAGCGACCTCCTACCCTTCCCAGACTAATAGACGTGTGTCATACTATAAGTATAGGAGAAACAAATCATTTTTATTTGTCAAGGACTTGAAAAAAAAACCAGTCTCGCTGTTGATAACTTGTTAATTCAAAGGCCAATTTTTTTCTATTTCAGTCTCAGAGGTAGAAATCAGGTCGCTGAACTAAGTACAAACAAACAGTTTATTTTGTTTACGGAGCACCATTTAAAAGGAATGCTATCGTAGCTCATCACAATCTCGTTTGACTGATTGCCAGTATGTGAGTTTTTAAGGCATGGAAAGTGTTTTTCGAATGTTTTATTGTATATAAAATATTATAATAATGTGTACATATTAAAATATTTAGATATGAAAAAGCGTTTCCTTTGTTGTAAAGACCGACCAAATGTAAGAAAAAAAATTAATAAAGGCTATTTGTAATTATCATGCGTATGATTAAATATCTAAAGAGACTGAGGATCTTACTCATTGTTTTTGTGAGGTCTTATGGGTGATCACTCGATGTGGTAGTTTTAAAACACCAACAAAACGGATTGAAATATCCATGTTTGTGAATTATAGTGTCTGCCTTTTTGACACGTACTTGGGTACACTGTGAGGCTGTGTTGTAAGTTGTAAGGTGATGACAATTTGGAGTAAAGGAGATAAATCGGAAAGCAAATAATCACACGCCGGAGAGTCGAGCCAAGGAAAGGAATACATCATCCGAATGGGAAGGTTTAGGGAAAATGAACTTTTTTTAATCAAGGATGCAGACCTACTAAAAGAATCCATTTTAGGGGGGATAGTGTGGAACGTCCCGACGGAGGAGGGGAGGGAGGGTGTTAATCCCTTTTCCCTGTGCAAATCTTATAGACATTTTCGAGCCGGTTTTTTTTTTTTTGGTTGTCTTTCTTTGTTTTCTTTTCTTTTTCTAGTTTCTCGTTCAATCATTATTCTATTTATTTTTTATTCCAATCACTGTGAAAAAGGCAAATCCGGGCCCTTGACTATTATGTGTTAGGACGTATTCCTGGGGTCTAGTTTTTATCTCCTTGTAACTCTATATGTCTTGACAGTCACGAGATTTTGCAGTGAGTCGAAGAACCGGGTCGCGATAAAATGGCTCTGACTTACGTGATCTCTTCGCTTCTCCTATCTGTTGTTGTTGCAAAGCCATTGTCGGATACTCCTCCGCAATGGTCTAACGCTTACACCGTCTCTGGCGTGCTGCGCTTGCCATATGCTGAAATCGTGGAACCTATGGCGGTTTGGTTTGACGGTGAAAATGGCAGGAGCAGGATCGATTATTATTCAGGTGAGACCTTCAGATTCAGGAAACGTCGCCAAGCCATCATCTTTCTTTCCCACATCATTTATATTAAGTTTTCAAATTAGTGGGAGTGCAAGGTCCGCCCTGTTTGCCCTCAAGTGAAAATATCATTTAAGTATTCCACACTTTAGGTTACTTGCCTGGGACACGCAACTAATTAACATTTCTATGGGCGCTTTATGCTGATTTCGCACAACCAGCGCATCTAAATTCAAGTCCATCTCTGACTAAACTGTTTTGTTTTGTATAAAATGTTCTCATCTCCGTGACTTTTGATGAGTACAACGTCGCTTGGGCAAATAGAAGTGGACATTTAGTTCCGTTGTCAATAGTCCAGAGACTCCCTCTATTATTTTAAGTAAACTTTTCAAAAGCCTGTGAGGAGTTCAAATGAAGCTGTGGGCAGTAAAAATCAACTAATTGGAGCTCTATTTTTAGGCTTAGCAAATATTTTCAGTTTCATAATGAACTCATACCATTGGCGTTTTGTAATTATGAGTACCAATGAAAACTTTGGGATAAATTGTTTCCTTCTTGCAAGGGTTGGACATTACAATTCAGCGAGAAGATGTAGGGATGTTTGGTTCAAGTTACAGAGTCTGTCCAGAGACCACTGAGACTGAGTTGAATGTGAAAACCTGCTTTCAAGTGAATGGAACCAAGGATGCCCCAGTGAAAATACAGTCAGTTTTACCTGACCTCTCAAATTTCAAGGCAAGTTGTACAATGTTATGTAATCTTTGAGGAAATGTGTGAGGGAGTTATCAGTCAAAAATGGTTTCAATGCAACTGGGCTTCAGATAAATATGTCATGTTGCTGTTAGTCCTCTTGAAGATCAGTTTTTGAAGTTATCTTCACTATGGCATTTTGCAGGAAGAATACCTTACTCCATGCATGCAAAAAATTTGTAATAAAGTTTTGGTGTCCCATAGTTGTACTAAATACTGAAAATGCACACTTCCTATTACTTCAAGTAAGAATGGAATCTTAGAAACATCATTTTTGGTTATAACTATTTGTTGTCTATGGGAAAATTTTGTTAACGAGGACACTGTTGGATGAGCATTATGAAAAGAGTGAGTCTCATTGATAGTCAGTCCTAAACATATCTCATTTGTTAAACAGAGTAATGAGGTAAAAATTGTTGTTTGTTTGTGTTTTCAAATTTTTTTCTCCAGTTTGGTGGCTATGGTGACTGTATTGTAGGCAACTGTACAGTATGGACTTACACTCAAACAGAACAACACAAAGTTAACACATACAACATGTATACATCCCAGTCTGAACCACCAAATCCTGTTCACTATGAAATGTTGGGCTACGACACTCTTTTGGGTTCTCACTATGACAAATATTTGATTGATTTTCTGGATTATTCACCTTTAATGCCACCTGCTAAAGTGTTTGAGATCCCAGGTTTGTTTGTTTGTTTGTTTGTTTTGCTTGGTCTGATAACATTTTCTTTGACCCTTTCATTCTCAAGATCTCATTAGTAATTCTCTTTACTGCCTGCTATACAATTCTTAAGGTATTAGTTTGGAGAAATTAGTATTGGATCAACTGATTATCCCCTGCGTAATATTTTACTTTATTCTTATAACTCATCTGCATGATATTGTATAGAATGCTCTAAGGAGAAATTCTGCATTGGTCACTCATGGGAGTTAAAGGATTAAACTTTCTCATTTGAACTTTTTGGCTATAGTGAGTTATAAATATCACTGATTAAAAAAATCATTATTTTATTTAAAGACATTCATGTGCTTAATTGTTGTTTTAAATTGTTTCCTTGTTCAATCAGGTATGACTTGTAGAGGTTTCCCTGGACCTGGGGCAATGACAAGCTTATTGGCAAACCCTATGCAAGAGTTTGTTGAACCCTATGGCCATGAAAAAGTACATGAGCTGTTTGAACACTTCCTGATAAAGCACCCCAAAAAATATGCCAACACAGTGGAGAGGGAGGAACATCACAGGCGCAGAGATATCTTTAGGCAAAATTTGAGGTAAGAATTAAAGCTTTGATATTTGATGATGGTGTGCTTTGCCCTGTAGTTTACATGATAAGTTGACAGATTTAGTTAAGCTGCCCCTGTCAAGTTTGGTTTTTACATCTGTGCAAGCAATTTTGCACTATGATGCATATGCACAAAGTTTTTCTCCAGTATTTAAGGAGGCCTCACAAACATCAAGAAGCTCATGATAACATTCTTTGTAGGTGAATATTTATTGAAACTCATCCCCTTTGAATAAAAGCAATATTATTTGTTTCTTGAGGGATCCATCCCTCATCACATGTTTGTAAATTAATTTGAGGGGTCCACCCAAGATCACAAGCTCTCAAATTAAATTCGTTGTCTTGTTTCCAGAAACATTGTACCAAAATAACTATCTACTTTTCACCAACAGTTGTCTAAAAAATTATTCTAGTTACTATGCTTTGGTTGACAGATTTAATACTAAAAGATTTTTTGATTGGCTTACTAAATATACTGAATTAATGATAAGAAACAAATTGTGCAAAGAGTATAATAACAGGCACACAAGGTATGGTCCAAGTAGACGTACATGCAATATTTCAGGAATTTGTTATGAGGCCAATATGAGGTTCAGAGTTGAATTTTTGATTCTAAGAGGTGAGGAGTCTGTTCCAAGCTTAAGAGCAGTAGTATTTGCTTAAATTATGATACCATGCCAGCGCATGGGACTTAACTTCTATAAGTATTATAATTGTTGCGGACCATTTTTTTAGTTGTCCTAAATAGGCACTGATGTAGTCATGGTTAATACTATTGCTTTTTTTTTTTTCCCTATATTTTTTTTGATAACTCTGGATCCTAACAATAGTACACAAATGAAGGGTTATGTCTTCATAGGCCCAGACACATCATGTCCTACAATGTTAGGGTTTTTTTTAACCCTTTACACCCAAACATCAGTATTCATATTCTCCATACTGTTCTCTGTACATTTACTAAGGTGCTGACAAGGAGAATTTGTCAAACAATCAAGAGTTTCTTTAGTTGCAGATCATTTCCTTTATTCTCATGACATCAATGTGTGATTCAGTGGTGATATTGTAAGGAGAGATTAGATGTTAGTCACTCTTAGGGGTTAAAGGGTTTAACTCTTTTTAAAGCTCTGAAAATTCTCAGTTTTAATAAATAAAAATCAAACATGAAAACATTGAGCGAAAAAACTTGAAGGCATAAAATGTTTTCAATCATTCTTTGGAGTTCATTGACAAGTCAAAACAAAGAGGACACACTAGTAGATGCTGCTACTCGAGGTCGTTTAATCGCGCTATTGTTTCATTCCTTTGAGTCTTCCTCCAAAAGATCTCACCTGTTCCAGAACGAGTGAATCCGAACTTAGTCATTAGGCTTTCGGCGGTCCTACGTGGCCCCCGAAGTGACTACCCAAAGGATTAAATCGAGCCCTCTGGACAAAATCCAGCGCTAACACCTATTTCTGAATGACACACTTAAATCGACGTGGAGTTAAATCTATTGAACCCAGTGGATGTTTACAAAATCCAAAGTTGCTAATACCTAAATTCCTGAATGACACCTTCACTTTGTTTTACCTCGACGTGGAAAGGGTTCAGGGATGAGTTACACAGCAAAAGAGACAATGTCTATTCGAATATAGCGTCTCTAGAGCAATCAGTGAGATGTTTACTGACAGAGATACACTTTTTTTGTAACGCGCTATTTTGAGTTGAATCACTCTCCCATGCGGTTTTCCTTGGTGAATCTGTTCTTGCGCTTGGGTTTGGTGATGGCGAAGGGTTTGATAAATTTTTGTGTAACAGAGGGTAGAGATTGCTACGCACGGTACCACTACAGCAAAAGAGAGACCAGCAGCGATGCGGAAGTTGACCACTCTCCCCGACGGGCTCACTGTTCTCTTTACTGTTTTACATCTTTGTATCTGAGCCGCAATTATCAATGCTCAACACTGAGCAATGATCACAGCAAAGAGTCCCCAAAATGCAACGACAGACATCAGGTAGGGGAAAATAAGGCCCACTCCCAGATCAGTGCACGCAAGACAAACGAGTAAGATTTTCGAGGACGGATGCATCTTCTGGCGTGCCTTCAAAAATGCAACGACCTGTTTTAAGATAAGCATCTTCTGGCGTGCCTCAAAGCCTGTTTCGCAAAAGAACTCTTGAGTTGTGCTTTGTTTTTCGCCGTCAGTTACGTTAGCCATTTATTTTCCAAGCAGGTTCTATTATCAAAGTCTCATCTTTAAACTCGCGTGTGCTTCTCTTTCGTTCGGTGGGTGGCTTCTGATTTGGCTATTTCAGTACGTGAGCTAAAAACTTTACTAAGTGCGGTTTGCTTGTGACAGTGATGAACAACTTATTTCTGTGCCCCGTGAGAGCGATGTTGATATTGGTTCTGAGTAGTTCTTAAAAATATGTAAGCAGGAAAATGATTTGTAAATCGTTCATTCTTAGACCACCAGCTTAGTTCCCCAAAATTTTAAATGCAACTGGAAATGAAAGCTTTAATTGCGCGAACATAGAAAAACAACTTAAAGTTTATGCGAAACCATGGGATTTGGGGATCTTTAACGACGGATGAAATAAACAGAGGACTCAAAAATTAAAACGGTCATGTAATTGGCGTATTGCCACTTTAATTGTGCTTCTATCCAGACCATAACACATTACAGACAATACAACGTGTTGGTCTATCAAAAAACAAGAAAATCAAACATCCTCCTAATCAAAGTCGGTGATAAGAAGTGAATTACATGATAAGCTCTCACGATAATTCAACCGATGCTGAATGGTTGGGTTTGCTGTTACGCTATTGGAGACGTAGTCCGTGAAAAGTGATTGGTCAACTGTAGTCCGACGTAGGACTAAAGCTCGAAACGTCAGCTGTTCAATACTTTTAAATCGTTTCGTTGGTCTACCAACGTTTAGTATCTTGTCGTGGGTAAACAACCTATTTTTTTACTTGCCCGCTCACGCAGTGTAACAGTTTCTTTAGCAACTAAAATCCATGCGTGGTTCGGTCGCTTCGGCACTCATCAAAAAGCACACAAAAGAAATCAAAGTTGCCTACTGAACGTAAAATCTGCCTGTCGTTTAATATAAATTTTTTTTGAGAATTTTGTAGTCTGCTCTGATTATGAGCTTCAAGAAAGAGGGAATTAGATCGCACAAGTGTTTCAAGTTGAACACGATTTTGTTTTTTAAAAACCATTACTAAAAGACCTTACTTCGCCATTTGTTTACCGAGTTAACTTGTGGAAACTGCAGAGGATGTGGAAATAAACTATGCCTTAAATATGACGGGTTTCTGTTTCCGCCAGTTTTTAATTAACTACTGTTTCCATCTTAAACAAATGCGAATGAACTTTGTATTTCTTAGAAAACGCTGTTAAGTTTGACCAAGAAACCATGGAGGGCTAAGCTTTGATCTTGAAGAGCATTTTAGATTGATTATCCCTTGCTTTACGACTCTTTGTGTTTGGTGCAGTAAACTCGCGCCACTGTGCTCTTAACCAATAAGTTGAAGGGACATGGTTGCCTACGTTTTCCCTCGCTTGATGACGGTTTTGTGCGTTTACTGCGAGTTGTTTGCTCTCTGCCATCTTTATCGTAATTCTGCTAGGACGCTTCGTCGAAAACGCTCCACGGCTGTTTTCGTTAGGTTGAAAATATGACTGACTACCGGCTTCGTATAAGTGTGCTTGTATCGAAAGTCAGTAGGATGGGAACCTCCAAAGGAAATCAAATAGGCCTGAGTAATCGAGGTTGCAAGTTATGGAGGGTTCAATCTTAAGAAAGTGGGCGTACAGTGACTCGTTCAAACCTGACAAGACGTTCAGAAATTCTGTGTCTCTGCCACTGTTCTTACGCCGTTTGGTAGCGGTTTTCGTGAAAACGAAAACATAAACAACTCTTTGCATTTGGGGATTATTGACTTGAAAAACAACAAAACTGTCTGATCGTTTCCTTCACAGCTTGCTTTACCTCCCTTATCTTCCAGCAATAGAGGAAAGGGTTCAGAGATGAGTTGGATAACATCAGGGACACTGCTACATCGATAATGATCTTAAGGGTTGGTGTTAGTGATTCAGTGATATAATACGCAATTGTGACTATACCAAACGGAAGATAACAAACCAGCAATGTCACTTGCACCCACAGTGCACTGGACACTGTCCTTTTGTACCGTGCTATATTCAGAGGCACTCCTCTTGCGTTTGGCTGTCCCTGGTGAATATGTTCTTGAACTTGCTTCTGATGCTTGGAAAGGCTGACATAGATCTTTGAGTAGCAGAATGTAGAGATTATTATACATGACCCCAATAAAATGACGACGATTCCAGCATAAATACGGATGCTGTAAAAAGCTAACGTTGCAAAGAAAGCGTTTGAAACCCAAAAGGTGACAACGAGAATCCACACTTTCCTCCAAGTTACTACATGTCTGTATCTTAGGCCTAATGATATAGCGAGAAGTCTGTCTATACTGATTGCAGTCAGTGTAAACAGGGATATTGCGCAAAATACTGAGCCCATGGTAAGGTAAAATCTGATTAGATAAAAACACCATTCGGAGTTTACCGGAGACATGGTATAACCAATACGTAAAGGGTGTATTATAATCCCCACTCCTAAATCGGTACATGCTAGGCACCCGAGCAGAACTTTCGACGATGAATAAAGAGTAGTCACTTTTTGAAGGGCACTGATGATCAAAACATTACCGAAAATTGCAATGATTGCTAGGGGACCAGATAACGATGAAATTAATATCTTCTGGCGTGGTCCGATCGCTGTGCTGCAAAGCAACTCTTGAAATGCAATTTGGTTTTCATGGCTCGTTAGGTTCGCCATTTTTTTCTTAGCCAGTTGTGGCAGGAGTTAATGTTCGGTCTGATTATTGTTAAAGGTCAGCGCTCTTCTACTTCTCCATCGTTGGTTGCCAGCAATTCTTTATGTCTTGATTGAAGGAAATGTGTATTATAATCTTTTAATTGTGGAAATTAAAGTGAGTATTCGATATCTCTCAGTAACCCTTTAGCCCTATTCGTTTCCAAGGTGACGAAAGCAAACCTTTTTCCAGCTGAGTCAAGATTGGTAGATCTTGATATATGTGTTTTGTTTCATCAACCAAGAAAATTACATCGGAAAAATGTTATTAATTAACACATTAACTGTTTCGGGAACGGATACAAAATTGATTACATCCGCAAAGATATTTCTCGGGTTAATATGACAAATTAACATCCCTGTTTCCGCTGATGCTGCTTGCCTAGATTCGTGGGAAAAACATCCTTTGACGTTTCCAGATTACCACTAAATAGCGCTGTCAGCACCTATTACCACCAACGCGTCTTACTTTCTCGCTGAAATAGTCGAGAACAAAGCATGACGAGCGAAAACAACATAGTGCGAGGGCAGCGGAAGGAACTATGGACTTAAAATTTGCCTCTTCTTTATATTAAGGTTTTTAGACGTGCACTTTTGAAAGGAAAATCCCATTAGTCGCGTCAGAGTTGTCCACAGTGCTAACGGATTTTTACGGGCTCGATGAAAATAGAGGCGGCCAAGCCGCGAAACGAGCAGCGGAGGTTTCCTATTTTTAATTGAAGGTTCACGGATAACGTTACCAATATTTCTCTAATGCACACTTACGTTAATTCAAAGCTTCATCGATATTGTTTGCCTGATAGAAAAACAATAATCAAAATTGCTCTCACTGCCGTTGGTATCGGTCGATTTGCACCTGTTTTTATTGCGACAAAATTAACCTTTAGGAAAGCTTGACAGAAGCGAAGTTTAGTTCTATTCCTTGACTTGCTGAAAATTTAGAACTCAAATTATGATTCTCTTAAACGAAATATTAAGTTTAAAACATAGTGTGTAATAAAGTAAGGATAGCTTGCAAATTGTGATCAATCTTAAACAAGGAGTCGGTAAACTTTCCATTTTAAGAGAAATAAACTTAACACTCCCTATTTCATGTCAGCCGGTAATTTTGGAGCAGAATAACGTGGGTTTGTTTTAAAGTCAGAGATTCGATTCATTTAGTAAACTCAGTACCGAATGATATTGGCTAGGAACCTTACAGCTTTAAGTTAACTCCAAAAGTTTCGGTAATATTTCAATCATGAAAAGTAACTGGGAATTGTGGATTTTCCGGTACTGGTTTTGTGAGTTGTATCTTACGTTGCTGTAACAAATTTTAACAACCAAAAGAAGTACCTGTTTTCAATTCATGATTGGCCTCGAGGAAAGGGAAAGCTTTAATTGTAATAATCTTTGAAAACTGGTAAAAAAAATGAATGTGTTTTTGTTACGTTTTTCCACTAACGTAATCGTCTGCAATTGCATAACCCTTTATCCTTTGAGTGATCAAGACAGAATTTCCCCTTACGATGTCAATACAATATCAAGTAGACAAGCGATGAGAATAAAGAAAAATATCAATTAGGAATAGTTAGTTGATCCAATACCAAATTCTGCAAACATTACGAGCAGACGGCGAGGAGAATTACCAATAAAATCTTGGGAGTGAAAGTATTAACATTTATCTTACGTGGAGCCTAACTTTGATTTCAGGTTCATAAATTCGCACAATCGTAAGCAAGTTGGTTTTCAAGTAGCTGTAAATCATCTGGCAGATCGCTCACCTGAAGAGCTCAGAGTACTTAGGGGGCGTACTTATACAGAAGGATACAACGGTGGCCTTCCATTTAAACCAGACTTGTCAACTTTGAAGGATGTCCCGGATACTATGAATTGGCGACTTTATGGTAACGCCTTTTACGTGTGATGGAAAAATGTAATAGCAGTTTTATGAGTGAAACTTTAATCGTAAAGGTAGATTTTTCGCATTCTCGAAATTTTTATTATTTCTATGACATCACGTATTAATTTTAAAACATCCATTATGGGGAAAGTTATATGTTGGTTTGAAAAATGTGTTTATTGTATACTTGCACTCTAAGTTGGAAGATTTTAGAAACAGTGGAGAATTGTAAATGATTTTCACGTTGTGGCGGTGAGTTGAAATGAGTAATGCATCTTATAAGAAGCTTTGATAAAATAATTAAATTCTCATTGCTCTTTCGTTGTGAAGAGAATTAACTGATGTCGACTGAAATTCCTTGTGTTGGCACTGAATTTCAGACAAGTAGATTAAAGTAGCTGTTTGCGTCGATTTTAGGAGCGGTGACCCCTGTGAAAGATCAAGCAGTGTGTGGGTCGTGTTGGAGTTTTGGCGCCACCGGAACAATTGAAGGTGCATTGTTTCTCAAGGTAGATATATTCAGTTTACTCTCAGAACTCCAAGCGAATCGAAACAAAGCTTATATACACAATTAACCTTCGGATTTTCCTGCCTTGTGATTCATCACAAGTTGTTTACTAGCGCTTTTTACAACAGATTCTACCATTGTCAGACCCTCATGCTTAACAAGTAGGATAGCATTACTATCACCACTATTTATAATTTCCTGCAGACGAAGAATCTTGTCCGCCTTTCTCAACAAAATCTGATTGATTGTTCTTGGGGTTTTGGTAACAACGGATGTGATGGCGGAGAGGAGTTCCGATCATATCAGTGGATAATGAAGCATGGTGGTATAGCGACGGAATATACCTACGGACAGTATCTGGCACAGGTGAGTGTTAAAAAATCAAGGAACTTATACTCGGTAGAGTGGTTTCTTCTGTTTTTCTGACTATTTTTTATTCGATCTACTCAGGATGGGAGATGTCACTCAGGGACTATTGGTGCCAAAATAGAAAGCTATGTAAACGTTACCTCAGGAGATCTTGAAGCGCTCAAGATTGCCATTGCTCAGAAAGGACCAGTAGCAGTTGGAATAGATGCTTCGCACAGGTCGTTTGCTTTCTACTCGTTTGGAGTGTACTACGAGCCTCAGTGTGGTACGTCTTAAGTTACTATCCAACCATGATTAGCAATTCTCTTAAGCGAAAGTCTTCCTAAATCAAGCTGTTGAAAATTCAGTGTAGAGAAAGAAGGTAATGGATCGTATGCATTTTGCATCAGAGTTTTCCAATTAAATAACTTTTACTTTAAACTTCAACAATAACTTTTTCCAATTAAAGTTGTCTAATAGTATCCACTAATTCCCCAACATTTCCGAATGTTTAACCTTTTTTCGGTTTTTAGACCAATGTATGCACATAGCCGACTTTGTTAGCTTTAAATAACATATTTTCACTCTCTGTTAGGAAATAAACCCGAAGATTTGGATCACGCAGTGCTTGCCGTTGGATACGGCACCATGAATGGGCAAGCTTACTGGCTGATAAAGAATTCGTGGTCTACACACTGGGGCAACGATGGCTATGTCCTCATGTCTCAGAAGGATAATAACTGTGGTGTTGCGACAGATGCAACCTTTGTTAACTTAGAGTAGCTTAGAATCGCTTGGCTGCTTAATTCAAATCATTGAACGAATCGGTTTTAAACTAAAGTAGAATCTGGTTCTTTCAGTGACTGAAACAGCTTCTTAACTCTAGAGGGCTGAAACTAAAACTATAAACTATCTGGTGAATATTGTAAATGATTCGCGAGAGCAGTAGCTTATTAAACCTATTTTCGCAAAGTTTGTGTATTGTTTGACCTGATGGGGCATAGCACTTTGACTGCATCGTCTTAATCGATACCTTTTATAACGCCTCCTGAGAAAATCTGCTAGTTCGATATTAGCCATACCGAATTTTTCTTGACAATTTCTTTACTAAAGGTGAATAAAACACGTCCTTTCGTCTTCTTAAGAGCTTTAATTGACGAGTAACCAGTATTCTTACCCATTTAGGTTTAAGTTATTCCACTTAATGGAAACACCATAAGCTCTATATCGAGAAACTATTCTTTTAGATTATTTCAGTCGCTATGGTAACTTTTCGTGCCGTTTGGTTCTCATTCAAAGTTCTTCTTGAGGCAAGGATGTAATGATTTACATCTATATATTCTGGACAATCCGAGTCGAAGGGGGCGGTTGCTGGAAGTCTTCGGTAAAGGTCTGACCAGAAATGGTGTTCCTTCTTTATATTCAACTTCCATGCCGTCACCATTCTCTTCGAATTCGCTGTCTGCTCAAAGAAAACGGTAAAAACGTTCAATAAAACAAGTCATATCAGCTCATGAAACGTTTCACTCCAGTACCCCATCCCGTTCGTTTTTCAGAAAATCAGTGGTAACCAGTTGAATAATCGTTTTGAACTGAACGGGGAGTAAACTTCGCTGCCTCTGAGCCCAACAGGAGGGCGCTGGCTTAGCTTCTGTGAGATCACCTAACCTTCCGGAAGTAACATCACTGGGAGTAAATAAATATCACGATGCCTGAATTTCCTCATATTTAACAATTGGTTCATACGTCAGCGTGCGTTCATCGAGATATGAAGCAAGCGGGAAGTTTGGAGAGCACGAAAGATGCACAGGGAGCGTAGCCGAGAGCAACTCCAGCTTCTTGAGTGCCCTCCAAACTTCCCAAGTGCTTCATATCTCGATGAACGCACAGCTGACGTATGAACCAATTGTTTTATAACATTTTCAACCCGATGGAAAATTTTTTTTCTCGAGGGATTTGTTTACTGACGTCATGAGCGTGCACAATAGGAATATGGAGCACGCTCGCGCAATTGAATTTGATTAAACAAATTACCAGCTATGTTATAATAGAAGTTATGACAACGGTATTTTCAACTAGGAATTATTTTTAAATGTTATGCATACTGCAGTTAAAAAAAGATACACTGTTGGCAGTTCTTGCAAGCTTGTATGCTTTATATGGTTTGTTGGTTGTTTGTATTGCCTTTCCGTTTCTCTCAACTTCTTTCACATTGAAACTCAAGTAATACCTTGTCCTGTAATTGGTGCGTCGTTCTCTATAGGTTCAGAGGCTTTTGCCAGCTGCTGATTTTGATAAAGGATGTCATTTTTCCATGAAAACGGAGATGTTGTTTGGCGCATGTTCTTACTCCGTTTTTCGCTTTCGAACTCTCCGTTGCAGCTAGGTACAATCTGTGAAAAAAGCTTTGAATCTTAAAGATCCTAGTTATATTTTCCTTGCCCTACAAGTAAAAGTTGAAATGCTTTTACTAAAATTTAAAATCGTAGGAAAAACAGTTTAAGTGTTGTAAAACCAAAGCCAAAGTAATCACAGCGTTAAATTGCAATAGTGGATAACATAACAAGCCGATGAGAACTCAAAGTGAAATCAACAAATTGTTTCTAGCGCACGAAAACGCGATTGACCATGTCACAAATTAGAAATAGTCTCGCATCTGATTTTGTCAGAGGGTGGCGCCAGTTTCTAAACCAATCACAAAGCGGCGCTAAGCAAAATCAAAGCCATCCGGGTTTTTTTCGACAACCACTTGGAAATTTCTCCAATATTGGTTTATTGAAAGCATGAGTTATACTCATAGAGCGATTGTCTTAATTAAGCTTTTGTGACTACATTCCATTGATAGCCACTTAACGTCTTTCCACCATCTGCACTTTACAAAAAGAGAGGCAACTAAGAGGGGCGCGACACAGAGAGATAACTACCAACTTCTCTGGCACCTTTCGAACACTAACACACCTGAGATTTTTCCAAAGCTCCTTTAACAAAAATCATGGCAAAATGAAGTAGCTCAGGGCCATCCAATTTCGTCATCCCCCTTTCGATTTCGGCTCGAAAGTGATCGCTTTCCTTCTCATCTTTTATCTCTTCTGAAAAAAAAAAACAATTCCACAATTATCAAGCTCTCGTGAAAGTGATATAAATCACTCTTAACTAATAGCGAGAGATCATTCCTTTCCTACTTTGATAGCTTTTAATAATACACAATTTGTACTATGATTTTATATCTGACCTGAAGTGGCTTCAAGACGTTGATCTTTTTGATGACCAAAATTGAATTCTCCCGCGTCGTCCTTACTTTTCATTGATGGGTGGTCATCTCCTGTTCTCAAATTTGCCATCCCTTGTTTGTCATTTGGAGCTCGAGCGGTTGTGATCTGATTGGCATTTACTTTACTAGGATAATTTTTCGTTATCTTTATTTCTCGGTGGTCTGCAACTTCTTCCGTTTCCATGTTTTTTATACTTGTTTGATCACAAATGTCCTGAGGGCAATCCATTTTTTCCGAGTCCACTGGGACAGCAGTGATCAAAATTTTCTCAGGGTTGCCCTCACAAACCTTTTTAGTTTGGTTTCGTGCTTTTCCTATGAGGGAGACGGGTTGGATATTCAAGGAGTTGTCTGGAAAGTCATCCAGTCTGACTTTGTCAAAACATTCAGAATGCAAAAGAGTACAATGGTTGAAGCTGTTCTCTGATAAGATCGGAGAAAAGCGCTCTAAACCTTTAAAAGGTCGGTCTTCCGCTACCACAGTTCTGCGGCTCATCCAGTCAATGACGTCTTCTCGTTCGTGCAACACCTGCATTTTTCCTTTCAATAAATCTCTTCCCGAACGTAACGGACTGACATCCATGTCATCAAAGCTAACCTATATCATAGCGACAGGATTTAATCAGAGACGCAGAGTTATTTTACTTCAGCAGAAACGAACAAAAGTAGTTCCAGTTTGATGAACACTAAGGCAAAATTTTGATTGTAGTCATTGTTGTGCCTGAGAAGTTAGGGGTTAGAATACTGGGAATAAACCTGTTGGTTTTCTCTTAACTGCCGGTTAGATACCTGAGCAAAATGTTTAAACCATCCTAACTGATAAGTTAGTCTCCATATATATATTTCCATATTTATATTACTATATCGAAAAACGACTCACGTTTGTTATCAGGTCATGTTCACCTATTGCACGAAGAGACGAGCACGTGTCGATGGACATTCTCTGGGCTAGTGGGGGATACTGGCATGAGAAGTCATGGTTAAATTCATGCAAGCTATTGGACACTTTATATAACTGAACATTAGTTGAGTCATCGTTGATGATGTTGAGTACATGTTCTTTCTCTGCTGGTTCTGAGTTGTCCTCAGGGTGGTCGGCCGGGAGGCATGAGTGACCACATTGAAACTTCGCGCACGTTGACAATACTTCAGCTACAGTACATCCAGATAAGATTGTTTCCTTTGAACTTTTTTCATCATTTCTGGGGAAGCAACTTTGCTCGGCCAATTTTGGGCAAAGCGATTCAGTGCACGTTTCTACGGTGTTTACACCGTAATATGGCGCTTTTTCAATCAGATAGGGGTCTGCCTGTGAACTCTGCCAGGTTAGTCGGTTCTCTTCGGAGTCAGGCAGTGGTCCTTTGTTGAAAGAGCTTACTTTCATCAACATATTTCGAGGCAATTGTCCGTCTGACATTCCCTTTACCTTTTCCTTGGAGTTTCCGTCTTCATGCTGAATGGGTACCTCTTGATCAAGGCCAACGTGAGGACCAAGGCTGCAATCAGAACTCGTTCCTTCTTGGGAAAAGAGCTGGTGATCCTCGGTGAAATTGTCTGTGTCATCGTCTAAGTCCATTTTGCCGAACTTTTCAGCACGTAAGCATACTTTCTCGTGAACAGCGCTCTTTCTCTTCAGGACTCTGGGATCTTGATCTGAATGCTTACTGTGGAACTGATTCTTAATTTGCTCGATTTTTTCCATAGGTAGCAGATGAGCTTCTTCAACCATAGCAAAGAATGATATCGTGGGTCGGTATGTAGCTATGAAAGCGGAAAAGTAAACTTAACAAGAATTGTGATTGAAAGAAGAAAACACTTTTGTTATAATCAGTATACAGGAAAATGATGCTAAGAATCGATCTAGGCCTTACATCTGTCAGCATCAAAAAATGAATACCTTCGACCGCAACATCAAATAAGGAAAGAAAACAAACTTACCTTTAGTCCCCATTGCTGGTGACTTGATTCCGATGGGCGGCCAAACAACTGACGCTGAAAAAAAAAACATAAGTAATTCGTGATTCCTTGACCTCACTGTTTTGTCATAGCGCGGTGTGCGTGTTAGCAGACAATTTCGTAGTCATCCGTGACACATTTACTATGCTGGAAAAGTTACGTTGAAGTACTCTCACAAAGAGACAACTCGGTGGATCAGGCAAAGAAAGTCAACGCACTGTGATATGAGAACATTATGGGCCTCCTGCTCATAATTCACAAGTCTAAATTTAAGCGTTTAACATGTCATTCAAAGCACACCCATCATTTTCGCTAACCTTTGTTTATCAGATCATGTTCAAACTTCCCACAGACTTTCCAATCAAAGTAGAATCCAGGTTGCACGGCGACTGATTTCTTTCCCGCGTTATCTTCGCTACACTCGAAGTTGTCTTTTGAGCAGGTAACAGTTAACTTGGCGGGAAGTTCACGTGGATCTGCCCCCTGCTCTATCATCAGCATTTCAGCGCGTAACCCTGCGGGTGTAACTGTTCTTCGATCTTGAGCCAGAGAATTTGACATGGATAATGTTGCGTGATCTGTCGTAACTTGAGGTGTTTCTAATTGGCATATTTGCTCATCATAAACAGGGACTGTACATTCAGATTGATCGTTTCCACGTTGTTCATGACTAATTGATTCCGATGTTCTCTCTATCAGTTGCTCGCTGCCGCTTTTAAAGACGAGCTGCCTTTCCTCCTTCAGTTTTCCTAAAACATTCGATGTAAATCCACCCACTTGAAGATCATCTGGTAAAATTTAACAAATGATCTTAATCAATGTTTCAGGCAACTGCTTTCCAGCGGCATGATGAATCAGTTGACGTATTTAACTTAATCAGAGTAATGACGTCATTAATGCATTAGAGAACCATTAATTGACGTCTTAATTTGTGACAATTAGGAATACAGTCACGATATCATAAATGTTCTCTCTGTTAAAAAGGCACTAACTATTTTGGCCGCATAGTTGAAAACAAATGAGGCCATAAATCCGTAGTCTTCGTGTTGAAATCTTCCGTTTATTCCGTTCCCATTTTTCCAAAAACTGATTTTATATTGCAATTTTATTTGCTGTTACTTAAATATTTGCAAAGTTCTGGTCTTCGGTAGTCATAATTTGTTTTAGTTTTACTTCTGATTAGTTGACAAAATCTCCCGTGCATCGATTCGCTTAGAAGACTCGGAACTCAAAGTCTACTTGTTAAATAGTTTACCCAAAAACTTCCTTGAAAACTACTGCACTTTGGTACACTTATGAATCTACTTATATCTATTCAGTATACCTTCCAAATAGACTTAACGTGCACCACAACTGTTAGCATGTAATTATCTTATAATACATTACATTCCTTTCAATTTATACTAGACACCCTTATGCAGTGCGGACCTATTTTTATTACTTGTCTGTTAGCATTATGTTTAGAATAACAATAACTGGCATACTTTATTTGACTTCTACTGTCAGACAGTGTAATGCAAGTATGCCTCGAGTTCCAAATAATGGAATTCTCCTCCTGTAGCATTTCGACATATTTTAATGTGATTCATATGTCTTGCTTTCTCTGGGTCTACCTTTTATCACTACGAAAGTCTTATTTTAACAGGTTCGTTTTTCCTTGGAACGAAATTTGTCCAAATTAATGAATTTAACTTCGAAAGGTGTCACTGGAAATACTGCTCTTATTAAATGACATCGTCTCAGCTCAACACCAATTTTGTTATAACGCAATTTAACTCAAGCTCCTTCGACTAATATGCCAAAAGAATACAAGCATGGAAATTCAATTCAACCTCTCATTTTCCGACTGATATGCCTACGATATTAATTCACATCTGGTACAAGAATAGAGCTGTTTACCATCATAAAATGACTTTTGTGATGCTTCATCCATACTTAGGAATCTTCAGATCAGATTATCCGACATTCTGCAAAATGGAAAAAGGGAACAAAGCAAATGCCAGATACAAGTAATAAAACAAAGACAAAAAGGAAGAAAAACAGTTACTTGCAGACACTTTCAAAAAATATCATCACGAATTGTTTACAGAGCTCTAAACTAGCTTAACTTGATTTATAGGGTAGATCTGTTTAACTTGTGCCAAGCAACATATTAAATATGAAACAAAATACGCTATTGAGAATAAGCGATTTGAAGATAAACTGAGAAAAACTAAAACTTGTGGACTGAAAATACTCACCGCAACCCATGTCGGATTATTTCTCGAGAACAGTTCTCAAATTGGCGGGAAAAGGTGACGCGGGCTGCCACTGTTGCCTCACAGTATTCTGTGGCCATTCATACTTAGGGGGAGGGAGGGGGGCGGATTATCACAGCATACAACTAGGTATTTGGATCTAAAAAGCGCTAAGGAAGTAAATTCGCTTTTGTCACCTTGCGAGCGCGGGAACACAGTCACACTAAGAATTTTAAGAACAAAGGCCAATTTGGCGGCGCTCTCGTCACATGACAACTACCTGATAGTAAACTATTCCACTGATTTTGTTTTGAATCACAATCCAGATTCGAAGTCAATGTGCCATTTTGCAGAGTGGTGCTTTGGCATTAACAGGGTGTGGTCGTCTTAAAACGACTAATATTTTTGTTAAATATTTGAGTGTTCAACGGAAGGCTTTAATGTATTTTTAAGCACAGAAATAATATCTGATAAAACTGCCAAAATAAATCAAAGCTTGACCATTTTAAGGCTGTGTACATATATATATATTGTGACATATATCTATTTCCTTTGATATATACATATATCAAAGGAAATAGATATCAGTCGATGCATTCTTGCAGTAATTTAAAATGAGACCTTACACGGACGAATTCGTTCCAGTGATGGTTTTGGTCCTTCACGTGTGGATAAAATCCGTGAACGTATTCGAAATAAGGTATGCATTTACAAACATAAATAACTAGTCTAACACTCGCTTTGACTCAAATAGTGCTGATATCCTTTATTATAACACTGTGAGTTATGAGATAACACTATCCAGTCCATCATCGTCGTCGCTTCATCTTCATTTTCCTCTTCCACACCGGGAGCTTGAAAGCATTGAAGCCCGTCGAGATTTTTCGTTTTCAAAATTTTAGTTAAAGATAACGAGGCCAACGAGAACAGTTTTCCCTTTTCTCTCATATTTTCCAATCCATGAAGTCAAGAGGGTTCTGAAATATACTGTATTAAAGGTCTCTTAGTGGTCTTATACCAAGGCAAGACCGAACTGCAGTGCAGGCTCTAAAGTCAACGCATCAACGCATGCAGAAATTACGTGTCTTTGCACACCGCGCCCCACTTAGAAGGAGCAGCCCTGGCGAATTCTGATTAAAGTAACTTGGATACTCTTTGAAATAGTAACAGCTCCACTGAATTGCCTTCAGTATATTTTACTGATTCCATCAATAGAAGCTTCAAGGTTTACTTTGCTCTTGTTGGAAAGTCCTACGCCAGATTGCATCCGTTGCATTTTTTCAAAGATGATGCCAGACATCTGCACAAGAGACACTATCTCTACATGAATGCATGTTTTCATTGGTATAACATCGTCATATGGACGACGTAACTCTTCACAGTTTTTTTTCACATTTTCGTTCTCACTAATAAAACAAGATCCGTGTTTCCATGCATAAACGCGTCTGCGTAAAGCGACAGTGTATATACATTTTCACTGGTAATATCTGGATGACTTTGGTTGGCTACTGGATGAACTATATCCTGTTCCTGGCTTGTGACTCCTGCTACCCTGATGATGATGGTGTCTTGAGTGGGAGGAACTTCCTGAAGGCCCTGTGACGTAAGAGCAATTAATACGATTAGCGAAAGTTTAAGTCTGAAAATGACGTATCAGACTGACTAATCTCCCTGGTGGGAATACTCATCCATCACAAGCTAACCTCTTCCCCCCCAAAGGAATATTCATCCATCACAAGCCAACCAACCCCCCCCCGAAGGAATACTCATCATCACAAGCTAACCCCCATTTGGCTTTGATTCCCAAACCACAGCCACATGGGGAGGCAAGTGAGCACTCTCCATATCTCTACTGTGTTAATACTTGCCTGTGTGAGATCCTGAAGATGAAGTCACTTCTTGAGAGCTTTGGTACTTTCCTGAGTATTTCTTTGCAGCATTTCCTTGATGATGGCTCTTTGATCCAGAGTATGGATAAGGACTGAACTTGTGGCTGGCTCTCTTTGTTGACTGGGATCCCTGTAGATGGTGCTGCTGATATTCATGCTGTCAAACAAAAAGTGAAAGGTTTATTTACACACAGCAGCTTGACAGCATTTCAGATGAGCAGCTTGCTTTCTTGTTGTTAAAGCCCAATATATAAGCCATAGTCCCATAAATCAGGTTGGCTTTGTTAATTTTGTAACTCTTAAAACTACAGTGGTATCATTTGACAAAATTGTTTATGGTCAGTTGTATTTGGCTGATTGTCTGAAAGTGTCATAACAGCTTCAAAACATGTCAAATCTTTGATGTCTCATCTTTTCACATTTTCCATCCCAATTATACAGGAATAGCTGTCAGTGGGTTAATGTTGTGGTTGAAAGTTAAATAATTCAGAACTAGAGTTTCTTAGAGTTCAAACCCCCTCTTTAACTCAAATTTTCCTAACTCTAGCTTGAATTTGTTAAAATAAAAATAAACAGGAAAAGATTTACCTGATAGTTTTGGGAATACCCAGGTCCTGTACTTGGTCTCTGTTCTGGCTTTTGGTGCTGCTGCTGCTGCTGAGGTGGAACCATTTGTTGAGATTGATGTCCTGCATCATATGGCACTTGTCGACTTTGACTCTGACTGCTTTGTTGCTGGTGGTACTGTTGCGGTGCCATGCTTTGCTGCCTGTGTTGTGTCAGGTCAGGCTGTTGCCCTTGGTGTCCCTGCATTCCAGGGTACTGCACAGGCTGCTGCTGTTGTTGTTGCTGTTGTAAATGGTAAACATGCTGGTTGCTTACTGCTCCTTGCTGAACTTGATATGCTCCTGATTGTTGCTTTGGTTGGTATCCCTGTTGCTGAGGGTGTGCTTGATAGGACTGCTGTGTTTGCAATTGGTGGACACTTGTACCATGTATAGGATAAGACTGGAGATGTGCTTGGTCCTGGCCAGAATGATGCACAGGGTACCCATGCTGAGTTCCTTGGTTGTGTGATGTTGGACCTGGTTGTTGTTGTTGTTGTTGCTGTTGTTGCTGTTGAGGGTGTGGTGGAGGCTGTTGAAAAGTTTGTTTCTGACTGCCATGTTGTATGTATTGTTGATAACCTGGTTGTTGCAGCTGCACATGATATGGAAACTGCTGCTGCTGTTGTTGTTGTTGTTGTTGTTGTTGTTGTTGCTGTTGTTGCTGCTGTTGTACTTGGTGACTTGGAAAAGCCTGCTGATTTTCCTACAACATCACAAATTCACTGACAATAAATACATTTAATATATTGAATTGTGGTACATGTAACTGCCATGGCAGCCTCCTTATTACCTAGAAAATACCAGTTCATCAAAATTTAGTTTACACCATCTAATACATCAACTTGTGTAAAAAAAAAATGAAGATGTGAGACAATCATCAATTACTTGTTCACTGAAAATTAAGAGTTTTCATGAGATAAATTTTCCAAATAAGCCAACAGTGTTGACACCTTTCTATTATGAGCTAGCATTCATGTATCCTGGGGTTACTTCACTCCACTAAAATAACTAAATATTCACCCTTTCACCCTTTAAAAGCTTTTGTTCTTCATTAGCATGGTGTGCAACTGCAGAGCCGGGAAGGGGAGAACGACATGAAATTACAATGAAATAAACCCTCATATGAATCAAGGTCTAGAAACTGAACTTATAAACCCTTTACACCCTAGCAAGAAGGAAATGCTGTCCTTTGAGTCACAAGGTGAATTTTTTATTACACTCCATACCTGCTGAGGTTGTCCACCTTGTTGCAATGGCTGTCTGTTGAACTGCGCTGGTGATTCTTGAGGTGTTCCAGTGGTAGGGAGCTGTGAAGGTGGGTGTTGCTTTCCTGGAATACGACTTTCAGGCTGCAGAGTAAGAAAAAGTGTTAAGATTATCCTAAAATTATGCAAGGTGCATTCTTGATATGCATTAGGGTCTTGACCCACAAGGTGTTATGCTACTACAGTCAAACCTGTATTAAGCAGCACCACACTCACAGTCACCCTGTATTGAGCGGTCTGTTGTCAAAGTCTCAAAATTGTTACCCCTTGATTATTGTAATCTTCAAACCTATTAAGTGGTCACCTCTACCCTCTAACTCCCAGAAGTGATCAACATGAAACTTCTCCCTGTAACATCTTTTCAGTATCCAGCAAACAAGTAATGAGAATATTCAAACTTATCAGGTAGAAATTGTCATCTTGATCTAACACCAAATTCTGGTCACTAATTTACAAGGAAATATGTAGCAGTAAGTGGGGAGAATTAACAATCAGATCCTGGGAGTTAAAGGGTTAAGTGGTCCTTAAGTCACCCTTTACTGAGTGCCAACCACCTTTTTGTACTGTCCTCCACCTGTATTGAACAGTCACTTTAAGTGGAACAACCCAAATAAAACTAAGAATAATCTTTCAAGTTGAATGTAATCAACTTTAATCTCCCAAGATCACTGTCAGTGATTTGTATTTTGGAGTGAGTTTTTGCACATTAAGTGGTCAATTATGGCATAAAATGGCGATTTTATTTGCTTTTTGAAACACCCTTATTCTGTGGAACCTGTATTAGGTGGTCACTCTGCCATTTCCTGTGAGTGATAGGTTTGACAGTATTAAGTGATTCACTTGAGTAACCCTTAACAAAATCTTCAAACAGGTTTTAGAACAACTCATCAGACAACACATTTAAGTTAACATTGTTGTTATTGATCTGAATAGAATCCTTTGGAGAGGTTGGACATTGATCACTTGGATTAATGTTAGTATCTGAGCAACTGCATACCTACCCCTCCCCTAACCTAATATTAACCCTAACTAGTTACCAGTTGACTGTTGTTGGGTTAGGGGAGGGGTAGGTGTGCAATTGCTCAGATACCAGGATTGATCCAATCACTATCCTTATTCAAGTTTGAAGAACAGTGAGAAAATCTCTGCATCAAAAATATATCTATCTTAAAGGCACTTTTACTAGAATGAATGAATTATGCAATAAAAAAAAAACAAGCTGGAAGATACCACACACAAAGACACACAAAACACCTTTTATTGTATACATTATGGAAACACACACATCAACCTGATTCCCTGTGATGACAGGTGCTTGTACCTGACCATGGGGATACCCTGGAAATCTCTCTGGGGCTGCTGTTGGACGCACCTGTGCTGTCTGAGATGGATAGGAGGCATGTGGGAGTTGAAGGTTTTGCAGCTGTTGTGAATGAATTTGTGCCTGAATGAAACCTGAGAGGGGGTGTGCCCGTGAAGGACTACTTGGTCTTCTGATCACACCTGATAATAAATGAAAACAAATCTAGCTTGAATGAAAGTAAGAGCTACATTGTACTTACATGAAACAAAATTTGGTGGCGCAAGGTAATCATGATGTGTCTTTTTGTTTAGTTTATTAAACAAAATATTACTTCCAGGTTCAAACCATTTGCTATTGATTACAAGAAACAAGTATTTTAGGGTATTCATGAAATTTCAGTGATTCTCCCAGAGCTGAAAATTAAGAATATATCATGAGAGGAAGATTACCCTTATTTGAAATTTACCTTTAAGTAATTTTCTAAGTAAGAAACCTACTACCCACTCTGTATGGAGTAGACACTCAATAAAAACTTGCAAATCCACATTTTAACCCCAAGCAAAACGAGCATTTATGTTAAAAAATGTACATGCTGTTGATTTACTATGTACTATGAATGGCAAGCAGAGAAGGCATGATTGTAGCAAAACTAGGCAGCTGCTTTGTTTTCAAATGAATAAAGGGGTAAGTTTCTAAAGAAACTGTGGTGCTGTGTCAGTGGGAGAGTACAACATGGTAATTTAGTATTATCAACTGAGTTGATAACATAAATTGGCCACTGTAAAGAGTTCAAAAGCTGAAATTTCGCTCTAACGAAGGACTAGCGCTTGAAACGTCTGCTTTTAAACTCTTCACGGTGGCCAATTTATGTTATCAACTCAGTTGATAATACTAAATTTCCCAGCTTTGCTTTCAGTTTGCCAACAAAAATAACTCGATGTTGGACAGAATTAACAACTGGAATACCATTCGGACTAGGTTGGCTCACCAAGAACTCGATTTGTGACCTTTTGAACCAAAGCGTTTTCTTGTAGATTTTGATTTTGAAAATTACGTATACCATTCTTATTATTGTTGTGGATGATCACACACCTGAATTGGGAACAGCGTCCATCAATCCAGGTTGCGGAGGCACACTTTGCGAAATAAAGGGCTGTCCAGTTGGTAAACCAAGAACGCCTCTAGAACTGGTTGTCACATTAGCAGATGCCTTCAAAGCAGCTTGATTCTCCTGCTGTCTCTTCAATTCGTTTTCATAATTTAAAGCTCTTTTGAACTGAGAAAAAAGATCGTGTTTCTTCTGCTTCAGTTGCTCTAGTTTGGCTTCTAATTCTGCAATTTCCTTTTTGACATCTTCTACAGTTTCCTTCTTTTTTTCTTCTTCTTTTTTACGCTGCTTTTCTTCTTCTTCCTTTGCCTTGCTTTCGGCCAATGCTTGCTTTCCTTTCTCCCGTTGTCGCCGTATATACGCATGCACAGCCCTTAATTGGGCTTTTGGCGGACGAGTTCTTTCGATCAGAACAGGCATCTTCCACTCAAGTTTCAAAGTAAAGGCCAATTTCAAAGCGATTTCAATATTTGAGCGAGTTTTAGTTTAGTTATGGTAGCTGTCTACGTCGCCATTTTCTGGTCTGGTTGTCCATACATAAAGTACATACTTGGAAACAAACTCCGCTGAGCGTTTGGCAAGGAACGCGGAAACCGAAAAGAACTCATTACAAAATTCACCAAATTTAGAGTTTCGGCAAAATGTTTAGTAGGAGGAAAAAATCCCCCCGTCCCCAAGAAGGACACAAGAAGAACGATCTCTCCAATTTGGTACTGTATATTTCATATTTTTTTTCATTAAATTTGTGTCGTGTAAATTTGGAATGTGTGGGGCATGACTCATCTCTAAGGCCTAAGTGCTAGTGGAAACTTTAACGATGCTGTGTCAGGCGACTTGAATATGATTTAAAAGTGCCACAATAATCGATATGTACCATAGTTAGTAATTGTAGTTGATGTTATTTTTTTATCCTTTTCCATCCGCTGTCTTAGGCTTTGAAACATGCAAACGTACTACATGAGAAATTTCGAACTTGCTCGTCGCATCAGTGTTTGAAAGCAAGCTAGATGTTTAAGTAGTCATACAGAGAATATTTTTGAAATACAGCCTTGTAAAATATCAGTCACTTTTTTTATTGTGGTGAGGGTCAATCCCGTTGATAGATTTAAATGTTGGTATCCTTGTGAAATACATTTGGTGGCCATTTCAGATGTTTTTAGCATTGGGTAAAAGTGTCAGAAACTAGTAGGGGTTTTATAGAAACGACAGAAAATGCCCAAAAACAACAAATATCAAAAAGCAATGACATTGTGAGCTTGTTTAGTTATTGGTGTGATAGAAGAGGAGTGGTTACCAATGTAAACAGACATGGTGGGCTTGTATCATAGACAATCACGAGTTGGAGGAGGTTCGTTTTTTTGCATTAGGTAGTTACTGGCTTAGAGGCACATGCAAAGTAGTTCTCAACTTTATTCTAGTAGTTGAAATTGTATCCACCATGGCATCTGGCAATTTTTTTTTCGTGAATTAAGTCATCAAGAGTTTTGGAGAAGGAAAAAAATTTAGTTTCTTATTCTAAAGGCTATTTAAACAGGAAAAGCAGGTATGGACCTATCAAAACTGATGAGAGTGGTAAAAACTGAATTTTTTCAGAGTTTTGGGTCCTTAGATGCCTCTGGCCCAGACCTTAATAAACAGGGGGTCTGTGCCCACCCTAAATAACATGGTGCACATAGTTTTCACAAATTAAACATTGTGGGTCTATATTCTTTTCATGAAGGGTCTGCACCAGATTTTTTCTTCCACGTAAACAGCCTCATTCCCACTTTTTTGTTTGCTGCTATTGGATGTAGTTCGACTTTTACTTGCTCTTTTCTCTATTTGCAATGTTATTTATTTGTTATTTCTTATTTGCTGTTCTTGGTACAGCTTGGACTTGATATCAACCCAGATGAAATGGCTGCATTAGGGATTGGGGGGATAGGAATTGGTAACGATGATGACGATGATGATGAGGATGAGGATGATGAAAGCCTTGAAGCAGAACTGGCAGCTCTACAAGGGCAGTCATCATCTAGAGGAAAGAAGAAAAGTAATTGCCTTGTACTATGTTATTGATAATGTTGTTTAGTCGACACATAATAAATTAACAAAAGGGAAAGCAAAAATTGTCAACCTTTTCCAAATTTTGACTTCAGAGGTAATTTTCATTTCAATCAGAAGCGAACAAATTGACTGTTGGTGGTACACAAGTATTATTAGTCATGCTTGTCACTTAATAGTGTGGTCCAGGTTTGATTCTCCCAATGGGTATTACATGCGGATAAAAGTTTTTATCAGGTCTCTCTCTTGCCTCTAGGTTTCTGCCATGGGTTCTCCATTTTTCCTTCCTCTACAAAAATCCATTATCTCTCAAAATTATTTCAATTCAACCATAACTCTTTAGCCCCCAGGAGTGATTGGCATCTTATTTCTCTACTCATTGTCACTTCTAAATAAAAAATTAAGGTTACAAAGGAAACAACCACCCACTGGAGAAATTCTTGACTGTTAAACAAATTTTTCTTGTCAATACTGTAGAAATGTAGAATATGTATACTGATGTTAGCATGTGAAGGGTTAAGGGCAAGGGACCAAGTGTCATCTTTTGTATTTATTATTTACTTTACTCATTCGGCAGAACCAGGAAGATCTATGGTGGGATTAGATGAGGATGACTTTGGAAATGATGATGATGATGATGATGATGATGAAATTGATGAAAATGACCCTCAGCTCTTGGTAGGGCTCTTTTGGGTGTAGTAAATATTTTGTGTTTTTGAGGTGATCTTTCATCCAACACCAGCGTAAGAGAATATTTATTTAGGATTTATGAATGGGTGCATTTAATACAAAGTAAATTTGTGGAGGTGCATGTAATTGAGGAGTCATTTCCAGTCATTAAATCTAGTTTTTTACACAAATATGACACCTGTTAGTGTACTGTCACTCCCTGGTTACTTCACCATTTTAAGAGTGCATTGTTACATCCCTTATAGTAAGTACTTGCACCATCATTGGTCAATTTAGCAGACCATTTCTCACAACATGATGGGCTAAATGAAAATTTTTGTTTCAGTTTAAATCTTCACCCTCTATTTGAACTCAGCAATAAAATAAATATCTTACCAATCTTGTCTTCTCAGTCTTAGTTGAGTTTGCTCTACCTGAATTTATGGCCTGCATGTGTTGTGTTTGGGCCTTAAATCTGAGCAGAAAAACGTTGCCTATAAGTTACAGGACAGACCTTAAACTCGGTTAGTAATTAAAAGGTATTTCTGATTGTGTGTTTTTTATGAGGCAAGTTTACATTTGGTAACCATTGCATTTTGTCTTGAAGGCTGAACTTCAATGTATTGCTCCAGGAGAAGATGGCTCAGAGCATCATGATCCAACCCCAGTCTTGCTTCCCTCTGCCCCAGCATCAACCAGCAGTGATCAGGTAAGATAATTTGGGAAACCAACTGATGCTGACAGCAGTTATATTGGTGAACTTTTTACAGTTATAATTTAGTTATTACATAATAAATAATTGTTATCATTAATTGCTATTTTTTGTAATTTAATTGTAAACTCTTTATTTGAGCTGTAAAACACAATCATCTACATGTACTTCCAGTTAAAAAAAATCCTCAAGTTGCTTGATTTCAACATCAAACTGGAAAGTCACCCACTTTTAATACTTATTGCATTTTTTATTGTAAGGGTTCAAAAGGGAGTTCTTCACAAGTTGACCTGTTGTTAGAAAGAGAGACAAACTACAAGCTGGCAATAGAAAATGCAAATAAAGCTGGTGAAGGAAGCAAGGCCAGAAGATATGGCCGAGGACTCAAGGTACAATCATCAATATTATGATTGCCATGATTTATTTTCCTTTTTTAACAATAACGAAAAAATGAATTACAACAATTTACAGCAAGATAATTATTAAGCAAGGAGACCTCAAGATACCTGACAGAGCTTATGGGAGAGGCCACCTTATCTGCAACTGGCAACATATTTAAGTGTTGCAAATGTGCAGATTGGCTAATTCAGTGAATATTTTAAATAATAGAAACTCTGATTGACATTTTCTTCTCAAAGCAGAGAAGACTTGACAAACAAGTGACTGTTACAAATAAGAGAGTTCCAAATTTTAAGACCTTGGTAGAAAATTGTAAATTACTTGAGATTTGAATGACACAAATGCATTTGATAATTATTGACTGTTTTGGTGCCATAGCAGTGAATTTGGCCATTGTTTCACAAAAAGATTGAGAAACATTGGAGGCCTAATGGTTAGTGTACTGGAACTCAGGGTGGAGTTGTTTGGATTCAAGATCTGGTCAAGCCAGTGTGTTGTGTACTTGGCAAAAATACTGTACTCTCACTGTACTTCTCTCACCCAGGAGAAAAAATGGGTGCTGTTGAATTGTCAGGGAAGCTTGATGATATGCTAGGGGTGACCTTATGATTGACTGACATCCCATCCAGGGGGGAGTGGTAATACTCCTACTCATTTCATGCTATGGAAACTGGGTTAAGCTGTGGGGGAGGTTCACAGTACAGACTTAACATTTACTCACTTGTTGACCTATTTATAGTTATGGGCGTACAATTTTGTTGGATAACATCATTTTAGAACTGTAATTCCTCCTGAAACTCAACCATTGTACTTCTGCAAGGGAAGAGTTGACAGTTTTTCTCTTTTATTTTAGGAAATAGAACAGATGATCAAGCAGGCTAAAGCTGGAAAGGCAATTGATCTGGATGCAGTTCCTCCACCAGTGGCCACTAGAGCTGCTAAACCTTCAGCTCCAGTTTCTTCTCAGCCAGTCCAGGATTCTGTTCCTGAAGCACAAGTGGATCAGACAGCTAATAAGTCCATAAGGCTTGAAACAACATCCCCAGAAGATGTATCCAGACCTGTCCAAGATGGTAAGTGGTGAAATTTTTTTTCCCATTTACACTTCTCCCACTAAGTACTAGTAGTTTTTTTTCCTTTTAATTTCAACCCCTATTCTCAATCTTTAAGGAAACAACAATTTATCTTGAAACATTGTGTTCTTTTAAATCTGTAACTTCTAATTTTGACTTCCAAATAAATAAAGATCAAAGTGGTTTGAAAAAAGAAAAACATGCATGCACTATATAAGAACTTTGAGTTTGTGATCAGTCTTAAGTAAGTTTGTGGGAGAAGCACAGGTAGCCCACTGGTCAGTGCGCTGGACTCCTGAGGCAAAGCATAGGTCTACACTCTATCTTGGTATTGTACTGTACTGTGTTCTCATTTAAGACTCTCACAGAGGCTCCCTCTTCCCAAGGTTAAATATGGCCAAACATGGATACAATCAAACTGTTTTATTGTGACAGATCTTGTTTAAAATGATAATTAAAAGTACAAGAGTAAATTTTGCTTTAATTTACTTTTGGTCACAGACAGTCAAAAGCCCAGTGAATCCAAGGTAGGTTTATATTTAGTTACTAGATATTTATATGTAATAGGGAGTTAGCAGTGGGGAAAAAAGAAACCTGAACTTTAGTTTGCCAGTTTGGATTGGATAAAAACATGTAGGGCCCAGAGAAAATAAAAACCCTCTTGGGTTTGAAAGGCCTTAATGTGCCATTGAGGCCTTTTAGCCCTAACCCTCTTTAACAAAAATCCTCCTATTTTGCCACTTGTTGAAGGCAACAAAAGAAAATGCAGAAAATATTGATGGGGCTTCATATTATTAAAACAGGACATTTTTTAATCATCAAACTTTTGCAAGTAAGGTACTCAAACAATTATAAGCTTAAATATGTGAAAAATGAAAGCATTCCAAAAATTTTGATTTAGCCTTCAGGTTCCCATAACAGCAAACTGAGATAAGATTTTAAAATTACAGTATTTCTCATATGAAAATCAGTTAGACTGTTTTCTTAAGAATCCTCTGTGTACTTGCATGTGCACAATTCAGTACAATTCAATCCTTGAACTGCCAAAGAATCTAGTCACAAACTGTTTATTGAAAATTTAATTAAACATAAATTTGTTGTGAACAATTTTGAAATTTGCATTGCTGTATGCATTAAATAAGCACATGATATAATAACATATTTTTTCTGCAGTAGTCTTCTTTTTCAGTCTAAAAAAATCCTGGATTCTTATGCATGCAACAGTGAGGCACAGTAACATTATTGAATAGATCAAGTATTCTTTAAGTTTTCTGTTGTAATGTTACTGTTTTAGCCTGGCAGTGAAGGTGCTCAGAATAAAGAGCTTTTCATGACGAGACGAAATCAGTACAGAGTAGCTGCCCTGACCTGCAAAAAAGCAGGAGAAATTCAACAAGCCAAACAGTTTTTGGCAGTGTCAAAGGTACTTAGCAAACCTGCATTCTCACATCGCCATCATGCAGTTTTCTAGATACTGTGGTCCAATAATACTTTGGATTTAGAAAAATTTACTTAACCCCTTAACTCCCAGAAGTTATTAGCAAGTAACTTCTCCCTACAATATTCATGCACCATCCAGCAAACAGGTGACGAGAATTGTCAAATGTATCAAGTAGCTGTTGTTATATTGATTTAACACCAAATTCTCATAACTTATTTACAAGGAAATGTGTAGCAGCCAGAGGGGAGAATTAACACTCACATGTTGTGAGTTAAAGGGTTAATATTCTAACATATACTTGTTTTACATTCACTAGCAAATAGATTCAGCTATTGAACTGTTAGAGAAAGGTGAAGCAGTAGATATTTCACAGTTACCTCCCGTACCATCTGTCCCACAAGCATCATCAGGTATGTTCACTATTAGCACTAGCAGTATTAGTACATGGACTAGCAGTACATGTATTTTTGGTAATGGCAATTATCATAATAAAGCATAGAATAAACTTAAGGAAGTTGTTCACTGTTGCAAAACACTATCTAATCAATAACTGCTATCCTGCTGAAGTTTTATCCCAGGTCTTATGATGTGGTCACGTTTGATAAGAACACCTACACGAGACTAGTTACAGAGCACCCATGAAGCATGATACTTTGCCCTGTTGGGCTGATTTTTCAACAGCTCTGATTGAGGCACTTTGATCCTTGCTATTTCATTGAGTCATTCCTTGTACTGTTGTTGCTGTCTCTTGTTGTGGGGCTCTGTTTTATTTCACTGGTTGTACATGTAGGCATCCTTGCTTCTGGAATTTGTGTTCCACTTCCCTGTTTATTTTGTGGTTTGAATTCTCAGGTCAACTCCCTACACCCTAATGTCAGTATCCATATTCTCTATGTGTTTCCTTTGGTACCCACAAGAAGGATTCATCTTACAATCAAGACCTGGTTTAATTTGTGATCATTTCCTTTAATTTCATTACCTTAATTTTTGATTCAGGGGTGATGTTGTACAGCCACTCTAAGGGTTTTAATAGTTCATCACTTCCTTGACTCTACTTCCACATTTTGCAAGTATTCTTCAACTGGAGATGACTGATTATCATTTTCTGTTACTGAGACTGATGTTCACTCACCCTTTTGCCTTTAATAGCTATGGCTCCACCAGCCTCCCAAGTGTCAGTTGCACCCCCTGCTGAAACAACACCAAGCAGTGCAGCTAAAGGAGAGGCAGGAGGGGAAAGTAATTCAGCCAAAAGCTTGGAGCCTCCCCCTCCCCCTAAAAATGTTGCAGAAGCTTTGCAACAAAGATTGGAAAAGTACCAGCAAGCTGAAAACCAGGCTAAGCAAGAAGGCAACTCAAGCAAGGCACGAAGAATGGGGCGCATTGTTAAGGTCAGCTCCTCTTTAAAGTTCATAATTAGTTTTTACAATTTTCTTTGAATTAAATAGCATTATTAAGGTCAGCTCTGCTAATTTAAACATCCTTTCATATTACTTTATTTTTGATTATTAATTATGAATGAGTTTCTCATTCCTTTAGGCAAGGACAGAAGTCCCTTTAAATACATGTACCTTGTATTATTAGATATAAGCATTGACTAGATTTTTGAGCAAAAGGAACTAATGAAAAGCTGCTTGGCAACTTCTGGCAAATCTAGTTATTGTTTCTGTAACTTAGCATAATTGAACTGCTTTTAAGACATGTTTGCAAGCTAGGCTTTGTTCTCCATTAATGTTCCAACTGGTTACTCTTCTACAAATGGTCCAGGCTCAAGTACTTGTGCTTTATGATACTCTTGGACCATGAAAATGAGTTTCATTAAGGTTTTGTTTACTTATCACAAAAAAAACAGCAATATCAAGATGCTATTAAAAGCCATAAGGCTGGGAAACCTGTGGACTATGAGGAACTACCAACCCCCCCTGGATATGCACCCATACCAGGTGTAGCAGCTCCAGAAGATGAACCAGCTGAAAACTTTTCTGTCCCTGAGGTAAAGTGTAAATAAAGTTATCTTTAACTTTAACAGCAGAAGAGAGGACAAAATATTTTAATACAATACTTTTATATTTCTTGAGGAATTCAGCAGAAAAGAATGAAGCAATTGTTAAAGGTTCTGGTAGCCTTCTGTTCTACCCCTAGACTCAGTTGATTCAAAACATTTCAATTCTTCATGTATATAGGGTAAATCCCTTTTAAACCTAAGCACTGCTGATTTGCAAATCTTTCCTTATTCATATTCTCAGTTTTCTGAGCCAAGGCAAGGGGCAGCACCCCAAACAACTGCTTCTCCTTCTGTTGCTGCTGGTGCTGCAAGCCTTCCTGCCACAAGTCCGTCTCCACAACCTGCCCTACAACCCATGTCATCTGTTCGTAAATCTCCTGGCCGCAATGAACAGCAACTCAATTACTTACTTGAAAGACAGAAGGAGTTTAAAACAGCTGCATTGCAGTCCAAAAAACAGGGAGATCTTGAAGGTGCCAAGAACTACCTAAGAATGAGCAAGGTTAGGAAACACATGGAATCTATTTGTTGAATATACCAAACAGGAACAGGGCTTTAGGGTTCTTAAATTAAAGAAAGTTTCAACATATATCAATAATGAAGGGGTTGTTTTGTACTTGTGATCTTAAAATTTCAGAGCCACAGCTATGTAATCAATGGATGTACTACTTGGTGAAAATCAGTTGGGAATCTTACATAAAAGAAGTGCTGACAAATGGCATTTTCTTTGTTCCTTAGGGCCTGGACAGAATGATTCTGAGTGCTCAGAATGGACTGAAGGTTGATTTAGGATCAGTAAGTCTGATACATATCTTTTTTTTTTTTTTTTTTTTTGGGGGGGGGGGGGGAAAGCAGAAATTCATGTTCAGTGTGTTGTCTATAATAGACATGTAAGTGCCAGTTTAAAATTTAATACTATTGTGCTTGTTTGTATAGAACAACCAAATTTTCAGTGTGTAGATATATGTAATCATGGTCCAGGAATACATATCTACTCAACATGACCAGAATATATTTTAGATATAGTGAAACATTGACATTGGTGACATCTGCATTTATCAATTGTTGATCATTTTGATGTTTTATATTATTATTGTTCCATTTCCACTTAAGAACTGGCCTTGGTTAAACATATTAAAAAATCTGTCTATTCACATATCCCTTTATCTGCCTGACTATACATGTACTGGTATGTCCCACTCTATTTGAATGCAGAGATAAAATAAATATCTTTCCAACCTTTCTCAGTCCATACTGTGAGTTATGAGACCTTGTGTTTTCCACTCTGAGTTATGACCCTCTTGCTTCATGCTTGGGATGAAGATCCAAGCAGAAAAAGCTTGATTGGTAGCTTACAGCCACACCAATCTCAAACTCAGTCAGTGTGAGGTTCATCTTTTTTCTAATGTCAACTTTTGAACAACTGTTTTATTTTCATCCACCAGACAAAAACTGTTACTTCTTGATATGCATGTGCAAATTTAGAATAGTTTTTTTGCATATTAACCCTTTGACCCCTAAGAGTGACCAGCATCAAATTTCTCCTTACAATATCACCTCTGAATCACACATTAAGGTTGACAGAATAAAGGAAATGATCACCAGCTGAAGAAGCTCTTGATTGATGATTTTAGATATATGAAATTCATATATTTGCACTGTGGTGAAGAAACAAAATTAAGAGACCCTTGCAGCTAAGAACACTACTGAAACAAGTCCTATTTTCAACTACTTGTTTCAGTAGTGTTCTTAGCTGCAAGGGTCTCTTAATTTCGTTTCTTCACCATAGTGCAAATATATGAATTTCATATATCTAAAATCATCATTCATCACTTGGATGGTTTATTTGGACCCAACACATTGACCAGCTCCCAGTTGGCTTGTTGGTTCAGTTGGTAGAGTGCTGCACCAGTATCGTAGAGGTCATGGGTTCAAATCCCTTGTGGGCCTGAATTTTTTTCAGGTCCTATTTTCAGCTACTTGTTTCAATAGTGTTCTTAGCTGCAAGGGTCTCTTAATTTCGAAGCTCTTGATTGTTAAACAAATTCTCTTAGTCAGCATCTTAGGAAATGTATAGGGAACAGTATTGAGAATATACTTGTTGATTTAAGGGTTTAAAGGATTATGAAAACTAACTCTCCTTTTTTCTCTGTTTGTGTTTTGTATGAAGGTTCCCCCCTCTCCATTTACAGCTTCAAAACCTGCACCCACAAGAGAGCTAAGCTTTGAGATGGTCCAAGCTGAAGATTGTGAGCCAAATCCTCAGAAACCAGAAGAAAAATCTGAGCTATTTTCACGATTAGAGGATGCTCTTATTAAACAAATTGAGGTGAGATACCTTAATCATAATAATGTTATGTACTTATCATTCAAAAGTGCTAATAGGCCATAACTCCCTCATAAATTTATTCTTCACTTTGAAATTATTATCTGTCCTTAAAGTCTTTTCTGAAAAGGTTATCAGAAGCTCCAGTAGAGGGGATAGTTTCTTAAAAAGTTCTGTTTTTCAAACTGAAATTTTAATTTTGGTGCAAGTTTTATGTTGGTGCTTTTATTTGTGGTTTCCAGAGTCAGAGTCAGAACAGACTAAGAATGAGATTTTAGCTAGATAAGAATTTTGCTGCATGTTCTTAAAGAGGACTTAAAAAACTCATAATTTGTGACTTTGGAGATATATATGTTATTTGCCGGCTGGGAGGTCCGTATGGTGAAAAACTGTGACCGAGGTCTTGAAAATACTGAAATACTAAAGCATTTTCAAGACCGAGGTCACAGTTTTTCACCATACGGACCGACCCTTAGCCGGTAAATAACATATTTATTGTTTTTAAACTTGACGAAATTCTTTCCGAAAGAACCCGAATGATTTATGGCCGTAAATACGACAAGATCTTCCATAAACTGAACAATTTTTGAGTGAGTAAATGGTAGTTAAAATAGAGGTGATGCAAATTTAAGAGAGATGCCTCAGCGAAACATTTTCATTTCCGTAACGATAAAGGTGATTTAAAAGGCTTCCAAACAAACTTTGAAACATTATTTTTACAAGTATCTGTCACAATCTGACACCTGTCAATTAGAGAGCGCCCAAGAAAAAAAAAGCGTAGGAACATTTGAAAACCAACTAGTTTGGCAAGCACTGTCACGACAATGTTTTCTTCAAAATCAGTTAATGATCTAACGGAAAGTATTATTCACTCTCATCGACCATTCATTCATGTACGAAGATTTACCTCTGTTCATTAAGTAAACGGCGAGGAAAGTAATTGTGAGTAAATTCACTTTTTTATTTTGAAGTTGTGAGAGTTTGCTCGTTTGTTTGCTGCAATGACGTGTTTAACTCTGATCTTTCCTTCACAAAAACTAAATTCGAACGGCACACTCCAACGAGACACAAGGGAATGTAATGCGGCCTTTTCTCAAAAAATTCCTTCAATTTCTGTTGTGCAATTTAAGGTACAAATGTCCAAATTGAACGGAATTGGAAAGACTCACCAGGAGCGTATATTTGTTGTAGAACTTAAATTAAAACTTCGCTCGCTCTTTCACTATGAACAAATTGCTCGAGAAACTTCAGATATTAAATGAATGAAAGTTCCATCCTTCAGTTTAACTGCAACCAAATACCTCACGTTTCAACTTTCTGGGTACTTTTTGTGAACGATTAAGATTAATTAATTGCAGACGGTTTTTAGGCCGCTTGTCAACCAACGTAATGACACTATTGTTTATACAAATTCATTCTGAAACCAATATTTTTCTGTCAACCAAAGTGATTTGATAGAGAGAAAAGAGAGGATTCATAAGTTATTTATCGGCTTGAGGTAGTGACCGACGTGTTTGCTTAAAAATACTGCCCAGCCGGAAAACGAGGTATATTTATGAAAAATGACAACGAAAGTTGGGATGTACTCGGCGACTCACGAAAGCGTTACCGTGGCCCGTGGGCAGAGATAGGAAAATACTGACCGGGTAAAGAACCAATCAGATTGCAAGATTCGTTACCGTGCCCTCTAAAAAAACAATAAAGTTCATTCTTTACCCTGCAGAAAAAGCTTAACCTGATAAAATATTTAGGAATATATTTTATTCCACAGATGTGTGCCAGAAATGCTCAACATTACCAGAAGCTAGGTGATATAACCAACACTAAAAAGTAAGTTTGGAATATTAACAAAAATCATGTAATCAGCTACAGGCGATCACAAGCAGACCCATCCATGTTTTATAAGATATCTTAGGGGAGTTTCCCCTTGGCAGTCAATTTGTGTTTTTGAAAACAATTCATCCATTTGACATTGTTATGTTCAGTCACAGAGTAATTCTGAGATTACTGTCTCTGTTCAAGATGACTTTCAAAGTGTATATAATTATTAATACTTGCAAAAGTATTTTGTAGACATTAAGTGATCATACTACAAATCAAATTCTGCTACTCGTGAGGACACAATTTCCGAAAGGACTTGGAAAGAATGAGGGGCTTGGAAATGACCTCTGTCAATCAAAAAAGGGAAATGGTCTTTTTTGAGTGAGAATTCACAATTCAGACATCCAAAGAAACAGAGTTATGTTTCTGATTAGTTTTAAAAAGAGCCTTTGTAAGGTGACATATTTTAACTGTCACCTTGATTGTTCTTCTCTGTTATCTCATTTCTTCTTGGTTTTTAATTACATAAAGCTTTGACAAGATGGCAAAGAATTTACGACAGGACCTTGATTCAGTTCAAAGTGCCCGGAAATACCAGGATCCTCCACCAAAATTCCATTATGAAGACAGATCATTTACAATTGTTGAGTAAGTCATCTTAAAAGCATTTTTTTACTATTTTTAAAAAGCTGTGAGCTAAGAAATACAACTTTGAAAGAGAGTTAATTTCAAGGCTTTATTGAGCCACAGTCACTGAAAAAGAAATAATTTACAAACTTTGTCTTCAAAGATGAAATAACTCTTGCTTCACTATATCCTTTTCCAGCATCAGCCCTCAACCAACCCTCAGGCTTGAAATCTCTCAGAAAAGTGCTATGGCACTTATAGGTTTTTAATTCAGAGTTCATTTTTTGATAATATACATTTTATCATGTAAGAACTGCATCATGCTCATGATGACTAAGGACAGGTCAGTTAATCCCAAACAATGCAAACAATGAAAATTGAATTAGTATTACAGACAAGTAAAAAACTCTGAATTCCAATTCACAGCCTGTGTTCAAAAAATTATGACAATTATTTAAAAGCTTGAGGGCAACGAAGGGCTTCCAGTTTAAAACTCTTTATACCCCTATAATTTTGAATTAGCACAGTTTCACAGAGAAGTGAAAGGCTTATCCAGGGCCTATGTTTATTGCTATTTTTACTGCTAGGTGCAGTTAAGAGCATTGTGTCTTCAGTGGACCTGCTTCAATTCCCACAGCCATTCACAATGAATTTAATTGTGTTGTATATTGATATTTCTTACGGTGCATATGCATTTTTCAGTTCATTTCCAGATCTGAGTGATTCAGAGGTGGAGTTGACAATAGTTAGAGGGCTCAATATACCTCTTCCCTCAGGTGAATACTTTGATTTATTGTTAATAATTAATTAAATCCAGAACCTATTGCCAATTAATTACCAAAGCTTCAAAGCCTCTGGGAAAGGTCTGGGTTCTTTAGTTATTTTGAATATCACGAATTTTGCATCGACGTACTGTAACTGACCCCAGTGGGCACATCATAGAGGGCGACCAGAATTTTGGCTGGTTTGGATATCTTTTTATTCCGACAAAGACGACGTTGACGACAGATTCTTATACAATACTTTTCGCGAAGAAATTTTATTACGTTCCTATTGCCTTATCTACTGTACCTGACCCATTTCAGCCAAGGTTTTCTAAATTGTAGGAATGCCCCACTATGGCCAATTAGAGAAAGTCGACGTTAAATGCGGAATATGGAAAATACTAGTGAATAGTACCTATAGGATATGTTTCTTAGGGGAACACTTGATCACCTTTTTGTTACTGTTATCGTTACTTTGAAATATGTTTGCATTAACCCTTTAACACCCAGATCAAATCTGTAATTCTCCTTTCTTTCAACCATACAATTCTTATGATGTTAGTTCACAGAATTTAGTGCTGGATCAACTAATTATCCCCAAATTGATATTTTTCTTTATTCTCATCACTTATCTGGTTGATGTTGTATTGATATTGTAAGGAGAAATTCTGTCTTGGTCACTCATGGGAGTTAAAGGGTTAAACGTATGTTAAGAACTTTCTGTTGTGTAGGCTTACTTTGGGATGTTAATCTTCACTGTTTTCTTTTTAACACAGGTTATCAACCAAAGGACATGTACACTTATGTATCTTATGAATTTCCTTTTCCAAGTGTAAGTTCATCATTACTGATTTGTCACTGTAGTCTCCTGAGCCGCTTTTGTTTGGTCTTGTCATTCAACAGCCTGGCACCAAATAAAGGCTTTGGCGGGCAATTCTGAGCGAGAAGCACAAACTTTTACATGGTGATTGATTTATTAATTTAGTTTTTTATCCTCTCTGCTTAAAGAGCCTTTTTTATCCCTATGTCCGAAATTACTTAACGTGACTTATGAGAGATGTTTGGAATATCTTTCTGTTGTTAATCTTCAGGCAGATGAACCTCAGACTGGTAGGACACAAACTATTAAGCACTCTATCAATCCAGGTAAATTTCTCGTTTGTTTTTTTTGTTTGTTTGTTTTTTTAGTTGTCTAAATTTTTATTTCAGTGCCTGCCCTAACTGCTTCCTTGTTTTAACTTTCTTTACAGATTACAAAGAGGTTTTCAAAGTACAGATAGATAGGAAAAATCGATCTTTAGGAAGAATTTTCAAGAGACAGCCCGTCAAATTTGAAGTCAAATATGAAAGGTATGACTTAGTTGCATTACCTATTTTTATAAATACCTCATTTCTCGTTAGTGGTCGTCCCGTTTTTGCTGGATGTTGTGCGGATAATCAAAGGGGTAGCTACATCCTCCTGGGAGTGGGGATTAGCTATTGAAGTGTTGGGTTCAAATTTGTTCGGGAATATTCTTTTGCTAGCCCTTACTGACGGACTGCGGGTGTGAATGGGGTGTTCCGGGCAGGAGAGGTAAAGGGGACGATCTGCGACAGGGTTCTCTTTTAAATACAGTCAAGCCTGTATTAAGCGGCCACCAAAGGGGAATGGAAGGATGACTCCTTAATACCAGTTCGACAGAATAGGGGTATTACAAAAAAATGATACACAACGCCGTTTAGTGCTATAATTGACCACTTAATGTGCAGAATCTCGCTCGGAAAAACTACTTACTTTGCTTTTGGGAGAGATAAATGGATTAAAAATATCTTGAAAGATTCTTCTTAGTTTTATTTGAGTGTTCCTGCTTTCAGTGGCCGTTAAATACAGGTGAAGGACAATAAAAACAGGCGGTTGGGCTTAGTAAAGGGTGACCGCGATCGCTTAATGGATGTGACCGCTTAAAAGAGGTGAAAATTACTGGGATTAAGGGGAAACAAATTGGGGACTTTAACAACTGACCAATTAATACAGGGTGACCGCTTAATATGATACTGCTTAATACAGGCTCAACTGCGCATGACTATGAATGCTGATATAATATCTTCCAGGGGCTTCCTCAAAGGTGACAAAGCTTTGGGACAAGTGCAAGTGAAGCTTACCCCATTCGATAACAAGTGTGAAATTCACGACTGTTTTGATGTAAGTGTTAATTTGGTTTATTCTTTAATTGATGTTTTTATGGTGGACCCTAACATTAAAAGCCATATTCTCCATACTGTTCTCTGTGCGTTTCCTAAGGAGCCAGATCTGTACGAACAGATCGTTTATAAATTAGATGTTAGTCAGTCTTAGGGGTCATAGGGTTAATCCACGCTAAATACCAACGTACAGATCGTTTATATATATATATATTTTTTTCCCCCTCAAGGTAATGGATACGGAACGTGGACGAAAAGCGGTCGGCGGGAAACTTGAAGTTCACATGAGGATCAGAGAGCCGTTGGTGGATAAAGATGTGAAAGTTGAAAAATGGAAATGGCTTGTTATTGATGTTCACTTGACGTCCAGGAAAGTGAGTGTGCTGGACGATTTGCCAGCGTACGAGCAGGTCCTCGTTATCAGCGCTTCAGCACGAGTGTTTCTTCGCCCGCCGGAAATTAGGAGGCCTTGAACAACGGGAGCCAGCGAGAGGTCTATAATGGGTCTGGAACTGATTATTAGTGCCAGACCCCCCCCGTAAACCTCTCCCCGACTCGTCTCAAATCTTCCCACGGGCGGGAAAATGCGCGTCCTGCAGCTGCGTTAATAACGAAGACCTGCAGAGAGGCGAACTACTTTCGTAATGATATTGGTATCTCCTGGAGAGTTCTATTTAAATAGCATGAACCTTCGAACAATTATTGTTATGTCAGACAACAAAAAGAACAAAACGCAAAAGAATGAGTATGGCTAGGAGTGGTGCAAATTAACGCGGAGTACAAATGATGCTCATGCAAATTGTCGACGAAGCTTTTAAAAATCCACGAACTTTAGCATAGCTTCTTTGGTTCGTTTTGGTTGCGTGTCTATGCAAATTGGGTTCTTCCACTTTGCATGGGCCTATTTTCGAACCAACTAGATATCATGAATAAAGGGGGTAAGATTCTAAAGAAACTGTGGTGCTGCGTCGGTGGGAGGGTATAACAGGGTAATTTGGTATTATCACCTGAGTTGATAACGTAAATTGGCCACCGTAAACAGTTTCAAAGCTGACATTTCGAGCGTTAGCCCTTCCTCCTTCGCTCTGACTAGGGGCTAACGCTCGAAAAGTCAGCTTTGAAACTCTCTACGGTGGCTAATTTACGTTATCAACTCAGTTTATGATACCAAATTACCCAATTAGATATTAAACAGTTTCTGGCTGGTCGTTTTAAGCTTCAAAAACTGAGGGTTGTTTGTCGGCCTCTCAGCCGGATATGTCTTAAGTAGTTTTTCTTAGAATTCATTGCCAGCATTTTACACGAGGTAGATAGTGCATATTTTGCATGAACTTCAGGGTACAGTGATCTTTCTTTCAGTCTTGCGCAAATTAAAACTAAATAAGACGTTAACATGTTTTGTTTGGTTAACAGGCAGGCGCTGTTTCTAAGGTGAGTGTGTGTTTTTTCTTTCCAGGTCTTTCGCAATAATTGTCACCTATTAATTCAGACTTCATCTGTCAATGATCATTCTCTGTTCTCGAGTTTGATTGAAGACAAATTTATTACCAAAAAAAATGGGACAGTCACAGTTTGTTTTGTCTTTGGTGGTCCTCTTTTGAAAACGTTGATGTGCTATATTTTGAAGAAGGAAAATATATAAATGATGTAGTGCTATCTTATCCAGTCGGCTTGCTTAGTCGACATGCTAAGAAAATATCACGAGAAAAAGCATGTCAAGATGAAGTAATACATTGTCAAGGCGTGCTTTGCTAGGATTTAACCCTTTAACTCCCAAGATCTGATAGTTAATTCTCTCCTTCAACTTCTACACATTCCCTTGTGAATTAGTTACGAGAATTTGGTGCTAGATCAAGATAACGACGTCTTCCTGATAAGCTTGAGTATTCTCATTACCTGTTTGCTGGTTAATGTATGTATGTTGTGGGGAGAAGTTACTTGTTAATCACGTCTAGGAGTTGAAGGGTTAACTGGAACATTAGTTGATTAGCCTTGACGATGTTGGTCATTGACAAGTGTTTTCAGAAGAAGACAGAACAACCATTTTTTCTCGACAACTGCGATGTGGTCGGTCATAGGTTTGTGAAACAAGTTTAGATGGATAATCAGATTGACATTGGATTGGTTTCCCCTCTTAGGAACCGGCTAATTTGCCACCAAAACCTGGCAAAGTAACAAGAGGACCAGAGTGAGTACATTCATTTGCACTGATCGCTATTTGAATTCAACATGATTAAATCTGCTGTTGGTAAAAACTGCTCGAAGACAAGTGAACGAGCTGTTAGTCTATCTTCACATAAATACACATTTGGGTATGATTGAAATAACTTCTAGTGTGGAAATAAATGTTATCCTTAAAATGAAATGGGATTACTGTTATTTTTAATATTAATAGTATTATTATTGTTATTAAGTCCTTGTGTGTTACGCTGTATCACCCCGCCTACTCCAACCTTATGAACAACAGTCCTGGCATGATATCTTCAGTTATAATACACACACTAACAACCTAACAACAACACAAGAAGCTGCCTGCTAGTCCACAAACTCGAAGGAAACTGTCTCAACTAGTAATTGCCTATTTTGCGCAATCTTTGTTAGAAACCATGTAAGAATACGTTTAGATTTTGTGTGTAGTTTGGATGAATTCTGATGACCATACAACAATTGAAGTAATTGCTCAGTCTTAAGTTGGTGCCATTTCCAACATTTACTACTCATAATTTTTACTTTCTCAAGATTAAGTGAAGAACTGAGACTCATCGCTCGGCTGCATTCTAAAATAAGTGTCAGTGAAAACCTCAAATTATATACCAGCAACTCCTCCTGCATTTTATTTTTAATGGCCGGTTTTCACTTTTTTTCAAGAAGCAAAAGCGTTGCGAAGCAAATAAATAGCTTATTTGAAATAAAAGATAAAAAGCAGCTGGGAAAGCGAAGCATCGGCACATTTTTGTGTTATTTAAGAACTTTCGTGAACTAATGACATAGTGAAGCAATAGTTTATACTTTAGTAAAGAATAAACTTTGTGATTAGTAAACCATCTTTGATGGTCTGAGTTTTTGTATAAAAGAGATTGTCGCTTTTAAAGCATGGTTGTTGCAACATGTGAAATTTTCTTCGTGAAATTGTTCAGCTGTTCAAGTGTATTTGAGAGTTTCCTATTTTCTCTCAAATCATTTATTCATGTCTCTCTTATCTATTTCGTTCGTAGCGCCAAATCAGCAGTTTGTTCTATCAGTTGACAAGCTCGTGGCCTCTAAGAGGGAGGATTAAACTGAAGACTGAAAAACCATACTTGTCAGTCAGCCAAGAAATCCTGCATTGAAAGTTCGACTAAGTTAATTTTAAGCGCATCGTTTCCCTCTGTACACTATATCGAGGCTTTCATACGTCATCACTATGTATCTACATTATATCGAGGCTTTTATACGTCATCACGGTGTTTATCTAGGAGTACTTGACATTTGTTTATTAGTATTCTTTCATCACAGATTTTAAAGGAAAGTTAAGCTATGATTAGAATCTAACAAGTGCAGCTGGTACTGCGCCTAAGTTTAGCAAAAAATCGTGGATCATATTTGCCGAAGTTTGTGTTTGAGGATGTGTATAAAAGTTCAGAAATACTCTTACCTCCTTCATCTAAGCTGCGAGTAACATATTTTTTCGTTATCCTTAAGACTAATTTTAATGATAATAGAAATAAATTATTAAGATCCTTCAACAGTTCCTATGTGTTTATGTACTAGCAGGCTAGTTCTTCCACTTAAAAATTATCAAGAAATTTGGTTTGTAACGCTGTATAAAATGCTCGAAGGAGCTTAAACTTCGTGTTTGTATATGTAGAAATGCTTTTGCCTCGTCGTTGTTGTTGTTGTATAGGAAACCAAGAACTGGTAAAAATATGTAGTAGTTTAGGTTGACTAAGAATTTTAACACGAGTGTGAAATAACAGTACAGAAAAGAGTGTAAAAGAGTGGATTAATACAGAGTAATATATATGACTTGAAAAAATAGTTTTCGCCGCTTCACGTTAGGTAGACCACCTGTTCAGGCATAACTTGTTTGTCAAGCAGATAATATAATAGAGAGATTATAATAAATACTGATTTTTAACATTTATAGAAAAGACACTGCGGTTAGAATCGTATTGAGTCTTGGGCTCTGAGAAAAGTTAAAATTAAATGACCTCTGATAAATGGTGAAAATCATTTTTCAGTCCTCCGGTAAATTCCTTTTGTAAATTATTAAATGAGCGCTTTCCCCTTCCCTAACCCAAACGAGGAACGTTTTGACCTCTAAATCGCCTAGTTGGCGGCTTTAAGATGGAAAAAGGTAGCTCTGGGTGTAAATGAACAGAGATGGACAGACTGCTCACTTTTTATACGTTCTCCTTAGTATATCACAAAGGATGAGTTTCTGTCTCTTATTTTGCGGTTTTGGCAACCGTCTTCATTCAATAGTTTCGCTCGGGTAAACTGATTTTTTTGCATCGTTTTACTTTTTAATCTTTTTGGCGCTGTTTCTTCCTAGTATTGCGACGGAATTTGCTAGCTTGGAGGTCTTGAAACTGGAAAAACAGATCGCCGAAAAACAGGTGAACTTATATTGCTAATTATTTTACTAAGTGTTGGGTAGTAACGCCAGAGAAGACCATGCAAACGGGCAATGTTCGTACGGCGTACATGACCAAGTCGATGAAGCGGGCTCAGACCTTTTCAGACAAATATGGTTGGGAAGATAACACGAGTCCCAACGCTAAGCCTATTCACGGTACATTCTCGTGTAAAATACTTATTACTAAAGTTATTATTACTCCAACCCTTCTCTACACAATTTCACTGGAATGGATACAAATTAACAGTCGTACAACAAAAGAGAACCAGCTGCTGTTTCTCGAGTCAACTTGTGTTATTATAAAGATTCTATGTAACGCGCGTTCTGATTGGCTGAAACAGCGTGCTTTATCAAACCTAAGACGCACGGAGTAGTGCTCTCACGTCATCGACCCATTTGTACCAAAAAAAGACAAAAACAACAACAAATAAAGAAGCCTCGACTAAGCTCTGTTCTGTTGTAAAACAGTCAGGAAGCGACCAGAGCTCTCAAGAAGTAAAGTTTGTCCTACACTTGTTTCGTGCACTAGCCACTTCCTGCGTGCTTTACAGCAGAACAAAGCACAGTCGAGCCTATTTTGTGAGTCAAAGAAACAAACCGATAGCTCCTATCAGGAGCCAGAGGTGGTAAGGTTCACTATCACCATCCGTCGTGACTGCGTTGACACATGTCTATTCACTGATGCTGATGGTGCTGATCATGTTTGTTTTGTGTCATAGATTGCTGCTCATAAAGCCAAAGGAGAAATGCCTCCTGCAGTCCTCATACAGCGCTGCAAACTGTGTCAGCAGAAGATAGCTGAAGTGGAGAGGACTCTATCGAGTGGTGACAAAAACGTATTGATAAGTGCGTATGAGCTTATCTCCTTTTTTCTTTAAAATATTGCACGAAGCAGGACAGGAATAGCTTGGGTGAATGTATAACGCAGAATGCATTGGCATCAGTGATTATAGCCTCAAGGGTTTGAGAGACCGAATACTTGTGCGCTTTGAAACGCTTTGAACAAGTGACGAAATTGGCCCACAAGGAATAGAAGAGCTCAATTTCTGATTCGAAGGGTCATTAAATCAACTTATTCAAGAGGATTGCCGTGTTTTTGGTTTGTGCCGAAAACCAGATAGATGTTTAGGGCTGGGTAAAACTCCCACGTCACAGTATACACTTCTTCACCTCCTTCTCAAGGCTCTAAGTAAGAAAGGATGCCTGTCGCGTTATACTGTGTAAAGAACTAAAAAAATAGCCCGATTACTTTCATTTTATTCTGACATTGGTGTTTAATCCGACAGACTACATACGTCAACTTCAAACGAAGATCCCTCAAGAGCATGCTAAGGCGCAACAAGTTTTGAAAGCTGGCAACAGGAGTGAAGCTCAACTGTGTTTAACCAGGAGAAAGCTGATGGAAAACGAGGTAAATATGAAGTGTAATTTGGTGTGAAGTGTGACTGGGCGTGATTGATTTGTGATGAGCGTGAAAGAAGGCTTAGTCAGTGTGCCAAGAAAAGGCATTTCCAAGTATGACGATATCGTCATTTTTCAATACCATTACTGTTCTCGCGGTTAATTAAACAAGATTGACTGCAGCTAAATTGAATTTCGCCTATCAGTGGTAAAGATCAAAGGAAGCAAAGGCGTAGGGAAAATGATCAGGAATTTGGATTAAATTCACTGCTTGGTCAGTTTTAAGTAAGCACTTTTATCATGAGCCGTTTATGGCCACTATTTACTTTTTCATCCACCCATCCATTTATCCATCAATCCTTTTATTTATTCATCCATTTCATCAATGCTTAGATTCAATGTGCTTACCTCTTACTAACCGAGTACGAGGTCCGTCCTGTAAGTTACGTGAAGCGCGCGCGCGCCATAAATCCGAGCGGAAAAAAACGAGGTTCCGTAACTTACAGCATGGACCGAGAAAACGAGGTGAGTATAATATTTATTATATCTCTGGATTCAAATAGAGAGAAGATTTTAATTCAAAACAACTTTTGAATTTAGCGGGCCCTAGGGCGAAATACGAGTCACTAAATTGACCAATCACAGCGCACGTACTTACTGTTTCCATGTAAGAAAAATATAAATTATCACCTTTTTGTTTTTTGCTCTTGACAGGTCTCTACTCTTAAGTCTCAGCTTGGTATGCGTTAGATATCGATAACTGTCACAACCATATGATAAGGATATTAAAAATAATAGAGCCTATCATGAATTTCGTTGCTTATATCTTAAGCACATGTTAAAGGTTTTTTGTAAGGGAAAAACCTAAAATTGTTATAACTTAGGTGAGAATTGTGTTATAATTTCTCTTTGCACATAATATGATATCTGTCTGCGAGGTTTCTCTATTAAACTCGTATATCGTTACTTAAGGAATACAGCAAAGTTCCTTGCACCTCAGTCACAAAAGCAAAAATCAAAAAGTTAAGGCATGAAGTTTTTCAAACAATTTTTGAACAATATCAAAACATTGTGACCTACGTTTTTTTTTTTATGTCACTGGATCTGTAATAGTAATTTGTGGGTTTCGCCTTAATCTTTTTTTTTGAATCCATGGCGAAATTTTCAGAAATTTTCAGTTATATGCCTTTGATATGAAGATGGTAGTATAAAACACTCTCGATACGTTACTTTTTCCCTACTTTTGCTGAGGTATTTAAAATGTTGCACGCACTGCAAATTCTTTGGACACAGGAATATATGATGAGATTTCCAAATAAACTCTCCATTGACTTTAATCCTTTGTCAAAAATATTTGTGTCATGCTTGAAACTGGTTGCGGTATCTTTTATCCTGTGCTGCGCACTCATATTGAGAACGAAAACTCACCAACGCAAGATGCGAGCATTCTATATCCTTTTGTGGTAACTTTTGGTGATTTCGCGAAACAAACACTGCGGTCAGGAAGGCAGTCGGTTGATCAAGATGTTCGAATTTGTAGTACATGTTTCAATATCACACGCACCTTTTTCACTTACAATAACTCAGAGTGGTGGTGAGAGGTCGTTTGAATTTTTAACAACCTAAGGAGGCTTACATAATTAGTTAACTTTTCAGTCTAAAAATTTACATAATGAACTTTTAATTTAAAGTGGGATTTTCCTAGTTGATGTGGAGGCTCCTTTACTATGTAACAAGTTTAAACGGTTTTTCCAACACTTATTAAACAAAAATTGTTCCCGCAAGTGGACTGCAATTTAAGCAATTGCAGAAACTGAAGCCTGAAAACAAATTCAGGTTTTGACAGGATTCGAACCCAGGCCTCCATAGTTAAGTGCATGCTACTACTTACGGAGCACCGAAGCCACACGGCGGAAGGGAGGGAAATTATAGAGGGTTCATCTTTCCCTTAATTAAAAGAACCTGATCAAAATTTTAATGAAACATTGTTACTGAAAAGGATATGTCACATCGAAACATGTTCCCGCATATACTTCGCCACCGTCTTTCATGTTAAAAAGTGAGGTTAGTTGAGCTTATAGCGATGAGTTTACAATGTAACACATTTTTTGACGTGAAGCATAGCCGCGCTAAAGACAGAGCACAGCGTTGGATATGACGAGTCCGTTACATTCAGGTCACGCGTTTCATTTTTCCTGTTGACTGTACACGAGAAAGATATCAGAGAACCTTATAAAGCATGTCATTATTTAAACTGCGGTGGTTTATAAGGATTTCCAGCCCTGAGAAAAGCTTTAACTGCTCAAATGTAAAAAAATACGATATTTTTTTTTCGTGTGTTTGATATCCCCAATCATTCGCCTTTCGCACCACTCATTCTTTAAGAAAGTCGACTTTTCTTCTCAGTTAAGGTCTATGATGTTTCTATATAATAAACAACATAGTAGATATGATATTTCTCTTCTCGTGTTCAGTACTGTTCAACCCGATATCTCACGAGTAAGTGCATTCCATATCGACGCGCGCCCATATACTACTATCCATTTAAGATGCACAAATTTTCGGTATCATATGATATCATTGTCAAGTGACAATTTAAAGAGAAAAAAAACAGCTAAGTTAAGATAAACTAGTAGAGTGTCAGATGGTTTTATGCCGAAGAATACACGAGTAATGATATAGTGTAAATTAACGGCTGATTAGCTTGGATGATTAAACACCTAGGTCAGTCAGGGTGAAGCAAACAAATACTTTGCCGCAAGTTTAGTCAACGCACTATCAGGTTCCATTCGAGCGAGGGTATTGTTTGGTTCAGAAACTTAGGTGTAGGTCAATCAAGTACTAATTTACACCTCATCATTACCGGTTTATTCTTTTGCATAAAACTTAACCTTTTCCTTTTAATTTTCACTTGACGGTGATAATCTGACAATATCCGAACTTTGTGCGATTTTCTTCACTGAAAAGCTGAACCAAACGAACCCAGAAGGTTCTGCGCTAATCTTGCACCGCAGACGGCAGCTTGTTATAAACGATAGTAGGTTTGTGTGGTAACTTCGAGGCTGAGAATCCAAACTCGACAATTATGATTTTGCCTCATGAAAATCGTATTGTTGATACAGAATGTTAGAAAAGGTCGATAAAAATTTAAGGGTGAGCCGGTCAATCGTGAACATACTAAAGCACTGAATATAGCGGCAAAGGCATTCGATGTCAGTCATGTTGTTGAAAAAATGAGTGGTCATCCAGGATCAAAAATTTAGCATAAAATTTCATTTCTGTCCATGCACATTCCCTTATTTAGAAAACTTCGAAAGATTCTTAGTCCTTAAATATCTCCACAATAACATTCTTTCTGTTAATGAGTCGCCGAGTTCTCAATCGTTAGCGGTTGGTTCTTGAGGTTACTAAAAATTCCAGAAGGAATCCGGGTAGACGCCAAATGTGATGGGTTTCATTTATAAATACAATTAATCATCATCGCGACCTCGAGGGATACGGCTGAAGAAGCAAGACTTATTTTTAACACTGACTGTTTCTCTTTTTACGACTTCATTAGCGGCTGTGAGCTTTCTAGTGTTAATAAGTTTAGTATGAATGTTTTTAACTTCATTTGAATTCTGACAATTTTTGTTTTACATATTTTTCGTATCCCGCACTTTTAAACCACATTCAAAACGAGAAACAAAATGAAAAGTTAGCTATTCAAATCGAAGTCCTGCTAGCAAATGTAAAATCGCTTACGTGCGAGTAGTGGAGGCGCGCGACAACGGACGCGCTTTCACTTTTCCCGCGCGCGACTAGGCTGATCGACGCGCGCGAACAAAGAACTCGCGAGACAGAAAACATTTCGCGCGACTACCGCAACACCTTATGTTTTAGCTTTTAAAAAGGCTGTCTGAAGTCCTATGCCTTGCTTTAGACTTACACAATGTATACTTTAGTCGTCACTAGTGTTATAGCTGTGTAAAAGGCTTTCGTTTTAAGTAATTGAGTCCAGTGAGTCAATTCAATCTTGATCGAGAGAGTGATGGTCAGCAGGGCCCCGCTTCCCCACCCCTGACAGAACTCATTCACGCATTACCAAAAGTACTCAGCTCCTATTATGTTCATCTATTGTTCTTGATCATTCTCTCGGTGCTTGGGCAAGTTCTGCATCAATGAACTCTACAATGAATATGCCAAGAGTCCATGCAGAAATTCTGGAGAAATCGTCATCCGCCAACTGGTTGAAATGTCGGAATTACTTTGATGAGTTTTGACACGCGGAAAGGATTGTTTACAAAATTTTGAAATGGCACTCATTCATCAAGAATTGCAGAAAATCAGTTCCTGTATACGTGTTGTAAAATGCTTATTGTTGCGTTACCTGCTATCTCATTTCCATATCAAAGTAAACCTACGTGCCCAGAGTGCTTTTAGTCAGTAATAATATTCCAGAAGCATCAAAGTTATCGGCATTAGCGCTCGGCGTCGCTTGGAAGACTTTGGTTCGAACAAGATGGTGTGCTTTACTCCAAAAGTTTACTTTCTAATTCTGCTTTGCACATGGATTTCTTGCCAGTTTTTCGTTCCATCGGATTCACGTGCCTTGTTTAGCTTTAGCAGAGTTAGACGGGTAAGTTAAAGTTTTTTTATTCATTTATTTAAAAGCAAGGTCATATTTGAGGATCGTTGTATAGGTCGTTGGTAAGAGCCCTAACTTTTCGCGCTTTGAGTAAACAACGGTTTCTGTCGTTTTTAGGCGACTGAGGAGAATGTTGAGAATAAGACAAACAGCTCCGACGAAGGACGCCCTCCGTGCGAGGAAGACATGAACGGGCCTTATCCTTGTTCGTCTACGGTAAGTTAAAAAGTAGTACCGAAAATTTTCCTTAGCACTAATGTTCAGGTAATGTTCAGTTTTGTGTGACCCGTCAGGAAAAATTTTATTCATTTTAACCGCGTCCGATCAAGAGTTCCATCGTCGCTCGTGATCGTTCACGCGAAAAAAGCGAAGTTTAAGCTAGCAATCGTGAGTACATCCTTGCATGAGATTTAAATAATTTCCGCCAATTTGGAGACAAAACATGGCTGTAAAAGTAAATTTTTTTCTCGTTCTCGTTGCTTAGAGAATGGCAAGTAAATATGTGGAAAAATTGATTACCCTAAAAAGGCTGCTTTACGGATTTGTGATCTGTTCTTCGTGTTTTAAGTTGATTGTACACTTCTGTAACTGTCTAAACGGGCGTGTAAACAATCGTATGGTAATTTTTATTACGCCCATTTTAAGTTTTACCCCGGGCCTTGATCGACACATAAGTATTCAAATTGAGAAGCGATTTCGTTTGAAACACCTAATTTATTAGTGTTGTCCATGAACAATGTTTTTTTCTTGTCATGGTTATATACCGTGTTGGCTAGTTCCAATTTTCTTGGCGAAAAGACTAAGTGTTTGTTCACGGTCTACTACACCTGTTTGATTGTACAATCTTTGTTTAAATACTACAGATATGTCTTTTTTTGGTTATTAATGCTAAAGTTTACCTCGCACGTGTTCTTGTGCTCGTTTTTATCCTCGATTACGAAAGTTATCCAGAAAAGAACATTTTGAGAACACAAATCTATCGCTCAGAAATCAGTGAACATAAAAGCTAAAAAGAGCTCTAGTCATTGAAGTGTAAAAATATATTGATTTCTTAGACGAGGGGTGCGAGTTTCTAGATGTTGCTGTGTGTATGTGGTTGCTTATCAAAGCTGAAAATTTTCTGATAATTTTATAAGTCGTTTCCTGTGGCGAACTCTTAAGATGTGATTACGCAAACTTTGACGAAATATGATACAGAAGAGACCAGCGGCGGATATGGTCACGCACGTTTGTCGAGTTCGGTCGTTTTGTGAATTATCAACTCTTGAAATTGTTAATTTATCATCCTAACACTATTTAATCTTGAAAAATAAAACAGGTGCGGCAATAAAAATCTGAAACTTTGGTTTACGGAAATCGTTGAAGTGAAAAAAGTAATAAAAGACTCGTTTTTTCCAGCTCAGTGATTATTTTGGCGTCTTCTAGTTTCAAAAGAAGGACGCCCAGCGCAGTATGTCTTTGATATGTAAATACTTGTTTTCGATTCTTTTCTGGAGTCAGCTAAATTTAGGTTAACTCACTGCTATATAGAATATACATTTATCAAAATTTTCCGAGTATCTGAAGTTTGATTGTAGTAAATAGTAAGATATTTGTATGTTTGGAACACTATATACCTAAATTTTTTTCAGTTTTGCATGCAGACATTGATTAATACCTCTGGTCCACATAATCAATTTAAAAGCCAACTAGCTTTCAGTGTTTTTTAAGCTTGGTTGCTTCCAATGAATAGGTGATTGTTGTTTGTGGCTTTTAAAAGCATTGTAGGTCTTGGCTCTTGAAAGTTCCTAAAGGTGGTTGTTTGTATGACACACCTAGCTACTTAGCATAATATTTGATGTAGAGAAATTTTCTAGATCTCAATAGAAGAATGACAGACTCCTAATGATAGACTTTTGACCTTTTTTTTCCACAAGCAGCTTTGTAGAATGCAGATACTTGATTCAAACATGAAATTGGGTCTTTAACTTTTGTTTTTTGTCTCTGATTATTTGGTTTTAGGGAAAAAGAAATTTTCATACAACAATTTCTCCCTTTCCACAAATGAAACAAATTTGTCATAGCTTGATCATAGTCAGTTGTATAGCTTGATAACATGCTGAGGTGTTCAAAAGAGATCTGTGCATTCTTCAAGAATGAGAAATACTTCTAATTGTATCTGACTCACTTATGATTCTGCTATCAGCCAGTCTTAAACAAAAGATTTGTTTTATTTGGTAGATTTGTGGACTAAATCTGTTGTCAGTATGGCCCTTGTTGGTCTATAAGCCATGCCATAGAAATGCTTTTGCAATCTGGTGCATCAAGCTTAAAAGCCATTGTTTTAATGTAGAATTCACTCGACCTTGTATCAAAAGCCAAAAACTTCATTGTTGGCTGTAGATAACTGTTGCTTATTTCTATTATAATCTTTGCAGATAACTGGTAACCTGTTGCTGATGGTGTTTTATGGCGCTATCCTTGGAGTTGCTGCGAAATGCATTTCTGGTATGTTTTTAATAAGTTTTTTCAGAAAACTTAGTTGTTGGGTTCATAGTTAATAATGCATTTTAATTTTGTTTTTCATTGTTGCAGATGGTGCTGAACTGTTGTTGGATCTTGGCTGTAACCCTTCTCTGATTGGTAAAAAGGCTTCTCTGTTTAATTGTAACTGCAATTTATACCATGTAGTTTCTACAAAACACTATACCATTGACCATACTTCATGTGATTAAAATATGAAACATGACTGGCCATCATTTTTGATTCACCTCACTCTGGAGCACTTTGTTAGAGTTAGCTGTGATTGGGAAATGTGAATGGGAAAATCTTTATTCCAGGCTAACTTGTATAGGAGTACTGCTACATCTTGTGGACTGGGTACCAGTCCATCTTAAGTAAAACTCCTTACAGCAGCCTCTGGGGATTCCTAGAGAGCTCTTTGTACCCAGTGACATTCCTGGGTGGAGGATGACAATGTGATAAAATATGTCTCGCCCACAAACACATCACAATGTAACAAGTCTCATCTCAAACCTGGACATTTTAATTTGGACTTCAGGGTAGTAACCATAAGCCACAAAATCTCTCTCAAATAGACAACATAACTGTTTCAAAAAGTTTGATAAATAAATGAGAATATTTGCTTTTATTTTTCAGGTGGTATTGTTCTTCCTTTGTTGGGAGCTGTACCAGACTCTGCTATCATCATTGTATCAGGTTTGGGAGATGATGCACAGGATAAGTTGTCTGTTGGCATGGGGTACGAAAACAAATGTTACTAATTTAGTTGTTCAAGTTTGTGTTAATTTGCAACTTATCTGAAAAACATTAAAACTTCCCTCATCTTTCCTTTTTTTTTTGCATGGTTCTGTTGTTTTGTGTTACTTTGTCTCTGAGCATTGTCATCGTGTAAATCTAACAAAACATCACACTGAATTTCAAGTTTTTTTCCTATAATCCATGTTAATCTTCTCCATCTATGGCCAACTTTCTTCCCTCTTGATTTAGTCTGCCCTCTTTTTTTGTTTTAGCATCTTCCTGCACTAAAGTTTTATAGTCTCTTTCAAGTTATGCCTAATGTAAGCATAAAGTGTGAAATTGATGAAATTATTCCTGTTGTCAATATGAATCCACTTTCATCACTGCTGATCCTAGTGGTATAAAAGATGCTTGTCAGATAGCAACCTGGGCCCAGTTGTTGAAAGGGGGAATAGTACTGGGATAGCACTATCCCCCCTTGGAACAATACCAGTGGATAGTGTTATCCACCTTATGAACAACTGGCCCCTGGTTTGTCCGGCTAAGCTAACAAATAGAGATCTGTGAAGCTCATTTGTTTAGATACCAAAAAAAAAAATTTTAAAGGCTTGATTTCATATGGGGGCCAAGCCTTAAAAATATGCCATATTCCTAAACCTCTGGGAATCAACATAATTTATTGAGACTCTTTTGCTTGTCTTGTGCAGGACATTGGCAGGCAGTACCATCATGTTACTAACAGCAGCATGGGCAGGAAGCTTGGCGGTTGGAAAGTGTGACCTTGATGTTAATGATGAAGCCATTGAAGGCAGTGGATATGGAAAGATCAGCTGTAACAAACAGGTAAGTCAGAACCTCAAATACTCTTTATCTTTATAGTCTTGGTGATTTGAGGATTCAGTGCACTAATTCATCAAACGGCGCAAAGATTAGAGACTAATTTTCTTGGAAAGGGCCTATTAAACCTCCTAAGGGTTAAGCCTGATAGGTTAAACCTCTATCTGGAACCAGCTCGTCCATGCCAACAATTTCTCATGTTTGGCAGAAAGAATTCAGATATCACAGCCTTGATTATCACACTGATGAAATGGGTGTAGTTTTAAAAGACTTTATTGAGAGCTTATGAGAATGATAGCACTTTTGCCAACTGCTTTCAAACAGAGGAAGGGAGAGCCCTGTAAGTGTTTAGTCTGAAAGATGCTACCAGAAATATTACATCTTTGCTTATCTTCATCAAATGTGATCATAAAAGTTCTGATAAACTGAGAGTAACATTGTTGTCTTTAACCAACAAGTTATTTTTAACCCTTTAACTCCCAAGATCTGACTGCTAATTCTCCTTTCTAGTTGCTACACTTTTCATTGTGAATTAGTTAGGAGAATTTGGTATTAGATATAGGTAACAACTTCTACCTGATAAATTTGAGTAGTCTCATCACCTGTTTGTTGGATAATGAATGGATATTGTACAGTAGGGAGAAGTTACATGTTGTCACTTCTGGGAGTTTGTTGGATAATGAATGGATATTGTACAGTAGGGAGAAGTTACATGTTGTCACTTCTGGGAGTCAAAGAGTCAAAGAGTCAAAGAGTCAAAGGGTTAAGAATACTGTTTGTTTTACAATCCAAATGAACAATTCCTACAGTCCCCTCCACCCCCCCCCCCTTTAGTGTTTATTGTTGAGATTCCATGGTTATTAAATTATTTGTGGTCTATCTTCCATTTTAGATAAATAGCAATTTTTTTTTTTTTTTTTTTTTTTTTTTTTTTTTTTTTTGTTTTTTGTTTTTTCAACTAAGCTTCTGTTTTATTTTAGGGTGTGACAATCTTGCCCAGTGTCAAGACAGCTGTAGGAATTATGCTGCTTACCTCACTTTCATACTTGTAAGTAACACAGAATTTCATCAACCCATTACACCCCAGCATCAATATGAATTTTCTCCTAACTATATGGTACCAACATGGAGAATTCATTTAACAATCAAAGCTTCTTAGGTTGGTGATCATTTCCTTTATTCTCACAATCTTAATGAATGATTCAGCAGTTTTACTGTAAGGAGAAATTAGATACTTATCACTCTTAGGGTTAAAAGGGTTAACAATGTTGGGAAGCTTTTCTAAGTTTGAACTTGTGAATGGTCACTTTTTTTTTAGTATTGTACAAGGAGCTGACTGGCATTTTGGCCCACATAACTTTGGACCTCAGCCAGATTATGTGCGCAAGGCTGCTTTGGCAACCATGGTCATTTGCTTCATTGGCTTTGTTGCCTACCTGATTTTCTTGGTAAGTTTAACTTTGATTTATGATAATTATAATAATTAATAACAATTACAATGATTAAATTTTGTACAGTGCAAATTCCATGAAAGAGTGACCAAATTCACTCATTATTACTGATGGTATGATTACACTACGTCAATGTGTAGAAATGCCAAAGAGTCTGGTTGAGGGAGTGCATGTCTGTTGACAAACAAAGAAGTTCATTGACTTACATCTTTGTTGACTTGCTGACTAGCTGGCTGGATCTGGCGACTGACTGGCTGTTGGTTGACTGGCTGACCAGTCAACTGACTGGCATATAGGCTGGCTAATTTACTAACATACTGAGTGACAGACAGTAAGCTATCCAGCCAGCTATCTGACTGGTCAGTAGCTTTGTGAGCTAGCTGATAAGCTACAGTGTAACTGACTGGGAAGTTGGCTTGCTGACTGGCTTAACTGACCAATCAGCAGACAGCAAGACAGATTGACTGACAAATGTATTAACAGATAGGAAGAGCTAGAAGGAGGAAGGTTACTTGTAAACATCATTTTGGACTGCAAATATTGGGTATCACAGATAGACTAATTAATTTTTCCTTGATCTTCTTTCAATCTCTAGTTTGTTGACAGCAAGTCAGCCCAAATGAGAGCAGATAAGCATCGTCAAGAAATGTAAGTCAACCTTACTTTTTATTTATCTAACATTTTATTAATTTATCTAAAATTTTAAAAAGCTAAAGCATGTTGTCCTGATATAGCAGTTAACCTATAATGCAATTTTTCCTTGATATGTGGGTGTTTTTGTTATCATTGACCTTAGGATGCAGCGAAGGGTGCTACACCGTTTCGTCATGATGGCCAAGAAAACAATGCCAGGCAGAGCTGATAACCTTGATGGGGAAGACAAAGTTGCACAAGAAAGTAAGTAACAAATTACAAGTTAATCATATCTCCAAGGTTATGTTAAGTTTTGACAAAAACCACTCACAAATTAATCATATTTGGCTCATCTACAGGAAAAACATTGTATGTTATTGTCTTGGAAACTTGTACAACAAAATTTTTAGATTTTCAGGAGTGTACAATGAAGGACAAATGTTTGGTTTTGTTTTGCTGGTGCTTTGTGATTGATCCAGAAAACATTTTCCACCCTTTTAACAAATCATATTTAAAACCAATGAAACCAATCTTTACTTGGCTTTAAATGTTTTTGGCCAGATAACAAACCTGAGGGCATTTTCTTCAAGTTGTTATTGGCTTATTGTGATATTTCACACAACCCTTTACACCCTTGTGTCACTATGCATATTCTCAATAATTCTCTCTAAAGTATACATTACTATTTTTGCTAATGAGGAGAATTTTTTTAGGTTTGATTCAGGGATGATTGTGTAGGGAGAATATACTTTCGTATTACAGTTACAGTTATTATGTTACAATAACACTACATTGAAAATCATTTTATCATTGCATTTGGTGAGCTATAAATTTTAAGTTTGATGTGAAGTCACAATTGGGACGTGTTTTTTATTAAGTTCATGTGCAGAAGAAATACTTCAAAGCTTGGCGTCTTGGTGCTGGAATGGATAAAAAGCAGCCATCTGAGACAGACCCCATCATGCCTAAAGATGATAAGGAGGTAGAGAAATAAGTATTTTATTATAACACTTTACACCCTAACATCAGTATGCATATTCTCCATACTGTTCTTTATACATTTCCTAAGGTGCTGGCAAGGAGAATTTGTTTACTGGTTGGAAGCTTCTTTCATTGGTGATCATTTCCTTTATTCTCATGACCTTAATGTGTGATTCAGGGGTGATATTGTAAGGAGAAATTAGATGCTAGTCACCCTAAGGGTTTAAAGGGTTAATAATGCATCAAGTGATACTAAGCTGGTAGCATTGCTTCCTTTCAGCTCAGTAACTCTTTCTTGCCTTACTCACTCCTAACTTTCAATTGCCAGAATCTAACCAATAATTGCTTTTGTCACGCAAAAATGAATTTTACAGTTTTCATCAAATGTGTTTCATTTCCAAAAAAATTTTATGGTCTCTGTACCTGCATGGCTTTTGTCAGAATAAGAGGTGAAATGAATTAATAAAAATGGGCTCAAAATTTTCCTGCAAATTTTGAATTCTTTCTTTTACCATTACCACTTAACAGGAACTTATTCACAAAGATTCTTTTGAAATTGAGGTGAGTATTATCTCCCACAGAAGCAAGAATCAAAAAACACTACTGTTGTCATCATTTATTCCCACTTCTAAGCTCCATGATTCTATCTTTCATTTTCAGCAATCTCTTGCACATTTTTACATGTAACAGCCATGTTCCTTGAACCTTCTTCCTTTTTAGTTATTAGCACTCTAAAAGAGTCGTGTCAAAGCAGCTAATTGATTCATCATTTTTATCACTGTTTTTATCACCTCATTGCTTTCTACTCATTATTTTCACACCATTGGTAAATCATTTATGGAATATAAATTACATGTAATTTGTTGTTTCATAATTCATCAAAAGAAACTTAAAGAACTGTTAAATGGTGTAATGAAATGCTGTAACCCACTAGTTTACATTTTCTCTTTTTAATTATCTTTGAATTACTTAACTGCAATTGCCTTGCTTAATAGCTAACTAATGTCGATTATGTACTAACCACCTTAATCTAATCTTACTCTAAGTAGTATGGTGGTGTTATCCTGTCCATTCTATGACTAAATAATTCAATATTATTGTTATTGTATTCACTCTGCTCTGTTTGAAAATAGTTTTAACTTGTGATTAGTGTTATTTGGTAGGCATGGTCAGTCCTTCAGGATCTGTGCTGAATAATATATTGAAAGAAGAGGAAGAAGTTACTTTTTAATCACCTTTTGTAATCCATTCTATTGTTTTTAATCTTTGATAGGAAGAGGGAGAAGAGGAGGAAAGCACAACTCATTTGGCCATCAAGTGTGTCAGCCTCCTTGTTATTGGAGTTGGTTTGGTGAGTAAATAAGACTGATTTCAACAAATAAGACAACAGATAGTTTTTAGGACTCAGAATTTTTCCTTGTGTCCACACTCAATCATGGCAAGACAAAAAGTGTCTTCCTCTATTTCTTTACCAAGCCCATAACTTACCATTTTATTCTATTTAATATAAACATGACCCTATTAGCATCGATGATCCCAGCAGTATGCAGGACACATGTCACATATGAACTTTGTTATAGGCCTTACTCACCATAGGGTCTCTGTGGCTTTGAAGGTCTGGGGTTTGTTTCCTCACTGGGACTTGGATTTTTTTTTGTCCCACACTTGAGACAAGACAAAAAACATCTTTCTCTATTTCTCTACTAAGCTGAAAACTTGCCATCTTTCTTATTCATATATATGAGTATAGTTTCTTCTTCTCCTAAACTGGGAAATTTAATTCGTATCTGTGATCTTTTTTGGGAAATGATGTTAAATGCTGGTTTCTCCAGCAATGGAGTAAGAGTTGGAGTTGAGTCAAAGTCCTAAGAGTGTTACTGACCCACTGAAAATTTAAAATCATAGTGATGAATGACATCATAAGCTTGTTTAAATCAGAGTTAGAAGAATCAGAACTGTTCCCCTTTCTTCTAGTTTTTTCCTGTGGCTGACACTTATAATGATGTAGTGAAAACTAGATTGTCAGAGGTTGCAAGCAGAAGCAGAAGATCGTAATGTGATTTCTGAGGCTGCTCATATAAGTCCAACAATTTAGTTTCCACAGATCACCAGTGATACATTCAAAAGTAGCATAAGCTCTCTGCTTTGATGTTATTACTTTGATTTTCACTAGGTTGTATCACTTTGCTCTTGTGACTAGGACTCTGCTTCTTACTCCAATGTTGTGTAAAAACTAGCCTTATGATTTGCCTCACATCATGGACAAAACTGAAATATCCAAACAGTTATATTTATAACTTCAATAATCCTGCCTCACTTCCAACTTGAGCTAACCATTATAAGGTGCCCTTGTCCTCTGTCACCTTTATTTAATTGTGAACATCTTTTTTATGTCGACAGGTAACAGTCTTTGCTGATCCAATGTGTGATGTGCTTGATTCCCTGACAAATAAAAACAACAAGTCATTTATTCCTATTTCATGTAAGTTGAGTCTACTGTATAAATGAGTTGTTTCACTCCTAACAACTCATTAGTAATTCTCCTTGCCGCTATATTATTCTTGCCAGGCTAGTTTGCAGAGTTGAGTATTGGATCCACTAATAAATCCCTAATTGATGTTTTTCTTTATTCTCATCACTTGTCTGCTTGGTATTGTATTGATGCTGTAAGGAGAAATTCTTTCCTAGTCACTTGCAGGAGTCAAAGGGTTATTAAACAAACACTGTAGCAAATGTTAAAAAAATCAGATATTATATTTCATGTAAGTTGAGTGACTACAGTTTATTTAAATCATTTTGAAACCTGAGATCTTTGATAAAAGTCTACTAAACAAGAAACAATAGCATGCAATTAACTAGTTTTATTGAGTATTGAGTTTGATCCATCCACTTTTCATTCAATAATGTAATGTAAATTTTTTTTTTGCAGCTTTCTATGTGTCATTTGTGGTGACTCCACTGTGCTCAAATGCTTCAGAACTTGTGTCTTCTCTAATTTTTGCTGCCAAGAAGAAGAAGGAGAATATTTCCATGACCTTTGCACAGGTAAAGTTTATGGTTGATGAAAATTTCAGTAAATGAAACAACTCTGACAACTTTTGTACTCTTCACTTTAGCTGTATGGTGCTGGAACCATGAACAACACTCTGTGTCTTGGCATTTTTGCTGCGCTTGTGTACTTCAGGGATTTGAAGTGGTACTACTCTGCAGGTCAGAAAAATGTCTAACCATTCACAACTTTTTTTTTTTCATTTTATTTGCACCCCTGATAAATTGCATCACTACAAACTAAAGGATTTACCATATAATGAAAGGCTGAAGATTTTTCAGTCTTATTCCCCTTATTACAAGATTCTGAAAAACAGTTTCTGTTTAAGAAAATAATATATTTTAAATTAGTGATCAGATTATCATATTTATAGATAAAACCAATTTTTGCTTATTTTTTCTTTCATTACAGAGGTGACCGTGATAATCTTTGTGCAGTGGGTAGTTGGAATCGTTGGCTTCCGTCTGACATACAAGGTAAGCTTCACCCTTCTATTTTGAGATCCCTACTTGATCCTGTTAGTTTTTGGAAAGGAGGAAGAGTAATTTACAGCTAATCAACTTCTGTTTGATGCTAAATAGCATTGTAGCAAAACAACTGTAAACCCCTGAGGTTAGGAATACAGTAAAGAACTTGTGAGTGGGTTGATGGAGACTCTCGGTCTTGAAAGCTTTTACCCTTTGCACCTTAATATCAGTATGCATATTCCCTGTACCATTCTCTTAATATTTCCTATGGTACCAACAAAGAGAATTTGTTAACAATCAAGAGCTTGTTAAGGTGGTGATCATTTCCCTTATTCATATGAACTTAATGTTTGATTAAGGGGTGATTCTGTTAGGAGAAATACTGGTATGTTGTTCTTAGGAGTCGATGGATTAAGTATTCATTATGTTTCCCATGTTAAATGCTATGTTGAGACTAATCCTTCCTTCAATGCAAGATGTCATAGGTGACTCTTCAAAAAATCTGCTAGTTTTCACACAGTCTTAACAAATTTAAGGAGGGTGATACAGGATCTGACCCAAATAAATACTTGCTTGCCTTTTCACAATATAGATACAAGACTTGACATTGATAAGTGTTCTCATTTCCCTCCTAGTTGTGGACAGGTATCATCGTTGGCTCACTATATGTTGTATCAATTGGCTTGGTGGCTCTCCTTGAAAGCAGTGCCATCGGTTGGAAGTAACTTGTTTGCAGATTCCAATTCCACACCGCTTTATTGTGCTCTGAAATTATTCTTTGCTTGAATGAAACCCTGGCTGTAAACTTAATGGTTGTTTATTTTTTGATGTTATCCATTTATATTGTAATGTTTGGATCTTAGTGCAAATATTCAGTTTACAATAATTATTTGGGTAACAATTAATACGTAACTGAGTTGTCTTAAAGGTGGTCAAATAGTGAGGCTTTTTCATGAATCACAGTGCTTTCTATTTCTTTCAAAATATTGAGTGATGAACTTAAGAAATGTCCTCATTAGCTATCTCATGTTGTGAGACATAAAATTTTGGTTGTAAAAACTTTTTTCAGTGGAAGAATAATTCTTGATAAATTGAATTCAGGAAAGTTTGTGTTGCTAAGGGGGAAGTGGAAAGAATCAAATCATAATTTTGTCTGTTAATTGTTTGGCATGAATTTCTTCCTCCCTAAATGCAGCTTGCTCAGATTTATCCATGGTTTTGCGGTTTTTATTTTTTCTTATTATTAATATTTCCGTAATCTGGCTAAACACCCACCCACCTTCGAAAAAGGAAATCCTTCAATTATGTTTTGATATGATAAGTGGCAAATTGCACCTCACAACTGTATTAGTCTTAATGAATTTTTGATAACTTAAAATGAGGCAACAATATCTGTGCCAATGGCCTGTGGAGACTGGGTCAGAATAAATTAAGTGGTATGCCTCTAAGGAAGGGTGTGATAATCTACAGGAAGACAAAGAAGATTCGCATTCTCTTTACGCTATTCCTGTAATGTAACTTTTGTATTAAAAAGTGGATCAATTGGTGACTCATTTGATGCTTTTGTGATGTTTTTATGGTGCAGCACTCTTGTTTGCTTGTCAGACACTTATTTTTCCTCCCATTTGGCGTCATGCAGTTTCAATCCTTTACACCCAAACTTCAGTATGGATATATTGCCCATACTGTTCTCTAGTTGGTGATCGTTTCCTTTATTCTCGTGTCCTTGTGTCTACACGTACATAACGGCGTGATATTTGATCAACACAGTCTATAGACCGTACGAGTTTACGCCACCCTTTGCGTCAGTAAATTAATCATAATAATTTAATTTATGCCTCCCACCCCTTTATTGTATTACTCGCGTCTTCAGGTTGATAACAAAGATAAGGTTTCAATTTTTGCACAACTTATAATTGTTTACCTTTCTCAGGCGTTTCTTTTTGTTTTGTTTTTTTATTGTTGTTGTTTTCTTTTTTGAAGGGGGAGAGCTAGATAATTGTCTCCAGATGATTATTAAATTACAGGGTAGTTTTTAATAAGCCGTCAATAACCTGGTTATCAAACTTTGAGCATCGTTTCTTATATCTCACTATGGAGACCTCATTCCACTGTCCAATATGATCGCTATTGAAGTCTTGGATACGTATTGACATGTATTTACGAATTCAGAAATTACCAGGATCATGCCATTTTGAGATGTCATTGAAGAGCGAAACGTGTCGTTTTGAGATTGGTGCTCCTGTCAAATTTAGCCCTGCTTCTAACTAAACTAATTAAGTACTCATCGCGTTTAATTTCACTCTTCTTCGAAAGTAGCTAGTGTCGTGAGCAAGGTGAAAGTTGGCTTCAATGAATGATTCATATCACAACACAGGAACTGAAGGAACTGTAGAACCGTTTGCATTTTGAGCGTTCATTTTAAGCTCTGGTAGAGCATTATTGTACATTACTGTCCGGCTGGTTATCACATAAACCTATTCAGATTTCTTCGAGAAGTTGAGATTTTCTTAAAACCTCAGCGGAAAGGTTGAAACGTTGTATATACATTCTCTGATAGATTTATACACCGGCATGATGCATCTATTTGATTGGCAATTGCAGAAGCAAGGTCTTATATCAGTGGCGGATCTAGGGGAGGGGCCCGGGCCGCCCCCCCCCTTATTTTGGGTAAAAAATAAAAGAGAATCTCAGAAGGAAGAAAAGCCGAAAGGAAGAGGGACAAAAAAACCGCCTATTCTCCCTCAGCTAAAGGTCTGGATTCGCTACTGCATATGTACTTATTTTTCTTTGCGATACCTACAATAATGAGGCCGATCAACAAAGACATTTGGCGACATTTGGCCTGATATGACTCGCTTTGATCGCTGCAGAATTTTCCAGTGATACAGCTTGCAAGACACCGCCAAACAAAACTTTGCTGGGTAAGGTTTTCCACTGGATGATAATAAGCAGCAATAAACAACATAAGGTTGCCTTTTTAATTTCTGCTCCCGCCTTCTGCCCTCTCCGATCTCCAGCCTCTTGCTCTCCCAGGCGCCCGCCCCCCTGTACCCCTCCACTAATGTAGAGCAAATAATTTGGTAAGGTCAAAAGATTTGTTCCAGTAAATTGGCTGTACAAAAGCTGACAAGGGATAACGATTTAGGCTTTTATTACGGCTTAAAACTTCATACGTACATTAAAGACTAAAATGTTGAATACTGAGTCATTTTTTAAGATTGTTTATTTCAGAACAAATGGGTTGGTTCCTCGGAAACAAGACTCAGGATTTACTGGAACACTTCTCCACCAAAAATTCAATTAGCATAATGTATGGTTTCTTGCGCTTTACTTTAATATTAATTATGTCAAGCTGAAGGGATGAACAGATATATTGAAGACGAAGGACGGAGAGCTTGTCCAATTTCTTGTTGGAGGCATAATCGCAGAGATTGTAATTGCCGTACAAGATTGGATGACAGATGGATATAGAATCCGTGACGTCCTTCTGAAGATCTTGCTGGGACGTTTCTCTTTCCACAGCCTGTTGGTCTTTCTGGGTTTCAGTTTCGACATCTTGAGTGCTTTTTTTCTTTGCTGTCTCCCGCGAAAAGAAACTTGGTTCGCCACTTGGGAGTCTTGCCTTTCTCGTGGATTTCGACACAGATACAGGATCCGCCTTGTGACCAGTTTGATCACCAGCATTTTAAATGTCAAGCATAAAGTCTTTCTGTATTTTAGATAGTCGCTTGTAATGCTTGGAACTTTTAAGGGCCTATCCCCTTTTTAATGAGGGTTCACCTCGGTCAAGCTTTATCACAGACATAAGGGACATTGGTCAAAGCACCTTCTTCATGTTGAACTGCATATTTCAACATAGCCTTGTCGTAAAGGGCTTCACGCCCTAAAACATTTTGGTCTTTACCACAGTCGAGGTGGTTCTGAAGGGATGAAAGTCTTTGGTATAACTTAGTACAGCCCTCTTCTGTAGAAAAGAACAAGCTCTGCTCCTCTGAGTCAGAATCTGTTTCCTCTGGTGTGTCAGTTATTTAATCACTAGGTGATTTGCTTTCAGCTGATACTCGTCGTCGTCTTCGGTCACGTCAGTGGATGGCCGTTTTTATGCTAGAGACGTTAAAGTTGTCTAAGGACGTTAAAGTCGTCTCGAGAGCCCTGTTCGGTCTTTTTAATTCCTGGAAGGTTTTTCTAGATATCATGTAAAGAGTATGTCGGAAAAAATATTCACCAAAAAATATTTCCCTGCCAGCTTCAATAATGACAGGGGGACTAAGTTTAGATGATAAAACAAAGGATTATGTTGACAGAAATACCGGAGGTCAAGTATATTTGTTACATGAGGTCACACATTCACGGTGAAAATTTGCATATTTGAGTGGTCAAACTAAAAAAATCATTTCGCGAAAACTAAAATAAATTTTCTCAAAAAACTACACCGCAATTATGAGGACATATTGGGCTACAAAATTTGAAAGTAGGAGTGAAAGCAAATTTTGGGTGACTTGCCGCTGTTTGTCTGGTGCATGTCAACATCGGCTCTTTTGACGTGTTCGGCACGTCTCATGCTATCATTAATATTGTGATGTTTCCCTTCAGTTACCGTCACAATAGTCTCATTGTAAAGTAAATTTGTCTCCTTTAAGTGTTTTTAAAGCTGAAGATTCGAGCGTGAGCCCTTCCACCATGAATATAATATTGATGGCTGACCACAATTCGATTTTTATACACCTCTATGCTGATTAACAACATTTAAGTAGCAAATATAGAACGCCGAAAAACTGAGTCAATTTTTTGGGCCATTTTAAACTTTGTTGAGATATTTAAAACTTTTCTCAAGATATTTAGAGAAAAATTGAGAAAAAAAAAAAAAAAAATTAATCGAGAATTTCCGGTAACATATTTACAAGGCGATATACGCAATATTTCTGTCTAGGCCTACCGGTACGGCAGTATTCAAACTTATTTATGTGCTGTCAAATTATGCTTTTCCACAAGTAATGCTACACTGCTATTCCGAACTATAATTCCGCCTTTTACCCTTACTGCTAGTTCAGTTCGATGAGGGAAGGAAAGTTTTCGTCTTCGACAGCATATTTACATGACCTTTAACACGTCAACTATGAACAAGGAATTTGAAAATAAACCCTACATAAAATTTGTTTACAGCGAACAAATTCGACAATTTTGGTGGTAGCATCTTACATCAAGATACTTCCATAGTCATTGGCTGCAATTCAGTGATGTGAGCACCTAAGTTTGTTGAAATTACACAACGTTCCTGGCCCTCAGGGGTGGAATTTTGACATATAATGGATACTCAAGGATGGGAAAATTGACTATTGGAAACCTTGAAAAATGTCCAATTCCCCTGGGGGCGCCCCCTCTCCCCCCTCCTTGGGTAAAACCATCATATGTCAGGGGTCCATGACCCGGGCGAGCAACTGGTATATATCAGACAGCCAATTGCGCAAGAGCAACTTTTACCAGTTGACTGAGCACTCAGGAGAAGAGCCAACACCTTCATCTGAAGCGCCTATGAGAAATGAAAGAAATTAAACTATTTATATCTTCATTGTGAATTTTAAACAGGAAGCCACTCTCAGTCTTTGGTTTTAAGAAATACTGGGTGACTGGACAAACAGAAAGACCTAACTTGTTTGTTTCTCATGAGAGTTTCAGATGAAGAGCTGACTGCTCATCAATGCGGTAAATGTTGCTCTTACGCAATTGACTCTCACGCTGAAATTAAACCTCCCAAGGGATGTATCCAAGGTTACTCCTTTTGTTAACGTGTGACATGTCAATCACAGGGAGACAATATAAATTTTTTTTTATTTAACTGTTCGCTTTGCTGCCTCTGACACAGCAGTCTACATTTCTCTACATCGTTGTCAACATGTTGGGACCACTCATCTTCCTCAGTGCTCTTGCTTTTACGCTTGGTAAGTTGCTATTTGAGAAACTCACAAGCGATTTTTCGCTTCATATATATTAGATGTGGTTTTCTGGTGGGTGTAAGTGTGAAAACGCTTAATTTGTTTGGATAACTACGAATGCATCGATGGATGATCTAAATGATATAGCGTCACTGATATCACGATGGAAAGGTTGATCCACAACCGACTACGGTCTGTAATTCATGTAGCTAGCCAATTTAGATCCCTGTGAGTATCATCAGTAAATCTTGAACTAGATGAAACGTCTGACAGGATTACTAAAACGCATCACAGATTAACAGTCATGTTGACAAAGAATCAGAGAAGAATTTCTTTGACTTATTACCTCAAAAAAATGCAGCCAGAAATGTCTGACTGTGGACTTAAATTGGTCAATAGCCTTGATGCGAAGAAGAGAACAAATCATCGTGTTTGAGTAATGCATAGTAAAACACACCTATGAATACACCCATTTTGGGAAAGCATGCGATCGCAAGTTAACTGTAGGAAATTGTGTTTCAGATTTCTTATATCTTATTCGACTTCATAATGGATGAAGTTATTCAGAATAAAAAATCATTTTTACGAAGGGCCAATACAACCTTATAGTTCGTGATTATAAAATAACCACCGCAAAATATGTCGAAACAAAAGAATTTGTGAACAATAAGCTATTCTTTGAATAATTTACTTGTGCCTGTAAAACCTTTGTCGACTATTTGGCCCGGAATAATTATGAAAAATTTTCCGCACGCTTTACCTCAAACTTCCACTTGGACATATTTATACTCCATTGTGTGCAGAGCATTAATAATATGAATTTAAGAGTCCTTGGTAAGATTGGTCCTTGCCTACGAAATGCAAAGCCATGAGAAACAAGTGAGCAAGCGAAGCGAGACATGCCCATTACTTGTTTTAATGCAGGAATGTAGCACTGATTGTTGTAATCAAAAAGGGCACAATATTAATAGGAGAATTGTCAGGAAGATGAAGAGTATCAATTTTATTTTGTGCTACTAAAAAAAAAAAGAAACCAACAGAACAATCTGGCAACCCCTGGGAAAAACTTGGCACAGACCCAAACCGCAGTTCTATTGTATTTTTAGAGTGGCCGTTTGGTTCTTGTTCAGTCGAGTTTATCGGATTTGTAAAAATACATAGTTATTCGGAAGCGGTCTTTGTTTTCTGCTTATCGTCCTCTTTGTTTTGCTGTACAAAAACCTACATCATGATTCTTAAATTTCCTTAGCGGTTCAACTCATTTGCTATTGAACTGATTCAAAACTGCCAGAAGGTGTATTTTCTATTAATATTTTCCGCTACTGAGTCATGCAAGGTTTTATGCAAATATGATCGCCAAACTGATTGCTGTTGGCTGTTAATCGATTGGTTCGTGAGAAAATGTCCAGTACGAGTAATTTACGCAATTTCATTAGAGCTTAAACTGCACAAAAGGACAGCAATACTAACGGAATGGGATTTTTTTTTCTCACGCACTCTTCGGAATTCGGTGTTAACCGTTTTTACTCTCAAGGCACGAAAGTACATCCGTTAATCCACTTTTGCTTTCAATGGCATCAACAGAAAGGCACTCAAGGCGTGAAAGCGCATGCGGGAATCCGCTTTTTCTTGTATCGGCATCAACGAAAAGGGACGAAAGCGCATGCGTGACTCCATATTTTCTTGTATCAGCATCAACGGAAAGGCACTCGAGGCACAAATGCGCATGCGTGAATCCACTTTTTCTTGTATTGACATCAACAGAAAAGCATTTAAAGGTATTAAATTCTACAAATGCTTTATAACTGCCTTTCCTCTCGGCAAATTTCACATGCGAAAAAATTTCCACTTGAAGTTAGAATGAAATCGTATGAAGACTGCGCCGATATGGGAACCTAAAACATCGTATACATATTTTCAACATACAAATTTCATTAGGTGAATCCCGAGATTGCGAATGACTCTCATTTCTAGTTTCATGAGAAATTTATGAAAGAATGAAGATTCTTACTGTGCCTGTGACCTCCCTCGGATACTGACTCCAGCGGCTGGAAAAATCCAGGAAATAGGTGGAAGCGGGAAAGAAATGCAAAAATGTTGACGTTCGTTGATTCACGATCCGTATTCTTTATCATTGAAAGGCGAAAGACAAGAGTCTAAGGTGCGAGAAGCAGGTGGGTGGGGTATGGATGCGAAATCTACCTATCACTCTCCACTCCCAAAGCAATCCCTCTTTTCCTCTCTCACCGTCATGCATCGTTGTTTTATTTATTAATTTATTAATTTTATTTTTCATTAGGTGATTCTCATGTTACCCAAATGCGATGGTGCACAATCAAAGCCTTAGAACAACAAAAATGCCAAGATTTTGTATCTGCTTTGAAAAATGTGTCAAGTGGACTCAACATCACCTTGCAAGCTAGTTGTGTTCAGGGAAGTAATGCCATTGATTGCATGCAAAAGATCAAAGACGGACAAGCTGATCTTATTACACTGGATGGAGGAGAAATATATGAAGCAGGTATAGCAACTTTGGTGTACTTTGTAGAAAAGCATCATAATGTATTCTCAAACATTGAGCTCGAAGCTAATAGTGTTCATTCGCACGCAGGAAATTGTAAAAATTGTGTGCCTCCTCCATTGGTCGAGTAGATCACAATTTGCAATTCACAAAAGATTTGAAGAAAGTGTATAGAGTCTATAAGTAAACACTAAGAAAAGTTTAAAATGTTTCAGTGGTTATGCGAATGCACGGTTCAGTGGTGGTATAAATCTGGAACGTGTATAAAAACGAGTAGTGAAACGCTTTTCATTTTTCATCTCACTCACTTTCACGCTCTCTCTGCACGCATAAGCTCACAAATTTGGGCATTATGCCTTCGACCTTGAACCCTGAAAACTTATATAATGACGAGTGTTGTGATCATGAGTTTATAGAATGCACCTTTTCTTCGATTGAATCAAGGCGTTCCTAATGGCCCACCAATATCCCCCACCCCTCTCCAACCCCCCAAATCTACCCCTGCTGTCAACGTATAGGGCTTGCTTTGGGTAAAGACCCTTCCGAGTTCAAAACACAACATTTTACTAGGTCCAAAAGATAAAATCCAGATTACAGCTCACAGTTCAAACTGCAGTTTTTTTCCATCGACCATGCTGTTAAGCTAAGATGTAAATAATCCCGTTCAATTTCTTTTAGGTAAAAACTACGAGATGACTCCTGTAGTTGCAGAATTCTACGGAGTAAGTACTGGTACCAGTTACTATGCTGTGGCAGTTGTTAAAAAGTCAGGTTCGGTCAAATCGATCAAGGATCTGAGAGGAAAGAAAACCTGTCACACAGGAGCAGGCAAAACGGCTGGTTGGGTCGTACCAGTTGGTACTTTACTGTCCAAGAAATATATGGATCAAGACTCCACCTGTAATCCGTACGTATCAGCTGGAAAGTATTTTTCGGAAAGCTGTGTACCAAGTAAGTAGTTAAAACGGAATCTGTTTGAGTGTTGGAAGCAGTCCAGTATTTTTTTTTTAGATTGCTCTAGGTAGCATGTAATTGTTATTATACAATAAGCTAAGTTACGCGCGCATTTTGATTGATTTTCATGATCTACTGTAAGGCAGGCGCATAGATGACGTTACCATCCGAAACTTTTCGCTTCTACATGATATAAAACGAATAGCTTTAATATTTCTGTGCGGTTGTCTAGAAATAGATAACAGAAGACGTCAAGATTTGGTAAAACGTAAGTGACACATTCAGCTGCACCTTGGGTGCCATTTTTGAGTTCTTACCAGTTATTATTTTGGAGTCGCATGTGATTTCTCACTGTACAGACGTACAGCAACATGCCAACTATTTGTTTACTAAAAACTACCCAATTAATCCACTATACAGTCAAATGTGAAACGAAAACCCACTGTAGCTTGCTCATTTGCGTTCTTCCGCGCCTTATCCAGATCACATGTGCTCGCAAAGTGTTGGTCAGTTTATCCGTAACACTGGCCAAAAGAATCTCAGCCTTTAAGAAGCTCTTTAGACTCACACAAGTGAGACCTGGAAACAAAATTAACCCTTCGAAAGTCGAAGGGCCCGGAACTAGGTCCTTATTATTAGTGCCAGGGTCTAGCACTGACATTATTAGTGCTATACCCTCCGAGAAGAAACGCGCGTCTTGCAGCGCTAATGATGGCATGTTGAAGCCAATATATATATGTCAAATATTTGTGGGAGAATAATGACTTCAACCTATTTTTGACAGTTCTGCTTACATTCATATTACGTTTTCAGGAGTGAAGGAAGAAAAAATTGACACTACCAAAAAAAATCCCGAAAACCTGTGCGCGTTGTGCAAAGATGAATGCATGAAAGATGGAAATTATTCTGGTTACAGCGGCGCGTTTAAATGCTTGATGGATGGTATGGGTGAAGTGGCATTTGTAAAACATACAACCGTGATGAGCGATGCACCGGCGACAGCAAATGATTACTTATACCTGTGTTACAATGGAATGACTGGTGGTATGTACTTGTGAGTCCATAATTTTCTCCAAAATCCCTGGTCGAATAGTGGCTAACTAAAAGTGGCTTCCTCTCCCCAATCAAACATCATAAGGATTATATATTCCCGATTTTTTTTTAATTTCCGATAATTCAAGTCATCAAGCCATTTTGTTTTTCGAAAGAGGTTCGGAAAAATGAATGCATGTTAGGGAAGGTACGTTTTTTTCTTGAGGGGGGAGGGCTGGGGCCTCAGAGGGGAGGGTCATCAGTGAAAGTGAGCACCAAAGGGGGAGGGCCATACCCTCTTTTTCAGCTATTCAAGGGGAGGGTCACACCTTTTCCAGAATTTTTAATGGGGATTTTTGTGATATTATTTTCCATTTTTCTTTAACAGACTAAGTTTTTTCTTTAAATTAAATTTAATAACAATCGGCAATGCTGAATTGTCGGAGAAAGAAACGCGTGTATTTTCCCTTCTACGTTCAAAGCTTTTTAATTCCTCGAATTTATACTTCCATATTCAAACTTCATCTATATAACAAAAAGTAAAGCCCGGATCCCACACTGATTGTTCGCATTTTCTTGTTTCAGCGCGCACATATTCAATATCGAGATTTATTCATATTCAAAAATTTTGCATTTACAAGCAAAATGTCAAAAAATGTTCTGAGGTTTCTATGGCATGGAGCATACCATGTGGTAGTGAGGGGAGGGTCACACTTTTGTCAGTCACCTAAAAGTGGGGGGGGGTCAGGAGTTTTTTAATCAAAACATGAGGGAGGGCCAACACTTTCTTTCGGAAAAAAATACCCAAATTCCCCAGCCCTCCCCCCCCCCAAGAAAAAACGTACCTTCCCTTACTGGAGTCTTTTTTTTAACTGAGCTGGGCTTCGATCTCTCCTCCTCCCTACCGAAAAGCTTTTGAAAGCTTTTGGTACACGAATCAGTCTGTGTGAAAAAGAAAGCCTTTTCTTTCTTATTTTCCTTTAGAAATTGGACAGCACATTAACTGCCATCTTGCTAAAGTTCCCTCTCACGCCGTGATGACCAAAAAGGGACACAGCAAAATGACGACGTATGTCAAGATTCTAGTTGAAGCATCAACGCGTTATGGGAACGATTCTGGTGATGGGTTTAGGATGTTTGATTCATCCAAATATTCCGATGGAGACGATCTCCTTTTCAAAGATTCCACCAAAAAGCTGGAAGATGTCTCTGCTAAGACCTATGAAGAGTTTCTTGGTGCAGAGTACATGGGCGATGTCTCAGCGATCAACGATTGTGTGCCTGTTTCAGCTGCCGAAAGTAAGAGGCCTTTCTTCGTTGGCTCTCTCCTGCTTTCATCGGTGGCTCTGGTGCTGCTCGTTTAAATATAATCTGGCACACGCTGATCAACCTACGTAAGAGGTGTGCTTTGAGAAAGTAAGATTAGGAAACTTTCCCGGTTGCCATCATGTGACAGGAAAGTTGTGTTCTATCGGGATCAACCGTTTCAATTGCAATCCTTTTATGACTATGACGCGGTAATTTCTTGGAATTGTCATTTCCATACTTCTCAGCATTCACGAGACTGAAGGAAGACAACGAGGCAGTCAATTACTGTCTCGTGGCGCGATTTTCGATTATTTTTTTCCGGTTTGGTTAGCGTAGCGAAAGAGCACGAGTAAGATTTTTACAGCGAGCATCACGGACAGGAACTGAAGCAAGCGCTTGACTTCTTTAAGCCCGCGTAACGTGCGAGTAGGCTTTCATGATTAACGCTTTGACACGAGTGTTTCTTCACCCGCGGGAAAGTATGAGGCTTAGAGTAACGCCACCCGGCAAATCTCTTCCCGACTCGTCTTCAATCTTCCCGCGGGCGGAGAAACGCGTGTCCTGCAGCGCTAATAATTAGGGCATCCTACCAGGCTACCATATATACAATATAACGGCCACTACCCAAGAGTTTTCCACCACTGAAGACCACACCTCAAACGGTTTGCTCCCGATAGAATACGTAAAAACCCTAACCAACACAACCAACTGAAAACGATTGATCAAAATAGAACATGTACGAAAGCTTTTTTAAGTTTTCACGTCGACCTTGGTTCATTCTAAATAGAATAAGCAGGGCCGGCACTAAACTCTGGTTGTTCTCGTTTGTCAGCAGTCATTTTTTAACACGTCACACAATGCACCCAGGGTCCTCGCTCCCCGTATTGAGGAAGGAAGAGGAGGACCCTGGGAACGAAGTTGTAATAACGTGAACATCACATGACAAGTTTGAAAATGGCTGCAAGCAGATTGAAGGAGGCAGTTTTTGTCGGGGATTTTTTTTAGATGTATGGGGCTAATGTGCATCAGATGTAGCTTCCTGTCATCATTCTTAAAAAGAATAGACAGAACTATGTTGATTTCCTCCTGCAGCGCTAATAATTAGGGCATCGCATCAGACTACCAAAAAATACAACGGCCGCTACTCAAGAGTTTTCCACCATTGAACACCACACCTCAAACGGTTTTCTCCAAGTGGAATACATATAAAACCTAACCAACACAGCCAACTGAAAACGATTGATCCAAATAGAACACGAACGAAAGCTTCTTGTCGACCTTGGTTCATTCTGAATAGAATAAGCAAGGCTGGCGCTTAACTCTGGTTGTCCCCGTTTGCGAGCAGTCATTTTTGTAACGCGTCACACAACGCACCCAGGGTCCTCGCTCTCCATATCGAGGAAGGAAGAGGTGGACGCTGGGAACGAAGTTCTCATAGCGTGACCATCACGTGACAAGTTTGAAAATGGCTGCAAGCAGATTGAAAGAGGCAATTTTGTCGGGGATTTTTTTGAGAAGTATGGGGCTAAATGTGCGTCGGATGTAGCTTCCTGTCATCATTCTTAAAAAGAATAGACAGAACTACGTTAATTTCCGATATCAAAGCAATTACGTAAGATATGTAATAATAGAGAGAAAAAAGAATAGGTTTACTTAAAACTTGTTTCATTCCAAAAAGGAATAAACAAAGTAAATTTATTTTACGCATAGGAGGAGGGAAAATAAAGTTTGTTGTTTCATTCGAGAAAGAATAAACAAAGCTTATTTTTCTATAGCAGTAAAGCAAGTGGATGTTGTTATTCTCTTTTTAGAAAATGAGCTTTTTGTTTCATTCGAAAAAGAATAAACAGAACTAGCTAAGTTGCTGAGAAAACTTGTGTACTTGATGTTTTAGAGAAAGTTTAGTTCAAGTGTTTCATCCAGAAAAGGAAAAACTAGGCTAAGTTTCTTTTCTCCAGAAGAAAAGATAAGTGTGTATGTTAGGAAAAAATGCAGTTTTGTTTGTTTCATTTCTGAAAAAGAATAAACAAAGTGAAACTCACGTTATTTGTTCCTTTCTTAGACTTGTAAGTCATTTCTACTCAAAAATGATGCTAGGTGACCGCCTGGGGAGAGGGGTAAGGGCTGGCCAACTAGAATCGATAACGCACCGCTGATATTTACTTGAGAGTATAAACATGCTCTGTACTGCTCGATCGACGATGTCTTTTGTAATCTCAATTGGTAAGCTGATCTCTCGATGCGCACCCAATGCATACATTAGTTAGCATTTGGTGACTTTGATATGAAACACGCTCTAGGGACCAACCATTTCTATCGCAACCGCAGAGAAGTATTCATAAAAATGTATTTGTCTTACCGCGGTCATGAGTTTTAAATAATAACCTCACCGTAGTTTGTCTTCAAATTTGCCACAATTCAGCTTGACAATAGACTGAATTAAGAATAACGCAGCTGCCGCCCTGGATATCGACAAAATCTGTAATGCAGTTCAGAGTAGTTCGTAAATGTTTTACGAGATCTCGAAGAAACGAGAAGAAAAACAACAGATTTGAGACTTAGTTACGACAAAGGTACTTACTGGCCAGAGTACGAGTGCTAGACGAGATTCAAACTGGGGGCGTTCTTCGTCGAATTTTAATCAAAAGTTTCCTGAAATTCTCTGGCCGTAAGAGAAAGTATCCAAGAGAAGTCTCGAGGTGGATTTTATACGTTTAATAAACACAACTGAGGTTACAAGGTCTTCGCAGGTTCGCGAGTGAAAGTTAAGAGAACTGAGAGAACTTAGATTACACGATATGATAATGTGAGTCCCAGTCCCCGACAAAAGGACAAAATACTGTTTGAAATCTCAAAACGTGATTAGTTTCATAAGATCATATGCATCATAGAAATTATATGGTTTCTGGAGAATTTAATCCTTGACTAGTTCCCAGCCTCTCGTCGAAAGGCGTTAACAACTTGTCAAACGATCGCAGTGAAGGGGATGACGGGAACCCATTCGTGACTTTCCTTAAGACACAAGACATCTGGAGACTCCATTTGCAGAGTGTAGCTTGCAGTTCAGTGTACGCATCATGATTGGATCATTAACTCTACTCAGTGCTCTTGTGGCTTTGCTTGGTAAGTTGAAATTTTAGGATGAGTTCGAAGCGGTTTTCTGTTTTGTATTTAGCTGAGGAGTGAATGTTCTGACCATCAATTTTGAACGTCAGTGATGGTTTACGTTTCAATACCTTTCTTTGCGTGAAAATTCTAAGATTTCCGAATGCTCGGCGTTGACGTTCTGTTGTTTTAAATTCCTGTTTTCAATCTATGCATCATACAACAGACTCGTTTTAAGAACGCCTTGTAGCTGCTAGTAGAGAGCTTAAATCATTTACATTTCTCATTTCCTTATGATCAATATTTGTTACGATGTGTAATGGAAAGGCCTATCATTCTAAAGAGCCGCGCACATAAAGTAACGATTGCAGAAAGTAACGTTCGCGAATATTCGTTTCATGATTTCCTCGCAAACGTGAGAGCATCGCGCTGATACACTTGAAATTCCGAGTATTTTATTTTCAAGTATTTGCCATAACCTCACCCGAAACGGATCGAATAACACCTATTTCAACTTGATTTGTGTGACCCTGTCTCAAATATGACGCAAATGGCGCCTGCTTCAAGGCTAAATAAATATTAAGGAATTCAGAGAGCTGAAGGAAAGAATAATGAGCTGAGTGGATCGTGGAGAAAGGAATATCAAAGCAAATGGAATGCGAAATTTTGCACGAAAAGAACAAGTCAAATGCTCTTAGATTTATCTGTAAGACAAGATTTTTAACTTCCGCAGACAGTTTCAATTCACACCGGATGTTTTAACTGAAGCCCAAAACCATCACGCGATCAAATGTCTCGAGGTACTTTAGCAAAAACTACTGAAAATCACGCCTTTTTGGATCTTTGATTTGTGTTCTTCGTTTTGGAGAGGGGGAAGAAATTGGCAAACTATACTACTATCAATTTTTCACAGACGTCAGAAATATCTAGGTAGCTAAGATGGCGCCATTTGCATGCGTATGTGAATATGTCACAAAAGCTTTCGACTAAAGTTAAAGCCGCATCAAATTGTTTGCAGACATGTCATTGAAAGTAATCAGGGATTGCTTTGGTTTGCTTTACCATGCATTGCGATTGGTCGAGAGAAGTCGCGCGACTCTCTCAGCCAATCAGCTTTTAACATCAAACCAATAGGGAATTGATCTTGCGTTATCCCTCAGCTTATGTAGTTTGCATGTCTTTGGTTCGATTTAAGTGATTTTAGCTCTGTTGACGAGTGCATTGTTGTTAATGGCTGGGCCGAAGACAATGGCTCGTTCGCTCAAAACGCGCCATTTTTGAACGCAGCTTCGACAAAAAATTTTCAAACCGAAAAGGATAAAGGTTCCCGTTGGCCAATTTCCGAAATTAGAACGGATTCTGATAGAGAAAAGATTGATCTGCCATTTGCCGTGCGTTGATTTGTCGTGGCAAGGGTTTTAAGAAATCACTCTTGAAAATTACTTTCATACTAAAAATGAGCAAATTTTGAGTATTTTCAAGAGCAAAAGGGCTAACGCTCGAAATTCAGCCTTTTAACTCTTTACGGTGGTCAATTTACGTTTTCAACTCAGTTAAATTACCAGGTATTGGGAATACTTAAACTTATCAGTTAGTAACTGCTATCTTGATCTAACGCAAAATTCTCGTAACCTTCTTACCAAGTCACAAGTAGTTGCAAGAGAAGAGAATTAACAATCAGATCGTGTGAGTTGAAAGGGCTAACCACGCCATAACACATAACTTCGTTCCTGGGAAAAACGTGCCCAGAAAGACAAGACCCTGGGAACTACTTTACCAAAAAAGGAATGTAGACGGACAGTAACAAGTACCCGAATGAAAACAATCGTAACAAATTCATCCTTTTATTACATCCATTGTGGCCCTTGTGATCTGATTGGCTCTCGGTAGAGCAATTTATCCACAAATCGCATTAGCTTTTTCTCGCATTGGCGTCTTTTTTCCCGCCAAAAAACATCCTATTTTAGAGTTCGTGCTCCTTCATTGTGTGACTGGTTGAATAAGATATTAGTACTTACCAAAAGCTTATATTTAATCAAATCGAACCGGGGACTATTAAAATCTCGTTTTCGATTTTAAATATTATTTGAACTCAACTCATTTCAGCTATCATTGTAAATCAAATATGTACTTCAAGCGACAGTCGTTCGTACATACTAACAGCTTTCCCATGTTACTCTCTGGCCTTAAACGCACCCCGAATCTGAGACAGTTCAAATGTGATCAGGCGAAATTTCTTTGAAAAAATGCTGTGCCTTATAGCCGAAAAAATACGGTATCTAAATTATTTTGTGTTATCTTGTTTTGCATATCACTAGGTCAAGGCCAAGCCTATCAAATGAGATGGTGCACAGTTTCTGATAAAGAACAGCAAAAATGCAACGAGTTTAAGACTGTTCTGAATAAACTGGGGAAAAATTCCAATGTTAACGCGGGTTGTGTTCAGGATGATAGTGCAATTAATTGTATGAAAAAGATCAAAAACGGAGAGGCTGATCTAATCACACTGGACGGAGGAGAAATATATCGTGCAGGTATAATTGTCATTGTTAAGGAAAAGTTTGTAATAAGAAAGCTCATTATGATTTATCTTGCTTCTAAGGTGAGTCTGTTTAATCTGGTTGCTTTGCCTGGCTGATTCCGTATTCATCAAACAGTAGAGTTTTCTTGACAGTGGAGATTGCGTGATAGGTCGCGCAAGGTTTTTTTTTTCTTCGCGGATTGATGACGAAAGCTACTACTTGATTTAATATTCCTAGGCAAAGATTATATGATGGTTCCTGTGGTTGCTGAAACTTATGGTGATGGTGACAGCCTCTCTTACTATGCGGTAGCAGTCGTAAAAAAGAAGAGTACGATTAAAACCCTTAAAGGCCTGGAGGGAAAGAAATCTTGTCACACAGGAGCGGGAAAAACATCTGGTTGGGTTGTACCCGTCGGTACACTGTTGGCCACGAAATTCATGACTCAAGACGCCAGCTGTAATCCGTACGTATCAGCTGGGAAGTATTTTAAACAAAGCTGTGTACCAAGTAAGTCATTAAATCATCCGCAATAAGTTATTAGTTTACAAAAGCATCAGAAGCAACCTCGTTCCCAGAGTCCTCTCTCTTCCTCTCTCGAGGGAGGAAGAAAGAGGACCCTGGGAACGAGGTTGCATTGTGTCTTTGACATCTTCGCCACTGTTCGTTTTAGTCAGCTCTCTGATTGGTTACGAAAACTCTCACTACTTAGTCCACCAATCAAATGCGATGCGCAAAACCACCCTAGCCAGGACCACTTGGGATTTTTCCGCTGTTTACCCCTGATCACATAATTATATTACGATAGGATACGTTACGATAACTTTGTTCATACACGGTGTTTCCATCAGTCAATTAAGATACCAGACTATTGACCTATTTACAATAAAAATGATAAAAATATTTCAAACATAGAGACTGCTTTTCATAGGGGCCATGTCTAAAAATTTACTTAAACTCAAAATATTACTTAAAATCGTGGCGATTCAATTTAGATTTGAAATCGGTCAACGAGGGTGCTTGCCTTAGGTCTATAGGTAAGTTGTTCCACGGCTAAGCTCCGCTATATACGAAAAATTTCCCTTGAGATAATCAATTCGAGGTTGTGGAAGAACTAGTAAGAACTTGTTTGTTTTCGGTATTTCTCAAATGATAAGCACAACGTTTCGTATCACAGATAATTGGAAAAAATGACGTTCGGCAGGACGTCAAATGAACCTTGAGTTTTGTTCCGACTTAGGTGTCGCTCATATTTTCGAGCAACTCTTTAAAGCTAAGTTTCAAGTTATTATTCTTGACCGATGTTAGCAATTATTGCAAATAACGAAAAAAGAAGGCCTTTAATTAACGTTTATATATAAAAATATCATGAAATTTAGGTAGCAACTTTTGAATATTAGGTAGCAACTTTTTGTATCTTTAGCAATTTTTTAGCAACTTTTGCCATTCTAGTGAGCGACTCTTTCCAGCATTTAATTATCCTGGATTTCTCCAGCCGCTGGAGGTAGTATCCATGGAAGGTCACAGATTCGATTTTATAACTGTAATGAACAGTCACAGGTTTCACAAGGTCTTCGTACGATCACAGTCAAAGGCTAACTTAAATCACGTTGTTTCGGATTGGAAACTAATTGAGAGCGCTCTTTCCGGTTATTTGACATATTTCCGTAGTCAACGATTACATAATAGCGTAATGTGTGCCCCAGTCCCCGACTTAACGAGCACAATTAAGACAGACCTACTTCAAATCCCTTTATGTTAAGGGACTTGGAGCGGCCCAACTTATGCTAAGGGATTTGAGCTGAATGGGCCACTTGGCTGAAATACTGACTTTACCTTAACCTACAACCGAAAAAAAAAAATTATATATATCTATATATATATATATATACATAATATATAATATATAAACTGATTTCGGTTGCTTTGCTTTTTTAATCAATTAAATTCAAATTTCAATTAAACCCCCTGAAGAGTGAAGGATTCACTAAATTTCATAATTTTATATTTTTATACCCTAGGTATAATATATATAAACTAAGAACCCCTTTCATATTGATAAAGATGGTATTGATAAAGATGGTAAAAATCCCGACAACCTGTGCGCGCTATGCAAAGACGAATGCAAGAATGCGGGAAAGTACTCTGGTTACAGTGGCGCCTTCGAGTGCTTGATGGATGATGTGGGTGAAGTGGCATTTGTAAAACATACAACCGTGCCGCCGGCAGATTCCAGTGATTACTTGTACCTGTGCAAGGAAGGAGGGACTGGTGGTATGAACTATATTTAAATCAGATTAGTAATTCTTTGTTCCTTCGTTCTACTTCCACTAGAATTAATATTTCTCGAGTACTTTGTTTCTCAAAAATTTCCAACAGTTAAAACCAAATTTGGCGGCCCTTCCCTAGTTATACATCATAATATCGTTCCAGTTTTTAAATTTTCCGATAATGTAAGCCTTCAAACCAAATGAAGCAAGTGATTATATTTACTGGTAATGTGGGCCGGTATGATTCTTTTTTATCTCCTGGTGTTGGTCATCGGTGTCATTGCGTCATAATAGCCAATGGAACTATCATCACTGATGGCTTCTTTATATAAGCTCTTTCATCCAGGCTAGCTCAGTTTCAGAGATTCCGCCTCAAAACTGTTTTTGTTTTTTTTTTTTTACTTTAGCCCGATGAACGTACAACTCAGCTTTCTGCCTCCCAAAGGCTTAGTTTGTCTGTACACTACTTTCTCTCCTCCGCATTGATTTTGATACACTCAACACAGCAACTTGAAATATATGACTAACATTTTCGCAAAGATGTGCATGATCATTGTACCTGTTCGGCACGTCATTGTGTAACCGCTGACACTACCTGAAAACTCTTGGTACATGTTATAACTGTTAAAAATTTTTTTTTCCTTTTCTTTAATTTTTTTTCAGCAATTGGTGATCACGTTAAGTGCAACTTAGCTAAAGTTCCCTCTCACGCTGTAATGACGAAGAAGGGAAGCAGTAACAGAGCAAACTACGCTAGCATCTTGATAAAAGCATCGGATGCGTATGGAAACTACAACGGGTCTGGGTTCAGGATGTTTGACTCAAGCAAGTGGAACGGTAAAGATCTTCTTTTCAAAGATTCCACGATCAAGCTTATAGACGTCAGTAAAAAGACCTATGAGGAGTTCCTTGGAGACAGCTATTTGAAAGACCTCGAGGCGTTGAATGCATGCCCAACCACACCCACCCCAACCACACCCATCGAAACCTCAGGAACCAAGCAGAATATGCCCTACTTGATTGGTTCTATCGTTTTCGTGTTGACAGCTCTGTTCCTGTCCGGAGCTGTATATTACTGAAAACCTTTACCAGATAACTCATCCAGCTGCAGATTCTAGAAGTGTGACTACTAGCTTATGTAATTTTTTTATTTGTCTAATTTGGTAGCTAGAGTTTTTGTCGCCGATGTCGCTTTGCAGCAGTAATATAGCCTGAAAATTCCCGGTAGAAACCAGAACTTTAGTTGCCGACTTGCAGAGGTTCCACGCTTGTCACTCAATGCTATTCGTCACGGTTCGACCGAGCGCTGCGTAAGAAATCTTAAAACAGCTAGTGACCGGGCTGATGTCGGCGTAGTTCAAGTCTGTGCATTTTTTCGTAATATGAGTGTAACTGGCCTTGCATGTAGTTCATCGTTTTATCCTTAAAAAGACAAAGCTACGTGGATATTGAAGATAAAACGGCAAGTGAGGTATAACAAAGAGAAAGGAGTAGCTTTTTGTTTTGTTCGGTAAACACCAAATTCATAGGGATAGTGTCGAAGTAAGAGAACAATGATCGTTATCTAGAAGAAAACATTTTTTCTTTGTTTCGTCCGAAAGGCTGCACTAGAAAAGATTGTTGTGAGTTATAGAAACGATTAAGACGAAGTCAATAACTTGAAGAAAAGGAAACTTACTTTTAATGCTGTGTGAACAAGGAGCGTATTCGAATGCTCATGACTAATTCTACGTTTTCTTGAATAGCAAAGCAAGAAAGTAAATTTTTACTCATAAAAGTTGTTGTTCCTTTGTTTCACCATGATAAGAATAAACAAAGCTGGTCTTGTATTGTCAATCTTTTTCTTCGTTTTTCACTATTTTTAAAATACCTTGAAGGTACCGTAGTGCAAGAGGAGTACGTGATCCTCATTTGACTGTGCAAGGTTCCCAGTTGCTGGAAATGGAGGGAAAAGAAGGTAAAGAAAACAGAAGTGGTCATTCTTCGGGTGTTCCCCTGACAACCGCAAGAACCCCTCTGTCATTCGCCGGCTCTCTCGCTCGTTTTCTGTCAGAAAGTACGCGGAACAGTCCATATAACTTTGCTTCAATGCATCCATCTCTCTCCACCCACTCAAGTGCTCAGCCCGCGCGCCACCCGAACTCTCTTCTTGCTCAAATTGTTTCCCCTCGCTTCACATAATTTACATTTTATTAAACGTAAAACACTATAGCCTGAGCTAATCAGAGCGGGACGCGTCTTGATAAGATGAGTAGAAAAGAATAGAGGCAAAAAAAACTAGTGACGAAGAGAAATACCTCATGGGAGAAATATTTTAAAAACGCGCATAGAATCAAAGGGAGTCATATCCTACAAAATAATTTCTCATCAGCATCTTATACCATTAGCAAGTTCATATGTTGGTCAAAGTCGGCCTGGGTCTTAAATCTTCATCGCAACCAGGCTCAGGGCATTGCCGTGAGGAACTACCGTTGCCATCATCACCATCATCTCTGCTTTCTCCTACTGATGCAAATCGTCGAGCAGTAGTGGGAAAGAATAGAATCTCCTCCACGAGATCCGTGTTTTTATGTGGACAAATTACAATTTTATTCTTCCCAGTTCCAATATTATACACTCTCCACACGCGCAGACCCTCTTGTGTAAACTCAAAGTTGTGTAGGCTATGGAAATTGGCAATCTTGTTAATTTCAAGAGGCGAGTTCTGTTCCTGGACTATGCACACTGAAGCCGTCATACCCCTAACCGGCCTCTCTTTCAATACGGTATGCATGTTTTTGGCAGAAACAACATCATGGCCTTCGTTGCAGTATCTCCTGATTGACGCTTTTAACGGACAAAGCCGGTCACACATATCTTCTCCAGCCTGCGGCTTAATAATCGTACCTCACAAGTTCGATTCCCTGGCGATGTCCGAGCTCTCGCAAGGATGATACCAGCTTACTATTGTGGTAGCAACCTGCTTTCTCTGATCTTAGAAAAGCCTTTCTTATTCCTGGATTTTGTAACTTCACGGTGACAAAGAGATTTTCAAGGACTGACAGCACTGAAAACCAGTCTTGTTTACAGCTGTTAAGAAGGTGTACGCAGCAGGTGACTTCTAGGCTTTCTACTCACATGCCAACTGATTCCTCTCTTGGCAAACCATTCTGCTTGCTTTTCCCGGAACTTCATGGCTATGAACTTCATTGCTCAGTCGACTACTATAAATGCTTCATCTCCCTTCAAAGAATCAAGAATTTGCCGCTTGCACTGATCCGGGTTCTCTGTTCTCAGGATATGCCCTTTCCATTCTAAGATCTTAGCGGCAGCATTGTTTGCTTCATACAGACGGTCTTCCGCTTGAACCTTACCCAACTGCATTGTGTACTTAGAAATAGCACCTTTTACTTCTTCAAGAACACTTTTCAGCTTCTCACAATCCTCGCACTTCATATGCAGTATGCAGTATGAAGAATGAAAGTATGCAGTCAGACGGACTGTGACTACATGCTCTCTGAAAGTCAGTGTCACCAGCATCGCTCAGTGCAAAGAACATACAGTGATCGGCGCATTTGCTTTCATCCTCTTTGCAGTGATTACGGTATTTAGACTTCAAATACAACTTGCTTTCCTGAAGCCTCTTCCGAACTTCTTTACACCAATCCTTTTCTGCTCCCACGTGTTCCAGTCCGTCTATAACTTAGGAAAAATCCTTAAAACCATCCACTCCCTCAGCAGCAGTATTGTCTAGATCCCGCCATGATTTCCTCTGTGTGGCCTCTTGAACTTCAAGTACTCTCTACATCGTGAGTTTACTTATCGGTTGAAATCCAGTTTCTTTGCAATGGTCCATGTATTGATCAATGATGTGCGCAACACGTTAGGTGTAACAAACTCTTCACCGCCCTCAAGTTTGATGATGCGAGTACCGTAGGCTACGTCTTGATGGTAATGTGGCCTCATAGTGAACTCTAAGAGGTGGCTTAGCTGACGCTGATGTATACGGATTCTGTGATGCGGGATTCTTCAATAGGCACTCCAGGTTCCTCAAACTTCGCCTGTGCTCTTGCTTTCTTTATTTGTCTATCGGAGAGGTTTTCAAATGGCTGATGTATGCGTTTAAGTTCGTTGGCTGAGAATCTATTAGCGCCGATAAATACTCAGTATTTGAGTCTTTAGTGATTTTGTGAGAGTATTTTGATAAGCGATCATAAGGGTTGAAGGCCAACATCAATAACTGTCTTGCACTTCCGTTCCAGCTGCTCATGGTCCGCGACCGCCTGGAATAACGCTTTACCATCTCCTGGAGCCATGACATCGCACACCACCTGGCACGCTTCCCCAGCTTTTTGAACAGATTCAGATTTTTCAGGAAAAGACCATTTTTCCCAACAATCTGCTTGGGATTCCAAATATGTAATCCTGGGCTTTTGTACAGCATCGCTGAGGCTATCAATGCATGCATTGAAGACTTGAACTGGATCTTGGACATTTCGTCTCGCTAGTCTGAAATCCTGTATGTCTGTGCTTTCGTCAAGCGCCAACACGGCTGAAGGAGTCCACATTTCATCATTGATGCTGTGGGATAGCCCGAAAGAACTTGGTGTAATAGGTGAGCTCATGGCCCGTTTGAACTTTTCTAGAGCAGCATCTTTGCTTGGCCCTCGGTAAAAGATGCTAAGTTTCAGATGAATGTTAACCCATAAGCTGGGCAACAGGCTCTCAAAGTCAACTGGGTGCGAGTGATTAAAACTAGAACGTACGAACGAGAAGTCACTCGAGAAAAAGCCAGGGTGTCTGTTTTCTCAGATGCTTGCTACAGGCCTTTTAGGCAGGCTAACTGTTTTAGCACTAGGAACATCTTTTTTGTAGTTTACAAAATATCAACAAAAACCGAATCAATACAAACAGATATGTCTTGACGTGCGTCTTGCGATTAACGTGACCAAAGGCAAGTACCTCGAGATCCTTGAAACAGGCAAGACACCAGTAAGCCATGATTATTACTTAGGTTACTTGTTGACAATTACCGCCCAAAAAACAATTTTTTATTGGAAAAAGGTTATGTATCTTGGCTTAAGTACACAACCGCATGCATCAATATCAAACGCTTTTTATTCACACAAACCCTTTTACCTCACATAAGTGCAAGAATCACTTGCTTCTTTCTCAGTGGATTCCAAAGGGACCTAATGCATTTCCTTCACAGAGGCATTGTGCTTGTTGCGGCAGTTGATACAAATAACTGGACGTTGGAAAAAGTGGATTAATATACGAACGAGCAATTGGGGAGAAAACGGTAGAGAATGGTTGAAATGAGCCACTTATTTGAAATCACTTGCTCCTACCTGAACCTGCTTGTACAAGAACGCCGTACATCTTAGAAAGGCCCTTTAACGTTTCCAAATTGACAAAATACCCGGCTCGTTGCCCCCTTGGAATCGCTACCAGGGTGTGTGGAATACTAGCACGCTGATCTTTGGCGCCAGAACTTCCCTTAAGTGTGCCTATGCTTTGCGCAGGCCCACATTTTTGCCATATCTGAGTCTTCCACATCGAACAGGCCAGCCCTTGTTAGGATAAATTCTCCTTCCGTGACACTCTCTTTTGACAAATGGATTAAGGGGAGATGACTCTCTACTGAATCAGTACACTGAGGCTAGTTAAACAAACCTGGAACTCCTCGTGAGTCACCGCACGAAGTTTCTGAGGAGCGCGGACGAAAACAGGACATCATATTGCGAATACCGCTTGAAGAATTAAGTGTCATCAATCACAAACAAACCAGTACCGAGAGAGGTAATTGAATCTCATTTGATAAAACTACGCGCTTTACAACGTAAATGTGGCTAATTTTGGAAAAATGAGGCGACACGCAACGAAATAATTTATTTCCGCAAGAAACGTGGGGTCCTTTTCCACGAGAACTCTCTAAAGTTCTCAATAGAAACTGTCATATAAACAGTTGCACAAACAGAATTTCTCTTATTCCTGCCGACAAGAATTCTGAGCCAAAAGACGATGTTATCGCTGCTTTATTTAGATGAGAGAGGTAATTTAGGATAATTACACAATTGAATTGCGTGACAGAGTCACTGGTCACGGTATATTTCAGTATGTGCTGTTATCGCCAGTTACACTGGATAGAATCCTGTGGTTTGGATCTGAGATTTTCATACAGCTTTGAATAGCTTAAGCTGTCAGAACTCAAATATGAAATGACAAAAGCCAAATTTTTAAAAAAAAGAGTTTGCCATTGAAATGTTGATCCAGTGCTAATCAAATTATGATATTCGATACGTTGTTGTTGACGTCTTTCGTCACTAGATAGTAAAATTTGTCAAATTTTGGCCTTTTAAAATATTTAGAATATCAATCAGTGTGGTCTAGAAACTCTTTCCTACTATCTTTTCAACTAAAAATTGTTAAAATCTAGGATATATTAAGCTAGTTGTATAAAACGATCGGTGTTTGCTCACTGAATTAATTTGCATAATTCGGCTGTCACGCTAGCAAAATCGCTTAAAGTTTGAAGTCACCACGGCGAAGAAACTTAGTAAGTGCAAGAAGTTTTTACATTTTTCTGCTACCAAAAATCTTATTAGAAGAAATCAAGTGGAGTTTTCAATGGTCTGGTCTAGGCTTGAGCAATATCAACCAAGAACGAAAGAGTACTTTTGATTAATTTCAGAAAGCTGTCTAGCGAGTGTTTTTAAATAAATTATGATGAACCTCCGAATAAACGAATATCAAAATTGCAACGCTTTTTAATGCTTTTTATACACCTTACATATCATTATGACCTTTTGCAGCTTTGACTATTGAGAGCTATAAAAATTTTATTTTTACGTATTTCCAGGAACTAATGTGGTTTTGTTTATTTGCTACTAATGATAATTTTTGGGGCAAATTTTGAGGGAAATCTTTGTTCCGATGCGAAATGCCTTGAACCTCTCTTACAGAGATCGCCACGTAACAACTTGTCAAAAGATTGCGTCGAAGGGGAACCCATTCATGACTGTGTAGCTTGCAGGAGGGTCCCCAATAGGTTTTTCGGGATCCGGGATTGAGAGTATTAAAAGGCCGGGATCCGGGAATATAAAGTAAGAGGGGAGCGAGAGAAAATTTTTAGTCGGGATCACGGGACTGAAGAACTCTTGCAGTGCAGTGTACGTATCATGATTGGATCATTAACTCTACTCAGCACTCTTGTAACTTTGCTTGGTAAGTTGAAATCTTATGATGGAGTTCGAAGCGGTGTTTTGTTTTGTACTCAGCTGAGGAGCGAATGTTGTGACGATCTATTTTGAGCATCAGTGATGGTTTACATTTGTATCAATACCTTTCTTTGCGCGGAAATTTTAAGATTTCCGAACGCTTTTGATTACACACCTATCAACGGTATTCATCGACCTTCTGTTCTTTGAAATTCCTGTTTTCAATCAATGCACACTTACTGAACAGATTCGTTTTAAGAATGCCTCGCGGCTGCTAGTAAAGAGCTTTATCATTTAAATTTCTCACTTCCTTATCATCAATACAAAATTGGTTACGATGTGGAATAGAAAGGCTTATCATTCTATACAGCCGCGCGCACGAAATCATCCAATTGCAGAAAATAACGTCTGGCATTATCCGTTTTATGATTTCCCAGCGTACGTGAGAGCATCGCGCTGATACAACTGAAATTTTGAGTATCTCATTTTCAAGTATTTGCCTAAACCAAACTTGAGACGGATCGAATCGCAACCATTTCAACTTGATTTGTGTGACCTTGTCTCAAATATCCCATCTCAGACAAGAATGGCGCCTGCTTCAATGCTAAAGAAATATTAAGAAATTCAGCGAGCTAAAGGAAAGAATTATGAGCTCAGTTGATGGTGGAGAAAGGAATTTCAAAGCAATTAGAATCCGAAATTTTGCACTGAAAGAATGAGTAATATGCCCTTAGACGATCTGTAAGATAAGATGTTAAACTTCCGCTGACAGTTTCATTACACCAGATGTTATGACTGAAGCCCCAAAAGTAAAATGTGGTCAAATGTCACAGGTATTTCAGCAAAAACTATTGAAAATCACTCATTTTCGATCTTTGATTTGGATTCTTCGTATGGAGAGGGGGAGAAAATTGCAAGAGTATGATACAATTAATTTTTCACAGACGTCAGAAATGTAAATCTAGCTACAATGGCGCTATTTAGATACGTATGTGAATTTGTTATTAGTTCGGGATAGTTATTACGACACAATATGGCGACCATTTCGTCAATCGAAGATTTTAGTACCCAATTCGAAATGTTCACTGTTTACCCGTTATTACTCGCCGTATGTACCAATAATTCGATTGGAAATTAGTGAATAGATACTGATCTTCGCGTGTACTCAAGATGGTGGTCATCAAGGAGTGATAGACGCGAAATTTTGGGCACAGAAGTAACAGGACAGTTGAAATGATACGTTTGGTTGAGGTATGTTTTTCAACTTTACATTTAAGTTTAGGTCAGTAAGTGAATTTTTTCGGAGTCCAAAAATTTTGGAGCGGTTCTTCAATCTATTTTCTTCCGATGCATCTGTTCATTACCGTGATGCAAACTGCAGGGAAAAAGTGCTGGGGGTGGTCTTGAATAACCGGTCAGGCAGTCGCCAAACTCCATTTTGTGTTTTTGATGATGTTTCCAATCTTTCTGTTTATCATTCGAACATTATTGTCTAATTTACGATCTCTTATCACTGAACAATACTCAGTTTGTAAGAAAACCTTTTTAAAACAATGATGGTTCCTTTCATTGTGCTGTTATTACCTGAAGAGAACCTAAGAATCGCCTAGTCAAACGAGAGCCCGCTGTCATCGAATGTTATTCTCCGTTTTAGGAGTGACCTTGGTTTGGCCTCTAGTTGCTTCATGCTAAAGATAAACTCTGGCTTGATAAGCAATGTGGCTCAAGTACAGGTTTTTACTTTATCTTGCCACAAGTCAGGAAATGGTCTGGGAAAAAAGGTCCTTCAAGGTCATGGAAAACTCACGGAATTTCACCCTACAAAATACTTGTTCAGTTTTATTGAAAGATTTTGCGGTAAATGTATTAGAGAAACCTGTTTAGAATATTAACATATGATTTGCAAAGAGTGAAACGGTATAAATATAATTGTAGGTGTACATATATTCTTTAAAATCTGATTTCTGGTTATCTTTGTATAGGTATGTAATGTTTTGCCAAAAGAAACAGCGAGGCGAAGTACTACCCCATACAACGGACGCCTTAACTCAACGCATCAAGCGAGCTAATTGTCAGGCATATGTATAGAGGAATGCTTTGAAAGCGATGCAGCAACTACCGCCACCAGAAAGTAAGGGTTGATACATAGAAGGTGAAATGTTGAAACCTGTCCTGATGACCAAGGATCCAGCACCAAGAAGTCTGCTTGAACTAACCACATGCCAATGCAGAAGATTATGTTATGCAAGTTGTTCCTGTTCTAGAACCGGCCTTCCCTGTACAGAGTCCTGCATGGCAGATGAAGAAGCCTGCCCGGAACCCTCAGTGCACACTGCTTTTTTTTGATAGTGACTCTGAAAATGGTGACTACGACTAGCTATAGTTAGGCGCCTCCTTAACCCTTTAACTCCCAGGATCTGATTGTTAATTCTCCCTCCCTTGCTGCAACACATTTCCTTGTAAATTAGTTGGAAGAATTTGGTGTTGGATCAAGATAAAAACTTCTACCTGATACATTTGGGTATTCTCACCACCTGTTTGCTGGATAGTGGATGGATATTGTAAGGAGAAGTTACATGTGAATCACTTCTGGGAGTTAAAGGGTTAACCACCTACATAGTTTATTACTCTTGAAAACCCTAATGTATTGTTTCAAACGGTACGGTACGCACAATTTGAGATGCATTTTTTTTTCTAATTGGGTAAAAAAAATTGATCAACGTTCTAACGCGGTTGCTTTTTAGTAGTAGTTTGGAAAAATTTTAACTGTTTGACTGTCGATTGTAAATATAGAGGACATCTTGTTCAAGACTGCTTTATTTTATCACATGTAAACCGTTTTTCTGAAAATAATTGATATTAGTTCTTCAAGGATTCTTAGTAGTGATAGCCCGAAAACTTGAACACAATCTTCTTAAACTAGAAGCGTGTTCAGGTCTTGTCATTTAATTGTCCAAGCATTCATCTTCCATCATTAAACAAAGAAAAAAATACCTGTAAATGGTGAAGTGATTGTTTTGGACAGCCAAATGATAAAGGTTTGTGGTAAGAAAGGCCGAGAATCAAATTTTATACTTGATTATAAAAGACAAGGATATTTAATATTTTGAAAGGTTTCTTAGGGATTTTTCATGTCACGCGATGAGTCACGTGACGTCCCTTCATGATAAAAAACCAATGAAACAAGTATTTTGAACTAGCTGGGTATTTGGACCGCAAATGTTGATATGGGTGTTAAAAAAAGGAGCAAACAAATGTCATGCACTTTACAACCTCGTTTTCACCCCGACGAAGGGGTAACGTAGCAAAACCCCCCTCTCTCTCTGATCGTATAGCACTTTTCGACTTCACGACGTAGTGAACGTTACTCAAGAGGTATTGGTCTAATAAAATCTACTGTCACACCTTTTCTAGCTCGTGGGTTGAACGAAACCCCGATTTTCCGGTCTCTGCTACCGGACTACAAGGACAAAATCAAAGAGATAGTCATGTTGTTACGCTCCCGAGGTTTCCCTTGCTTAAGCACGGCTTTACGTGTATTCACATGTATCCCTGGTGGAAGGTATTTTGCTGAATGCATTACCCCCTCACCGCCCCCCCCCACCCAAAAAAAAGGGCACGTGATCAGAACAAGGTTACAGCTAGCGGCGTGGACAGAGCTAAAAACTATTTGCATATGTCACGAAAATTTTTCGGGTTCGCTCGAAAAACTATCGTGAAATGGTTAAGAACAGAGGAAATAGAATAAAGAGGGTTGAAAGGGACGGGTCTAGAGTCTTTGCCGCCTTCCACCAAGCATGGTACCCTCTGCAGCTAATTTCACCTAAACCCCTTAACTCCCGGAAGTGATAAAAATGTAACTTCTCCCTATAATATTCATACATTATCCAGCAAATAGGTAATGGAAATACTTGAACCTACCAGTAGTTGCAGTCTTGATCTAACGCAAAATTCTCGTAACTTTTTCACCAAGTTACAAGTAGCAGCTAGAGGGGAGAATTAACAATGAGATCGTGAGAGCTAAAAGGATTATCTACGCCATAACACATAACTTCATTCCTGGAAACAAACGTGCCTGGACAGATAAGACCCTTGGAACGAATTTACCGAGCAAAAGTACTGTAGACAAACAGTACCAAAAGGACAGTAACAAGTACCTGAATGAAAACAATCGTAACAAATTCCTCCTTTTAGTACATCCATTGTGGTGCTTGTGATCTGATTGGCTCTCGGCAGCGCGATTTATTCACGAATCGCATTGGCTTTTCGTCGCATTAGCGTCAGACATCATGCTTGTGATTTCAAATCGAACAGACTGTTAAAATCTCGTTTCCGATTTAAAATATTATTTAAACTCAACTCATTTTAATTACCATTGTAAATCAATAACTTCAAACGACAAGCGTTTGTACACACTAACAGCTTTCCTATGTTACTTTCTGGCCTTCTCAAAGTTTGAAGACGCACCCCGAATCTGAGACAGTTCAAGTGTGATCAGGCGAAATATCTTTGAAAAAATGCTGCGCCTTATAACCGAAAAATACGGTAGCTAAATTATTTTGTTTTATCTTGTTTTACCTATCACCAGGTCAAGGCCAAGCCTATCAAATGAGATGGTGCACAGTTTCTGATAAAGAACAGCAAAAATGCAGCGAGTTTCAGACTGTTCTGGAAAAACTGGGGAAAGATTCCAATGTTAACGCGAGTTGTGTTCAGGATAATAGTACAATTAATTGTATGAAAAAAATCAAAAACGGAGAGGCTGATCTGATTACGTTGGACGGAGGAGAAATATCTCGTGCAGGTATAATTGTCATTGTTAAGGAAAAGTTTGTGATAAGAAAGCCCATTATGATTAATCTTGCTTATAAGGTGAGTCTGTTTAATCTTGTTACTTTACCCGGCTGATTCCGTATTCAACAAACAGTGGAGATTGCATGAAAGGTCAGGCAATGTTTTTTTTTTTTTTTTTTTTTTTCGCGGATTGATGACGGAAGCTACGACTTGATTTAATATTCCTAGGTAAAGATTACATGATGACTCCTGTGGTTGCTGAAACTTATGATGAGGTTGGTGTTCCCTATTACTATGCAGTAGCGGTCGTAAAAAAACAAAAGTACGATCAAAACCCTAGAAGACCTGGAGGGAAAGAAATCTTGTCACACAGGAGCGGGAAAACCATCTAGTTGGGTTGTACCCGTTGGTACACTGTTGGCCAAGAAATTCATGACTCAAGACGCCAGCTGTAATCCGTACGTATCAGCTGGGAAGTATTTTAAACAAAGCTGTGTACCAAGTAAGTCATTAAATCATCTGCAACAAGTCATTAGTTTGCTGAAGTATCAGAAGTAACCTCGTACCCAGGGTCCTCTCTCTTCCTCTCTCGAAGGAGGAAGAAAGAAGACCCTGGGAACGAGGTTGCATTAAAGACACTTTGGTATTCGCCAATCCTTGGTGTGTCTGTGGCATCTTCGTTTTAGTTAGCTCTCTGATTGTTTATGAAAACTCGAACTAGTTAGTCCACCAATCAAATGCGATGCGAGAAACCACCCTAGCCTGGTACTCGGCAATTTTTCGCTGTTTACCCCTGATCATATAATTATATTACGATACGATAACTTTATTCATACACGGTATTTCCATCCGTCTATTAAGATACCGGTACCAGACTATAGCTATTTACCTATATATAATGAAAATTATAAAAATATTTCAAAAATAAAGATTGCTTTTCATCTAGGCCGTGTCTAGAAATTTACTTAAACTTAAAATATTACTTAAAATTGTGGCGACTCAATTTAGATTTGAAATCGGTCAATGAAGATACTTTCCTTAGGTCTATATGTAAGTTGTTCCACAGCTAAGCTCCGCTATATACGAAAAATCTTTCGCAATTTTTTAGCAACTTTTTGCCGTTCCAGTGAGCAACTCTTTCCAGCATTTAACTATCCTGGATTTCTCCAGCCGCCGCTGGAGTCAATATCCAAGGAAGGTCACAGATTCGATTTTATAACTTTAATGAACAGTCACAGGTTTCACAAGGTCTTCGGACGTTCACGGTCAAAGGCTAACTTAGATCACATTGCTTCAGATTAACAACTAATTGGGTGTGCGCTTTCCGGTTGAGTGACATATTTCCGTAGTCAACGATTACATAATTGCGTAATGTGCGCCCCAGTCCTCGACATAACGAGTAAAATTGGGACGGGCCTACTCCAAGTCCCTTTATATTGAGTAAACCGGAACTAGCTCACTTGGCTGGAATACTGACTTTACCTTAACCCTACAACTGATCAAGAAAAAAAATTATATATCTATATTTAGAATAGTTATAAACTGATTTCGATTGTTTTGTCTTTGAATTTCACTAATTTTATGATTTTACTTTTTAAACTTAGATGTTAAGAACCCCGATATTGATAAAAATAATGATAATCCCGACAACCTGTGCGCGCTATGCGAAGACGAATGCAGGACTAATAAGGGAAAGTACTCTGGTTACAGCGGCGCCCTGAAGTGCTTGATGGATGATGTGGGTGAAGTGGCATTTGTAAAGCATACAACCGTGCCGGCAAATTCAAGTGGTTACTTGTACCTGTGCGAGAATGGAGGGACTGGTGGTACGAACTATATTTAAATCAGATTAGTAATTCTTTGTTCCTTCGTTATACTTTTACCAGAATTAATATTTCTCGAGTACTTTGTTTCTCAAAATTTTCAATGGTTGAAACCAAATTTGGCAGCCTCCCATAGTTATAAATCATAATATTATTCCAGTTTTTAAACTTTCCGATAATTTAAGCCTTCAAACCAATTTCGTAATGAAGCAAGTGATTATATTTACAGGTAATGTGGGCCGGTGTGAGTTTTTTTTTTATTTCCTCGTGTTGGTCATCGATGTTTTGGCGTCAAAATAGCCAGTAGAACTATCATCACTAATGGCTTCTTTAAATTAGCTCTTTCTGAGTTTCAGCTCAGTTTCGGCTAGCACAATCTCAGAGATTCCGCCTCAAAACTGTTTTTGTTCTGTTTTTTACTTAACTCGATGAGCGTAGAACTCAGCTCTCTGCCTCCCAAAGGCTTATTTTGTCACTATTTTCTTTCCTCCTCATTTTTTTTGACATACTCAACACAGCAGCTTGAAATATATGACTAAAATTTTTGCATAGATGTGCATGATCACTGTACCTGTTCGGCACGTCATTATATAGCCGCTGACACTACCTGGAAACTCTTGGTACATGTTGAAACTTTTAAAAAAATTTTTCCTTCTCTTGAATTTTTTTTTTCAGCAATTGGAAACCACGATAAGTGCAACCTAGCTGAAGTTCCCACTCATGCTGTAATGACGAGAGAGGGAAGCAGTGACAAAGCAAACTACGCTAGCATCTTGTTAAAAGCATCAGATGAGTATGGAAACGATACCGGGTCTGTGTTCAGGATGTTTGACTCAGGCAAGTGGGGCGGAAAAGATCTTCTTTTCAAAGATTCCACGATCAAGCTTGTAGACGTCAGTGCTAAGAACTACACGGCGTTGCTTGGATACAGTTATTTGAAAGACCTCGAGGCGTTGAATGCATGCCCAACCACACCCATCCCAGCGACAACCACCCCAACCTCAGGAACCAAGCAGAATAGGCCCTACTTTATTGGTTCTGTCGTTTTCGTGTTGACAGCTCTGTTCCTGTCCGGAGCTGTATATCACTGAAAACCTTTACCAGATAACTCATCCAAGAGCTGCAGATTCTAGAAGTGTAACTACTAGCTTATGTAATTTTTTATTTGTCTAATTTGGTAGCTAGAGTTTTTGTCGCCGATGTCACTTTGCTACAGTAATATAGCCTGAAAATTCCCGGTAGAAACTAGAACTTTAGTTGCCGAATTGCAGAGGTTCCACGCTTGTTACTCAACGCTATTCGTCACGGTCCGACCGAGCGCTGCGTAAGAAATCTTAATACAGTTGTTGACCAGCCGGCTGATGTCGGCGTAGTTCAAGTCAATGCATTTTTTTTTTGTAATACGAGTGTAACTGGCCTTGCATGTAGTTCATCGTTTTATCCTTAAAAATACTGATAGACAAAGCTACGTGGATATTGAAGATAAAACGGCAAGTGAGGTATAACAAAGAGAAAGAAGTAGCTTTGTTGTTTTGTTCGGTAAACACCAAATTCATTGGAATAGTGTCGAAGTAAGAGAACAATGATCGTTATCTAGAAGAAAACATTTTTTCTTTGTTTCGTTCGAAAGGCTGCGCTAGAAAAGATTGTTGTGAGTTATAGAAACGATTAAGACGAAGTCAATAACTTGAAGAAAAGGAAACTTACTTTTAATGCTGTGTGAACAAGGAACGTAATCGAATGCTCATGACCAACTCTACGTTTTCTTGAATAGCAAAGCAAGAAAGTGAATTTTACTCATAAAAGTTGTTGTTCCTTTGTTTCACCATGATTAGAATAAACAAAGCTGGTCTTGTATTGTCAATCTTTTTCTTCGTTTTTCACTATTTTTAAAATACCTTGACGGTACCGTAGTGCAAGAGGAGTACGTGATCCTCATTTGACTGTGCAAGGTTCCCAGTTGCTGGAAATGGAGGGAAAAGAAGCTAAAGAAAACAGAAGTGGTCATTCTTCAGGTGTTCCCCTGATAACCGCAAGAACCCCTCTGTCATTCGCCGGCTCTCTCGCTCGTTTTCTGTCAGAAAGTTCGCGGAACAGTCCATATAACTTTGCTTCAATGCATCCATCTCTCTCCACCCACTCAAGTGCTCAGCCCGCGCGCCACCTAAACTCGCTTCTTGCTCAAATTGTTTCCCCCGCGCTTCACATAATGTACATTTTATTAAACGTAAAACACTATGGTACATCACAACGAACCTTTTAGCCTGAGCTAATCAGAGTAAGACGCGTCTTGATGAGATAAATAGAAAAGAGTAGAGGCTAAAAACGAATTATGGAGAGGAGTGCCTTATGGGAGAAATATTTGAAAAACATGCATAGAATCAAAGGGAGTCATATGCTATAAAATCATTTCCCATCAGCATCTTATACCGAATGAAACTTAAAATCTTGATTCAACTGCGAGGCTCAAATTCGATCTCTCAGGATAACAAGATTTACCAAGGCGTTGTTTTGTTTTATCTTTCTCAGTAAGTAACGGAAACCTTCATTAAAATTTTCCAATCAGTTTAAGTCAATCATCAAGAAACGTTTGATATACACTCGGAAATCAGGGCGTTACGCGGGGCACTGGCATTGTGGAGAAACCCGGATACCACTTTCTTGGTTTAACATCAGGAAATTTCTTTAATGAATTGACCAAATTTCTAAGGCCAAAGAAAGTGGACTCCCACGTTGCCATATGCTCCCCCTTTTTGTTGAGGAAAAGTAACACTATCTATTTAGAATCAATAAAACAATCCTACATGCTCCATAATGGTAGAGAAACCCTTGAGAAGGACTTACCTTCCCCTCCCCTAATGAAAAGTTCAGTCTACCCTTGATATAGCTAAGTCTTCATGTCAATTTAATAATGCAGTGCTCTCCACTGAAGTTAGTTCCGTCTTGTCACTCTCCTGAGCAGAACAAAAGCTGTTCGAATTATCCCGTTTGCAGCATCGTTGAGCTGACCAACATGACGGAAGTAGTAGGCGCTTGTTGGCCATCTTCCTCACATCGGCACCTGAACACATCCACGAAAGCCTTGCGAAACTTGTCACTGAAGAAGCTGTAGATGAAAGGATTACACGCCATGGAGCACAGAGCGAGCACGAAGGAGAAGTTCACGAACACACTGAAGCCAACCGTCTGAAAGGGGAGTTCCATGAACGCTTGGAGCAGTATAGTTACTTGAAAAGGTAACATGCATGTCAAGAACGTGGCGATCACTGTTAGAAGCATATACGTCGTCTTGCGCTTCTTTTTTGCTCTGCGAATTGCGTAAGCACGGTTTGCATTGTACGATGGTTGGTTATTCGTTGAAGACAAACCACGAACGCTGCGTGCGGTCGTGGCGTCGTCGCTTAAGGACGGCTCCGGTTGCCATAGTGTTCGTATGATCATGATGTAACTTGAGCCAATCACCAAAATAGGGAGGACAAACAAAAGAATGAAAGCCACCACTGTGTATATTCGGTTCCCTAATATCCCGCCTTTGCCCGTCCAGTCTTCGACGCACCGTTTGTTTTGGATCGTGACCACAAAGGCCTGGGGAGAAGCAATGGCAAAGGACACCAGCCAAGTCAGAACCATTAAAATCACAGTTCGTCTGACTTTTTTTCGTGAGGCACGGACCGTGAAGGGATTCACGATAGCTTGATATCTATGGAAAAACATCAACAACAAAAAAAAGGAGTAAGGCCGATTTATCATATGACGTGATATTTTGTGGAGTTGATGCGCTTTGCATCAGGCTCTTGTAGCTGTAATTTTCCTGTTGCATTAGTTTTTGTTTTTACGACAAGAAATCAGAAACGATTCACAATTAAAGTACTTAGGGCAGATAAGTGGGCCAATTTAAAATCCAATGTCCTTCCCTCCCTTTTGTTTACCTTTCCACTGCCAGTACCATCATCGTGTAAACGGACACCGACACAGATATTGAAGAAATCACTCTCACTGCTCGGCACATGAATCCTCCAAGAGGCCATTCGTTAGGCGAGATCTGGTCAGACATCAGCGATGGAATGGCGAACAAAGCTGACAGCAAGTCTGAGATGGACATGTTGAGGAGGAACAGATTGGTCAAAGTGCGCATGTCTTTCCTCCTGGTGATTACGATGCAAACAAATCCATTACCTGAGGATGACAAGATAATGTTTAGTTAAACAAAAAGGGATTAGAGAAGATAAGATAATACATTGGAGGATCAGATACATTCCTCTCAACAAACGCAGGTTCAGGGCAAATGTTGTCGTTAAAAATGATATGGATTAATTCAAACACAGTGGTGATCTTAACTGCATTAGTTTTTGGGTGCTATAGAGAAGATCTATCCTTAAACTCCCAGGATCTAGGGAAATATTTTTTTTCGTCTTGTCACGAGCGTGGAACCAAGGAAAAATTTAGAGTCTTCATGAGTCGTGAGGAGTCGAACCTAACACCTTTGTAAATTTGCCTTCCAACTGTTACACGTTTCTTTGAAATCAGTTAGGATAACTTTGTGTTATATCAATATAGATCGCCTGGCTGATTTTTTCTTTTAACAATATTAGCACTTTTTGCAACATGGTTGATCCGCGATATAGCACAGGCTGTTTTTAGGAGAAGTTACAAGTTCGTCATGTTTGGGAATAAAACCGGGGTAGGATGTCTTCGAGATATCATCATAAAACGTGAACGATTACGGTGACCGGTCGAGGCAAGGATAGTATGTTGCCTTGGAGTTGGTTTGTTGAAACTACCGTGGAATAAGCCTATACACACATATTTGTATGAAGAGACTTTCTACGACGCTACCCAAAATCGAGTTAATTCTCAATTTATCTCCAAGGCTGAGTGAGAGAAAATAATTAAATTTCAACCGTCCTTGTGAACGACTTCCTTACTTTAAAATAAACAGCGCCCTCGAATTCAACAGTCCTCTCGTTTTCGTAACTCACAGCGACTAATTCATCACGAAATTCCAAGCCCTTCCATACTTTTGCATCTGATATGAAAGCAGTCGCATTTATAAGTTCCTATTGAACATTAAATAATTCCTGCATGGAGTTAAATGATCTGTTCAAATTTGTAAGAGGATTCAGAAACCTCGTTGTAAGGGAAACAAAGAAATGTAGCAAATTAAAGCACTTCAAATGAATGACAATTCGCGTTTTTTCTTCTGGTTGATTTTGCTCGGCCTTGCTTTTCTTTCCATCTAACACAAACCTAAAGCACTTCCATATTAAAAACCGTGTTGTGGCTTCATCATTTTTCTGGAACCAGAGCCTCTCGTTCAATACGTTCGTGTCTGGTCTTACGCAATAAATTAGAACATCCTTGTAAAGGTATTTGTTTTCTCACCTACAACGGCTACTAAAACTATGATTCCATATATCACGGAAAAGACAGCCACTTTTTCCACTGGAGAAACAGAGACTTCATCCTGACTGTTGTCCGCACAACGGAGATCTTCGCTCAAGGAATCGTTGGTTTGCGTGGCGCAGTCTTCACTGGACATTTTTACTTTGGAGTATTCACTGTCGTTTCAGTTTGAAGAATGTCTGCTTTCCCGCTAAAGTCAACTTTACACTTAGAGACCAAGCTATTTGAAAGCAATTCCCAGGTAAATATTTTCAGAACCTTATGGATGCTTTTTCCTTTAGCAATACTGAAATATCAGAACCATTTTCAACCTGTTTGGTTGTTTTTAGAAGGCGCCCACTGAGAAAAAGAAATGGCACGTCCTGTCGAACTGTGCAAACGGGGAGAACACAGCTTTTGTGTCTAATCGTCAAACCTTTCTAATTAAATGTTTAGTGGCCAAATAGATTCATTGTACTTATTTCTCCCTTTTTACTGTGGTTCTTTTGTTCTTGGCTGTCAAACGCTGTCGAAACAAATTGAATGCTTCATTTTTTTTGAAGAGAGTGATTTCCGCAATGACGTGATCAAAACCAAAATTAAACAACTTCGTCAGCGCAAACTATGTTCCTAATGCTGGAACAATAGGAAAAACAAGCAAAAAAGCCTCAGAATTGTTGTGAAAAAACATGAATATTTTGTATTTTCTCCAAACAAAGGCAAAGATAATGGGAAAAGACTTAGAACAAACCTTTCCTTTGTCTGTATCTTTGAGTTGGTCTACTGATTTAGGTAGCCGCTCTGTGGCTCCGCTCTCCCGTAGCCAAAAGGGGAGAGTCGTAAGATCGCAGAGTTTAGCGAGAGACGACTGGGGACGAGATACCGAAAACTTGCGCGCCGTCGTTGTGGAAAAAAAGGGGGAGAAAATTGATAAAAATAAATGATAATAAAGAAGTGCAGGAAACAGCAAAAGAGCCTAAAACCAAAGATAGAGAATTACGACGGATAATTTTTTAATGTTTATTTGGGACTGTAAAGACAAAACAACTTCCGATAACTTTGTGTTCAAACAAATTTAGTAGCCAAAGAATAACGACATTTTAGGTTCTAATTTACAAGGTCGATAGTAGTTTTCGATGTAAAAGTCAAGTGTCCGGAAATCAAATTATAGACATAATTGTATGAAATTGAAATAAAGAAGAAGGGCTCCTGATAAAAGTTGTTATTCGGTAAAATGAACAGCAGGTTTACGAGTAATTTGCCTGAATTAAAGTTTGACATTAGGAGAAGCTCGTTTCTTGTCAAAATACCCTTTGATTACTGCAATTATCGTCTGGATTTTCCTGGAGAGGTTGTCGGGATCAATTCCCCCAATTAATCAAAATTAAGGCCATGGACATTGGAGGGGCTTATAAGTTTTTGTCGTGCCAAACTCCATTTTCAAATTCAAATTTCATATTTATTAGTAAGAGATCTTCCCAAAATCCATAATGTTCATCGAATCTTGATCATTGACCTCGTGACCCAAGTTACAACCCAGGAAACCGGGAATGAAATTTAAACCAATCAAAGTGAAGAATGATCGGCATTGAACCAATCAAAGCATCCAGTTATTCGGCATTGTTTGGTGAATGCTCACTAAGGCATGAAAGACATATTTGGTTGGCGCCATTTTGTATATTTTGTAGTGGATGTAGTTCACTGATTTCAGCTGGAATTTTGTCATATTTCTCCATTATGGCTGTGGAAGGTGGTTACCTAACTGAACTTCTAACCGAAAAGGACAACTTAGATCCATCCTTCGTACATTCAATGCGCTTGTTAACCGAAGGTAGGCGGTGTATCTTCTCTAAAATCACTTCTGCAACGTCACGTAAAGTCGGAGCTTAAAAGATCGAGTGTAATGTTAGCATTCCTTCGCGGTCAAGAACCACCAGTTGCTTGCAAAAGTATCATATCTTGGTATTCAGGGCAAATCGATCTTTTCGGATTGATGAGTTGTTGACGAAGTATCATCTCTGTATTTGTTCTCATCCCGTGAAAAGTCCTCGTTTTGAATCGTTGTTATTGGGAGCCGAGTGGTGAAACGAAGAATGTGCACTCTCCAAAGAATTGTGCTCCTGCTTTGATAAGATCTCCTTTCTCCCACATTGTATCTTGATTATCAAAATGTTTCTTAAAGCCTTTAACTAGTGATTATGGCTACATGTAGCTATGGTGAGGGAACAAACCTCCAGAGTAGAATTTCCTTTCGATAACGCCGCTTTTGCATCGGAGCGGTTACGTGCGTCACCTCAAATCCTTTGGATCTTTTCAACGAGATTGCACTCACGTAGAGCAGTCGAGGAACTGGTATGCAATTGTGATTGCTGTTGTTAGTCCCGAAAGTAGATCACTTTCGCTCTCTCTCGTTATATAAGGATGATAGTTATTGTATCTCAAGGCTCGGGTGGAACTGATTGCCGGTATCAATCACTGCTCATTTGCACTTAAGTTCATGTATTTTTATCTCGTGAATATATTTACGCAACCCCGTTCTAAACTTGACACTATAATAACCCTTTACCCTAGCTTTAGTTCTACATGTAGCATCCACCGTCAAATCATCTCAGTGACTTTTCAGTTTTCAGCTTAGTGATATTCTTTTAATACACAGTAACACCTCTGTAATTTTCATACGCTATCTTTGAACTGCCCTATTTTAAAACTTTGTGTGAGAAATAGAACAGTCGCATACCAACGAAGCTTTGATATCACATGTGCAGACATATGAGCAGCAGTATGAGGGCAATACAAGACCAGTTTACCAAAACAATTTAACATCAAACTCTGGCCCCTTTATGTTTCCAGCAAAGTTTTTGCTTTTAATTTTTTAAATCCTTTCTATTTTTTATGTGGGGTAGATATTTCTTAAAGCATCAGAGAGAACTTGCACCTCTACATCTAGTTGAGTGCACTCTTTGGTTTCTTATCAAAAGTTCATCAAGCAAGCTGCTGTGTAATTTTTCTTATATTGCTTATTGAGAATTCCTTTGTTGCTGTATATTGTATAGCTGCCTGTATTTTTCTTTTTTTTCCAGCAGCATTATCTTGCTATAAGTAGAGGACATAAAGGTTGTATTACAAACCATGAAAGGTTTTAACATGATTTTTGCAGAATTGGTAGCACTTTGTCAGGCAATGAGGTGCATAGTGTGGGCAAAAATGGAGATTTTGGCAGCCTAAAATATATTTTAGCCCAGTTGTTCACTTGTGTGATTGTTCAAATTGCTTTTTGTCATTTTTTTAAGTTTTTATTTTCTCAATGCCCTCCTAAGTGTCAATGATAACTATATTTTAGGTCCTTCTCAGAGTCATATAAACCCTTACCTAGCAGCTTGGGCGAAATGACTCTGAGTCTGGCCCAAAACATCTTTATCCCCACAAATATAAACACTGTTGTTTTATTGCTCACTTCATAGGAATGTACTATGAGCAAAAGCTCTGCCATTTGTAAGATCCTACATTGTTCTTCAGCCAATAAGAAGTAAATTTATTTTGAATTATTTTACAGAAATCAATAAAGTACAAACTGGGGGAGCACTACCAGCAGTGCAAGCATTAAAAAAACCCAAAATTGAGAAAACAACCAATGGAAATACTTTATCACCTGTGTCAGAGAATGTACCTCCCAGCAGCCAAGTACCTGCAGCTGAAAGCCCAGAGGTGCCAGTGGCTACCAGACCTCCCCCTCAGACACATCACTTCCGTAGACCTGCAGATGTCTTTGACAGTAAGCTTTATCAGCCCACTAAATTGATGGAAAAGGTCTTTATTCCAGTAAAAGAATACCCCAAGGTGAATATTTACTTTCTTCCTAATGTACAGCTGTGGAATCCTAATTTGTCTTGGTTGATGAAATGTTATCGTTTATGATTGCACTTTTTATTTTTCTGCATTATACAGTACAGCTCAGAGGTACTAAGCTCTAAATTCATGTGAAAAGTGCATTAAAAGAAACCTGCACATGCGTGAAATTTTTTTAAATGCAAAAAAAAAACACACGCAAAAGAAGCTCATCAGTATATATGAAGCAGTCTTTTGTTTTATCCTTTGTTTAACTTTGAATTGTGTGTTAGATTTATAACAAAGGAGAGATTCTGATGTTGGTGACATTATGTGGTTTCTTTCCAAAGCATTTGGCATCAGCTCATTTTTTGAATTGGCTTTCCTGCATTGTGAAGGGAAAAAAAACTTTTTGACTTGTTGGGTACCTCTTTAGAAAGCAAACAAGATGAGGAAATATCAAGTTCAATAAAAGCATTGTCGTAAAACTTTACAGCTAGCAACTAGCAGCAAGACTTGAATCATTTGCATTCATTTGTCTGTAAAGTTATGTGAAATTATTTGCAGTTTGCTGGAACAGGAGACATTTTCCTAATGTCTTACCAGAATGATTTTAGGTTACAGCACCTTACTCGACTCTTATCAATTCACATAAGTAAACAAGAATAAGTGTCTGTTAAAATTGTCATGACGATCATCATCGCACAATGCTGAGCATGAATAAAAAGTACAAACAAAGCAAAACTGCTCTCATGAAAGCAGTATTTCCTGAAATGTCGCACGTAACATTTGTATTCAGTTCTAATATAACACACGAACTCAATTGCTACAATGTCTGTAGTATAGCAAACAAGAAGCCATTGGGTCTGGAAAAAAAAGATAACATTCGAGAGCTTGTCTACAAGTATTTTCTGACACCCCTATCTGAATGTGAGCTTACTTTGGTGTGACCGTTGAAGGCCAGACACTTGTCTGTGTTCGTGTAAGCCTGATCAGCATAATATTTAGACAAGTCAGTGTAATTTTTTTCCTTGATTGCTTTAAGTTAAATATTTTTACAACATTCAGTTTTAGTATTTGTTTTCTTTAATTTATTTTGGTTAATGAACCAAAAGTCGAAGAGTCAACAATAGTGATCTGGAGATAAGGTCTTTGATTACAAGCTGCGCATTCAAAAACTGGGTTGATTTGTGCATTAAAGTTCTCTGTGACACAAGCGTCTTGCCAAAGACACCCAAATGTGAACTGAATCATAGAAAACAATTAAATTATTTAAACAAAAACTGAGAAATATTTTAGCACCAAATAAAAAGTAGACAAGATGTACGGGCAAAAGTTGATATCCAACTTCTTGATCTGGTTGCATCTTTTGAAGTGATTTCCAATTCTAAAGACAAAGTTATCACGATCTCTGGCTGGAATCAAGTTAATTATTTGCATCTTAAAACTTTCAAAAGCCTATTCTACAAAATTCTTGTGGAGTCATGACAAGTTGTGTCAAAGTTTTATTGAAACAGCAGCCATTGCGTCCCTTAGATGTTGAGATATACAAATGTTGATTTGATGTTTCAGTTGTGGCATTTTGAGACCGAAAACCTTTGGTTTCAGAAACAACGCAGAACAAAGTAAGCTGACTGTGTTGAATGACAATAGCAAAAGTGTGCTTTAACATGCGCTTTTTTTGTGGAGAACGCGAAAAATGTGGGAAGGTTTTAACCTGTGCATTAGCCTGTACTGTACTATACCTGTGCATTAGCTGTACTGTACTATAGGCTGTCTTGGTATAATGTTGTTTTTTTTGTATCCCCCTAGTTTAACTTTGTTGGAAAGTTGCTTGGTCCAAGAGGTAACACCTTTAAGCGTCTTCAAGCTAGTACTGGCACCAAGATGTCAATTCTGGGCAAAGGTTCTATGAGAGATAAGGAAAAGGTCAGTAGACTAACAGTAGATGTAAGTCTTAATGTTACTTCATTTGATAGGGAAACATTCTTGCACATTCACAGTGGTTTCAATAACTTTATCGTAAGCACTGCCCATGGCGTACTAGGAGGCCTAGCCCTGGAAAAGAGGCAGTGAGGCAAAAGCTAAGCACGAGCCTGCTTGTAGGCTAAACAGAGGGCAATAAGAAGTCTTATAGGCAGCAGTAGACTTCATATAACCAGCTGCTGTTGAAACCCCAGCATTCAACAATTACATTGCTTATCATTATGAACTGAAAAACAGATTTCAGACAGATTTTTTGCTAACAACTTGCAGCACCATTCAATGGACTAATTCATGAAATAAACTTGAAATACGAACCAAACAAACCTACTTGTAGCTTTCAAAGGGGTTAAGTTTCTAAAGAAACTGTGGTGCTGCATTGGTGGGGATGTCTAACAGGATAATTTGGTTTTATTAACTGAGTTGATAATGTAAATTAGCCATGGTAAAGAGTGTCTAAGGTGGAGTTTTAAGTGGTAGCCCTTTGGCAGCAGATCAAAACTGACCACTAATCATTGGTCAAATGCAACTTGATTCTTACAGCCAAAAATAACATGCTAAAACGAATGGACTGGCACAGCACACCTAAGACTTCAAGCATTTGAGAAGCATGCAACTCTCTACTTAGCTCTAACCCTGCTGTTCACATGAGTGATCTAGAAAACATTTCTCCTTATAATATAAATACAATATCAAGTAGACAGGTAATGAGAATAAAGAAAAGCAACAATTAGGGGGTTGATAGTTAAGAATTGTATGGCAGACAGTAAGGTGAATTACTAAAGATATGCTTAGAGTGAAAGGATTAATGATGACTTCCCTCACTGTAGACGACCACACTATGCAAATTACAGTTACCATCTGATTTAAATACAAGACATTTACATTGTATATTTTTATGGTGCAAATTTATTTATGTGACACATTTAAGACAAGAAAACACAATGAAGGATTTAATAAAAGTGATAATGTTCAATACAGGAGGAAGAGCTGAGAAGTTCTGGTGATGCAAAATATGCACACCTTGATGAAGATCTCCATGTGCTTATTGAAGTTGAAGCCCCCCCAGGCCAAGCTCATGCCAGATTAGGCCTAGCGATTGAGGAGATCAAGAAATTTTTGGTACCTGTGAGTATGCTTTTAATTTTATTGATATATTCTTAAGGTAGACTCTTCAATCATTCATACATTTTTAGGAAGCTCTTCATAGGATTTTGATTTACTCATTTCATAAATACAGTCAAACATGTAGTAAGAGGCACAGTGTTAATCAGCCATCCTGTATTTAGCAGTTTGTGGTCGAAGTCCTGAAATTTGTACCCCTTAATTTTTATAATTTCACCTCTATTAAATGGTCACAGTCACCCTTTACTGAGTTCCAATAGCATCTTTTTGTTGTCTTCCACCAGTTCTGGATAGTCACTAAAAGCAGAATTACTCATATAAAACTGAGAGTAATCTCATACATAAAATTTAATCCCAAATCAATGTTAGTAGCATTATTGAGATAATTTTTGTATAATAAATGGTCTATTATGGCTCAAAATGACATTTTCTATTGTTCCTCTATAAATACCTTTTTATGTGGAACCTTAATTAAGGGGTCAACCTGTATTGAGCAGTCACCAAGCCATTCTCTGTTGGTGACCACTAAATACAAGTTTGACTGTATTTATATGCAAAGCCTGCATTTATATGCAAAGCCTGCATTTATATGCAAAGCCTGCATTTATATGCAAAGTTGAAGTGAAACTTTTTTGTTTGTTCTGATTCCATGACAGAAAAACATCAAAACATCAATAAATATGCTAAGAGATGCAAAATTACAATTGGTTCTGTATGCAGAATGGTATACCATAAAAACCCGCAGATAAGCCACACCTTTTCTCCAAAAATCATCACTAGGAATTATGGTTGTGGCTTATCTGCGGGAACATTTGAAAAAGGTGCTGCAAATGTTGATGCCTATGTCCGTTTTCATGTCCAATCTAATGCCTGGTTACTAGGCTTGGAATGTTCTGCTCACTTTCTTGTTGTAATGCAAAAATCTATGGAGAAACTGTGTTGAATGAAGAAATTCCTGTCAACAAATACCAGAAAAAGATTAAGTCACATGTCAAAGTTGGTAGAAACAATGTTCATTATATTAAACTGGTAAACTTGTGGGTAAGACTTTGAAGTATTTTCCATTGCAATGTTAACAGTGAGTTTATGTTTGATGAACAGTGGATGAAAGAGACTTCTCAAGACTTGACTTTGGATTTCTTTTAATTTCTTTCAAAATACTTTTTTCCCAAAATTTGAGCTGCTAAATTCAGGGTGCAGCTTATCTGCAGGTGCAGCTTATTGGCAGGTTTTTACAGTACATTTTTAGCAAATGCATAGCCAGGGTACCTCATGGTAATGGATACTGGTCTTGTCTTGTTGCCCTGTGCACAGCTGTAGCTCTGTGTTACCCTACAATTTTTTTTGACTTTGCCAATTCATTTGTCAATTTACACACAAACAATTGATTTCAGTGGAGGAAGATTACTTCCAGTATGCAGTATGCAGACCTTTTAAATTTAAATCTTGCTGTTGCAGTTTGAAACCTTCAAAACAAATCTAATTTGGACCATTTTTTTTATTACTTTGTAGGAAAATAACGATGAAATCCATCAGGAACAGATGAGAGAAATGGCAATACTTAATGGCATGGAGGAACCGGTTCCTGCTGCTGCTCCAGTTGCAGTTCCTGCACCTGTTCCTAGGGGACGCCCTCACCCCAGAGGAGTTCCACATCACTTACACCACCCAGCTCATCATGGACGAGGAACCCCAGTTCCACGTACAACTGCCATTGCAAGACCTAGAGGACCCGCTGTAGGACACGTGACTGTATCAGCAGCACGCTCTGCTGCTGGACTAGGTCCGTCATCACCAACCGTAGCTCATGCTGCACCAAGAGCAGCCGCAGTCCCAGGGGATCCATATGGAGTAAGTGAACATACAGAAAATTTGTTTTCTCAGAACCTGAAATAAAGTAATAACTCAAATAACTGTAAGAGAAGTAGGATTAACCTTAACTGAAACATTTTCATGGTATTTTAGGCTAAGCCTGTATGTAGTAAACAAAGCAGCAGAAGAAGATTGCATTCTCTTCAGAGGGTAGCAAGATCACAAAAGAATGTGCGAACAGATTGAATGAGGGTGGAATTAGGCAACTCCTGTTTGTCCTTAATCATCACAATCCTGTCATAAAATTTAAAATTAAGTTTAAAAAAGGGAAATTAAATGTAGTAAATGCAGTGGTGTGGCACCCTAATTTGTAATATTAACCATGTTAAGCCATGTTAAACCAAAGTAGATCACTTTTGATGAAATGACATTTAAGCTTTTTGGTGTACACCACAGTTTATTCCATGAAAGCCCTTTTAAAAAGTTTTGTTTTCAACTGCACTTAAACTGTTTACCTGAAATACATTTACTTGTGCACTTGAATCTGCTAGGCAGTGCACACACTTCCTGCATCGGTTGGGGTACAACTGCTGACTACTGGAGAACAAGTGATTGTAAGTGCTCATAAGTAAAGGAGCCTCCATTAAAAAAATGTGATAATTGGTTAAATCAACACAGTTATTACTGTAGTTTCAGTGTGAAATGTAGTGCAATTGTTTGGTTGAGGGGAGTTCTGTAAAGGGCCCTATGGGTACTCCATGGAGTAAAAGTCATCTCATTTCAGTAGCATGGAGCAACTGGACTATTCCCATTTCCCATTGTTTGGGGATGGCAGTCCATTGTTGGATTATCCCTGGAATTTCTTGTTTTCTTGACTTTTTGCTGGTGGTTTGTTATACTTCTGAGTTGATAGAGGCACAGTGAGAGTGTTGTCTGCTTCAAGAGCATAACACTGTGACCCAGCTAAGGCACCAATCCAGTGTCTAGTTAGCCATGGACTAAGCCACTGAGTGGATTTTGATGACTGAAATGTTATCAAAGGTGAAAAACATGATTCACTATTGTGGACTAAAGTCCTTTTCAGGACTTCCCTCACTCTTATGATCATACTTCATGATTGACTGGTATAATTAAACTTGCCAATATTTTACATTGTCACTTACAATTCAATGTCTCCGTGAACAATTTCCAGGTACAGTTGTAACCGTACTCTTTTCACAATACAGTTCCTTAATTACTGGTGTGACTTATCAATAATATTTTCACCAGATATACACAATAACATAAATCAAGTCTTGTCGCACTTCATATTTAAATGCAACAATCTTAAAGTTAAAGCATCCTCACATAGTAAGCTGTTAAATAAATAAAATAATCATGCAAGAAGGTTAAAAGTAAAATAGTTTGTCTTAATTGCATAAACAGAAGCTTCCATGTCTGAGTGATAAAGTGGTTTTAAATGTATTCATAGTGTTTAATTCTATGAATCACATTCAGTTGCCTTTTTTTCAGGGCTACGAGTCTTATGAGCCAAGCTATGAATTTGAAGCAGCCTACCCGGAACATGGGTGAGCACTTAAGTCATCCTACAGTCTCAAAATCTAATAAATTGCAATGTCAAGGAAAAATTGAATGAATTTCATGTATGCAGTTACATATTCCTCAAACTTTTAGTGACAGTACATAGCTTTATTGTAAGTTCTATATAAAAATTTCTAAAATTAAGGTCTGTGTGGAATTATTTGTGGAGCAAAGCACCAGATGGATGGCTTTTTTGCTTGATTTTCCTAGAGGTAATGAAGCAGCAAAGGTTTTTGTTGAGGAAATAGTCATGGAGTATGTTGTGTCCAATTAAATTTGCTAGGAATCTCATGATGCCCAGAATATCAAAGCCATTTGCCCACCAATGAACCTTTAGCTTAGATGAAAACATAGGGGTGTGCTCCTTTGAAATTTTTGGTATCACTGATAGCCATGGAGCTCCTTTCAAAGGAACACACAGAACTATTTTCAAAGGGCAATTTTCTCTTTTCAACATTTGTAGGCTGCTGGCATCACAGTATTATTTAAGGAGTTTTGCTAATGAGTATTACAACTTGGTCATTATGGCAAAGGTATTCAAAGGAAAGGGTGGACAATGTCATCCAACTGATAAGAGTTAACAAAACATACTGCACTATCTACTAAATTTAGATTTTGTAATGGATAGTGCTATCCATTCTTGAAAGAACCTGGGCCAGTTTTTTTGGTCTTTGGGTTAAACATACCTGTACATTGTATGAATCAACAGTGAAGCAGTATACTATGAATATGGCCAGCCAGGAGAGGTTTTTGATGCAACTTTTGCAGGTAAGTGCTACATCCTGCTCATTTTTGTTTCCTCTACATCAATTCCCATTTATGGACAATGAGAGACTTTTGAAAACAAGCAAAAACTGGATTTCTGGTCATTAAATCTGATTGCCTTAAAAGCCTTATTGTGAAAATTATATGCTGTGAATTAGCAAGTGAAGTTGTAAACAAATAAGATTACTTGTTTGAAGGGTACTTTTCCCTTTAAAGATGAAAGAAAAATCTAACCATTAAGCATCTTGAGTAGAGATTGATTTGGAATTTGTTTCACTAAACTAGCTCTGTCATAGTGAGATTAAATATTAATTCATATGGGTATTTTTACTTTAACTTATTTAATGAATTATAATGAAAATAAGGACTGTGATTTCTTTAATACAAGATTGCAGGAAAATGTTTCTGTGTGCACAATATGATTATCATTAATATGACATGTCTCTTCTCAGAAGAATATTTTTTTCCAATAAAAGTTTGTGTGATGTTTATTTAGTAAGTTAACTTTTACCTACTAAAGAATTTAAAAGTAGAAGAGTTACACAGGTCCACTGAAAAGGAAATTTATTTTGAGTGGCAGTATTCTCAAAGGTTAAAGCAAGGTTGAATTGTCTTTGCTGTAATAGAACTTGTGCCTTAAAGTGTAACTCTGTACTTTATAGGTGATAACTTTCCTTTACTGTTATTTTTAGGTTAATTCCAGTTCTTTAATTAATGTTAGAAGGTGTTAATGTTAAACTTACATAAATTCTTATTTTAGCTCCAACAAGAGTTCCTGCAAACTCATCTGCAACTTTCAAGGCTCCACCAGCTCGTACTGTGAAGAAAATTGTTCGTGAAGCAACATACCCTTATTGAAGTAGTTAACAAATTATAATTATTTTCTATAGCTTCTGATTTGAAAAGTGAAGCTTGCTGATAGTGTTTTGATAAATTTCTCAGAAACCATTATGTATGTTCACCACTTTTCTTTTTACAAGGAACTGGTGTTCAGGATTTCACGTTCTTTCAGTGCAGATATTTTCATAAGTTTGTTGCTAACTGTTATAAATCATGTTAACTTTTCCCTAAGATTAATAGGATAGAATTTTGTATGGAGCCTTCAGATCACTCAAATGGCCATAAATTTGAAAGCATACAAGCAGCATTCCAAACATTAAAAACACTAAAAACAAACCAAAAAAAACCTCTAGCTAAAGACTAACCAAGCAACAATTTTGGTGTAGTTACCCAAAGTTGTCATAATGTTCCAAATTTGTTTATTATTGAAATCTAATCAGAACATGAATGCATTCCAGTAATACTCATTGTAAATTTTCCCCATAAACTTAAAGCTAGAGGCAAACATATAACTAAATTTTTGTTGGCAACATGCTCCTAAATTTCAGACTTTCAATTTCAGGGATGTATTTGTAATGATTAAATGGTATTAAACATGTGCATTACAGGGATGAGCCTACAAACATCCAAAACTGCAAAGCATTGTTAACCACTTTAAAGGGTTAAATATGATGTGGCTTAATCTTTCTACCATGTATGTTAAATCTAAACAGTTTAATCTATCTGTCATTGATGAACTCAATAAAGTAATAAACGTTGCTAAACAGTTTGTTTTTTTTTTTTTTTAGTTTAGTTGTCCATAACAGCCAAAAGTGACTAAATTGACACTTAGAGTATTGTTGTAAGTGCAAAGATCAAAACTTAATTATGAACTTAACAGTGTTCTCACAACTTCTCTTAAACAAAAACAAGAAGCTCATGTCCCTTATCTAAACATTCCCAAAACATATCTAAAGTTCTGCAATAAATACATTTTTGATGTGATGAATTGCTGTAAACTTTTAACTTTCATAATAGAGAAATTCCAATGTGGTATAAGTAGTTTTGAATATGTGTTTTTGAGAGTTTTATCTTAATTATTATTTTTTTAACATTCAGATGTTTGTATTTTTTTGGTTGTTGTTGTAATTTTGAGATCAGTTTGCTTTCTCTTCTTTTCATCTAACCTCTTCACTGATGCGTGGTTTCTTCCTTAAAGATTTTCTAAAATAATTTAATGTTGGGTTCCTAAATTCTAACCCTGCAGTAGAACATTCATGAATTGACAATGTATCTAATGAAGGCATCCATTTGAATGGAATATTTTTTGATGAAATATCCATGCCGAAAAAGTTTGATAACTGTATTTTCACATAAATGATGCTTTTACAGCTATTTTTTTTTACATACAGCAAATTGCATATGTTTTGTAACTGCTTTCTATATAATGTGTGTCCACAAAAAATCTGCTTTGGAAGATAGGTTTTCTATTTCATTTTCTTGTATCTATCAATAAAATGTTGGTTTTGTAGTCAACTGAACTGGTTAATGCCTTGTGTTAAACTTTGTCTGTGTACCTTTGTTATTTGAAATAATTCTGGGTAGCAATGTTAAAAGTATGTGATTGTTTGAATACTCTTCCTTCCTTCCTTGGGACAGAACATTTTTGTTATGTTTCAACATTTGTTTCTTCATGTAGTTGGATGTTGGTCTGTTTCCATGCAGGTGGTAGTAGAAGTAAGAATTAAACTGTAAAATAAAGACAAACAAGCCAGTCGTTTGTTTGATTGACCATGGTCATGTACTTTACATTGACTGTTGTTTTCCAACTTTTCATCAATAACCAGATGTTGTTCATTTGGTATCATGATACCATCAATTTTACCTGGTAAATGATTTTTCTTAAAAGTGTCTAAGCAGAAGACCTTAGTGTTCATCTTTGCTCTTTGAATTCACACCTTAATTCAATCCAAGAGGAGTAAAAACAGTAATCTGTAAGAAACCATTGACTTAATACTTAATTTGTATAGTTTTTATAGCTCCTAATTACCAGGCAAAAAACAAACAAACAAAAATCCATGTAAACGAGCAGCGCTACTTAAAAACTTCACAGTAATTCGAAGAAATCAAGATAAATATGGACTCAACAGTACGCTTTTGAGAATGCAATGATGCTCGAAGAAGACTTCATTGATGCTGGGTAATAATCTGAAAGGTAACTTTCCCATTTTATTATCTTTCTTTTGTGTAATGTAACAAAATAAATTCAGTTTAACTTTTAAGTGAGGATGAATCCTCATTATCTTCAATAGATTATTTTAATGACTGATTTTCCCACTTTGTCCAGTGACTAGCATCTAATTTCTCCTACTCAGTATCACTGCCAAATCACACATTAAGGTCATGAGAATAAAGGAAATGATTACTTTCTAAAGAAGCTCGGGACTGTTAAACAAATCCTCCTTGTCAGTTCCATAGGAAATGTATGGAACGATGTGGAGAATATGCATACTGATTAGAGGGTGTAAAAGATTAAATGCAGTGATGCGTGATGATTTTAATTACTATAAGAGTAAAATCAAACTTAAACCAATTCAGTCAGAGTGACAAATGCAGTTGGCTCTGACAATTTCATGTATCAGCAAATTTGTTTTGTCAGGCATGGAAATTCTAAAGTTAAGCTTCAGTTAATCGTGATGATAGTAAAAATGAGTTGAGAAAATTAAATCGGAGTTAAGTGGTGTCATCTAAACAATAACAATCCTTGTTCATGTAGAAATGAACAATTACATTTTGAATTAGTCATTTTACAAGTGGTGGGGATATGAAACTGGTGCCAGTTAACCCACCCCACCCCCCCCCCCCCCCTCCTCATTCCTTAAGGGGCCTTCCTGCTACTTCAAGATTTGGATTTGCCACTTGTAGCATTGGAAAATTTGTAAAATTGCCCAATAATGACGTGGTTTTGTTTTGTTTTTTGTTTTTTTGTTTTGTTTTAGTGAAACGTAGGAAAGTGATTTTTCAGTGATGAATTTGGATCATTTCCAAAGTGATACGAATAAAGCCCCCCAGAAGACGACCTGATAAATGGATCAATTCATGGATTTTTTGGTAAAGATTTTATTCATTTTTGTTACTTAGTGCAGTGAGCTGTATTTGCAATGATTAAAGTACTGAATATGAGACAAGTAATAAAATAATGATGACTTGTAATTATCAGGGGTTTGAATAGAAGTAGGGTAACAGATCTACCCACTTGTGATGAGCTGGCCACCATCTTTTAGACACTGTACTTCACACACACACATTTAATTCGCTACAAATGGGTTCAATTTTAGCAACAAAAGGCAATATAAACTGGAGTAGACCTGGAAATGCAATTGCTAGAGTCAGATTATTCCAAAGTTTCCCTTGGGAGCCCATACCCCACTTGGAGTAGGAGGCTTTCCAGGCCTTCAATAACTTCATCTGATAAAAGCTTTTTGCAAGCTAAGTCGCAGTTTTATGTCTCCAGACCCAAGTGTCCATCCTCATAACAGTGGCTGACACCTCCAAGAACCTCTTCATACAGGAAAGAGCCTCACCCTTGTGGTTCTACCTGGGGATGACTTCATGGACATTGTTGAAAGTTCTTTAAGGCCAGACTGCCCAGTGCATAAACTACAAAAAGATAAAAATATGGCTGTAAAAGGCATCATGGTCACTGGTTACTCCATAAGATCCCAAAAAGCTGTGGTTGTAGCTTCCCTCAGGTAGTCTGAGGACTTACCATGATGTTAGACTATTCCAACCCTATTTAAGAATGTTGTCAAGGTGACTTACAACATTTGATCTCAATAAAGTACTTTTACAATTTTATTTGTTCTCGTTTATTATCAGCCTGTTGCTGTGTTGCTAACTATTGAGTGAATGAAAATTCCAATTTAAATGTAACCAGCGCAACACCGTTGATTGTAGAAAACTTTTTTCTGACATCCAGTAGGGATCCCGATTAACAATAAGATCCAGAAACAATTTCTTGTTACCTCATTGTATGACTAAGTCACAATAAGAGGTTTAGTATGGAACTAAAAGTCACTCACTCAAACGCTCCCTACTGATCAGTTTTTGCTTTTAACTTGGATTAAGAGCATTAATCCCCTTTTACCCCTACCAGTTCTCTTCCTGTCCTCAGAGGTGTGTTACTATCTTGTATCCTTATGTCTGAGAGGGGGGGGATTTAGCGTAAGGACTTGAAGGGATCAATACCGTATATCCTCGAATAGGCGCCCAGGCGCTTACTTGAAATTCGGCTAAAAGGAAGGGCGCTCATTGGAAGGAGAGTGCTTAATTAGTAAGCGCGGAAAGAGGACTGACAGAGAAAGAACAGATGGCGCACTTGGGGAACTTGTGAGTTAGAAATAACTGGAAGTGGCTTGATGGAAAGGAAATATTCTCCTTTACTGGTTCTTCAGTAGTTGAAGCTTTAGCTTGTGCCAATATTTTCATGGCAAAATTAGAAAAAAGGTATTAACACCTAGAGCACAACTAAACCGCTACTTTGGAAGAAACGTGTTGACGACGTTTTATGTCTGGAACAGAACCAAAGATGTTTGAAGAGTGTAAGATACCAAGATGAAATTTTGGAGAAATATATCTCTGAATTTGATTTCACTGGGAGAGAAAGGTCACTCATGACTTACGTAGGATTATGCTCGCGATCGATTGTAAACGTTTCCTCGTCTGACGGTCACCGAAATGCCGAGAGGAGCTTCCTGTTTGACTTTACTCCGAAATGCTGTGTATCAGGGCTACTGCGAACTCGCTGCTAGTTTTCCTGCCAAATCCTAAAGCTGTCTTTCGCTCATTCCTTGGTTTGAAAATTGACCTTGTAAGCCATAAATTATGGCGGCTTTCCATTCGTGCAGGAAGACCTCTTGATGGCTTCATTATCGCGAACACGGATTGAAATGACAAAAATACGTAGCAAATAGACGATTGATACTTAATAGAAACAGGTTTTCCTTGTATTCCTACTACTTAAGAAAGTGAGAGAGGAGGGTGGGGGCGTCGGTTTCACTTTATGGCCTAAGGGGTGAGCGCTTTTTTCGGGAGAGAGTGCTTATTAGAGCGTGGGCGCTTATTCGAGGAAATACTAACAGTAATTTAAAATACAGTAAATTGGTTGAACCCGAGGGTAACATGTGATCGTGTAGTTCGACCGTCGTGGTTAGTGTAGTCCTGAGAAGAACTGTTGTGCACTGTGTAGTAGTGACTGGTGTTCGACAACCTGAGCGGATGTCATCACCAGAGTCGAAGGAATAGTTATTGTCAGTACTAGGTCTGGTTTGTGTAAACTGACTGGTCAGTGTAGCCGTGAGGTAAATGGCGTCTTTCTTGTTAGGCTGAACGCCAAAATTATGGAAGGTGGCATTTCCTTCCTTTCGCTCCATCCTTGATTAAAGCACACTTTTGTAGTCCTCTCAAACGAAGAGGAAATTTGCGTTACAACTGGAAAGAAAAGGGCTTCAAAGTTCTAATAGCGACGATGACAACCGTCCCAACGATAGATAGTTTGATCAGATACATCAGGTCATCTGAACGACGACGAATCGATCAGGCGTAGGAAGAGGGCAGGATACAGAATGAACCTTACCCATGTGAACAAAGGATAAGCCTTCCTCATAATTTATTACATTTATTTACAAAATTTGCAGAACTGATAATTGAAATGCACTTTAACCCTTTCACCCCTACGAGTGACCAAGACAATTTCTCTTTACAATATCAATACAATATCAAGTAGACAAATGATGAGAATAAAGAATAATGTTAATTAGGGGATTATTAGTTGATCCAATATCAAATTCTCCAAACTAACATCGTAAGAACTATATGGCAGACAGTAAGGAGAATACTTAAAGGGTTGAGGGCCTACTATCATTTGAAGCCGTTGCAAGGTAAAATTTAGTTTGCTATAACTCGACGTTTAGAAAGGAAATAGGTACCGTTGATGACATAGGGACACGCCCAATCTCCCGTGACCCAAAACAAAGAAAGTGATCGGATCTCCAAAGGCATACGGATTCACGTAAAGTTTTAAGAGTGTTATTACTCAGCACGTTTATCGGAAGAAAATTAAAGTATGCATTTAAAGCAAACATAAAGACATGAAAAACGAGGACAGCAAAATGTGTCGTGACTACCTTATCTCGGTGAGTTCTTTCTGGCACAGTCCACCCAACTATTCTCGGCCACCACCGTCTAACCTTCGTCGCAGATCTGATTGGACAAAGGTGTGCCGCTCTATTTTAAACAGTATTAGGATAAAAGGGGCTGGCTGAGGTTTACTTATTGTAGGGAGATTGTAAGATGCCGCTTTGTTACTCAGTATTCAAGGAAAAGCTTGGGGCTGAAATCTGAGGATCTTTCATGCGATTAGGAATAAAGAATAAGATACTTTATTAAACACAATTGCAGCCATAGGCTGAATTACGGGATATTTACAAATACTGATGATAACAAAGAGAAAATAAGAAAAATCATCTACATCTTATAGACATGGCTAAAAATAAAACTGTTCTTCAAACGCTCGGTTTTACATAGGGGGAGAGTGAAATCACTTTTGCGTCTCAGTGCATATTTACAACTCTTCCTTTGGGGGAGGAGGCTATGGAGATTGTGGGTGGGGTTACAGACGATCTCGTCAAACAGATCAACAAATTAACAAATTAACTTGAACTAAAAATCGGCGGTTGTTTCGTATGAAGTCAGGTAATTCTCTGGTATTGCGCTGCGTATCGTATACTTTCACATCATAGCATACGAATGGCTCAGTAAAAGAAACGCGTGCAATCATTTATAGGACGAGGTGGCCTGCTATCGAAGTCCCTATTCAAGTTTGGTTACGTCTTTTTTCTTTCACTTTTATTCCTCTCGCCCTCCCTTTTGTTCATATCGTATGTACTCAACTGTAAGCGCCTTCCCCCAATAACCGTCCACCCCTTAGGCCATAATGTTAAACAAGCGCCCCTCTCGAAAAAGCGCCTCCTCCTCTCTCACTTTCTTAAACAGTAGGGATACAACGAAAACCTGTTTCTATTGCCACTTTATTTGCAATTTTTTAAGCTTGAAATATAGCGGAATAATAAGCACCCCCCTCGATTAAATGTCCTGACATCAATATTAAATTAAACGGGAAGCAAGAATGTCGAGCTTACAATTATTTGTTATTTTTCGAAGACAAGGAAGAAACTGAGCCATATGTAATTTTCATCTTTCAAATGATCGCTCGGTGTTAGTGCCCTCAAGTTGTAAGTTTCTTGCAATCGTCTGAGGAAAACAAGAGACAAAAAGGTTAAAGCAGCGCGAATTGCCTATGGGAGTTTTCAGGAGTGCCTACCGGATGCACGGATCCTACAATGTAAGTGTATTCCAGTTCATTTCAAAAGTATAACTATTGATTATTACTTAAAGTCAAGCCACCTCCTATCTTTGATGTCATTTGCCTGTTGCCATAGTTCATTCACTGTATTAACGCCGTCAAAGGTAAGACCTGCGATGTGGTTATTTTCGAGCAAATTACCGATCCACTCTGTCCGGTTTTTTGTTTGTTTGTTTTTTATCTATTATAACAGTTACTATTTTTGTCTTCGACCACGCAAATCACACCCGCAAAGTGCATGAGTACAACGGGTCAGTTTTCGTGCACA